CCCTAAACCCTAAACCCTAAACCCTAAACCCTAAACCCTAAACCCTAAACCCTAAACCCTAAACCCTAAACCCTAAACCCTAAACCCTAAACCCTAAACCCTAAACCCTAAACCCTAAACCCTAAACCCTAAACCCTAAACCCTAAACCCTAAACCCTAAACCCTAAACCCTAAACCCTAAACCGAAACCCTAAACCCTACGCATGAGGGAGGGAGGCGCTTCGGGAGAAGTGCCGTAACCGACCGACTAGCTAATACTTATTACACCCAACCCTAGGTTCTCTGGATCGTACTAAACCCGAAAAGTCACTAGCATTCGCATCCGTCCTGTGCACCTTCACGACACCCTACGGCCATCACTCGTCGACCAGCACGGCACCGCAGACTTCCCCCTCGACGCTCCGGACGTCTCCGGACTCTTGCGTCAAAGTGCCTTCTTCAGTGTTCGTGTTGGGCGACAAACGACCGGTCGTAGTTTGTCCTCTGTGAAAATAATGGAACCCCAAGCACTCATCTTGCGTGACACACAGTCGATTTGGGTAGAAAGCCTGCGGAGGATCCTTTATGCCGCAAGCTAAACCCTAGTTTCAGGGAGGCGCGTTCGAGGGGCGACGCGCTGGGAGACGACGCGGGACGACGACGGCGCGGGTTCGTTGTGATATTACGAGAGAATTTCGACTCTCTCTTCGATTCGTATTTTTTTAGATTTTTCCGACTCATCTAATTCTCGCACATCCTCGGTGTACTCGCGCCGTGCGCGCTCGCTTCGCGCGCTCGCGTCTCGAGGGGCGAATCTCTTCAGCAGGACAGGCAAGGCAAAACAATTAATTCTTCTTCATGTTCGCTATCGTTGCTAGTCGCTAAATTCGAAACATCAAAGTGGTTCGCCGTCTTTCAGGCATTTGTCGATGTGCGCGTTAATGGTTTCGCTTTTCGCGCCTTCCGGAAACTGTTCGCCGCAGATGCAGCATTCTGCTTTCGTCCGTTTATTCGCGTTTTCAGTGAGATCGAAGAACGGCTTCTTCGGTTTGTCTTGTTGAACCGCGGTGACACCGACGGCTTGGTGAGATCGTTTTGACGAAGCGGCGTTTGTCGCCGGTTTCGCCTTCGCGGCGGCGCCGAAGAAATCCACAATCGTCTTCGTCTTCCGAAAGCACTTCGCCCTGGAGGCTGCGTCTACCGGGGTAGGTGCTTCGATCGACACACCTAAGATGGCGTTCATATTTTCGTCGCCGTCGCCGTCACCGCCATCCAACAAAGCGAGCGACTCCGGAGTGGAGAATTTTTCTGCCCATTGAACTTCGATGCTTTCCTTCACGTGCGCAAGCAAGGTCTCGGGATATCTCAAACCGATGACTTTGCGGCCAACTTCGTCGACGACACGCACCGTGCGCATGCCGCGATCGGCCTTATTAAACTTGTGCGCGTTTCTATCCAAAGTTCGTTCGAGCTCTCCCCAGCAAGGCACGACGGCGCCGCTGATCACGGTGCAGTCAACCGTGCGTTTGCCCGCGGTACAAGCGCCCATGGTTTGTCGAACGTGACAATTCACGCCGTGCATGCAATGCTTCTCGGTCAATTCGTGCACAAGATCCCACGGTTGTTTCGCCACGTCGGGCGTGCACATCATGTATTTGCCGCGCAATTCGTCGTACTCCATCTCGAAAAGACTTGCGCCGGTGTTCGGACGCCACAGCATGAACAAGTTTCGCGAACCTGGCTTGGTGATGGCCAGAACGACTTGCGCGCGCCCATACATCTCGCGCTTCATCTTGTAGAAGCCGTCTCGATCGTGATTCTTGCTCTTTTCCAAAATATCCAGCGCACGCTCAAACGAAATACCGCGATCTATGAAAACCTTGGTCGACACGAGTTTTTGTCCGTGGTACGGATCCTTAAGAATCGTCTTCGACTCTGGTTCGATGCGAATGGAAGAACCACCGAGATCGCTCACGCCCTCCGTGTACTTCCCCTCAGCCTTTGCTAATTTGATTTCGCAATCCAAGGTTTCAGCAAAGTATGCAAACATGATATTTTGCGTTCGCACCGGAAGTCCAAGTAGGCGATTGAGAAACTTGCGCACGTCGCCGAGATCTTTGTTGCCGTATCCAATTTCCTGCAGCAGCGTCGCTTCTTCGACCGAAAAGCCGTCATTTCGCAGTCCAACCTGCACTCCGAGCTCCAATAACGCTGAACGAAGTTCAAGCTTCAAATCCTGCCAGCTCGAGATGGGTTTCCCCTCGAGATCGTCGTCGTTCACATGCGACATGATGCCCTCGAGCGTGACGCCCGACGGGAGATTCGCATCGAGCGCGACGAGCGCCTCGTAGAGCTTCTTCAACGCGTGTCGCCCGAGTGACGAGTCGAGATTGCCATCGGATAAATCAATGCCAGTCGCCGCACGTCGATCACCTCTCGTCAACGCCCCGAGACTTTGCAAGCGTCGTGCGACGGCGGCGACGAAGCGTCTTTCGCCTCCGATATTCGTCGAGCACATCACGTACACTGGACCCGTAATCTGATTGGATCGATGCGTGCGACCGAGCTGCTGAATCGCCTTGTCCGCACTCCATGGAAGTTCTATCGTGACGTGCACGCGGCGGCGGACATTTTTCGCGCCTTTCGACGCGTGCAATGAAATCCCGGTACTAGCCGCGTCCGAAATTATGGCCACACGTTTGTCACCATTCATAAACGCGTTCTTCTCGGCGATGTTCACTCCGAGCACATCACCGTCGCCGCTGATGCTCGTTCCTTTTCTAGACGCCGTCGTGCCACGCGATTCGTACATGAGCCTATCGCCTCGACGCACGATGCGACCGCTTCTTCCCGTGAGTTCGGCAACTTCTGTCGGCCCTCCGAGCCCATCAATCAGAGCATCGAGAAAGTTCGGCGGTAACCTCAACTTGATGACTTTATTGATCAACTCTTCCTTAGCGTCCACGAGCTCTTCGTCGACCTTGGCTGGGGCATTCGTGTGAAAACGACCAGTGTAGCCTTCGCTCTCTACCTCCGCGCCGCCTGCACGCCTCCAATCGCTCGACCAATCGGAAGGCGCCGACTTTTCCGCCGCCGCTCCGTCTGAAGCGCCGTGGATTTCAGTCGGAAAGTGCACGTTCAAGAAATTGACGAGCATTTCGCGCGTCGTACTCAGGAACCCGAACTCCGTGACGTCTTCACCAAAAGTCAAGTTGGCTGACGCATCTTGAGACTCACCTGTCGTTTGCAACCCGATGACGACGCATTGCTCTCGCGCGAGCGCCTCGTTCGCCTTGGCGATGACCGCCGGAACTTTCATGCTGATGCACAAGAGCTTGAAGAATCTTTGATGGACGCTCCAATACGCACTCCAAACGCCTTTTCCATCGGAACCAGTTCGACGCACAGCTTCGATACACGCATTACGGATGAGCGACATCAAGTCGCACGCGTCATCGTACATTTGACGCTGCTCTTTGCTGAGCGCGATCGTGTACTGCTCAAACTCTGCCTGCCTAAAAGATAAACCTCGACTAACATACTTCCCACTTGCCTTCATTTCCATGGCGAGCATTTCTAAAAATCCTACACCGCGAGACTTCATGCTCTCAATGAACGTATCCGCGGATTTAAATGGCGTCCCTTTGCCCCAGAAACCGAGTCTGGCCAAGTAGGTCATGTGCCCAACTTCAGAGATACCTGTGGCGCTCGCGTACACAACGCGCGCGCGAGGACAGCGTTCCTGAAACGCAATCACAGCCGCCGCAACTTTACTACCCGAATCAGAAGACGCGCTAAAGTTCTTTGCCTTGTGGCACTCGTCAAAAATCACGACGCCCTCGGCGTCTTCGCCGCCGAACCAATTTACGATTTGATCGAGACGACTCTTCTTCTGCGTCTTGCTCACTAACGTGCTGTAGGTGGTAAACAACACGCCCTCTTGATACTCTTTCGATAACCCGAACGCGCGAGTTTCGCGATCGAGCTCTGGGCACGAATTAATAACCTTAATAGTGCTTCCCAAATCGCTCAAGTCGCGCTCGGCGTCTCGGTGTAAATCGCCCGAGCTCGATATCCAAACCGCTTTCCGACGGCCTCGCACGAAATTATCGATAATAATTCCACTAATTTGTCGTCCCTTGCCCACCCCCGCACCGTCGCCAATCATGAAACCCGAACGCTTGCCATCCGGCGCGAATTCGCAGTGCTTTTGACACGCGAACATGACACCCTCCAGTTGGAGCTTGCTCAGTTTTCCAGTCTCCACGAAATCGTCGCCGATGGCGTCAAATAAAGGATACTTGGCCGGTGGTAAATCGATGCTCGCCAGCGACGCGGCTTCGGCGATATCTCCCGGGTGTACGCGTCCTCTCTGCGCCCGTCGATGAAATAATATATGCCCAGTCAGTCGTCGGTTTTGAATCATCTTGCAAAAGCATCCGTCTCGACGCGAACGTGCGCGCGCGCGCCGTACCTCGATGGAGTGACACGTGTATCCGCTGAAAACTTCACCCACGACCTCGCTCACGGACTCCTGCGCCCCTAACCCATCGTTCCCGCGTTCGCTCGACGGAAGGCCGTCGTGCGCGCGCGATGCCGACAGCTCGACGTCGTCGCCACCGTTCGTCGTCGTCGTCGTCGTCGCGCGCGCACCGCCGTCCTCGCTGGACATGACGACGACGAGTCGCACGTTCGCGATTGAACCGTCGCCGCGGTCACCGCGCTCGCGATCACAGCGCGCGCGCTTCTATGTCGGCAGTCTGGGGCGCTGGCGTCATCGGCGTCCATCGGTCCGCACACGACGCCGCACACGTCCGCACACGACGCCGCCGTTCGGTGCGAAACCGTCGCGATAGACGACGACGACGACGAGGACGATCGTTCGTATGGGTTGGTTCACGTCTAGCGCGACGACGGTCGAGGGGTGTCAGCGAATCGCCAGCGCGTGCGCGCCCAAGGCATCCGCGTTGAAGCAGTGCGTCGCGATTAACGGCGAACGCGCGTGCGAGGGGTTGGCGAGCGATTACGAGCTGTGCCGAGCGACGCGAATGAAGGCATGCGAAGACATCGCAGAGGCGTTCGAGAAGTGCGGACGAAAGAACGTCCACTGGAACGGGCTTCCAGAGGACGCGCCCGATTGCGCGCGCGAGCTCAAGGCGATGCGCAAGTGTGTGCGGAAAAACTGGAGAACGGCGTGAGAACGACGGACGCGCGCGTGGGGAATTTATTTTTAATGTTAGATCTCATTAGTTACCGGTAGACGTGATCCATCGTTCCTTCGCCGCGAACGCCCTCGCGCGGACGCTCGACGCCGCGCAGACCGCACACCGCAACGCATGCGCGGGGCGATAGCGCGAGAGTCGCGTCGTCGTGCGAACATGTCCGACGCTCCCGCTTCGTCGACGGCGTGGTGGCGTCGTCGCGAGCTCCTCGCGACGCGCACGACGACGACGACGACGACGACGGCGACGACGACGACGACGGCAGAGGAGGAGCGGCTCGCGAATGATGCGAAAGCGCGAGTTCAAAGCGGCGTTCTGGCGACGTTCGCGACGTGGTTCGATCATCGAGGCGGAAAAATACACGAAAGGGTGCGCATGACGTACAGACCGAATTTCGGTTGGTCGCTCGAGGCGGACGGTGACATCGCCGACGGCGAGAGGCTCGTCTCTCTGCCGCCGAAACTCATGTTGCGGTGCGACTCCGACGACGTCAGCGAGCCGCTGAAGAACGTCGTCGATCGAGTGCCGAACGAATTTTGGAGCTCGAAAGTAGGCTTGGTGCTGCTTCGCGAGCGCGTGGCCGGCGCCCACTCGGCGTTTGCACCATATATCACGCTCCTTCCTGCGGTACACGAAGGCTCGCCCACGTTTTTCCCGCCGGACGCCGTTCGAGCGCTGGAATACGCTCCGATCGTACAGCAAATCAATAAGCGTGCGCGATTCCTCGGTACTTTCGCTGGAAACGCTCTAACGGTGGATGATGGCGAGAGTTACGTCGACGAAGCTCACCCTGGGCGACAGCGCGTGGAGATGACGATTGACGCGAACGCGCTCGGATGGGCCACTGCTTGCGCGAGCAGCAGGGCGTTCAAGGTTGGTGCGAACTCGGCTCCGGCGATGCTTCCGGTCATAGATATCTGCAACCACTCGTTCAATCCATCCGTCAGTGTGCGGGCTATCGAAGAAGGCGACAACGCCGGTGGCGTCGAGTTGATTGCTCGACGCGCGTTGACGTCCGGCGAGCCCATAGAGTTGAGCTACGGGAACTTGTCCAACGACGAGCTATTGCTCGATTACGGATTCATAGTCAAAGACAATCCGTTCGACTGCGTGAAACTCAGGTGGGACTTAAAGCTCATCGAGCTCGCTCGCGAAATCGGAGGCTTAGCCGCAGCACCGATCGGTGCGGCGACGAGCGAGTCGGCGAGCGAATCCGCGACGCATCTAGACACCGTCGCGAAGGTGGCGCCTTGGCAAGCGACGGCGCTTGAGAGAATTGGATTAGTCGGAGATGACCCGAACGTTGAGTTAAGCGTGTTCGGCGCGGGTCAAGTGATGGATAAAAAGGCGCTCGCGGGCCTACGCGTGTTATATTCGAAATCATCGGCGGAGGCTTCGCGCGCGGCGGACGCGCCGTTCGGCGAGATTGACGCAGACGTGGTTTCGAAGGATACGGAAATCAAAGCTCTGCGCACGTGCATGTCTCTTTTGGCTTTGGCGCTCGGCAACTTCTCGACGACGCTCGAGAAGGACGAAGAGTTACACGACGCCGCGACGTCTCCGCAAGTGAGGTTAGCCATCGCTTTTCGCATGGAGAAGAAAAAAGTGCTGGCGAAGAGTATGGCACGCTTAAACGAATCGATCGAGCGTCTGCAGAGAGACGAGTAGCGACATAGCGACTCATTAGAACAATTATCAAGATCTTGATGGATATACTGCGTAAACCTTGACATCTGGAAGTGAAATTTAATATTGCACCTTTCTCTAAACGTATCGGCAATTAGATGTCGCCGTAATCGATGACGACGCGGCTCTCAGTGACGGCGGCGTCCAAGTCCGTGTACCTAGCCATTCCCTTGATCATCTTCGCTCCGCCAGTTCCCATGGGAACCTGCACGAACTGACCGTCGGGTCCGGAGCCTGGGACTTGCATCATCATCACCCCTCCGAACCGCTTTTTGTGATCCTTTTTGTTCTCCTTGCGGTGTTCGTCGTACTTTAAGAATTCGACGACATTCTTGCGGTACTGTTCGTCAAAAAGCCGCTCTCGCATGTCTTCGACGTGATGCGCTTGCTTCGTCTTGATGTGCTTGATGACGAATTCTTCCGCGACAAAGAGCTTGGTGCTCAACGTGCAACCAAATCTTTGCTCGTCGTGTTTCACGACGCAAGATTGAATCCACTCGTCGAGCTTGCTCTCGATCTCAGACGTGCCGAGCTTCTTCACCTGGGGATCGCCCTCCGCGATGCGTCGCTTCACGTTCGCGTCGACCGTCGCGAACAGACGAACGGCGTACGGATTTTGCGCAATCGAGGAGACCGGGGTGTCCTCCGGCTTTGGATCGCGCTTCGCGAACGCCGAGGGAAGCTTTTCAAGAAACGTCACCGGTTGCATTTCGGAGATACGTCTGTAGTAATCCACGCCGTGCACGCGAACCAAGTAGCACAATCGCTCGTCCAACTTCTCCGGCGTGCTAGCCTCGTTTCCGAGCGCCTCGAGCGCGGCGACGTCGTCCTCGGCGGCTTCGGCGTCCATCCCCGAGTCTTCGTCGCCGTCCAACAATGGATTGTTGTCGATGCCCTTTTCCGCGTCCAAGGCGGCGATGAGTCGACCGGTTTGCTTATAGTCGGTTCCGAGGCGAGTGGGGTGCCACGCTTCGATGGGCACCATCGAGCGCCTCTTTTCCTGCTGGTGTTCACCTTGGTGTTCGCCTTCGCCCATGTCGGCGTCTTTTCCTTCCGCGTCACCTTCGTCGTAAATCCGTAAGCTCCCGTCCGCTTTCGACGCGAAGAACTCGTGCGCACGGGCGCAAGCGAGCTCGTCGCGTCTCTTCAGCGTCTCCACGAGCACGCGCGGATCATTTCGCGCGCGTTCGCCTTCGTCGTGCCTGTGATCTCGAAAGTACCTCTCGTAAAACGCCTCTTGATTCTCCTTCTTGTACTCTTCGTATCGCCTCTCAGCCTCCGCGGGCGTGGTGTCGTCGCGCAAGTACTTGTAGCAGAAATCACGAAACGACAGCGCGCCGTCGTCGCGCCGTCCTCGCCCTCGTCCTCCCCCGCCTCGTCCCCCGCCTCGTCCGCCGCGGTGGCCGTCGTCGCCGTACGGGTGGTGTCGATCTCCGCCGCGATCGCCTCGTCCGCGTCCTCTTCTCCGGCTTCCTCCCCCCCCGTCGTCGTAATACTGCTCCTGGTCGACGTCCATCGCGACCGGCTCGACCTCGACCTCGGTTCGCGTCTACCGCGCGCGCGCCGTCGCGCTCGAGATCAGATTCGCGCCGACGCGGGTCCGTCTCGTTGCCGTCTCTGCGTCGCGGCTTCGACGACGACGCGAGCGATCGACGCGCGGTTCTCGTCTCGATCGACGAGCGCGCGCGAGTGCCGAGCGCGCGCGCGTGACGTCGCGAACCGCGAACGTGTGCGAATGGCGTCGATTCTCGCGCCTGAAAAAACGCGCGCGATGCATCAACCTAGGGTTTCGCGCGCGTGTGTTTATTTTCGCGCGAACGCGCGCACGATTTCGTATTCGAGTGACGTTCAGACCTGCGTAGATTTCGACCGACCGCGTATGCGTCACGATCGAGACGTCGACTTTCTTCGCGCAACGCGCGCGAATAGACACGGCGTCACACACGCCCGCGATTGAACGCGATTGAACGCGCGCGGCGCGCGCGGGCGACGCGCCGACGTCGTGCCGCGCGTCGCGCCGCGGAACGAGTGCGTCGCGTCGCGCGAGGCGCGCGAGCACTCGACGCGCGCGCGCGTTCGAGCGCGGCGGCGTGGCCGCGCGCGGCGAGAGGTGGACCGACGCGCGCGCGAGCGCGCGAGCGCGCGACGTTCGTTCGGGCGGTGACGTTCGTTCGGGCGGTGCGCGCGCCGAGGCGTCGGGTTCTCGCGAGGTCGCACGTCACCCGCGCAGAGAACGCGTATGTCGACGCAACACGGCACGCGCGCGCGGGCGCTTGCGCGCGATCGTCGGCGCAAAGCGGTCGAAGGAGCAAACGCGCTCGACGTGAAAACGACCGGGACGCCGCGCGTCGCCGCGCGACTTCACACAGACGAACCGACCGATGTTGCCACGGCATCCGACGCGGAGAAGAACAGGGTTAGCTCTGCGAGCGCGGCGAAAGCGTCTTCAAGATCGAAACGTGCGAAGGGTGAACTCACAGAGTCGCCGACGTCGCCGAAACGCGAAGGCGAGTCGGCGGACGCCGAGGACGCGCGCGCGTTCGAAGACGAGGACAACGAAATGGACGAAGTCAGCTCGGGGGGCGATGAAGGACATATCGAGTCGATGCTCGCGACGGCAGGTAGCTCGCGAGGCGACGCGATGGATCCCGACGTCGATTTTTCCGCCGTGCTTCACGAAGTTCCGATTGAAATCAGAAGACGTCTCGCGCCCAACGAGTCTGGTTTCACGGAGTCGGTCACGCATTCAGAAGAGTCAACTTTTTGCAGAGGCTGTCGACGAACGCTGAGTGTGGTTCTTCATTTCGGTGTCAACAACAAGACGTGTCGCCAGTGCTTGATTCGACAACGGCTGAAGAGGAAGAGGTGCGCCACGAGGAACTCGGAGCAGTTCGGCAACGGAAGGACTACTGAGGCTCGAAAGGATAAAGCAATGAATCCGACCGGTCCATGAATAGCGATGGGTACGATCTACCCTATTAGTGAGATGCGCTCGGCGGCGTCGAGCGTTTCGGAGTTTAGTGATTTGCGTATTGAACGCTTCGGGTTTAGCCTCGTCGGCGAGCGCGAGAACGCGCGAGACGACAAATAGATCCGACCATACACCATCCAACGATTCAATTTGTATTATTACTTACTTTGCACGCATTCAGCACTTTGTGACGTTATCTTGTATTCATTACGAAACTTCTAAGCGAGCGAGAGCTCTTCGTCGTTCGCGCGCTTGCCCGAGACCAAATCGTTGTAGAAGTGGTGCGTCTCTTCGATGACGCCGAGCGTGTACGCTCTATCCATGCACTTGTCGTCCAAACCGAATTTGTTTTGTGGCTTACCGTCCGGAGTCTTGTAGTCACGGAACCACACGCGAATCTTTTCGAGTTCGCCCGGGAAGTGCTTTTCGACGTCGGCGACGTCGTTGATGTCGCTCGCCTTCGGGTCGTTGACGCTAATCGCGATCACCTTCCAGTCAAGCTCACCATCGTCAATCATGGCGTAAACGCCCACGGGTTTCACCGGCGTCACCGAACCCATGGCCAACGCGCTGGAACCGATCTCCACGACGTCAACCGGATCGTTGTCGCCCGAAACCTTCATCGTCGGGTGTTCGTGCTTGGGATCTTCCCACGTTTGCGGTAACATGCCGTAGTTCCAGTTGATGTTGTACGGATAATCGCGAAGCTTGCCCTTCTTCGTGTCTTGCTTAATCGGGGTCAACTTCTCATCCGTCGCCACTTCCATCTTCGCCTTCGTCTCCTTCGGGATCTCGCACAAAAAGTTGAACGTTCCGTCGGCGTTCTTGAGCGGAACGCCGTGCCACGCGCTCACGGTGTTCTGCGCCTCGTCCTTGATGAAGCATCGGAACTCCAGGCTCGGGAAATCCCCCACCTTTTCATTCGCGTACGCCGCGCTGATGACGCGCGTGCGCTGCACGCTTCGTCGCTGCTGATGCGCGCGCGCCGTCGACGCGCTCGGCGCCGGCGTCGATCGCACCGACGAACCCATCGCGCGCAAACGCGACGTCACCGCGCGCGACACCGCGCGCGCCATGAAAATCTGAGACGCCGAGGACATGTCGAGCGAGGCGCGCGGTCCGCGAGATTCGCGCGATCGACGGCGCTCGCGTGTCGCGCGCGCTCGAGTGCGCGACGCCGCGCGCGCGCTATCCGAAACGAACGCCACAAACACGGACCGTCACGTCCACGGACAGTCCGCGTGTGACTGACGATCGGCGCGTCCGTCGCGCCGTCGGCGGCGACGGAGCGCGACGCATCCATGGCGAGCGGGGCGCAGCGACGGAAGCGGAAGCGAGAGAGCGAGAAACGCGAGGCGTGGGTGCGATTCGACGCCGCGGGCGGGGACCTGAGCGCGTACGAACGCTCGTTAGAGGAAGATGCGACGGCGAAAAAGGCGCGCGCGGCGGCGGCGAGACGGGCGGCGGACGTGGAGGCGCTGAACGACGCGACGGGGTCGAGGGAGGCGGACGAACGAGGGCAAGATCGCGAACGGGCGTCGTCGTCGCTGCTGCGGGACGCGGTCGGCGTGCGCGTGCGCGTTCGCAAGGACTCGGCGCACGCGCTGCGCGTGCTCTGCCGAGCGACGAGCGACGGCGACTGCTTCTTCGCGTGCGGGCAACCCCGATCGTGGGGGAGACGAGGGATCGAGGCCGTGGTGAACGCGCTCGGATTTGGGGTTCTGGAGTACGACGAAATCACGCTCAGTAAGGCGCCCGAGCTGGCGGCGTGCGTGATTCGCTTGGACGCCGACGACGAAAACGCCTCCGTCAAGCGGAAGAAGAAGCGCGCGGGCGGTGTGGGAAGCGCCGTGGAGACATTCTTGGCGCGAGCGGAGAAACTAGTCGAGCCCATTCAAGCACCTGACGTGAGCGGGGACGAGATCGATCGCGACGGTGGTGGGCTCAACGCTTGGGTCGCCGCACACCGCCGCAAGCGTCCCGGCTCGGCGCAAGCCGTGACGGCGAGCATCGACGCGTGGTTTGAGAAGAAGGAAGCCGAGGAAGCGGCGGCTGAGGAGGCTGCTAACGCGGTAAAGAGTGACGATGGATGGACAAAGGTAGAAGCGAAACGTGGACGCAGAAAGACGACGGAGGAGTCCACGGGAACAACCATCGGAAGCATACGCGCCGCCACCGCGGATAGAAGGCGAAAGGAGCCAAAGAAAATCGCCGGCGAACAGTTTTATCGCTTTCAGAGCAAGGAAAAGAAGCGCAATGAGATTATCGAGCTCCAAGCAAAGTTTGAGCAGGACAAGCAACGTATCGCTCGTCTCAAGGCCGCGCGTAAGTTTAGACCGATGTGATTCTAGAAATAGTAGATGTGCCATAACAGACGACGAAAAAACTCATTCTATCGAGCCGAGCGACTCAGTGTCCGTGTCCGTGTCCGTGTCCGTGGTCGTGCTTCTTTTCACCGTGTCCGTGTCCGTGGTCGTGCTTCTTTTCACCGTGCCCGTGTCCGTGGTCGTGCTTCTTTTCACCGTGCCCGTGCCCGTGGTCGTGGGCTTCGCACTTTTCGTCGGAGCAGCACTTTTCACCGTCGGCGTGCGAGTGCCCGTGATCGTGCTTCTTCTCGCCGTGCCCGTGCCCGTGCCCGTGATCGTGCTTCTTCTCGCCGTGCCCGTGTCCGTGGCACTCCTCACCGCCGTGGTCGTGCTCGCACTTTTCGCCCTCCGCGTGCGAGTGCCCGTGTCCGTGCGAGTGGTGCGTGCCGTCGCAGGGTACTCCATCGTGCGAGTGCCCGTGCGTGTGTTCCTCTTCGTCATCCACTTTAGGTTTTTCCTTTAGCACCACCTCGCCATCGTTTGACATCGCTTCCGTCGCCTTCGTCGTCAAAGAGTACGTCGTCTTTTCCCCGCCGCTCGCCGTCACGGTCACCTCGATCGTCGCGTTCGCCGGTCGATTCGCCATGTTCCCGATCACGCCGTCGATCGCGATCGTGCACCCGGGTGCGAACGACGTCGCCATCACGTTCACGTGCGTCGCTCGAGGCGCGATCAAGACGTCATACGCCGTCGTAGACGCCGCAAACTTGGGCGACAACGTCGCGTCGAGTTTGACGAATCCTTTCGACGACGCGTCGTCGAGCGATTGCGCGGCGTCGTCCAAGGGGCGTCGCGCGTCGACTTTGAGGAAAGCTAGAGTAGGAGCGGCAGACATTTTCGCGCGTGCGTTCGCGCGCGACGGGGAAAAACGCGCGCGGAAGTGCGGGCGCGGAAGCGCGTCGGGTTGCTCGAGTCGCGTCGCTGATGGGGGGGCCGGTGTTAAGTTTATGTGTCTGCGTTTTTCATCAATCGCTTCGGGCGCATCCAAACCCGCGCCGACGAGCGCCGTTAATCTAAAGGAAATCCATGAACGCGTCGTCTTCTTCCGCCGCTTGTTCCTCGCCAAAGTTGAGCGCGGTGAACATGAAGTCCGCCTTACCCCCCGGGACGACGAGGCCCTTGAACGTCTGCTTCTTTCGCAAGAGCTTGTTCAACGCGAAGTGCTGCTCGTCGCCCAACTTTTGGTCGCAAATATAAAACACGGCGGAGATCTTATCGTTCTCGACGTCATCGACGCAGAAGATGAACTCTTCCTCCCACGTCGGGTCCAAGCCCGCGAGCTCTTCGCTCGTGTACTCGTGGTCCTTGTACTTCAACACGACTTTGCAGCGCGGCTTTTCGATGCCGTAGAACTTCAAATCGAGCTTCTTGACGTTGCAGCAGTTGACTTCGATCTTCAATTCATTCGCTCCCGTGCCGAGCTTCTTGAGTTCTGCGCCGCAAACGAAAACAACCGCGTCAGTCGCGTCGATCGCCCATCGTCATCGCGAACGCGGATCGATCTATCCACCCATCCGTCGTCGTCGTCGTCGTCGTCGTCGTCCGTCGGGCTTCCGTCGCCGCCGATCGCGTCGTCCATCGCGATCGGTGTGCGCTGTCGCCCATCGCGCGCGCTCGCGCATCGCGCGCGCGTCGTCGCTCGCGTCGTCGTCCTTTTTCACGTCGCACGCACCCGCCATCTTTTCGTCGTTCGCGCGCGGTGTGACGGCGGCGGCGCCGCGACGACGCGCGGTTTCGTCCGAATAAACGCCTCGACATCGCGCGTCTTCTAGCGATGCGCGCGGTCGGAATACGGGATCGGGACCACGATCGATTTCACCGATCGCGACTCGAGCGCCGCGGCGACCGACCGACCGCGCGCGCGCGCCCCGCGTCCCCCGCGTCGTCGTCGCGCGGTCCGTCTTTCCGCGCCGCACGAGAGTCCGATACGATGGTACGTCGCGCGGTGATGCGATCGCGCGAGGGCGGTGAACGACGCGCGATGGTCGTCGCGCTCGATCGCGCGGCGCTCGATCGCGCGTCGCGCGTCGCGCGCGCGCGCGCGTCGACGATGATGGCGCGCGCCGTGACCCTAGTTTGCGCGTCGACGCGCGCGCATCGCCGCGCGTGACGGACGCGCGAGATGCGCGCGGACGCCGACGCGCGCGCGGAACGCGAGGAATGTTTACGCACGCTCGATCACGCACTGACATCGCACGTGACGTCGCACGCGCCCAGGTTCTCGCTCAAGACATCGATCTTTTGAACCCGCCCGCCGCGCTCGAGGCTGGCAAGCACAAGCTCAAGCGATTGGTGCAGTCGCCGAACTCGTTCTTCATGGATGTCAAGTGCCAAGGCTGCTTCAAGTGCGTACACGGAAACGAACGCGCGATGCGACTCGATGCGACCGACGCGCGAGGCTTTCGATGGCGGTGTCTGAACTCGCGACTGACCGACGCGCTCGCTCGCTCTTCGTCTCGCGCAGCATCACGACGATCTTCAGCCACTCTCAATCCGTCGTCCTCTGCGGTTCGTGCTCTGCGGTGCTCTGCCAGCCGACCGGTGGTAAGGCGCGACTCACGGAAGGCTGCGAATGGCGCCGTAAGGGCGATTAATCGCGTTCGCCGCTTCCTGTAGTCTAGTATCAGAGGTTGTGAGAGGTTCTTGGCGACGCGGCGTTAGGGCGCGTGGTCGAAAAGAAGAATTTGTAGGTGTGTGAGTTTGTAACGACGAACGTTCGCATTATCTTAAACACGCGGTCTATTTTTCTACGTACGAATACACGAATACACGCAAACGCGTTTCACGCGTCCGCGGGGCGGGAAATAATTCTCTGCTCACTACGCGGCGTCGGACGCTCGCCGCGCGGAGACGTCGATGCTCTGCTTCTTCGCCTGCTCTCGCTTTTTCTCTCTGAGCTTGTTCAAATTGTACATGAAGACGGACAGAAACGCGATGACGTAGCCGACGTAATTCAGAAACGTCACCGGGTTACCGAAGAAGTGCTGCGAGGCGAAGATTAACATCCAATCCTTGATGACGCCCGCGATGTTCATAGTCAACGCGCTCGTCTTGCCGATGAGTAAAAACACCGCGAGGTTCAGCGCGAACGCGCACGTGGCGTTCAAAGTCAACATCTTCCAATCGAAAACCAACGTCGCGTCCGCCATCATCGCCGGGTACTCGACGAACATTAACGGAAACGCCAAGAAGAACGCGCACGCCGGGGAGACGTAGTACAAGGACTGCAGCGGATTCATCGCCATGCCTTGACGCGTGATTAATATTTGTACCAACATCAACCGCACGGCCTCGAACAACAGCGCGCTGAGCTGCTGCGTTACGCCTAGCGTGTCGAAGTTCAACTCCCCGTACGCCGCGATGCCGACGCCGATCGCGATGACGAACATGTTCATCGACGTCGTCGCGGTTAATTTTTCCATTCTAAAAAACACCCCCACCATGTACACCAACCCCGGCATCAGCGCCTTGGTCATCTGAATGAACGACACGCTCAAGTGCAAATACGCCGAATTACTCAACCACAGCGACGCGGCGTAAAAGAACCCGATCGGCATCACCTTGCGCGTGTACTCTTTTCGCGTCATCTTCAACCTCTTCGTCACCTTGAACACCCTGACGAGGACGGTGACGAGACTGGTGCAAAAAACCATGTGCCACATCGTCAGCGCCACGGGATACCGGAATCCGCTGTACGCCAAGATCCACTTGTTAAACATGATGACGCACATCGAGATCGTCATCCACACCGCGACAAAAAAATACGCCCTGAGACACGACCGCGCGATGGTTTGCTCGCTCGCGTTCGCCCTCGCGTCGTCGTTCGTCCTCGCGCGCGTCCCGCCGTGCGTCGCGCTCGGTTCCGCGAGCACCGATTTTGATTTCGTCGACGCCATGACGCGCGCCTCTTCGCCTCGCCCTCGCCCGCTTCGGCGCCAATCTCAATCTCGCGCGCGTCCGAGCGTTCGATCGCCGCGCGCGCGACCGCGCGCTCGCGTCGCGCGTTCGGTGCGACGCGCCCGTCGACGGTTCGTTCCTTCGCTCGCGCGTCGACGGTTCGTTCCTTCGCCCGCGCGCCGTCGTGTCGCGCTCGTCCGTCGCCGCAATCGACGCATCGAATCGACGCATCAATCCATCGCGCGAATGCCTCGCGACGGTCGCGCCGGGCGCCAGTGCGCGCCTCGCGATCGACGAGACGCGCGATGAAGTACACGGTCGCCGCGGACGCGCTGGCGAAGATTGAACACGATGGGAAGGAGGGACACGCGGGAGCGAAGCCGCGCACGGTGATCGAGGCGCGTCCCGACGCGCGCCGCGACGAACGACGATCGAGGGGGGCTCGGATTGGATTGGCGCGGATTGGCTCGGATTGGATTGGATTCGGACCCGTGTCGTCGCGCGCGAGCCGCGTCCGAACGATCGCACGACGACGACGCGTCGGCGAGGCGCGGAATGCGATGATGGCGTCACGGACGAACGACGACGACGACGCGGAAGACTGACGAGGGCGATCGACGCGCGATGCACCAGGTTTTCAAAGCCGCGAAGGAGAGCAAGCTTCGACACACCACGGCGTTGGTGGCGTGCACGGGGGAGAAATGGACGGTGAAGGAATACTACGACGATTGCGTGAAAACGGCGAAATCGTTCATTCATCTCGGATTGGAACGATACGAGTCGGTGTGCATTCTCGGGTTTAACTCTCCGGAATGGCTGATGGCGAACAACGGCGCCATCTTCGCCGGGGGGTTCGCGGCCGGGATTTACACGACGAACGAACCGGCGGCGTGCGAGTACATCATCGAGAACTCGAGCGCGCGCGTGGTTGTCGTGGACGGGCAAAAGCAATTGGATAAGATCTTGGAAATTCGATCGCGATTGCCCAAGCTCAAGGCGATCGTGATGTACCGCGAAGACTCCTTCTCGGATCCGGCTGGCGCGAAGGACGCGTCGCTCGCCAAGGTGTACACGTGGAAGGATTTCTTGAAGCTCGGCGATGCGGTGAGCGATGATACCCTCGAAGCTCGCATGTCCGCGCAAAAGCCGGGCAACTGCTGCACGCTCATCTACACTTCCGGAACCACGGGCAACCCGAAAGGGGTGATGATTTCCCACGACAACTGCACGTGGACGGCGTCGTCGAACATTTTGCACAACCCAACGATTACTTCGGGGCCGTTGCGTGTGGTGTCGTACTTGCCGCTTTCGCACATCGCCGCGCAAATTGTCGACATCCATTCGCCGTTGATGTGCATCGTGGACTTTGACAAGACCGCGGCCGTGTATTTTGCGCGCCCGGACGCGCTCAAGGGTACGCTCAAGGAAACGCTCATCGAAGCCAAACCGACGGTGTTCTTCGCCGTGCCGCGCGTTTGGGAGAAGTTTGCCGAAGGCTTGCAAGCCAAGGGTAAGGAAATCACCGGTTTGAAGGCCAAGATCTCCGCCTTCATGAAGGGTAAGTGCGCGGGCGTGCACGCGGCGTCTCAAGTCGGAGCCACCGTCGGCCACCCGTTCATGGGCGGCTTCGCGATGAAGTTCATGAAGAAGAAGGCTCACGCCGCTATCGGTCTCGATCAAGCGCGAGTATGCCTCACGGGCGCTGCGCCGATCATGAAGCACACGCTCGACTACTTCGGCACGATCGGCATCCACATTCTCGAAGTTTACGGTATGTCCGAAAACACTGGTCCGCAAAATGTGTGCAAGTCTGATTACTTCAAAGCCGGTTCTTGCGGCGTGCCGATTCCGGGCGTCGAGATCAAGCTCGACCACGTCAAGGGGCGCGACAAGGATGGCGAAGGTGAGATTTGCTTCCGTGGCCGTCACGTCATGATGGGTTACCTCAACAACTTGGCGAAGACCCAAGAAAGCATCGACGAAGACGCGTGGTTGCACAGCGGCGACGTCGGCGCCATCGACCCGGAGACGAACATGCTTTCCATCACCGGTCGCATCAAGGAACTCATCATCACCGCTGGTGGCGAGAACATCGCACCGGTTCCTGTCGAAGATGCCATCAAGGGCTACCTTCCGGCGATCTCTAACGTCATGATGGTTGGCGACAAGCGCAAGTACAACACCATGCTCGTCACCTTGCGTCAAGTTCCCGACGGCGAAGGTTTCACGGAAAAGCTCTTCGGCACGTCTCTCGAGGTCAACCGCGACGTGACGACCGTGAAGCAAGCGCAATCTGACGCGAAGTGGAAGGCTTACATCGAAGAAGGCATCGCCAAGTACAACAAGACCGCGGTTTCCAACGCTCAACGCATCCAAAAGTTCAAGATTCTCGACACCGATTTCTCCGTGCCGGGCGGTGAGCTCACGGGCACTCAAAAGCTCAAGCGCAACGTCGTCACTGAGAAGTACGCCGCTGTTATTAACTCGATGTACTAATCAACTATTCAAATGCTACGAGTAATCCTATGCTACTAATCCCATCAACTTATCACGCAACAGCCCGGCTGTTTTGACTCGTCGATTGACTGCGGCGAGCGCGGTTGCATTTCCGCGCGTTCCTCTCGCGCGTTTCGCTCGATCACCGCCGCCGGGGCCGGGACGACGCTCGACTTCTCGTTCGCGTGCGTCTCCGGCACAGGGGCCTCTTCCGCTTCCGCAACGGCGCGTTCCGGATTCGGCTCTCCCATCGGCGGCGACGGTTTCTTTGGCTTTGGCTTTGGTTCGGCGTTCGCCTCGACCGCAGGCTTTTCTTGCGGTAGCTTTTCTTGCGGCGCATCGCGCTTTATGGCGTCATACGCCTTGTTCGTCTCAGCGCACTCCGCGTAAGCTTCCGCCGCGGTTTCGGCGAGCGCCAGGAACTCCTTCACGGCTTTTTCACCGTTCGGCACCATCCAGAGCGGCGTCACCGGGGACACCCGTTTACCATTCTTTGCGTCTTTGATTTCGCGCTCGTCCGGAAGCGTTACGTTCACACACGTGTACGGCATGTCATGCAGCGCGTTCTCGCCACCGCCGCCGTAAATGTCCAAAAACACGGTGAGGTGGACGTTTGACGGGACCGCGTCGACGCGCAACGCCTCTCGAAACTCTTGGCGCGTGATCCTGGCCGTGGGGTCGCCCGGCGTGTCCGACGCGCACAGCGCGGTTTTATTCAAACCCTTGTACGCGCCACCTCCGGCGACGCTATCCTTGGTCGTCGTCGTCGTCGCCGTCTCGCTCACTTCTTGCCCGCGTCCGCTAAAGTAAAAGAACAGCGAATCCCCCGCGCGCGCGCCGTCGACGAGCCATCGACACGCTTTCAAAATCGCCTTCTTCGAGCACGAGCGATTGATGGATCCATCGTTCGTACTCGCTTCGCTATCTTCCAACAGCACCAGCACTTCGTCGTCCTCGTCGTACCCACAGTGCGTCTTTAAATATTCGCGCATTCGCAACGCGTCGCCCCCGCGTCTTCGCAACCGCCACCGCTCGACGCCGCACTCCTCGTAATTTATCCCCACAAACACCCCTCTTCGCCTACCCACGTTTCGCATCGTTTTCGAGAACGTCATCCTTTCGTGTTCGATCGCGATGCACCGCGTCGCGCGCACTCGTATCCCGCTCGACGTTCCCGGCGGCAGTCGTTGCATCGCTCGCTGTTTGCTCCTCAGGAATTGTCCCCACGACGCCGTCGTCGCACCGTTTCGCCGTTCGAGCGCGTTCAGGCACGCGCGCGTCAATAAACCACCCACTTGCGCGCACTCTCGCTGTCGTTCGCGCTTTCGCGTCGCCATAAAGATCCTCTTCGCGTCGTCCGTCGCGTTCATCCTTCGCATCGCGCCTTCGTCGTCGTCGTCGTCGTCATCGCGCGCCTTCGTCGTCGTCGTCGCGAGCGCGTCGTGCGCCGCGCGGTCTAGATACGATTCGCGATCGTCCCTGCTCGTCGCCACGAGCACGACGACCGCGTCGTCGCCCATCGCGTCGCCCATCGCGCGCGACGCCGAGTGTCGCGACACGGCGACGCGCGACGACGCGAACGATGCGCGCGACGGCGACGCGCGCGACGGCGACGGCGACGGCGACGGCGACGCGCGCTTCGACGCGCGCGCTTCGACGCGCGCGCGCCGCGACGACGGCGCGGCGCTTCGACGCGTCGAGACGCGCGGCGTCGACGTCGAACGATGGCGACGGGAGCGACGACGCCGACGCGAGCGACGCGACGCCGACGCGAGCGAAGCGAGACAAACCGCTGCCCGGGTCGGGGGTGAATCTGTACGACCCCGTGGCGACGGCGTCGAGGTTCCTGACGCGACGGTTCGGCATCGTCGGGGGGCTCGGTTTGGTCGCGCTCCTCGCGAGCGTGGAGGGCGGGGAAATCGTAAAGGCGTTGCTGGAGCGCGACGTGGACGTGTCGACGACCGCGGAGGAGTTCGCGGTGGAGGGCAACGCGAATGGGTTGCGAGCGCGGGACGTGAAGATCGGCGGCGGGGCGAGCGCGAAGCGAGGAGACTTCGTCGGCGTCAACTTGACCGTCGTCGACGCCGAGGACGGCGTCGAGTACTTGAACACGAAGAAGGCGAAACGACCGATCGCGTTCACGTACGAGAAGAAACCGTTGTTGGCACCGATTTGTGAAGCGATCGAGGACGGCGTGCGGACGATGAAAAGGGGCGGCGTGCGACGGGTGTTCGCGCCGAGCGCGGCGGCGTTCGGCGAACGCGGCGTCGTCTTGACGGATGGCACGCGCATCAAGCCGAATCGCGACTTGATCATCGACATCGTGCTCGAGGAGGTGTCGCCATCGTACGTGTAATATAATTCAAAGTAAGCGTTATGATTGGGAATTAACGATCAATTACATGGTCGGGTGGTTCCAAAGAAGCATTCTAAAGTGTTATACGTGTCCGCGCTCGCTCGCAACCTATTCCCACGCGGCGCCGTTCTCGCCGAAAAAGGAGGAAATGTGCGCCAACGCCGACGCTTCCACGATGACCTTATCCGCGTTCAAGATGTCGTACACGTTCAAGTGCGAGACGTCCGTCTGCACGACGCGCTCAATGTTCCGCGCGCTCTTCGCGACGTTTTCGTTGGCGTCCTTGGTGATGACGTACGCCTTCTCCGAGGCGCCGACGCCCCACGCCATCAAAGACTTGTTGAACGCGTTCGTGCCCGGGGCGGAGATGTTACCCGAGATATCATCAACGACAATCATCGCGCTCGCCGCCGATTGCAACGCGGTCGCCATCGCCAATCGACGCTCCTTCTTGTTCATCTTAATCGACCAGTCGCGCGGCTTCGGCCCGAACGACACGCCTCCGCCCGGCTTGAGCGGCGTTCGGCTCGAACCGGCGCGCGCGTTACCCGTACCCTTTTGCTTGAACGGCTTTCTCCCGCCCCCTCGCACTTCGCTCTTCGTGAGCGTGCTCGCCGTGCCCTGCGTTCGTAAGAAAGTCCGTCAGTCTCGCCGGTCGTCATCGTGGATAACCACGCCCGCTGAATAGGGTTTGTTTGCCCTCGAGCGATGGCGTGGGGTGGCGACGACGATCGCGACGACGTTCGCGACGACGATCGCGACGACGCCGCGAACGATAAATCGTCGCATTCACCGGCGTTCGTCTCGTCGTCGCCGCGCGCGTCGCGCGTCGCGTCCCGCGTCCCGCGTCCCGCGCCCGCGCCTCAGGGTTTCCCGGGATGCGCGCCCTCGCGGTGATGTTTCATTCGCGCGTGTCGCGTCGCGCGCGCACGTACCCTGCGAGCATTCTGTCGAACCATGACGACGTATTTATGCACCAACCCTCTCGCCACCTCCGCGCGCGCGGTCTTGAGCTCGAGCGTGGCGGCGGACGATTTCGCGCCGTCAAAGGTGACCGCATCGATCGCCGCCGCGCGCGGGACGACCGGGGCGACGCGCGCGTTGGCGCCGCGCTTACCGGCGATCGGTCGCGGAGACGTGATCGCGGTGGTGCCTTGGAGCGCCGCGCTCGAGCGCATGGTGAAGCCTTGCATCGCGTCGCACGAGAGCGAGTCGCGAAGTGATGACGCGCGTCGGGGCGGGGGAGTGGGTGCGTGACCGGACGTCACTGCCGGTTCGAGACTCGAGAGGAGTACCCCCTCGAGACGTCTCGCCGCGGGTGGCGAAGCGATCGCGCGCGCGACGCGTTTGGCTCGATTTCGGGGGCTAACCTAATAATATTACTCTCACGTCACTCTCACATTACGCTCACATCATCGTCATATTACTCTTGAACGCCTCGAAAAAACGCATCGTTTTGCCGTACGCGTCGTCGTCGATGACGTATTGCTCGAGCACGAGGGACACGCGCTCGGAGCCCGAGCGCGTCTTGTACGAGCGCACTTGGTGGAACGCGTCGCCGCGGAAATTCACCAGCATGTTTTCTTTCGGACGAATCTTCTTCTCCGGCGCCGCGCCGGTGTCGGGGTATCCATCGCCGTAAGGGAACAGCTCTAACTCTCCGCCGACCATGTCGTTCGGCACGCTGTTGTACAGCACCGAGACTTGGTGGGCTATGAACATGTGACGAGAGTAAATTCCGACCGTGGTATCCAAATGTAACCCCACCGAAAGCTCTTCTGCGTTGTACGCGTCGTAATCACCGAGCTCGCACAACAGAATATTCATCACGAATGCGTTGGCGTCGGGTAGCCGCAATTCGTCAAACACCGACGCGAAGCACTCGTAGTCTGGCGACGCCTTGAACTTATCCACGCCCTCGAGATTGAACTTCACCACGAAACCTCGCGTCTTGCTAAACCCGGCATCGTTTAACCCACCCTTGACGCGCAATTTGGGATGTTTCAGCGCGCACTCTTTGAGGTCGCCGTACCTCTTAAAATCTAAAAAGTCCTCCCTCGCCTCCACGAGCGGTTGCTCGTCCGTCGTGCTCAGGTATCGCGCCTCGCTCGCCGCGTACCACCGCTGGGCCATTCGCAGGACGATGAACACGAGGATCGCCGCCACGCCCGCGCGTTCGTTCGCGCTCTGCGCCCCGGCCCGCCGCGCCGCCGCTCGCTTCGCGTTCGCGTCGTCGTCGTCCTCGCGCGTCGATTCGCGCGTCGCGTCGTCGCCATCGTCGCGCGTCGTCCTCGCGTCCCGTCGTCGCACGCCCGCGCTCGCGTTCACCGGCGCCATCGCGCGCGTCGCGTCGTCGCGTCGTCGTCGTCAACCGCCCGCGCGATGTCCGACCGACCGCGATTTATCATCCATGCGAACTGTTTGCGCACACGAGGGACGGCACCCGAATTCGAATCGACCGCGTCGGCGTCGCGCGTCGCCGCACGCGTCGACGCGCGATGGCGACGACGCCCTCGACGCGCGCGCTGTGCGAGGCGACGTGCGTCGTCGACCGCGCGATCGCGTCGTGGCGCGCGCGCGACGGCGCGATCGACGACGCGCAGCGACGCGCGTCGCGCGCGTGCGAGACGCTCGTGGCGCCGTTCGTCGAAGCGCGAGCGACGGGCGAGGACGCGTCGCGCGACGCGAGCGAGGCGCAGCGCGCGGTGAAAGCGCTCGAGAAGCACCACGCGCGGTTGCGAGCGCTGGCGGACGCGCGGGTGAAGCTGGCGCAGGCGACGTACGACGCCGTCGACGACCACATCACGAGGCTGGACAAAGATCTCGCGACGTTCGAGCGCGAGCGCGGTTCGGCGCATCGCGCGGGCGAGCGCACGAAGTTTGATCTCGCGCTGGCGGGCGAACACGGATTCGAGGCGCTGACGAACGCGCCGAGCGCGTCGCCGGGATCCGCGCTCGCGTCGCCGGGGAATCCAAACGAGCCGAGATATTGCGTGTGCCGGAGCGTGTCGGACGGAAAGATGATCGGGTGCGATAACGACGATTGCGCGATAGAGTGGTTTCACTTCGCGTGCGTGGGGTTGAATCCGAACGCGGAGGTGAAGGGAAAATGGATCTGTCCGCCGTGTCGCCGGAAGAAGCGCTGATAGACGCGTTGTTAGAGAGTAGTCCACTAGGCGTAGCGCGCGCCGCACTCCTCGTCGCGCGAACGCGACCGCGACCGCGACTCCACCATTAACGCGCACCATTAACGACGCGCTCGTGCCGAGCGACGACGACGCCGCGCGCGCGAGCGTCGTCATGACGTCCGTTTCGACGCTCGCCTCGAGCGCATTCGCCGTCTTCGCATTCTGGATGGCGCGCGCGTACGTCCCCGCGGCGACCCTGTTCGCGTGGCATCCGCTGTGCCTGAGCGCCGCGATCGGACTGTGCGGCGCGGCGTCCGTGATCGGCGTGCGCGTCAGGGCATTCGCGCCTGGGCGCGAACGAGTGCGCGCGTTGTGGTGTCACCTGGCGCTGAACTCCGCGGGCGGCGCGGCGTGGGTGATTGGATTTTGGGCCATTTACGCGAATAAAAATAATCTAGGCAAGGCACACTTCACGAGCGCGCACGGGAAAGTCGGGGCGGCGGCCACGATGGTCTTGGTGGCGACGTACGCGCTCGGGTTGTTTTCGTTCAACGCGCTCGGGTTGCTGACGCGACTGGATATGAACCGCAGAGCGAAGGACGTCAAGGCGACGCACCGCGTGGCGAGTCTCGTGGCTATTTTCGGTGGAATACTCGCGGCAAGCATGCGCACGGGACACGACTCCACCGGATTCGGCGCCGCGGGGCGGGCGGTTGCGGACGTCGCGCTGTTCGCGGGCGCCGGCGCGCTGGCTTTTTTGGCGGCGACGACGCCCGCGTGGAAAATAGAACGTTAGTCCGTAGCGTGGTAAAATTGCGAATTCTTCATTACATAAGGTACAGTCTGTTCACATTAAACGTAAAAGTCTCGAGACCGCGTCCTGGTCCAGCGCGTCCTCACAGCGGCGGTTTGCGCATCGTAATCAGGTTGAATTTTATCGTCCCCGTCGCCAAGCCCGTTTGCATCAGCGGCATCACCAACGCGCCGCGTAAAGTCGCGGCGCCGGATTTAAGCAGACCGATCACACCCTTGAGCGTCAACGCGGTCTTGATCACGCCCTTCCAAAACGGCTTGACCTCCTCGCTCCAATCCTCGGTTTCGATGTCGACCAACCCGGCGTCCTCGGCGAGCGCCTTGTAATCGGCGATCGAGCACCACGCCGGGAGGTAGTACGCATCGCAAATGCGATCGAGTAAAACGCGCTCCGCCGGCTCCAGCGCGCTCTGCCCCGGCTCGAGCGTTCGATGACACCACGTGACGATTAAAATCCGTCCCCCCGGCGCGCACACTCGCGCCAACTCGTCGACGAATTTCTTCTTGTCCGGCATGTGTTCCCCGCTCTCCATCGACCACACGAAATCGAACGAACCGTCCTCAAACGGCATGTTCAACGCGTCCGCGACGCGATATTTCGCCATATTCTCGACGCCCTCCTCTTTCGCCAGCGCGTTCGCTCGCGCCGCCTGCACCGGCGAAAGCGTCACCCCCTCCGCCTCGCACCCGTATTTCCTCACCATGTGCCTCGACGACCCCCCGATTCCGCACCCAACGTCCAGCACTCGCTTCACCTCTCGCACTCCCGCCCAGCGCAGGCTCTCCTCGATCATGTCCACCTGCGCCTTCGCGTGGTTCACCGGTTCGCCGCGTCGGTAGTACCCGTGGTGCATGTGCGTCCCGTCCCCTCCCTCGCTTCCCCACACGTCCTCCCACACCCGCGAGCTCTCGTCGTAAAACTTCGCGATCCCCTCGTTCAGCGTCTTCGTCTCCGCGATCAGCGGTTCGACGACGCGCTCGAGCTCGAACGTCGACGTCGTTCGCTCCTCGTTCGCGCTCGCGGACGGCGTCGTCGCCGCGCGTCGCGCTCTGCGTCGCGTCGCGCGCGCACTCGGCGACGCGGTCGTCGGCGCGCGCGCGATGGACGCCATCGTCGCCGAGTGCGGCGAATCGCCGAAGAATGAATGCGTTGATGAATGCGCGCATCGCCTCGGCACACGCCGACGCGCGCGCGATCGACGATGAGCGCGTCCGAGGGGAAATCGCCCGCGGATTTCCTCAAGGCGATCAAGGGGAAGACGGTGCTGGTGAAGCTGAACACGGGCGTGGATTACCGAGGCGCGTCGAGACGCGTCGACGCGGGGCAAGCGAGATGAATGAATGAAATCGACGACCGCGGCGCGTCCGATCGAGCGCCGCGCGAACGCGAACCCGACTGACGGACGACGCGACGTCGAACCGACGCAGGCGTGCTGGCGTGCCTGGACGGGTACATGAACATAGCGATGGAGCAGACGGAGGTGCGAGAGAGGGAGCGGACGGACGCGCGCGAGAGCGCGCGAAGACGCGGAACCGGGACGAAGGAGGACTGACGAACGACGACGGCGCGCGATGGTAGGAATACGTCAACGGACAGTTGAAGAATAAATACGGCGATGCGTTCATTCGCGGGAATAACGGTGCGCGGCGAGGGATCGAACGCGCGAGCGACGCGCTCGAATCGGCGCGGCGAGAGGAGGTTTCAAAGGTTTCGATTCGGTTCGGTTCGGTTCGGTTCGGTTCGGTTCGGTTCGGTTCGGTTCGACTCGCGCGCGGAGGAGACTGACTCGGCGATCTCGTTCGTCGCGAAACGCAGTGCTTTACATCAGTGCGGTGAAGAAGTGAGCGCGGTGTAGCTGAGCTTGAATCTAGGCGACGACCGCGACGCGGCGGACGCGTTTGCTTTGTAACGTCGCGTCGCCGCTCGTTGTTAACTCGCGCGCCTCCCTCGGTCTAGAAAAGAACCCGTAACGACGAACACGAAACGACGCCGATGTCGCTCCGCGCGCGCGTTTCGCCATCGATCGTTATTCCGGGTGCGGCACTCTCGATTGCAACCGCCGAGGAAATTTTTTGACTCGTCAGCGCCTCTGCGGCACCGCGCGCGCGCCGCACATCGACGCTCGGCGTCGCGATGGCGCCGCCGTCGGCGCCGAACGACGAGCTCCTGTCGACGATACTGTTTTTGATCAACAATCACTACTGGTGCGCGCTGTACGAGCTCTACGTCGACGCGCGAAGGCTGAATGTGTTGGATGCGGATTTGCCTTCGCTGAACACTTTAAAGTCGTTCTTTAACGACTCAAAGCGGTTCCCCGACGGCGTGTTTCGCGCGGTCAACGACGCGTTCGACAGTGGGGTGTCGGCCGCGCGCGTGGTGGACGCGGAGTCGCGCGCGGCGGTGGCGGAGTACGAGTTGAGGTGCGCGCGGGAAGATTTGCAAAACTCGCGGCGAGGCGCCGGCGGAGGCGGAGGCGAGGACGGTGGCGAAGACGCGAGCGGGGCGAGCGTGCGGCGAGGCGTGGACGCGGATGATGCGTTTGCGCCCACGAGCGGTGATTCCGCGCGCTCGAGCGCGGATGACGTGGGTTTGGATGCGAAACTAGACGCGGCGACGTACGAGTACCTGTCTCGTCGCGGATACAAAGCCACGGCGCTTTCGATGCGCGACGAATCGTCCACAGCGGCGAAGTTGATGGAAAAAGATTTCGCGAGCGATGGAGAAAGAAGTTTCGGGGCGCTGCGAAGGATGTACGAGCGCGCGAGAATGACCGAGACGACGGCGAGCGCCCTGGAGAGCGAACGCGCGCGCGTCGACGACGTGGAGAGCGAGCTGATTCGCGCCCGCGCGCGAATCGATGAACTCGAACGCGAAAATACGACGACGACGACGTTGCGCGACGCGTTATCGTCGAAATTAGCGCTAGCAGAAAGTGAGCTGAGCGATTTGAAGGTTTCGGCGGCGCAGTGGGAGAAGAAGGCGACGGAATCCGCGAGCGAGGTGAATAGGCTGTTGTCTGAACTCGGCGCTGGGAACGAGGAATGGTCGAGTCGCGACGGCAACGGAGTGCCGCGAACGACGATTGAAGAGAACGATACAATCGACGCGGTCTTGTCGTTCATTTGCGCGATCGCGCCGAAGGTTTCGCCGGCGGCGCGGAAGGAGTTGCTGCCGATGATTTCCCGCGCGTGCGTGCGAGCCGCCGGCGATGAAAAACGCGCCGCACGGTCTTCGAATCTGTTTTTTGAGCTCTTCAAAGCCCCGAATGCAGAACAGAGAGATGCAATCGTCGACGCGATCGCGAACGTTGGCGAAATCGTGGGCATGAACGCCTTCGAGGGGACATTCATTCGAGGCTGCCTCGGATCCGAAGCCGTGGCGACGATGAACGAAGAGCGACGAGTGCTCGTGCTCGACGCCATCGCCAAGCTCGGCGCATCATCGTGGTTTACTTTGAATAATTTTGTCATGGATGGTTTCAAGCGTGCCGCGGTAGATCCAAGCGATGGTGTTCGAGCGGAGTGCTCACGAGCGGTGGAGCGTTACATCGCCGCAAACGCGCCGAGCGACGACAACATGGAAACGATTGAAGACGTTTTGATGACGCTCGCGTGCGACGGCTCCGACGAAGTTGCCGACGCCGCGCGAGCGACGCTCGCCCCCGCCGTCGCATCTTGGTACCTAGGTGCGAATCCACGACGGTTCACGGACGTTTTCGCGCGAAAGGTGCTCGACAAAGCCGCCGAGGCATTGCGGAGCGGATGGACCGGCGAAGGCGCCGAGCGGGAGTTCAAGGGTTGGGTGTCTCCAGAAGATGGTGATCGTCATCGATGGCACGCGACGAGCCTAGTAAAGACGTTTGAAGCGTTTGCGCGGCCGATTCGCGAGGCGTTAAGCGCGACGAAACCCGCGTCTATCGCAGACGGCGTCGACGACGCGCTGAGCAAAGACGCTCCAGATTCCTGGCCTTTCGCGCAGTGGTGCGTAAAAGAAGCCTCAGACTTGATTGTCCAAGTCATTAGCTCCACCGCACCCGATGTCGTCGGTCAAGAGTCCGTGAGAGAGAGCATATGCGCCGCCGTCGCGTCTTGGTGCGGCGTTCTCGGCGCGCTCGCCACGCGAGCGGTTTTGATTGGAAAAGTGAACGATGCTTGCTTGGTGAGTTACGATCAGCGTCGCGCGGTGATGCCAATATTGCTCGCGGGCGTGGTTCCTTACACCCCGGACGGTGGCGCCGTGCTCGGAGATTACATTAAGCGCCTGATTCAACAAGCCAGCGCGGAGTCGTGCGATGAAATCATCGACGCCGCGCGGTACCTCGCCGCGTTCGAGCAGCACACCGCAAACTTGCTCGATGCGTTGAAGCGGTGCGCGCATCCGATCGCTGAGAACCCACCGACCGTGCGCCTTATCACCGCACGTCTTCTCGCGGCGACGTCGGAGATTTTGCCGCTCAAGCACGTGCTCGAACACGTCTATCCCGCGCTCAACGTTTTGCGAGCCGATCCCGAGACGAGTGTCCGCCGCGAAACCGCTCTAGCGCTCGCGGTGTGCGCGTGCACGCACTACGAGACTATCGAACCGACGACGCAAACGATGCGTCAGCTCGAGTCGTTGATCGGCGACTCCGACGTCGGCGTCCGCGTCGCCGTCGTCGAGGCGATGTCCCTCGGCGCGTCGGTGCCCGGAACGTCGTTCGCCGTCTCCGCCGCCAGCGCGCTCTCAGCCATCGCGCAGCTGCCGAGTGAAGAACACGAGATCGCGCACGCGCTTTTCGCGGCCATTCGCGACATGCTCGGCGCGGATGGCGATTTGTTCCCTCAAATCTCCCCCGCCCTCGTCGCCTTGCTCGCGAGCGGAGGCCTCGACCAGGGGCGTCGCGCCCAAGTCGAAACCATGCTTCGCGACGGCGGCTGGTCCCCCGACACCGCGCCATCGAGCATCACCAACGTCACCGTCGACGCGCCCCACGCACCGGGACGCGGGAGGTCCTCCGCGTTCGATCGTATGAAGAGCGTGGGCCGTTCCGCCTTCGGCGGCCGCGGTCGCGACGCTCGATGACCCTCGCCGCGCCCATCGCGCGTCTCGATCGATCTCGGCGATCGATCGATTAGCACTAGAAAAATTTGTCGTCGCGAAATCTCGCACCGAGGTCCCGTTCGATTGCGCGAAATCGCGTCCTCTCTTCCTCGTCGTCGTCGTCGGCGTAACCCCGCGACGCCGCCCCAGCGAAATTCGTCACGTCGCGAGCGCGCGCCGCACATCGCGTCGCGCTCGGCCGTCGCACTCGCGCGCGTCGCGCACGACCTCGAGCGCGCCATCGTCGACGCCCCCGCGCGCGTTTCCGCGATCCTCCGCGCGGTGCGACGACGATGTTTCGATCGTCGAGCCGCCGCGCGATCGCCGCCGCGGTGCGATGCGCGCGCGCGCCGCCTCGAGCGGCCGATTGCGCGCGCGCGACGCGGACGATGCCGACGGACGCGAACCTGTCCTCGCCCGCGCGCGTCGGGCGCGCGACGATGCGTCGCGCGTCGACGATGGAGCGGGACGGCGAGAATCGCGCGCGAGGCTTCGCGTCGGCGTCGAACGCGACGCGTATGAGCGCGAACGCGGACGACGAGGCGAAGAACGCGAAGGACGATGACGTGGTGGTTGATTTGGACGCCGAGCTCGGCGCGCCGAAGAGCGCAAAGGTGGCGGAGATTGCGGATCGAGTGTGCGAGTTGACGCTGATCGAGGTGAACGAGCTGTGCGACGTCTTGGCGGAGAGACTCGGATTGGGCGATATGAGTGGGATGATGTTCGGTGGAGGCGTGATGCCCGCCGGCGGTGGGGGCGGCGGTGGCGGCGGCGGCGGCGGCGGTAACGCCGCGGCGGCGCCCGCGGAGGAGAAGACGTCGTTCGCGTTGAAGCTGGAATCCTTCGACGCGGCGCAAAAGATTAAAGTCATCAAGGAGGTGCGCGCCATCACCGATCTCGGGTTGAAAGAGGCCAAAGAACTCGTCGAAGGCGCGCCCGCGGTGTTGAAGAAAGAGTTGAAGAAGGAAGAAGCGGAGGCGTTGATTGCTAAATTGACCGCCGTGGGCGCGGTGGCGGCGCTCGAGTAAATTACGCCGGCGCGCCGGTTAGCGTTTCTAGACAGAGTTCAATAACGACATCGACGACGATCGCGTCGCGTCACCGTTCGAGATCTCACGCCTCATCGCGCGCGCGCGCGCCCGTCCCCGATTCTCGATTCGCGCGCCGCGCCGCGCTCGCCGCGCGCGCCGCCCGTACCCCCCGTCGCGCGCGTCGAAATTCCATCGACGCGGTCGGTTTCGATTTCGAAACCGATCGATCGACCGATCGATCGATCGATCGAGACGATCGATGGAGACGTTCGACGTCGGTCGCGCGCGCCCGCACTCGGCGACGACGACGATGTTCGCGCCGACGCAGGCTCGAACGATGGCGCCGACGCGCGTGACGATGGCGCCGACGCGCGCGCGCGCGACGCGCGTCTCGACGGTGACGCGCGCGAGCGAAGGTGCGCGCGCGACGACGCAATCGACGCGGCCTCGCGTCGTGGATAGGTCACGCGCGACGACATCGTTCGCGACGACGACGCGACGCGACGGCGCGCGCGAGCGAACGATCGCGACGTCGATCGATCGATCGCGCGCGTCGATGCCGCCGTCGAGAGATCGGTCGACGCGCGAGGGGCGCGGCGCGCGCGAAGACGATCGAGGGAGGGCGCGCGGGACGCGCGCGGGACGCGCCGCGACTGACGACGGAACGCGCGTTTAATCGTGAATAGCGTCGGATAAGAACTTGGAGGTGATGCGAAAGTTTTCTGAACAGTACGCGCGCGGGAGTGGGACGTACTTTTGCATGGATAAGAGCGTGACGGCGGTCGTGATTCAAGGTTTGGCGGAACACAAGGACACGCTCGGGTCGCCGCTGTGCCCGTGCAGGCACTACGACGATAAGGAGGCGGAAGTCGCGCAGGGATTCTGGAACTGTCCGTGCGTGCCGATGCGCGAGCGGAAGGAGTGTCACTGTGCGTGTGCGCGCGATGCGACGACTCGGCGAACGAACCGCGCGCTTTTCGAATCTCACGACGAACGCTCGTTTACTGACTTCGCGCTCCTCGTCGAACAGGCATGCTCTTCTTGACGGAGGATAACGACTTCGCGGGCGACGAGCAGACGATCACGATGGACGAACTGGTGGAATTGACCGAGGACATGTAGAGCCCTCGATCGGGACGAAACAGCGCGCCTCAATGTATTTAACTTTACCCATTTTCTTTCCAAAACTGAACCCGCGCGCCCCCCCCCCCAGCGTCGACGCGCGCGCGCGCCGAGCGTCGAATGTTCACTCTAATGTCGTTTCGTGCAGTGTTACAACTGAAAAGTATTGATTAGAAGCACTTACGGTGGACGATAGAAGGTCCGGCTTCGTTGTACTCGCTCTTCGCGATCCACATTTGTTGGAACGTGGACAAAGACGCGAGGATGGACCCGCCGATCCAAACCGAGTACTTGCGCTCGTGCGGGGCGACGACCTTGATTTTCATGGACGACGGCGCCAGAGCGGTGAGCTCCTTGGACACGCGATCGGCGATGCCGGGGAACATGGTAGTACCACCGGAAAGCACGATGTTGGCGTACAAATCGCGCCTGATGTCGACGTCGCAACGCATGATGGAGTTGTACGTCGTCTCGTGAATGCCCGGGGTTTCCATGCCGATCAAACTGGGCTGGAACAAAACCTCGGGGCAACGGAAACGTTCGTTACCGATCGTGATCATTTGTCCATCGGGAAGCTCGTACGACTTCTCGATCGTGGAGGAGCTTTGGCTCGCCGCCATTTCCTCGTCGAAATCCACCGCGACGTACGCGAGCTTCTCCTTGATGTCGCGAACGATTTCGCGCTCCGCCGACGTCGTGAAAGAGTGTCCGCGCTCGGTCAAGATCTTCACCATGTAATCGGTCAAATCTCTACCCGCGAGATCGAGGCGAAGGATGGCGTGCGGTAACGCGTAGCCCTCGTAAATCGGCACCGTGTGCGATACGCCGTCGCCGCAGTCGAGCACGATGCCCGTCGTGCGGCCCGAGGCGTACAGGGACAACACGGCCTGGATGGAGACGTACATGGCGGGCACGTTGAAAGTCTCGAACATGATTTGGCACATCTTCTCGCGATTCGCCTTCGGGTTCATCGGGGCCTCGGTCAAAAGCACGGGGTGCTCGGCCGGGTCCACGCGAAGCTCGTTGTAAAACGTGTGATGCCAGATCTTCTCCATGTCGTCCCAGTTGGTGACGATCCCGTGTTCGATCGGATACTTGAGCGTCAAGATCCCTCGCTTACTCTGCGCCTCGTCTCCGACGTAGCAATCCTTCTGCCCCATGCCCACCATGACGCCGTGGTGTCGCGGTCGACCGACGATGGACGGAAACACCGCCTTCGGGGCGTCGTCGCCCGCGAACCCGGCTTTCACCATCCCCGACCCGTTATCGCACACCAGCGCGGACACTTCGCCCTCATCCGCCATCTTTCTTTCGTTCCTACGAATTCCGTCCGCGTCCTCGTCGCGCGTCGTCAGTCCTCGCTCGCGCGTCCTCGTCGCCGATCTCGTCCCGTCGCGTCGCGTCGCGTCGCGTCGCGTCCTCGTCCGCGACGCGACTCGCGCCGTCCTCTCGCGCGCGTCTCGCGCGCGTCTCGCGGTTCGTTCGTCCACCCCGAGCCGTCGCGCCCGATCGATCGTTCGCGAATCGTTCGCGAATCGAATCGTTCGCGAATCGGGGTGCGAATCGAATCAATCAATCAATCAACGACTCGCTTTGAAATCGTTCGCGCATCCGTCGCCCGTTCGCGTTTTGTCGTTCGCGTCGCGCCCGCGCGACCGACGTCGAATCCTCGGGACGTCGCGCGCGCCTCGGTCGCGTCGGTCGCGCGCCTCGCCTCGCCTCGCGCGCACCGTCGTCCGTCGTCCGCCGCGATCTCGCGGTCGTCGCGAACGCAATCAATCGCGACGTCGCGGGCGCGTCGCATCGTCGCGGGCGCGCGCGTCGCGGCCCGGCGGTGTGTACCGTATATAAAATACGAAACAATCGCGTATACGTTAGATCCCAAAACACCCATATATCGATCAATCACACGACCCAGATGTGCCCCGATCGCGATCGCGCGGCGCGCGGCGCGTCGCCGACGGGGGGTCTCTCGTCTATATAAAATACGAATCAATCACGTATACATAACACCCCAAAATTGCGAGCTATACCTTATCAGTATGTATTACTTTCCACGTCCCTAATATGTGCGCGCCGTCGAAGTGCTAATAACTCGCGACGACGCTACAACGCGACGCGCGGCGCGCGCGGCGCCGGGATCTCGCGCTCGTGATCTTTTACTTTCCGCCGACGCGCCGTTCGCGCGGAACTGCGATTCCGAAGTGTGCCGCTTTCATGCTAGACGTAACTTTTTGATTTTAGATTTTAAGGATACAAACGAACTACTCGCGTGATTACACTGGGATACCGCATGGAATAGCGCGTTTGTGACCTAGATACAACTTCGGACAATGGTCTCGAATACAAAGTATATTAACACATGAAAACCCATGGGCCACGTCACAAGCACTGGCGTATCAACTTTCGTAGGACATGTGCCAAAGAAGTGTCAATTAATTGCCCATCAGCGCAGTGGCGTTTTAGAACCAGAAACTTTTTGCACATCTATATACTTGAGGTTTCCTATTTGGATGTTTCCTGCGGACTGCCAATCCCACTCATACAAAAGAATGCTAAGTACAGACTGATCGTATCGGTGCACAATATATTCTGTTGAAGGTGGGCCTTTGCGTGGTTTCGTCAGCTTACGACTGGATCCTGGAGGTGCCATGCAAGAAAGACAGTTATGCACGCCGCATGCTATCCAAGGCGCGAGAACTGTCTTGTAAACATCCGACTGGAGGTTCGCTATCCAATATGTGGCAGCTATCTCCGTAAAGTTTTTGAATTTCGTACGGTCGACGTTCAGATAAGCATAAGTGGCGGGGTGTGTGTTCACCCCCATACCCAAAGCACCCAAACGACCGGCGAATCCCACACCATCTTCGAGCACGTGAGACACCCACGTTTCCGGGTTTCCAAGGAAACGTGTTGAAGAATCTGCCCACATGAAAGCATCCAGGTCGTCAAACACACGTAAAAACATCTGCACTACACGTGGTTTAAAACAGTACGTGTCTAAACGCTCTTGCTCTTCTATCACTAACGTCTGCAACTTGATCTGCGCCTTTACTTTTTTCAATTGTAGCTTGTACTTTTGCAATAACCTGAACTCCGCATGCGCCATATCCAACGCGTCAACCTTGTGCATGTAGTATACAGAAACTATCCCACCATACCGGCTGTCTGCTAGAGAGCGCAGCATATCGAGATTTTCAGCGGCGTGGTTCGATGAGCACGCTGTCACTATTGCAAATCTGACTGTCTTGGCGCGAGTCCTGTGGCCGAGTCCTAAAATAAATTGAGGCCTGTGAAAAGCCAAATATCCCAACAATAACAGGAGCAGCGTGTTCAAGTGCGTACACGCCCTGAATTTCCACCGGTCTGCTTGGTCGTCGCCCCTGAATTTCCACCAGTCTGCTTGGTCGTCGCCCGCGAACCCGGCTTTCACCATCCCCGACCCGTTATCGCACACCAGCGCGGACAGTTCGCCCTCATCCGCCATCTTTCTTTCGTTCCTACGAATTCCGTCCGCGTCCTCGTCGCGCGTCGTCAGTCCTCGCTCGCGCGTCCTCGTCGCCGATCTCGTCCCGTCGCGTCGCGTCGCGTCGCGTCCTCGTCCCCGACGCGACTCGCGCCGCTCTCTCGCGCGCGTCTCGCGCGCGTCTCGCGGTTCGTTCGTCCACCCCGAGCCGTCGCGCCCGATCGATCGTTCGCGAATCGTTCGCGAGATCGCGAATCGTTCGCGAATCGTTCGCGAATCGAATCAATCAATCAACGACTCGCTTTGAAATCGTTCGCGCATCCGTCGCCCGTTCGCGTTTTGTCGTTCGCGTCGCGCCCGCGCGCGCGACGTCGAATCCTCGGGACGTCGCGCGCGCCTCGGTCGCGTCGCGTCGCGTCGGTCGCCTCGCCTCGCCTCGCGCGCACCGTCGTCCGTCGTCCGCCGCGATCTCGCGGTCGTCGCGAACGCAATCAATCGCGACGTCGCGGGCGCGGCGTCGCGGCGTCGCGGGCCGGCGGGGTGTTGTACGATATATAAAATACGAAACAATCGCGTATACATTACACCCCAAACTACCGATATGTCGATCAATCACACGACCCAGACCCCCCGCGATCGCCGTTCGCCCCGATCGCGATCGCGCGGCGCCGGACGCGCGCCGCGCGATCTCTCGTCTATATAAAATACGAATCAATCACGTATACATTATCCCCCAAACCACCCATATATCGATCAATCACACGACCCAGATGTGCCCCGATCGCGATCGCGCGGCGCCGGCGCGTCGCCGACGGTTTCCGCGGCGTCGGCGCTTTTTACGCGCCGCGCGACGCGCGCGCGTCGCGAGATCGCGCCGCGGTGGCGTCGCGCGGCGTTCGAGCGGACGCGGTCACGCGCGCGCGTCGTACACACATACGCGCCGACGCCACAACGCGCACCGCGCACGCACAACGCGCGCATCGTGTCGCCGTCGACGCGAAAAAGCGTCGTAGGTTTGTCGGATAACGTGACGCGGATCGCGCGCGAGCGCGACGTCGGATAACGAGACGGCTCGCGAGGGGGCGCGCGTCGCGAGATCGCGCGCGCGATGGCGATGACGCGCGCGATGGCGCACACCGCGTCGCACACCGCGTCGCATACGCGTCCGACGTCGCGAACGGGACGCGGGACGCGACGCGCGCGCGCGCGCGCGATTCGGAACGACGAGGCGAGCGACGCCGAGGCGGGCGTCGAACGAGGCGAAGACGTCGAGCGGGCGACGCGGGCGACGCACGCGGTGTACGTGGAGAATCCCGACGGTGGGACGAACACGTGCGTGCGCGTGGTGGGGCCGAATCGCCGGGGGGGGTTGGCGAAAATAATCGCCGCGTTGACGAATTACGGGTTGGACGTGCAGAGCTCGTTCACGCGGACGACGGCGAACGGGAGCAGCGTGGACGACGTCTTTTACGTCACGTGGGATCCGAGAGAGGCGGGGAAGTCATTCGATGAATCTCACGCGCGATTGGCGTCGCAGTTGGAGGAAGATCGATTCGAGGATTTGAAAAGGTTCATCGTCGACGCCATGACGCCGACGGAGACGCGCGAGCGGTACACGTCGCGCATGCCGAAGATTTACGGCATCGCCGCCGAATCTGAAGTTTTGGCGATGAAGCGACGATTGGATGACGCGATCGACCCGTCGAATCAGGAGGAGTCGAAGATCGCGCGCGACCCCGTCTTCATGGCGTCGCAGCTCGAGTTCGTCGCCGCCGAGTTGGCGAGCGCCACGGCGCGCCTGGTGCAAATCGACCGCGTCTACGCCAAGGTTGAATCTTGCGGGGTGGAGTATTTATGGGAACTCGAAGGCTCCGATGAAGAAGTCGTGAACGACGAGTGCGTCGTCATCGAAGCCGAGCGCTCCGACGCTCGCGCGATGTTTGAACGCAAGCTCGCCGCCATGGAGGCGGCGCTCGCCGCTCGCGACCGAGCGCGAAGAGGGCTCACGACATCATCGGACACCGCTTCGGGTGTCGCGGTGGTGCAACGGACCGATGAAGCGACGTCCACGCTCGCGAAATCACGCCAGCCTCTGAACGAAAACAACACCACCAAGGCGAAGCTTTCCAAGCTTTCCACGGATATGGCGCCGCAGACGCCGTTCGCCTCGCCCCTCAGTCGCCCTCTCCCTTCGACACCGTGCGGAAACGGTCGGGAACTCATCCTTCAAGGCTTCAATTGGGAGTCGTGCAACGAAAAAGCGAACAACGATCGATCTTGGTATCAACTGTTGAATGAAAAGGTTCCCGAAATCGCCGCCGCGGGCTTCACCTCCGTTTGGATGCCCCCGCCGACGAAATCCGTGAGCAAGCAAGGGTACCTTCCCACCGACTTGTACAACTTGAACTCCTTCTACGGCTCAGAAGATGAGCTGAGATCATGCGTCGCTCGCATGCGCGAGTACAACATCACGCCGGTGGCGGATATCGTCATCAATCACCGCTGCGCCGAGGCGCAGGACGACGCGGGGCGATGGAACAAGTACACGGGGAAGATTGATTGGGATGCGCGCGCGATCACGTGCGAGAACCCGCAATTCGGGGGACAGGGATCGCAAAGCACGGGCGAGGACTATCTTCCCGCGCCGAACATCGATCACACTCAACAGTTCGTCCGCAAGGATTTGAAGGAGTGGCTTTCGTGGATGCGCGACGACGTCGGATTCCGCGGCTGGCGATTTGATTTCGTCAAAGGCTACAGCGGCGTGTTCACTGGAGAGTACGTCGAAGAAACGCGTCCTTTCTTATCGTTCGGCGAATTTTGGGACGAATGCTCATACCGTGACGGGGTTTTGGAATACAATCAAGACGCGCACCGTCAACGAACGTGCGACTGGGTGGATTCCACCGGCGGTAACACGGCGGCGTTTGATTTCACCACCAAGGGTATTCTGCAAGAAGCAGTCGCACGCACCGAGTACTGGCGATTGATCGACACGAAAGGGCGCCCACCGGGTTTTTGCGGCATGTGGCCCTCTCGCGCCGTTACGTTCATCGAAAATCACGACACGGGCTCGACGCTCCAGCACTGGCCGTTTCCGAGGGATAAAATATTGCAAGGATACTGCTACATCCTCACCCATCCGGGAACACCCACGGTGTTCTACGACCACTGGGTCGACCCGAAGTGGTCGGAGGCCATCGGCGTGATGTTGGATATTCGCAAGCGCACCGGGCTTTCGTCCAACGCCGCCGCCGTGCACATCGAGCGCGCCACCGCCGGTCTTTACGCCGCGCACATCGGGCACGCGCAAGAGATGTACACCGAAGGGTTGAGCATGGACGTCGATGTCAAACGTCCGTCGATCTGCATGAAGCTCGGCGTCGAAGACTGGTCGCCAAACGCGGCTAAAGTTGGAAACTTGTCGTGGAAGTGCACGGCGAGCGGCGATGGATGGGCGATTTGGGAAGACAAGAACCATCTTGAAGACGAAGAAATCAGCAAAGCGAGGTGAAGGAGATCGCAAATTTAATCGAAACGCATAGCTCCACTGTTTCTTTTAAATGTAATGCAAAATTGACGCATTAAACACACCGGCCATCTGCGCGCGCCGACATCGTAGAATTCTGCGCGCCGGTTCGGGAGCGCTCTATCGAGAAAGATTGGCGAAGCAGAGGATGATTTAAGAGCAAGTAACATTGAAACGCATAATATTAATGAGTAAATTCGAGCGCCTCACGCGAAAACGAGTTCATCGCAGGAGGTGAACCGCTTAGTAGAAGCCGAAGCCCTTGGCCGCGTTGGTGAGGACGTTGGAGTGAACCGGGTCCGCAACGTGGGATTGCCAGTTGGCGATCGGGCCTTCTTGGGTGGCGAGCGCTTGGAAGATGCAGCCCAACCACGCGAACATGGACAAGCGGCAGTGCTTGAGCTCCTTGATCTTGAGTTCTTCAAGGTCGCCAGACTCGGCGAGGCCGAGCGGGTCGAAGCGTCCACCCGGGTTGACGTCACCGACGGTGAGGCCATCATCGAACGGAGAGTCGGAGATACCGGTACGGTACGCTTCCGCGGCGCCGACGAGAACGATCTCGATGATGAGAACGTTCCAGAAGGACGGGTAGCCAGAGCCTTCCGGCGCGAGCGGGGCGACGGCGCCCGGGAACTTGTCCGCAACGGCGGTGCAGTCATCCGGGGTGCACAAGGTACCCGCGGTGAACCACGGGATACCGGTGCCGTTTTCGGCGGCCCACGCGCCGGTGACACCGAGCATCGCCCAGCGGCCGTGGATCACTTCACGCTCGGCGTTCTTTTCGTCGCCGAACGGGATGATCGGGGATTCGCCACCGCCCGGGTAGGTACCGAATTCCGGGTAGATGTCAGCCTTGACCGTCGTGGAGACAGACTTGGCCTGCGATCGTTAAAAAGCGCGCGAAGCGAACGTTCGTCAGTCACCGATCGCGCGCGCGTCGTTTCACGCCGCCGTCCCGCCTCTCCGCGCGTCGCGCGCGAACCGCGAACCCAATCCACCGTTCACGACTCAGCGCCGACCCCCTCCCGAATCCCCGCGCGATAAAGATACGATACGGAAACCGCCACGAATCGCGTATCGCGCGCGTCTCGCGCGTCTCTCGCCCGCGCCCTCCCCCCCGCGCGGCGCCTCCGATTCAAATCATTTCTCTCCGCGCGTTCGCGTCGTCCCAGCGCCGTCGCCTCGCCGCGCGCGCGTCCCGCGTCGCCGCGCCCCGTCGCGCGCGATCCCATCCCATCGCGCGCGTCCCATCGCGTCCCGCGTCGCCGCGTCTCCGCGCGCCGCGTCCCCGCGTCTCCGCGCGTCGCTCGAAGGCTAAAAAATACGCACTTGGATCTTGGTCGCCTTGAAGGCGGCGACGCGGCCGACGAAGGAGGAAGCGAGAAGGGCAGACATTGTAGAAATGCGCGTGTGCAGGAATGCCGATACGCGTGGGCGCGATCGCGTCTTGGGATTCGCCCGCGGTCGGTCGCCGCGATCGTCCGCGCGCCGCGCTCGTATTACGCGCGTCGCGAACGCCGCTTAGTGTTCGATCGCGCGCGATCGCGCGCGTAAATAAAAAAAATACGACCCGCGATCGCGCGCGCGATCCGATCGGTCTCGCGGCGTCGCGCGTGCACACACGGACCACGCGCGCCACACCGTCGTCGCGCCGTCGCGCGCGCGATCGCGCGTCGCGAGAGCGCGACGCGCGTCGACGCGCGTCGACGGCGCGACGCGAGGCGAGGCGAACGCGATCGTCGAGGCCGCGCGCGTCGACGCGCGCGTCGCGAGCGTCGGCGCGGCGTCGCGCGACGCGGCGAGGGACGTCGCGAGCGTTGGGTGTTACGCGCGCGCGAGCGGCGACGCGATGACGCGCGAGGGCGACGACGGCGCGGCGGCGTGGCCGCGACCGAGCGCGACGTTGGTCGCGGTGGGATGCGCGGCGCTGGCGCTGGCGTGCCTGGGCGACGGGACGAGGGTGGCGACGAGCGGATTGCTGGGAGGGGCGTCGACGACGGCGCGCGGCGACGCGGGACGGGAGCGCGTGCTCGACGACGTGCCGTTCGAGGATGATCACGTGCGACTGGTGGTGCCGAGAGTGGAGCGAGATATCGCGGCGGAGGAACTGCGGGGGGAGGTGTCGTGGACGCGAGCGGCGACGACGGGGGTGTTCGACGCGAGGGCGAACGGCGGCGCGAGCGCGACCAACGGAACGGAGTATCGTCCCGTGGCGACGTACGCCGCGCTCGGGCGCCGACGGCATCACGGCAGAAAACATCATCGATACGATGATGACGAGGAAGAACTGGCGTACGAGACGAAAGGGGACGATTTCGAGCTTCCCGAGTTGTCCTCGGTCGAGCCCAAGGATTCGAAAAAGAAGGAGACGGAGACGTTCGGCGGCGAGCTCACCGCGAGTGAGGTCGAGTCCATCTTGGACAAGCTCCGAGCGCAGTCGCAAGCTTTAGAAACGGGATCAGACGCGACGAGTAGTTTAGGGGCAAAAGAAGCGTCGACGCCCGGCGAGCAGATTGACGAGCTCGAGAAGACGCTTGCGCGGGGCTCGTCTAATGCCGCGAACGAGATTAAGACTAAGAAGAGCTCGCTCTTGAGCTCGATCGAAGAAACGTCGAAAGATTTGGTTGAAGAGTTAGATTCGGTACCGGCACAAACGTACAAGCTCACGTTTCCGTCGCCCAAAGCTCCGTCGAAAGATGACAAGGCGCGCGACGAGACGTCCACCGCTGACGCGGATGCGCAACCTGAAGCAAACTCTGAAATTTCGAGACAGATTTCGAGCATGGCAAAGGGCGAATCGGATGCTGGAGATGCCGCGTTCCTCAAATCGTTGATCGAAGATCCGGAAACATCGGAGTTGATGTCGGAATCGATGTCTTTATCGTCGGCCCAGCCTACGTCGAAAGCGCCGACGCCGTCGAACACGCCGCTAACGCCGTCGCCGGCGACGGATGCGACGGTTTTGGGTGATAATGGGACGACGACCTCGCCTGTTGACATACCGACCAAGCCAGCCATTCTGCCAGACGTTGTGCGCGCGACTGGCGACGTTGCTAAGAATACGACAACGTACGACGACGCGTCAGATGGAAGCTCCCACGAAGATTTGGAGTACGGCGAAGGCTCTGAAGTCGCGCCGAACTCAAAACACGACGACGCAGAATCGAAATTGACAGAAACGGCGCAGACGGGAGAACCTGCGATCGAGTACAAGAAGAAAATCGATACGACAAACGACATAAACCTATACGAGAACGCGTTGCGAGGCGAGGCGCACCCTGAGCGATCTTGGGCACAGAAGGGTCTGAAACCCGCGGACGAGAGCGTTCTGACGGAAGAAAACATCAAGCAGAACGAATTAGCGGAAGACCAGTCGCTCACAGTTGATTTTCTCAATCGTTTCCCGGTACAATTGCCTAAATCGGAGCGAGAGACACAAAATTGGAGGCGTTATCAAAAATTGCGAACGCGCGCCGGCGCGAAGTCGGCGGAGGAGCAGTCGGAAGAGGACCGAGAAACGGTGGAGAGAGTCACCGCCGCCGCGGTTGAGCTCGTTCGCGCGGAAAAGAAGGGCGAAGATGACCGTAAAGAAAAATCGTGGAGAGATGTGGTGTTTTCTCTGTACTTCATGGGCCCGCTTGGTTTCGTAGCATTCGTCAGCGTGTTTTACGCCGTCGTCGTGCTCGTGGTGAGGAAAAGTAAAAAGTCGCCCTCGAAGACCGGTACCGATCCCGATGACGACGAGGCTTTTGATAAGTTTCTTCGCGACGTGACTGTGACAAAGTCAAAGACTCACACGAGACGAGAGAGCGACGGTGGATTGGCGTCCTTCCTGGGCTTTGTCAAGAAGCGAGTCGACGACGTGGATGAGTTTGCAAAGTACGCTAGCGCTCGATTACAGCGTACCGTGGACGAAGATGGTGAGGATGATGTCGACGAAGAAAAGGTGTGGCATCAATCCACGGTAAGCGCATCGGGTTTGGAATCGACCTCCATCTCTGGAACCTCGACGCCACGCGCGTCGACGTCGGCGTCGTCGCCGAATCGAGTCAATCACGATCCCGATCGCGTCTTGGATAAAGCGGTGGTGAATCGAAGTTTGCAGTCGATTCGTACGCGTGAGCTTTCATCGCCCGAACGCATACGAAACGTGCGCTCGCGTGCGGGGACGGCGGATCCGTCGCCGGCGACGACTCCTCGCGAAACATCGTATCTAACGCAACAAACCATCGATAGACTCGAGCCGGAACGACCGAAGCAACGGCAGCCGCAGTCGGATCAGGAACCACCGCAACGTGAACAGCGTGAGCGGCAATCGTCGCGAGCGAAGGCGAACAAACCGTCACCGCAAGTGTATCGCTCGCTCTTCCCTAGGGAACAAACCGAGCCGCCTCCCGCGCCGCCGCGCCGCCCCGGAGACGCGCCGCAAATAGTGCGTTCGATGACGACTAAATTCTACTAGATTAGATTACGTTGGAATTACACTTTCCTCTCGATTATATATACGCGCTCGCGCGCTCACCGTCGCGCCCGCCGCACCGGTCGGTCGCGCGCGCGGCGACCGACCGACTTATCCGTTTATCGCGACGCCGATTTTCGCCGCGCGCGACCAACGACTGCGCATTGTGAGCGCGCGAAGCGGTAACGCGACGCATCGCGAGGTGCCCTCGGCGGCGGCGGAAACCCGGAAACCCTCGACTGCCGGGTGTGTTCGGTTGCGCGCGCGACTTTGACGCGCGCGCGCTCGGACGCACGCGCGCTCGATCGAACGCGTCGACGAGACGCACCGCGAGAGCGCACGCTTCGCGCGCGAACGCGTCGACGAGCGCGCGCGCGCGCGCTTCATCGCGACGCGGGCGAACGGCGAGCGACGCATCGGACACCCGGGAGGATAAAGCGCGCGTCGAGCGCGGACGGCGAACATGGGACTGTCTCGAGGGGCGCGCACGGGGTCGTACGTCGATCTGTCGAAGGAAGCGACGCGTCCGGGGCAGACGGGGATCTTGGATAACGGAGACGCGGCGTCCGATGGGACGTTCAAGTCGAAGATCATCTGCACGCTCGGACCGGTGTCGCGAACGGTGGAGATTTTGGAGGAAATGTTGAGGGCGGGGATGTCGGTCGCGCGGTTCAACTTTTCGCACGGCTCGCACGAGTATCACCAGGAGACGTTGGATAATTTGCGCGCGGCGTGCGCGAACACGGGCATTCATTGCGGGGTGCTGCTCGATACCAAGGGGCCGGAGATTCGCACCGGGATGCTCGCGTGCGGGGGACCGGTGATGCTCGAAGCGGGGAAGGAGATCGTGCTCACCACGGACTACGAGTTCAAGGGTAGCGCGGAAAAGCTCGCGGTGTCGTATCCGGACTTGGCCAAGGACGTCAAGCCCGGTTCGAAGATTTTGTGCGCCGACGGTTCCGTCACCTTCACCGTGCTCGAGTGCGACGTCGCCAAGGGCGAGGTGCGATGCCGCCTCGAAAACAGCGCCAAGCTCGGCGAGCGCAAGAACATGAACTTGCCGGGCGTCAACGTGAACTTGCCCACGATCACCGAGAAGGATCGCCTCGATTTGATCGAGTGGGGGGTGAAGAACAACGTCGACTTCATCGCCGCCTCGTTCGTTCGCAAGGGAAGCGACGTCGAGTACATTCGCTCCGTTCTCGGCGACTTCGCGAATAAAGTTTCCATCATCTCCAAGGTTGAGAACATGGAGGGCTTAGATAACTATGACGATATTGTCGAAAAGTCCGACGGCGTCATGGTCGCTCGCGGCGACTTGGGTATGGAGATTCGCATGGAACAAATATTCTTGGCGCAAAAGCGCATGATCAAGCGGTGCAACTACGCGGGCAAGCCCGTAGTGACGGCGACGCAAATGCTGGAGTCCATGACGGGTGCCCCGCGCCCGACGCGCGCGGAGGCCACGGACGTGGCCAACGCTATTCTCGACGGTACCGACGCCGTGATGCTCTCCGGGGAAACCGCCGCGGGCAACTACGCCATCGACGCGGTCAAGTGCATGGCGTCCATCTGTCGCGAAGCCGAAGCGTACGTGGACAACGTGGCGAGCTATCACCAAATCCTCGAGCAACAGCCGATTCCTATGGGCGTCGAAGAGTCTTTGGCTTCGTCCGCCGTTCGTACCGCGCAAAAGGTGCAAGCCTCCATCATTGTATGCCTCTCTCGCACCGGCACGACTTCTCGTTTGATCGCCAAGTACCGCCCGGATGCGCCAATCTTATCTGTGTGCTACGCTGAAGAAGCCGATCCGGCGAGTGTTGCGCGCCGCTCGCTCGTCAGCCGTGGCATTATCCCGGTTATCCAACCGCCGGAGTGGGGTCAAGGCAACGCCATCGTCCCGCAAGAAGTCATGCGTAACGCCATCCTCTACGCCCGTGATACGCTGAAGATCGTCAAGCCTGGCGACGCTGTCGTCGGCGTGCACCGTCTCTTGGGCGAAGCCATCTTGAAGGTCGTCGTCTGCCCAGAAGGTAACGCCTTCTAAGGACTCAAAGAATCGTTCTTTTCCATCACACGTATTGTCGGCAGCACGCTCTGCACACACGCGCTCTGCACCCATCGCGCGGTAGGAAGTAATCTCGCCTTATCCGGCACATCACAATATTACACAAAACTATTTTCTCCAAAAGCTACCGCTCGACTGCTGGCGTTAGTCGTCTTCGTCAAAGACAGATTCCATCATGAGCTTGAACTCGTTCATGCTCTCGACGCCAGCGATGCTCGGTGTGGAGTTGTCGCCGCGCATCATGGGCGAAACAATCGGCGGTGCGCGCGGATGCAAGTCGTCACCCGCGACGGCGTTGGACCAGGAATCAATCTGATCGTCTTCGTTCGCGAGCTCGAGGATGGTCGCCGCGTCTTCCCTGGTGTACTGGTGCGTGAATCGTCTCTCTTCGTCGCCCGAATCGCCATCTTCGACGTCTTCCACGACAACCTCATCTTCTAATCGCGCAGTGGCGACGACATCCTTGTACAAATTCGTCGGAGCTCGAGTATACTCGATCGGTTTACTCTTCACTTTCTCCTCCAAATCCGCCACGAGCTTGAGCGTTGTCTCGTGCGTCAAAGACGCGTCGACGGGCAATCCCAAAACCCGCGCCTTTGGTGGCGAAACCGGCGTCGGCGGCGCGCTCGATCGCGGTCGTAATGCCTGTTCACGTCCGACGCCCATAAATGCGGCATACGGGTCCCACGGCGCGTCATCTCCGCCCGCGGGTTTCGGCGACGTCATCGCCGGCTCGAAATTCGCCTTCGCCTCCGGGCTGTCTTCGACGGGCATGGGTGTCAGGCTTAACGCTACGCGCGGTGTCGGCGTCGATACCTCCGCCTCATCACTTCTCCTCGTCTCTATCGTGTTCAACGGCGGCGAAGGTGCGCGCTCTACGACGCCCGGAAGCGCCGCAGCGCTCGCCGCCTTCGTCGGCGTCTCCACGACGCTCTGCAACGCCTCGTCCACGACGCGTTCACCCAACAGCTCGCGAAGCTCGTCCTCAAGCGCGCGCAAGCGTTCCAACGCGCTCCCCTTGGACGGTTCCCACGGTCGCCACGGTCGCTCACTGTCTCGCGCGTCTCTCTCTCGCGCGTCCCGCTCGGCGTCCCGCTCGGGCGCCGCCCCGCCGTCCTCTGCGCGACCCGAACCCGTCGTCTCCCCCTCCAGCTGCGCGAGCACGCGCGGTAAATCACGCATGAGCACTCGCGCTTGCGCGAGATCGATCTCGTCCAGTTCGTCGTCGTCGAACGCGTCCGACGCGACGTCTGGAATACCGCTCGAACGTCGATTCGCGTCGTCGCCGGCTCCGCGCTCGTCGCGCATGATCTCGAGCGCGCGCGCGCGCAGGTCGACGTCGACGTCGACGTCCGTCGGCGCGCCGCGCGCGGCGAGGGGCGACATCGACGCGCGATGGGCGCGAGGCGACGACTGAAGCGGCGGTTCGTTCGCGCACCAACCAACGTTTATTTATTTCTGCAACGAGCGAGACGCGCGGAACGGGCGGCTGCGGACGCGCACGCGCGAGGCGTCGCGCCGCCGGATGACGAGGCGAAAGTTGACGACTATCGCGATGTACAACACGGCAGGACGCGCGATGCGTCGGCTAAATACCATCTAAATCGTCGAAGATGTCGAATTCTTCCTTTTCCTCGTCGCGTTCGCGAGGATCGAGTCGACGCTCGCGGACGAAGAACGCGGAGGCGAATCGACCTTTGCGGTAGCGTCGAGCGACGACGCGACGCTCGGTATCGTCTAACATCGCGCTCGGTGGGCCTTGGTCGTAGCGACCGCACTCGACGACGAGTTGGTCGTCGACGGATTCGACGAGGACCCAAATGTGGTTGGGAAGGAACACCAACGGCGAGTTCCCGCCGAGGACGTACTCACCGCCCATGGCCCAGCTCGATGGGGACTTGACCGCCCACCACGGAACCACAAGCATGCCCTCGGGATCACGCGCCGCCGCCTCGATTTCCTCTTTCGCTCGTCGCTCCTCTGCTTCCCTCTCCGCCTCCGCGGCGCGCGCGAGCGCTGGATCGTTTGGTTTTTGTTCCGCAAGCTTTTGCGCTGGACCGACGTCTATCGGCGAAGACGTCGACGCATCCTCACCACTTGTTTCGCGCTCTTCGGGTACATCTGCTAGCGCTTCGAGCGCTATGAATGTCACCCCGCTCGTCGCTCGCCATTCGCCGACGCTCACGGCGTCTTCGGTTAAAATATCCCCCGTCGCCGGACTCGCCGCCCGCGTCTCGCATTCGCTCGCCGTCTCGTGAGTGATTTCGATTCCACACAACTCCCAGTTCCGCCTCTGTCCCGGTGCCGCGCGCACGCGAAGCGAGATCCGCCGCCGCTCTCTCGGCGCCTCCTCTTCGGCAAACGCAAACGCGAACCCAACCTCCGCGCCCTCGACGCACTCTGGAAGCGTCTTCGGCCCATCGCAATAACAACCTTGCACGATGAACATTTTAGCCATCTGTCCGCCCGCGCACACGTCGTGCGATTCCGCGAACGCAACGTCATTCTTCCCGTATTCGCACCCCGCTTCCGGGTACAACTTCTTCGTCTCCAATCGCAACCCATCGCCATCGCTCGTCTTGCCTCCGCTCGTCACGATTTGCCACTCCATGACGTCCACACCGTACTCCTTGAACGCATCGGGGACGTAATTACTCGGCAGCGGCACCGCGGCACCCGTGCGCGGATCGAACGTCGCGCTCGCTCCGGCGTATTCGCCCGCGTGCGCGGCGACGAAGTCATCCCAGACGTCCGAGGGCGGCCAATCGCGATTGGCTTCGAGCGCTCTCGACGCGACGTGCGCGCAATGACGCGCGTGAATTTTGAGTCGCGCCGAGGTCGACGTCGAGCGCGCGCACGCGCCGTGGCGATGCGTTTTCTGTACGCTCCAAAAAGTACACTGGGACGTCATTGCGCGCCTCTCGCGTCGTCGATGCGACGCAAAAGACGCCGAAAGCGCGCGTGTCGAATGACACACCGCGCGTTCCGTCAACAAAACTCGCTTGCGTCGTAAACGTCGCGTTTTCGCGTCGACGCGGGGTGAAATGGCGAACACATTGGGACAGCAGGTTGTTAACATTTGGCGAGTCAAAACTTGTGACGGTCGAACTCGTCGCACATCGAGGCGGGCGACGACGCGAGAATGCGCGCGCGGCGTAAACGGTTCCAAGTAATTGTCAGCGCGTGTTACGGCTCGCGCGGGGACGTGATGCCGTGTTTGACGATCGCCGCCGCGTTGGCGCGGCGGCTCGAAGGCCAAGCAACGGTGGTCGCCATGGCGAATCCAGTGTTTGAGAATGCCGTCGCGGCGAACGTGCGGTTCATCGGTGTGGGGAGTCGAGATGAATACGAGTGCGTGCAACGCGACCACGCTTCTAGGCGAGACGCGCGCGTGGTGGTGCGGTATTGGTTGGATCATTTGGAGACGCACGCGGAGCGTATTCTTGAGGCGCGCGCAGACGCTGGAAGGACGATTGTGTTGGCTCACACGCTCGATTTGGCGGTGCGGTGCGTGGACGAGCGCGCTAACGACGAATGTTTAACGTGTTACTCCCTGGTGCTCTCGCCCGCGCTGTTGAGAACGCCAAATCAAACGATTCCGCCGTTCGCGGGTGAGCGCCTTCGGTGTTTCGGGCGATCGCGTTGGGCGATGCGCGCAGCGGATTGCCTAGTCGATATCGCGTTCGCACCGCAGCTCAACGCGTTTCGCGCTTCGCTCGGGTCGACAAAACCAGTCAAAAGAGTGTTTGACGAGTGGTTTTTATGTAAAGCCGGCGTGTTCGCGATGTATCCCGAATATTTCGAGCGAGCCGCAGACGCCGGCTCGAGAAAAGTATTCCAAATAGACTTTCCCCAAGAAGGCGGCGACGTGAACGTGACTGGCTTGAATGCGATTCGCGTCGCTCGAGAGTTCATCGATCGCGATGACGCGCCGACCGTCGTTTTCGTATCAGCCAGTGGAAATCCACCCTTTGCGTCGCAATTTTTCGCCACCGCCGTGAAGGCGATGCGACGGCTGGCGGGCGCGAAAGCCATCTTGCTGACGCGTCATCGCGATCGGATCGGCGAGTTACCCGAAAACGCGATCCACATCGACTTTCTCCCTTTGCACCTCTGTCGCGACGCTGGCTTGAAAATCGCTGCGCTCGTTCATCACGGGACCATCGGGTGCTCGGCGACGGCGTTGCGAAGCGCATGGCCGCAAGTCGTCGTTCCAGCGGCGTTCGACCAGCCGTACAACGCCGCGCTCCTCGAAGCGATGGGTGCGGCGCAAATTATCCACATGACACGTCTCACGCGCACGCGGCTTGTGAAAGCGCTTAAAATTGTGTTCAAGGAAGAGGCCCGCGCGCCGGAAACCGCGCCGCGACGTCGAGCGAACGACGCGTCGTCACCTCAAGCGCGCGTCGCGGAAATCATCGCTAAGGAATTATTGCAATACGGCTAAATATACATCTACTCTACGATCACGTCGCTGTCGCTGTCGTGCATATCGTCGTCGCTATCATCGCTCACGTCGCTCACGTCCCTGGCCCACGATTGCACTCTCGCGCGTTCGACTTCTCTTCTCTCCGCCGACCGCAAGCGTCGGATCTTTTCAGTCGACGTCACGACTTCGCCGTCTCGCTCGCAATCACGCGAGGCGTGGACTCGAGGCGTCGTCGTTTCCGTCGCGGGTTCTCTCGCCGCGCCGGCGCCGATCGCCGCGCCCCAGGTGAGACGTTTTCCGCACCGCGCGCACGGCCCGTGGTCCGGGATCAATCGACTCGACCACGACAACGCCTCGTCCCCGGCGCGATCGAAAAAATGACGCGCCAAGCACACCGGATGAAAACGCGCGCCGCACGTCGCGCACCCGACGGCGCGATCGCTTCGAATCGCCTTCCCGCACGCGTCCACGCCGCACTTCAGCGCTTCCCCGCCCGGCCGAGACGCCGACGCCGACGCGCTCGGCGTCCCACTCACACCGACGTCCATCACCCGCGCTCGCATCGCATCATCCATCTCCTCATCCATCTCCTCCTCCTCCGCGTTCGCGCTCGCCGCGACGATCGCATCCATCTCCCGCGTCGTCGTTCGTCTCCGCTCCACGTGCGCCGGAATCGCGTCCGCGTACTTTTCAATCAGCCTCTCCCCGACCTCGCTCATGCAGTGCACCGTCAGCGGCATGTGTTTCCACGGCGCCGTGTTCAACATCCCACACATCACCATCGCCTTCTTCCCCGGCGCGCTCGTTTTATCGCTCACTCCGCGCTCCCTCGCCAACGTTCGCGTCGCTCGACAGCTCGCCGGTCGCTGCCACGCCCACTCAAACTGCAGCGCCTGCACCTTGTCGCTGAATCCCGAGACGACGAGCACCATGTCGCACGGTCGCAGTCGCATCGTGTACTTGGCCCCGTTCGCGATCGCGCCGTTGTGCTGCGCGAGTCGTCGCGGCGGGTTCGTCGTGAATCCGACGTACGACTTTCCCTTCTTGCTCGGATCGAGGCTCACGACGAGGTAACACGCGTAGAGCGCGCGCGCGGGCGCGCGGCGCGTCGGCGCGTCGCGCGTCGGGGGCGCGCGCATCGCGCGGCGCGCGCGACGGCGACGGCGACGCGCGATCGATTGTGACGGTTGGTGTCTGCGGTTCTTTTTTTCGCCGTGTGTAGTGGATTAATGATGGTATCCAGAATATAGGCCGTTTCGAGGAGTGTGTGCGGAAGGACACCGGACGCTCTTAATTTTTTAAGAGGTCGGCGTTGTTCACTTAAGCCTACTGCGTCGCGTTCGTCGCCTCGCGAAGGATGAATGATGAATGATGAATGTGGCGTTACAAGGCGCGGCGATGGCGAATAAAGGTGACGGCGGCGCGCTGCTACGCGATGGCGTCGTCGTCGTCGCGCGCGTTCAAGGCTTGCGCGATGAGACGCGCGTTTTCGGCGTTGTGAATGGCGAGCGAACCGGTCGCCGGCGCGGCGCTCGGCGGGCGGCCGACGAATCGAACGCGTCTGTTTTCTTCGTCGACAGACGCGCGGACGCGGGTGGCGCGCTCGGTTGTGGCGATGCGCGGAGCGACGAAAGACCAGTAACCCATGTTTTTCGGCTCCTCTTGCGCCCAGACGAGATGGGCGTTGGGATAGCGCTGTAATCGACGCGCCAGGGCGTCGTGAGGAAACGGGAACAGCTGCTCCAATCGAATGATGGCGACGTCGTCGATCTTCTTCGCCGCGCGTTGCCTGGCGAGCGAGTAATAAATCTTGCCCGTGCACAAAATCACGCGTTTGATCTCGCCGTTCGGTTTGAGCGGAATGTTTTCGTGACGCGTGACGTCGTCTCCCGCGTCGCCGTCGGCGATGACGCGCCGGAACGAAGACTTCGGCGCAAAGTCCATGAGCTTGGACGCGCAGTGCTTGTGATGCAGAAGCGTTTTGGGCGTGAGCACGACAAGTGGTTTTGAGTGCGGAGAGCTTATTTGCCGCCGAAGCGCGTGGAAGTATTGCGCCGGCGTCGATGGCTGCACCATCACGAAGTTGGCCTGCGCCATGACAGAGGCTCGCGCGCGGCGGCGCATGTAACGAATCCAGTCTCGCCTGTGCACCTTGCCGCTCGACCCGAAATACGCTTCGACGTCGTCCCACATCCCACTCTCTGCGGCATCAGCGCCGTTCGCATCTTGGCCTTGGCCGAACGTGTCCATCTTAGATTTACTCTCGGCGTCGTTTCGCGTCAAGATGGAGCGAATGTTTTCCAATTCCACGAAATCATTCTTGTCCGGCCCGAGCGCGTCGAATGTGCGTTGGGCGAACGCGAGATCGGCCGCGGCGTTCCCAGGGAGCGAGTCGCAGTCGTCGTTCGCCGCCGCGAGCCAACGTTCGGGGCGTGCTGTGGAGTGATCCGGGCCTTGACCCTCATACCCGTGCGGTAAGAGTAAAACGATGTCGCTTCGCTGACCCCAACGTTCTTCGCCCGAGCAAATATATTGGTCGATGATGACCTGCGCGTTGTTTGCGAAGTCGCCAAACTGTGCTTCCCAAAGCACGAGCGCTTCTTTACCCATCTCGGATGCGAAACCGTACTCGAATCCCAACACCGCGTGTTCGCTCAGTGGGGAATTCGCAGCGGTGAATTTGTCTTGCGGACCCATGTTCATATTGTCCAGCGGCACGTGTTCATGCGACGTGCGATTGCAATACACCGCGGCGTGACGTTGATTGAAGGTTCCTCGAACGCAATCTTGCCCACTCAGTCGAACGTGCGCGTGGGAGCCGATCGGGGGATCTTCGCCTTCGCCCGTCCACCACGGGACGTGATTTTCCCATCGCTTTTCGCATGGGTGCATGAGAAGCGACGCAAAAGCGAGCGCTTCGGCGGTCGCCCAATCGATTTGCCCTGCACCTACCTGGACATCGGGCTCCATGGCGCGTCGACGCGCTTCGAACATCGCCTTGACGTGTGGATGAAGCATAAAATCAGTGTCCTCGGGAGGCGTAGTGATGGAGTGGCAAATCTTCTGCAGCGCATCAATCGGCATCCCGGTGCCCGCCGCCGTCACGCGAGCTTCGCGACCGGATACGCCTGTAGAGACCGCTCGCGTCGACGCGAGCCACGATTCGGTAGTTCGAATGAAGTCTTGGTGCGTGGCACCTTCCGCGGCGAACTCCTTCTCCATCCCTCGACGCAAGTCGTCGAGCTCATCCTTGCTCAGGATGCCCTCCGCCACGCACGCGTTGGCGTAATTCTCCGCCACTCTCGGGGTGGCTTCAATTCTTCGAGACATGAGCGGAAGTGTGATGGATGGATCATCGAGCTCGTTGTGACCGAATCGACGGTAGCACACGTAGTTGACGACGACGTCGGATTGAAATTCAGCTCGATAGTCCGCAGCCAAGCGCATGGCGGAGACGACGGCGTCAGGGTCGTCGCCGTTGACGTGAATGATCGGCGCGCCGTAGGCTTTCGCGACGTCACTCGGGTGTGGACTCGAGCGCGCGCGTCGAGGCACAGTGGTGAAACCGATCTGGTTGTTCACCACCACGTGCACCGTGCCCCCGGTGGTGTAATCGGGCAAGTCTTGCAACTGCATCACCTCGCCGTTTTGTCCGAGCCCACAAAATGACGCGTCGCCGTGCAACAGCAAGGGCAGAACGTGCGCCCGCGCGCTCGCACCTTCGGTTTGTGAATCACGCTTGAACTGTTTCGCGCGAACCACGCCGCTGACGACGGCGTTGACCATTTCCAAATGACTCGGATTCGGCACCAGAGTCAGCGCCACTTGCTTTGCTCCTCGCTCGACGTCGACGTCCACAACGGCTCGCGCGCCGAGATGGTATCGAACGTCTCCGACTAGAAATGATGACCTATCGTCTACGATTTCCGCGCATATCGCTCCCAAGGGTTTGCCGAACACGTTGTGTAACACGTTCAAACGCCCCCGATGCGCCATGCCTAGAACGACGCACCCCACGTCTCGCTCCGCGGAACGCTCGACGAACGCTTGTAAACCCGGCACCAAGCTCTCCGCGCCCTCCAACCCGAATCGCTTCGCCGAAGGGAACTTTTCCGCGAGAAACACCTCCAATCGATCCGCCGTCAACAACCGCTCGAGCGTTCGTCTTCGCTCCGTCGCCGAAGCTTCTCGAGGGCCGCACTCGACTTGTTCCCTCAACCATCGCTTTCTCTCCTTGCTCGTCAAATGATTACACTCCACGCTCATCGTGCCGCAATACACATCTCTCAACCTTTCGAATAACTCATCGACGCGCCACGCCGTCTTCGCGCGCGCGCCGCTCGGATCCAGCGTCGCCGCGTCCTCGCCCAGATGAAACCTCTTCTCCGGCGCGCGACGCGCGCTCTCGCTCAGCCCCAAATACTCCCCCAAGCTCACCTTCGTCTTGCAGTCCTCCTTATAAAAGTGATCCGGGTACCCTTGCAACAGCGCGTGAATGTCTCGCGCGTCTTTCGGCGTCGTGGCCTCCATCGTCTCGTACCCTCGCACGATCGGCCCGAGCGAGCGCCCCAGCGGGTCCAACGCCGCCGTCAGGTGTCCCCGCGCTCGCACCGCCCGCGTGAGCTCCGTCAGCGCCAGCGCGTCCGTGACGTCGTCGAACCGATCGCCGTCGTCGTTCGCGCCCGTCGACGCCGTCGTCGACGCCGTCGTGGACGACGCGCGACGCGCAATCACCGTCAACGTCGGCGGATTACCGTTACCGCGCGCACCCCTCGCGCCGGCGTCCGCGGCGCGCGCGCGGTCGAGCGCGCGCGCGAGCGCGCTCGTGGCTCTTCGCGTCGACATGCGCGCGGCGCTCGCGGCGACGAGGACGCGAGCGACGCGTCGTCGTGTGCGGATGCGATTCGTTCGTGAATCCTCAGTCGACGACGCGATGTCGGACGCGCGACCGCCGCGCGCGCCGCGCGAGGACGCGCGCGCGGCGACGCCGGAGCACGTCGTCGTCGACGGCGCGCAGTGCGAGGCCGTGATCGCGCGATTGGCGCACGAACCGTCGCTGGGACACGCGTACGTGGTGTCGCACGCGAAATCCCGCGCGGCGTTCTTCGCGCGCGAGGCGCGCGCGATGGACGCGCACGCGTCGGGGACGTGCGCGAGGATGGCGAGCGACGCGACGAGCGCGATGGAGACGATCGGGGCGGTGGCGAGGGTGGATTTTGATGGGGTGATGGAGAAGATGGATCGGTGCGCGGCGGCGTTGGAGGCGTTGGCGAAGCCGTCGTAGATAGATTCGTTGCGTAGCGTAGCGTAGCGTAGATTATCGTTGATTTCGTCATTGTCTTTCATTTCGTGGCGTACAGCGCGATCATTCTCGAGAATCGCGCGCGCGATGTCATCGGTTTGAGGTCGGCGTCGAACAGAATCCATCGTATCACGTCTTCTGGCAAGTCAAGTTCGGGCCAAGCGCGAAGGAAGTGATTCACCGCAGGCGTGAGCTCGCGCAGCGACACGTACCCGTCACGTTGACGCGACAATGCGATTTGGACAATCAAATCTGTCGTACAGGCGCATATTCGTTGCCAACCGACGACGTATCGCGCCGATTCCGGCGCGCTGTGATCTTGCGCGTACTTCAAACACCCCAAACGTCCAGTATAGGCGGCACATGCGCACGTCTCCTCGTTCCAAGGACACCCGTGCTCGTGCGCGTACTTCAAACACTCCAAATGTCCATGCATGGCGGCAAATGAGCACGTCCACTCGTCCCAAGGACACCCGTGCTCGTGCGCGTACTTCAAACACTCCAAATGTCCACTATAGGCGGCACACCGGCACGTCCCCTCGTCCCAAGGACACCCGTGCTCGTGCGCGTACTTCAAACACTCCAACTCTCCATACTTGGCGGCAAACTGGCACGTGTACGCGTCCCACTCGTGCCCGCACTCGCGCGCCATCCGCACGAGTTCCAAGTCTCCCAGAAACGCCGCGCACGCCGTCACGCACGCCCCGTGGCCTCCCCCCAGCGACTCGTCCTCGAGCGCGCGCAGCGCGTCGTCTATCGCACGCGCCGTGAACCAACCGACGCTCCCTCTCGCCGACAGCAATCGCGGTCGCAACCGCCGTCGCAACCGTCGCCTCGCGCGCGCCATCCTGTCGATATCGACCGCCTCGACGGCGACCTCAACCGTCGCGATCGATCGACCGATCGGTCCGTGTTGTAACCCTCGATCGCGACACCCGCGCGCGCGTCGGCGTCCGCCTTTCCGCGCCGCGACGCACGCGCACGATGTCCAAGAGAGGTGCGCCGACGACGACGCGACGCGCGCGCGCGCGAACGCCATCGATCGATCGATCGACCCGCGCGACGCGCGACGCCGCGCGACGCGCGCGCTCGAACATCGACGCGCGCGCGATCGCGCTAGGGCTTTGACGCGCGCGACGCGAACGATGGACGACTGACGCGATGGACGCGCGCTTCGACGACGCGACAGGCGGCGGTAATGCCTCCGGCACGAAATACAAAATGTCCTACGGCGTCCCCGTCGGCGCGGTGGTGAACTGCGCGGACAACACCGGGGCGAAGAACTTGTATTTGATCGCCGTGAAGCGATGGGGCTCGCGACAAAACCGCTTGCCGGCGGCGAACCCCGGTTCGATGGTCATGGCGACGGTGAAGAAGGGGAAGCCGGATTTGCGTAAAAAGGTTTTCCCGGCCATCATCGTGCGTCAGCGCAAGCCGATTCGACGCAAGGAAGGGTTGATCATTTACTTTGAGGACAACGCGGGGGTGATTTGCAACCCGAAGGGCGAGATGAAGGGGAGCGCCATCGCGGGGCCGGTGGCGAAGGAGTGCGCCGATCTCTGGCCGCGTGTGGCCAGCGCGGCGAGCTCTATCATCTAGATCTCGACGCGATCGAGATCGAGAGAGAATCGCGCGGTTTGAAGTAGAAGTAGACTCGCCCGGTTTCATTCAATAGCCAAGGAGGTTTTGCCCAAACTTTCGCGGCGCGCGCGCGCGGTTTGTGTGTTTGCGTTCGTCGTCACGTCGCGGCGCGCGAATCGCGATGCGCGCCTCGATCGCGCGCGCGTGACGCTCGCGTCTACATCGCAGGACTCGCTCGCGCGAGCGCGCGGCATGCGCGCCGTCGACCTTTCGTTCGTCGTCCAACCGACACTAAAAAGTGCACCGCGGCTGCGGGCGACGTCCGAGCGCTGGCGGCGCGCGCGCGCGCGCGCGTCGCCGCGAGAAGGCGCCGCGTCATCGTCGTCATCGACTGATTCGTGCGTCACGACGCGCGATCTCGTGGATACGTCGCTGAAGTTTGCCTACGCGTGGGCGGCGTTCGGTTACGTCGTCCCGAGCGCGGCGCTCGCGGCGATGGTCGACGCGGACGATCTCGGCGCGAGCTTAGCGGTCGTGCAGCTTTCGTGCGAGAGCGCGAAAGCCGCGGCGACGGTGCGGGTGCTGGACGAGATAGATCGGGGCGTGGGAAGTCTGAGCTCGAGCGACGACGACGGTTTCGTCGCGCGCGGCGCGGCGTTCGGCGGCGTCGCCGTCGTCCTCGCGCGCGCCGTCGATGGATTAGTTTCGACGACGTCGACCGTGGACGCCGTCGCGGCTGCCGACGCACCGACATCGCTCATCGCGCACGCGGGTCCGTTCGCTGCGTCGTGCGCCGTCGTCGCGTCGTGCGTCGTCGCTCCCGCGCTCGAAGAGCTGTTCTTTAGAGGGTTCCTCTGCGAGGACATTCGTCGACGCACGTCCAACGCCGCGCTCGCGATCGGCGTTTCTTCGGCCATCTTCGCGCTCGCGCACTTTTCTTTGCCAGACGTCCCATCGCTGTTCGCGTGCGGCGTCGTCTTCGCGCTCGCGAGTCAAAGTCGCGGAGGCGTTCGCTCCGCCTTCGTCGCGCACGCGCTGTTCAACTCCAGCGTCCTCATCGAGCGCGCCGCGGTCGCGCGCGCCATCGTCGACGCATCATAGCTCGCGCGGGCGTCTGAGCGCGCCTCTCATCGTACAGTGCTGTGGTATTCATTCCATTCTAGTTTGCTACTTGCCCTCGCCGCGTCTAGTCCTTGATCCGCTCCAGCTCCGCCAATCGCTCCATGATCGCCCGCTTACTCGTATCCTGCACCTCCCCTCCCAATAAAAACTCATCCACGAGCAAGTACACCTTCTGGAAGTTGAACACCAGATCGAGTTCGCACACGTTGGCGAAGAAGTGATCCAGCATCTCCACGAATAAGTGAATCGATTCCAAGTGCGTCAGCTCGTTGTCGTTCAGGTCCACGCACAGCGAGAAGAACAACCCGGCGTAGCGTCTGTATATCACTTTATAGTTGCGAAACTCCACGAAGTTCGTGTGCTTCGGGTCGCGGTTGACGACGAGGCGGTGGACTTCGGATTCTAATTTTCGCTTTTCATCGTCGGCGAACGGGACGTAATACTTGGCCAAGCGCGTCTTGCCTTGACGGTTTTGGAGCAGGATGAAGCGTATCATCGATCGGTTTCGACGTCGGGCGGTGCGTGACGCGCGCGGTGGCGACGCGCGCGCGCGTGTGCGGACCGCGAAGGATGACTGAGGACCTGGGCCGTCTCGAGGCGTCGCGGCTTTGTACGAGGTGCAAGATTTCTGATTTAAAATTATTAATTGTGCTTGATTTATTCGGGAACGATGATGACTTTAAGCACGGCCTCGCCCATGATGCGATGGACGCCGACGATGGCGTCGCCCGGTTTCACTAAACCTAAAATGTCGCGGCAGTGTACGATGGCGTTGCGCATGACTTCTTGCGGGTGGCCGCTCTCGCCGCGCCACGCCGGGTTCTCCAAGAGAGGTACGAGGCCGCGCGTGATGAGCGAGCGGTGCACGACGTCAAGAGCGCGACCTTGGTGATCGGGCTCTTCGATGCAAACGTTCACGATGCGAGTCTCGGGTCGATACTTGGCGATCATTTGCGCCGTGTGACCGGTGCGAGACAACGTAACGATGAGCGCGGCGTTCACCTTTTGCGCGGTACGAACGGCGGACGAAGCCAAGGCTTCGGTGATGCCGAGCGGGATCACTTGCTGCTCGAGAATTTGGAAATAGCTCGCGACGTCATCGACGTACGCTTCGGCTTCGCGACAGATGGACGCCATGCACTTGACCGCGTCTATGGCGTAGTTGCCCGCGGCGGTTTCCCCGGAGAGCATCACGGCGTCGGTACCGTCGAGAATAGCGTTGGCCACGTCCGTGGCCTCCGCGCGCGTCGGGCGCGGGGCACCCGTCATGGATTCCAACATTTGCGTCGCCGTCACGACGGGCTTACCCGCCAAGTTGCACCGCTTGATCATGCGCTTTTGCGCCAAGAATATTTGTTCCATGCGAATCTCCATACCCAAGTCGCCGCGAGCGACCATGACGCCGTCGGACTTTTCGACGATGTCGTTAAAGTTATCTAAGCCCTCCATGTTCTCAACCTTGGAGATGATGGAAACTTTATTCGCGAAGTCGCCGAGAACGGAGCGAATGTACTCGACGTCGCTTCCCTTGCGAACGAACGAGGCGGCGATGAAGTCGACGTTGTTCTTCACCCCCCACTCGATCAAATCGTGGCGATCCTTCTCGGTGATCGTGGGCAAGTTCACGTTGACGCCCGGCAAGTTCATGTTCTTGCGCTCGCCGAGCTTGGCGCTGTTTTCGAGGCGGCATCGCACCTCGCCCTTGGCGACGTCGCACTCGAGCACGGTGAAGGTGACGGAACCGTCGGCGCACAAAATCTTCGAACCGGGCTTGACGTCCTTGGCCAAGTCCGGATACGACACCGCGAGCTTTTCCGCGCTACCCTTGAACTCGTAGTCCGTGGTGAGCACGATCTCCTTCCCCGCTTCGAGCATCACCGGTCCCCCGCACGCGAGCATCCCGGTGCGAATCTCCGGCCCCTTGGTATCGAGCAGCACCCCGCAATCGACGCCCGTGTTCGCGCACGCCGCGCGCAAATTATCCAACGTCTCCTGGTGATACTCGTGCGAGCCGTGCGAAAAGTTGAACCGCGCGACCGACATCCCCGCCCTCAACATTTCCTCCAAAATCTCCACCGTTCGCGACACCGGTCCGAGCGTGCAGATGATCTTCGACTTGAACCCAATCCTCTGCGAGTCTTTCGCCCGAAACGCCGCCTCGCTGTCGTTAAACGCATAGTCCTCGCTCGCCTCCCCCCCGTTCTCCAGCACGTGCGCCGCGCGCCAATCCCCGACCGATCCTTTGCTCGCCAGCGCGCTCAGCGCTCGCTGGCTCGACAGCCCCGCCAAGGCCACCGTCCGCCGTCGTTTCTCGTCCCCTCGCGCGTCATCGTGCACGATGGGATCCACGCTCGAGTTTCGCGCGTTCAGTCCCATCTCGATCGCCCTCTCGCGCGTCCCGTCGCCCTCGCCGCGCCGACGTTCGATTCCAAATTCCGAATGCGCCACCGATCGATCCGGCGGCGGCGAACGATCGCGCGTCTCTCGCGCGTCTCTCGCCTCGTCTCGCCCCCGCGCGCGCTCGGTTCGCTCGATCGACGCCTCGCGCGCGTTCGCTCGCGTCCGGGCTCGCGCGCCGCGGTCGCGCGCGTCGTCGTGTCGCGTCTGTGCGCGAACACACCCGGGATCGCCGCGTCGGCGCGCGCGATCGATCGCGCGCGCGCGCGACGCCGCGATCGTCGCGCGAGGTTCGACGCGCGCGCGTCGACCCTCGACCGTCGATCGATCGATCGCTCGAGCGATCGATCGATCGATCGCGCGCGCGCGCGGCGCCGCACACGACGACGGGCGACGCGCGCGCGCGCGCGCGATGCGCGGCGCGGCGCTCGAGCGCGCGTCCGCGGCGCGCGGCGCGGGACGACGCGCGATCGCGCGCGCGCGGGGCGACGGCGGCGCGATGCGCGCGCGCGGGCGCGCGATCGTCGCGACGCGCGCGAGCGCGGACGGCGCGACGACGCGCGTGATGGTGAACGGGGTGAGCGGAAAGATGGGACACGCGACGGCGTGCGGCGTGGTCAAGCGCGCGGGGTTCGAGCTGGTGCCGTACGCGCTGACGAAGCGGGCGACGGCGGCGACGACGGATGTGCTGGGGACGGAGGTGCGAGGCGTGGACGTCGGCGAGGAGGACGCGGGAGAGACGCTGGAACGCGCGAAACGGGAGTATCCGGGGTTCATCGTGGTGGATTACACGCAACCGGACAGCGTGAACTCGAACGCGGCGCTGTACGTGAAGCACGGGGTGCCGTTCGTGATGGGGACGACGGGGGGTGACCGCGAACGCATGCTCCGAGAGGTGAAGGAGAGCGGAAATTACGCCGTGATCGCGCCGCAGATGGGGAAGCAGGTGGTGGCGTTTCAAGCGGCGATGAAATTGATGGCCGAACAGTTTCCCGGCGCGTTCGAGGGGTACACGCTGACGGTGACGGAATCGCACCAGAGTAGTAAAAAGGATACGAGCGGCACGGCGAAAGCCATCGTGGCGTCGTTCAACGATCTCGGGTGTGGGTTCGATTTGAACGATATCGAGCTCGTGCGCGACGTGGAGAGCCAAACGGGGAAGATGGGCGTGCCCGAAGAACACTTGTTGGGGCACGCGTTTCACACCTATCGCCTGACGAGCGCGGACGGCACGGTTTCGTTTGAGTTTCAGCACAACGTGTGCGGACGAAGCATTTACGCCGAAGGTACGGTCGACGCGGTGGGGTTCTTAAAGCGCAAGGTGGACGCGAAGGATCCAAAAACGTTGTACGACATGATCGACGTCTTGAAAGAGGGCGCTATGGGGGAGTGGGTCAAGTGAGCGCCGCGCAGAACAAAATCTAATAAAGAAACAAACGTCATCTACTATCACGCTACTAGTCTACCTAAACGCACGAGACCGCGCTCGGCGTCGACGACTAACGCGCCTTGATTTCGCAAGACGGATAATCCAGCGAAGACGATGTGAAAATCGTCCCCGCAGCCCGGCCACGGAACGTCGATGGGGGTGACGACGAATAAACAATCCTCGCTCAGCTTGCACGTCCGCAGCGACGAGCCGCAATACTTTGTCTCACCGTTCGTGTCCGTGAACTTCATGTGCGTCTGGTACGTGCCGAGATGAAAATCGCTGTCTTCGTACAACTGCCGATCGACGAGCATGCCCGTGGTGCCGCTGTCGAAGACGACGTAAATCGGCTTGGACGTCTCGAACCGCTCGCCGTTTATCCACAGCTCGTCGCACGGCGTCGCGTAGTGGTACACCGGCGCCCCGATCGAGCGCAAATCCACCGTTCGCAAGACCCCGATCTCGCTCTCATCGACGAGCGAGTCCCGACTCAGCGTCAGCGTCTCGCGCTCGAAATCCAACGCGAAGCTCGCGATGTCCGTCTGTTGCAAGAAACTCGGTCGAATGCCCCGTTCGCGATTCGTGTACTTCACCAACCCCACGAACGGCGCCGCGTCTCGTCCTCGCACGTCATCCGTGACGCCGAACACCAAATCTTCAAACTCCAAGCTCCCCAGCGTCGCTCGCTTACCCGCGTACCACGACGTTCGTCCGTCCGCCTGCAGCCCGTACGTCTCGAACGTCGCGTCGTACGCCTCGAACCGCACGTCCTCGGCCTCGACGCACCCCCAACCCGCGCCCGCCCCGCTCGCGTCGCACCCTCGCCGCTGCGACGTCAGAAACGGCGACCCGGTGTCGACGACGCCTCGCAGCGTCCTCGCCGCGTCGCCCAGCGTCCACTCGACGGCGTACGCGCCGCCGCGCTCGAGCGTCATCGGCACCGTCGTCGTCGCCGCGTTCCGTCGCAGCGCCTCGAACGCGTCCGCGTACTGCGCGCGAAGCGTATCGCTCGCGCTCGCGTCTCTCCGCGTCGCGAGCGCGCTCGCGGACGCGCACGACAGCGCGAACGTCCGCCGCGGCATCATCGCGCGCGCATCGCCGTCGTTCGCGACATTCGCGCCGTCGCGCGCGCCCTCGCGCGCCCTCGCACGCGCCCGCGATCTTCGCACGCGTCGTCGCGGTCGCGTCGGCGTCGTCACTCGCCGCGACGCGCCGCGCGACGCCATCGAGTGGCGTCGCATCGCGTCTCGACGCGTCGCGCGATGATGCCGCGCGACGACGCGAATACCGCGCGCGACGACGCGTCGCGCGCGCTGACGACGCCCGCGACGACGACCGACCGCGACGATCGCGCGCCGCGCGTCGACGACGTGTTCAGCACGCGCAGACCGAAAGATCTCGGCGCCGGTCTGAGCTCTGGATTGCAGAGCGCGGCGAAATCGGTGGCGCTCGGCGCGGGCGCGCTGCTCACGGCGCCCGTCGTCGGCGCGCGCGAGGACGGCGCGCGAGGGTTCGTCAAGGGACTCGGATTGGGCGTCGCGAGCGCGATCGTGCTGCCGGTGGTCGGGGCGAGCGTGGGGGTGGCGCAAATCGCGCGCGGCGCCGCGAATACGCCGAGCGCGGTGGCGGCGCGCGCGCGAGGCGAGCGATTCGATCGGAAGACGCGAGAGTGGGTGGCGGAGGATCTGGCGCGCGATGGGGCGTTTTTGGGGGAGACGAGCGATGGGGCGATATTCGAGCGAGCGGTGAGGCGGGCGGAGACGCGAGGCGCGCGGCCGGGGATCGGAGGGATGCTCGAGGAGGCGGCGGGATCGAGCGGGGGGGGCGCGAGGGAGACGGAGTATTACGACGCCCTGGAGGTGTCGCCGACGGCGACGAGCGCGGAGATACGACGGAAATATTATCTTCTGGCGCGAAAGATGCATCCGGATAAGAATCCGAACGATCCCACGGCGAAGGCGCGGTTTCAGGAAATCGGCGAGGCGTACCAGGTGCTGAGCGACGAAAGTTTGCGACGCAAGTACGACGCGCGCGGGAAGGACGCGCTGGGCGACGTTCCGATCGTGAATCCAGCGGCGTTTTTCGGCATGTTGTTCGGGAGCGAGCAAATGGAAGGGTTCGTGGGGAGGTTACAGCTCGCGTCGCTCGCCATGGCGGGGACGGATTTGACCGGCGACGAACAGGATTTGCTGCAGAAACGCCGCGAGGCGAGGTTAGCGATCAAGCTCGCGGCGATGTGTGACGTGTACGTGGACATTGACTCGAAGATGGGCACCGAAAAAGAGCGCGCGGCGCAATTTGTGGAGACGATGCGCCCCGTCGCGCAAACTTTGGCCAACGCGTCCTTCGGGCAAATCATGGTGCAAAAGATCGGCTGGGTGTACGCGATGGAGGCGGAGAAGTTCCTGCACGACCCACTCGCGGGAACGGGGACGTGGCTCGATCTCGGCTTGAGATCGACCGGGGTGACGATGCAACAAAAAGCATCCAAATGGAAGAATAAGTTTTCGGCGCTCAAGGCGGGGGTGAACATCTTTTCTACCGTCCAAAGCTCGGAGGCAGAGGTGCAAAAGGCCACGAACGAGCAGCAGGCGAACGAGCTCAGGGCGAAACAGCAAAGAGACGTCTTACCGCACGTCCTCGACGCGCTCTGGTCGACTTCGAGCGTGGACATCGAGTCGACGCTTCGACACGTGTGCTCCAAGGTGCTTCACGACGCCAGCGTCGCGCAGTCTCGTCGCGCGGGTCGAGCGAAAGCTTTACTGTACTTGGGTAAAATGTTTCAAGAGACGAAATCAACAGATCCCAAAGCGAAAGACGCAGCGGCGGTGCTTGAGGACGCCCTACGCGCCGCGTTTGAACCCGAGCGCGGCGCCGACGACGCCTGAGCGCGTCTTTTCTTGTAACACAACATTCCGACAAATGCATGCATAAATGAATAAATAAATCAACAAGCAAGTGCTAGCTATGATACACTACGCCACGGATTCGTGCACGGGCTTGACGCGCGTCGTCGGCTCGACGCCCGCGAAGGTCTCGGCGACGACTTCGGCGGCGAGTTTTCCGGAGAGCACCGCGCCTTCCATGGACCCGAGAAACTTTTGCGACGTGTAATCACCCGCCAGGGTAAAGTTTTTGATCGGCGTGTGTTGACTCGGACGGAACTTGTTTCGTCCCGGAATCGCGGCGTACACGGAGCGTGGCGTCTTCACCACTGCAAACTTTCGAAGCTTGGCCCCCGACGCGCCGTCTTTACCCGCGCCGAGCTCATCTGGGAACAGCGTTTCGAGCTCTTTCATCGTCGCCGCGACGATGTCTTCGTCGCTGGCGCCGATCCAGTTCACGTCGGAGCCTGCGCGTTTGTCGCACGGCGCGAAGACGAGCTCGAGCATGGAGCGGTCGTCGTCCTTATATTCTGCGCAGCATTCGGACATGTCCGCGTACACGCTGAGCAACGGCGAGCGACTGAACACAAGACCGTCGTACGGGCGCAACTTGCGGTCGAACCAGAGGTGCACGTTGATGACAGGGATGCCTTCGAGCTCGTTCAACTGCCTGAAAAACGGCATCGCTTTCCAAACGTCGGGAAGTTTTAATTTCAACGCGTCCACGGGCATGGCGGACACGTAATGGTCCGCCGTCATGATTTGACCGTCGCGCATCTTCACCCCCTCCACATTTCCGTCGGCGTCGACGAGAATTTCTTGCATGGGCGCGTCGGTGATGACTTTGCCGCCGCCCACGCGTTCGATGTGCTCCGCCATGGGAGCGCACAGCCTATCCGGTTGGTTTCCGTCCAAAAACGCAGTCTTGCTCCCGTGCGTCTCGTTGATGAACCGATTCATCGCCGTCAAAATGACCGTCATCGAGAGCTTATCAGCGTCGATAAAATCCAACGCCTTGCCCATGGCGATGAACAGCTCGTCGCGCACTCGCTTTGGCATGAAATTCTTCTTCATCCACTCCTCGCACGACAACTCATCCTGGGCGTCGATGTAATCCTGTCCCCCGACCAACATGGGCACCAACGGCGCGCCCGTTCTCAATTTCTCGCTCCACGTCAACATCTTATCGTTCGACAAAATCGCGTAACCCATATTGAGCGGCGCGGGCAAAGCCGGCGGAAAGTAAAACTTCGTAAACTCCCCGGGATAATCCTTCATCGCGAACGTCATCGCGTGCTCCTTCCACTGCAATCGATCCTCTATGTCGAGCTCTCGAAACAAATTCATCACATTCGGATACGCGCCGAAAAAAATGTGCAATCCAGTTTCGATCCAGTCGCCGTCGTCGTCTCGCCACGCGCTCACCTTGCCGCCCAGCGCCTTTCCTCGTTCGATCACCGTGGGCGCGCACCCCGCGTCGGCGAGATACTTACCGCAGCTCAGGCCCGCGAGACCGCCGCCGATGACGAGCACCGTGGGCTTTTCCGGGGCGTCGTCGCGTCGCACGCGCGCGCGAAACGTCGCGAGCCTGGCGCTCTTCGCCTTGGCTTCTTGAAAGTTGGCGTTGGATTTGACGTCGAGGTCGGGCTTGGGGTAGTCGGCGCATCGCGTGCGAGGCGTCGCGGTGCGCGCGCGCGCGCCGGACGCGCGGGAGAGGGGGATGGGACGCGGCGCGAGGGCGGCGCGCATGGCGACGTGTGCGGCCGGGACGCGGCGGGACGGGAGCGACGTATAATACAATCGAGTCGCTGGGCTACGACACCGCGCTCGGGGGGGTGAGCTTGTTCTTGACTCTGAGAACGTACTTTTTTAACGTGTCGTCGCCGCGGCGCGCGAGGTCGTCGAGGATGGGTTTCAACTTTCTCGACGCGACGCGCTCGCGGCACGCGCGATGGCGGCAGACGTTGCCGAGGGCGTACACGGCGATCTTCACCACCTCGGCGTCGGCCGAGGGGTCGCCAACGACCTCGGATGGGGTGGACATCAAGTTGATAATGGCGTCGAGCGCGCCGGAGTTCACCATAAGATCGCACAGAATGCCTGAATTGCGAACCAAGTTTCCGAGCGCGGCGCACGCGTTCGAGCGCGTCTTCGCCTCCTCGGTGGCGTCGAGCAAGTGCATGAGCGGATCCACAGCGGCGGTTAGTGGGCCGTACAAAGCGTCGGAATGAAACGCTGCGTTTCCAATCGCGAACGTTGCAAACTTGCGCGTCGTTCGGTCTCGATCACCACATCGCTCGATGAGCTTTTCCAGCGTCTTGACGTCGCGGAATTCTTCGTAAAAGAAGTCGTCGTGGCGGCACACGTTTCCGATGGCGTTACACGCCCTCGCGCGCACGTTCGGGTCGTGATGATCCAGCAGATTCGTGATGCGCTCGATAACGTCTGCTTCGTCGATCAAGGGGTAGTTTTCCTTCTTCATGCGCGCCAACTGCATGATGACGATGAGCCAGTCGACGACGATTTGCGCGTTGCCGCGTTCGCCATCGAGAATCTTTGAGCACAGCGTCGGCTCTAAACCACCGTTTGCCAGGAACTCGCTCGCGAACACGCTCGGACCCATGACTAAGCGACTCAAGAGCGCGATCGGTGCCGGCCAAATCTCTCGCGGAGACGACTTCAAGCGAGCGATGAGCGCTTTCACGACGCCGCGTTCGCTCAAGATGCCTTGGTATCTTCGCATCGCCCGCTCCGTCGCTTCAGGGTCCATTTCGGGCGTAAGCATGTACTTGAACGGCAGGTGGAGAAGCTCCGACGCCGGGACAAGGGTGACGTCGTGAATGACGTCGCCGCTCATCTTCTTCCCAACCTTGGTGAACGCCGTGAGGGCCAAGCACAGCGCCTCGCACACGCCGACGTCGAGCATGGTCACGACGGGGTGCCGCGTGCGCGAGCTCAACAGGGGCTCCATGGCGCACAACACCGCCGCCGCTAATTTCGCGTTATCAGAGGTAATCGTCCGCTTTGAGGTTTCGTCGACGACTATGGCGGCTAATATGCGCACGCCGTCCGCGTCGATCGCCTGCGCTCGAACGTCGTCGCTCGCGTCGGCGACGAGTCTCAGCAATTTCGCCGAGTGCGTCTTCGTCGTCGCGCTCCTAATGAGCTTTTGCGTGCCATCTTTCTTCAGTGATAGCGTCGCGGCGACGTAAGCGGTCAATGGCCCAATTTCCGTCGCCGCAAACAACGCCCGACACGTCTCTGTGGCTGTCGCTTGCGTAGACGACTTCGCCAATGCCTGACACAACGCGTCGGTGACACCGCCGCCGCCCTTGGAACTGTGCGGCCCTAGAGCGCTGCGCGTCGCTGCGAGTTCGGCACTCAACCCTCGCGCTTTTGCGCTTTCTATGGCGTCTGCAATCGCTCGTGACGCCGTCGTCGCTACCGTCTCGCCGACGTCTCGATTTGTGTACCCGAGCAATTTGCCGAGAAATATCAAGTAACCGTTCAAGCCGAGTCCGCACCACGGTGACGGGCCGTCGGGAGACGCCATGGCGGATACGACACTGATGGCCAGCGCCAATAATTCGGGTTGCGGTGGATCCACCGCGTTCGCCGCTGTCGTGCACGCTGCGATGACTGCCGCGGGCATTTCTTTCGTCATCGCCGTTGATCCACCGCCGACGCTCATCAGCGTCGCGCGCGGCACGCGCATCATCGCCAACGTCGTCCTCAAAGCCGACGCAATATCCGCCATTTTCGTCGGCCTAGCTTCTACTTTCTTTGAGGCAAGCGTGCGGTTCGAGATGTAGCTCGGCAAAAACTTGCTGCGATACGACGTCTGCGGCTGAAGCGTGTCCAAGAGCTTGGTCAACGCCGCTCTGTCGCGTCTCAAACCCGCCGCGGATTCCGCAGACTGCCTCGCAGTGTTCTCCAACTCGCGCAAAACCTCGCTCACGTCTTCCATACTCGTCGCCGTTATTGTACCATTCGCGTCTGCGACTCTCCCGTCGCGTCGCCCCGCACCCATGGTGCTCTGTCTTTGGCGTTCACTTGTCGGCCTTGACGGCGTCCTCGGCGACACGTCATCCTCAATGGCGTCGGGCGCCGCTTCATCACCGCTCTCGTCGCCGTCCTTGCGCACGAACGGGTGATCAAGTACGGACGGCCAATTCAATCGCTGCTGCGGCTTCTTGTTGAGTAATCCTTGCAGAAACGATTTAAACGACGGGCTCATCGTGTCCGGCCACTTGACGTCCTCCTTGACGATTTTCTGAATCAACGTATAAATAGACGTCGTGTAAAACGGCGGTTGCCCGACGAACAACTCGTATAAAATCACCCCAACGCTCCATAAATCTACCGCATGATCGTACGGTTGCTCCTGCACGAGCTCGGGCGCCATGTACAACGGCGTTCCCTTGATAGAAGTCATCACCAACGACGACTTGCTCATCGATCGCGCCAATCCAAAATCGCACACCTTGACGCACCGATCGGTACCGATCAATATGTTCTGCGGCTTCAAATCTCTATGAATCACCCGATTACTGTGCAAATAATACAACGCATCGACGAGCTGCCGCGCGATCATCCGCACCTCCTTCTCCGGCAACCGCGCGTCGTGTTCCAACACGTCGTAGAGCACCCCTTGCGCAAACTCCATCACCACGACGAACTCCATGTTCGTCTCGAACGCGTCCAGCATCTTGATCACGTTCGGATGATCGAGCGTTTTCATGATATCGATCTCACTTCGCAAGCTCACCAAATCTCGCTCGGATTTCCCGTGTTTCGGGATAAACTTCATCGCGCACGCCCGTCCGCTGTATCGCTGCCGCGCCTGAAACACCTTCCCGAACGATCCCTCACCGACCGGTCGCAATATGACGTAATCATCCAGCGTCGTTTTGCTTCGAAGCGGCGCGCGACCGGGGGCGTTCGCGTCGCCGTTGCGCTCGCGGAGCGTCGTCGGCGACGCCGCGGTCGTCGGGTTTTCCATCGGTCGCGCGCGGGGGGACGTCGAGATTCGACGCGATCGACTACGATTTCAGCGTCGACGAGCGCGCGCGGGGCGATTCGCGCGCGCGCGAGCGCGTCGCGAGTCGTCGTTGACGCGTCGGCGACGTCTCGCGGTGTCGCGCGTCGGTCCCGGCGCGCGGAACGCGCGCGAGTGCAGATTGTCGCGGTGACAGCTCGAGTATTCTTTGAAATCGACGCCGCGGGACAAATCGCCGCGCGACACCATCGATGTGAACGCGCGAGACGCGAGCGCGACGGTGGGAACGGCCTGAAGAAAGAAGCGTTGTTACACGGTGCGCGAGGGCGGGACGGGTGATCATCGCTTGCCGCGACCGCGACCGCCGCGGCCGCCTTTGCCGCCGCGGCCGCCCTTGCCGGCGCGCTTGGCGGAAGCGCGTTCGCCGCGTGCGTCGGCGAGCTGACGCTTGTCGACGCTCGGGCCGCCGGCGTTGCCGCGATGATACTTGCGAGCGACGACGACTTTCCGAGGCTTTTTGATCGCGCCGCTTGTCGCTCGGCGCGCCTTGGCGAAGACGCGCTCGATTTCCTTGGCTTTGCTGACGTCGGGAACGTCGTCTTGCTCGATGATGGCGGAGGCGCGTACTCGGGCTTGAGAAATCTTCGCCTCCGCGCGTTTCTTCTTACGCCATTTCGCTTCGGCGACTTTCTTGATCGGGCGCGTGTTCACCGCGGCGAGCTGCGCCTTGGCCTCGGCGAGCTCAGCGGCGGTGTACTGCGGAATCGGCTTCATAAAGCGACGCTCGTCTTCAGCGAACCAGTCGGGCACGTCGTCGTCATCGAAGGCGTAGCGGTTGTACGCGTCTTCGATGAGTTCTTCGCGGTCCTTCTTGCGAATCATCTTCTTCCCTAAAGCTAAGATTCGCGCCCGAGTGTCGTCGGAGAGCTCGTCGACTTCGGAATCGTACCCGTAGCCCTCCGCGTCGGAGTCGCTATCTGTAGGCGGTTCCGCCTCGGCAGTGACGACTTCGAAATCGCCACCATCGACGGCTTTGCGTCTCTTTTGCCGCGTGGTGTCTTCATCGGATTCGTCGTCGTACGTGTCGTCGCGCGCGGCGCCCTTTCCGCCGCGACCCGATCCCTTCGTCTTCGCCTCCGACTTGGCTTTCTTTTCCTTTGCCTTGGCTCTGAGATCATCGAAATTTTCCTCTTCGTCTTCGGTCGCTTGTTTTTTCTTCTTTTTCTCCTTCTTGCTCGATTTGACTGGAACTTCCTCCTCGTCTTCATCGCTGTCTAAAGCTTCCGCGGGCGCGGCCTTGGCCTTCTTTCCGCTCGCAAACAAGTCGTTCGAGAACCACATGTCCGCAGCCTTGACGGCGTTTTTCTTTTGCTTAGTGCCGAGATCGACGACGAGCGGGTTTGCATCTTTCTTCGACTTGGACTTTTTACCTTTAGGCGCGTCCTCGTCCTCGTCTGCGTCGTCCCACTCGAGCTCGTCGCTGTCCGACTTGAATTCGTCGTCCGCGGGGTCGCTCGCGTCGTCGTCGTCTCCGTCTTCGTCGCTTGAGTCTTCGTCGTCCAACTCCCCCGCGCCGAGTTCAGTGCGCCTATCTCTACCCTTGCTAGCCTCGGTGAACTTTTCACCCTTTTTCTGTCGACGCGCCTTGTACATGTCCCACATGTCATCGACTTCTTTATCTAATCTTCGCTCGTCCTCTTCGGTGTCGGAATCGGCGTCCGAGTCGTCCTCTGGCTCCTCGTCGCTATCGCGCGCGGCGTCGATGCCCGGCGTCGGCGCCTTGGAGACGACGTCGAGCGCACCTTTGGTTTTGATGCGCGCGAGCGAGAACAAATCCATCTCTTGCTCCACGATCGCCTCGCCGCTGCTCGCCAACCCTCTCGCGACGCGAAGACGCTCCTTGGCTTTGATTTTAGCCCTCTTCTTCTTGTCTCGTCTGGCTTGGGCATCCATCGAGTTTTTCAACTCGCTCATCTCGTCCAAGAGTTGATCCTTTTCATCGCCGGCGTTTTCGTCATCGCTATCGCCAGCTTCTTCTTCTTCGCCGGATGACTCGTCGGAGGAATCCTCGTCGTCGTCTTCGCCGCGTTTGCCGCCTTTGCGAGCGTGCTTCTTCTTTTCGAGTCCCGCTTGCTTACGAATCGTCATGCGCCAACGAAGCAAGAGCTTGAAGTCAGCCTTTCCTAAAACACCAAGATCGCTCATCAACGAACGAATTTCATCCGTCGTCGTCGGGTGATTGTCGAGATCCATCCATCCTTCCTCGGGCGGTTCCAAACCTTTTCGATTCTGCGTCGAGAAAAAGTCAAATCGGTCAGTCGTCGTCGTCGTCGTCGTCGGATCCCAGAGAGAAAAAGTCACAAAAGTACGAGCGATCGAAAGCCTCAGATGGGTAAACGGCATTGTACTATAGGTTTGTTTCAGCAGGGGCTCTGACCTCCCTTCAAACAAACTGTGAAGCTGTATCTTCATAAGCTTTCGATCGCCGCGAGAAAAACGTCGCGCTCTTGACGACGCACCTTGCCGTCCAAAATAAACGTGTGATGACTCCCAAGCATTTCTCCCGGCTTTTCGTTCACGATGAATTCTTCCGCCGTGCATTCTTTGTACAGCGTGGACACGCCGTCTTCGTAACCGCTACGATTCCGCTTTCGCTTGCCGTTGTCCTTCGTGACGTCGAGCGGCTGAATCTCCGCCTCGGTGTCCGCAAACAAATGCCTCGCATCCAATAATCTTGGATCAATCTTCGTCGGCGCCAGGTACCCACTACACACCACGTAAATTTCAGCCGAGGTTCCGCGCGACGCCACGGGCTTGGTGCTCTCAACCTTTTTAAACAACTGTTGAAACGCGTACAACAACGCGTGATACTCGACGCTCCGGAAAACCTTCGTCACGAACCACCCTCCCGGCCCCAAAAACTCCGTCGCCAGCCGCAACGAATCCAACGTCAGCGCCGCCTGCGTGTACGACTCCTTCGCGAAGTTCCCACCGACGTTCGGCGCCCCATCGTGTATCACCACGTCGTACTTTAATCCCTGCGGCGTCACGCGTTTCAGCGCCGCGCGACAGCTCTGCGTCGTGATATCCTCCACCAGCGTCGTCACCCCTCGAATCGGTCGAATCGGCGCTAAATCCACCCCCACGATCGTCGAGCTCATGGGCATGTATTTCTGCGCCACTTGCAGCCATCCACCGGGCGCGGCGCACAGATCCATGCACGCGCGCGCCTTTGACAAAAAGTCATACTTCCGGTTCAACTGCACGAGCTTAAACGCCGCGCGCGAGCGGAACCCTTGCTCCTTGGCGAGGTAGTAGTACTTATCTGCGATCGATCGCGCGCATCTCGCGCGCTCGCGGGTCAGTCTGGCGCTCGCGCGCGTCGACGCGGCGTCGATTCGGTTTGCGGCGGCGGCGGCGGCGGCGCAACTCGCGCGCGGCTCGCGCGCGGCTCGCGCGTCGCGCGCGGCTCGCGCGCGGCGAACGACGTCGTACCTAATCGATGCTTCCCCTTGGCGCGTTTGCCCATGCCTGCGACGACGCGAGGCGCGAGGCGCGGAGTGCGACGCGACGCCCGGGATACTTTGACAAAAAGTCATGCTTCCGACAGCGTCGGACGCTCGAATGGATGGGAAAGGGCGATGCGCGAGCGATCAAAGGACATCGCGCGATTAATATTAAGCGTCGACGTTATCGGGCGTGCCCGGGGCGGGCGGGGCGTCGGGAGCGACGACGCCGAATTCTTCGGCGCGTTGCGCGACGAATCGAAGGAGGTCGTTGGCGCGCGCCTCGACGGCGACGGCGGCGTCGGCGTCGGCGAATGATTCCGGTGGGAACATCGTGGACAGTCGATTGAGCATGCGCAGGAGGTGCGTCGCGCCGTACGCCTCGCTCGGACGCGCGTAGACGGGGTTGTGCCATTCGTCCTTGTACAGCAAGGACGCGTCGAGCGCGGCGTTGAAGGACTCTTCAAAGCCTCGAACGATGGCGCGCGTGCGCGCGGCGGTGACTCGCTGCGTGGAGGTCTTCGTCCTCGCCGGATCGGCGCGATCGGCGACGAATCGGTCCAGAATGTTCGCGACGTTGACTCGAGGGGCGACGTACGCGCGCGGATCGACGCCGCGCGAGTCTTCGTAGTCGCGAAGGAGCGCCTTGCGCAGCGCCGTCGGCACGTTGACGCGAATCGTCCTCGCGACGCGCTCTTCCTCCGTGAGCTCCGGATCCGCCGCCGAGGGCTGCGCCTTCGCCGCACCGCGCGCCTCCGCGCTCTTCCCGACCGCGCGCTTCGCGACCGCGCGCGCGGCGTCGCCGCGTCTCGCGCTCGCGCCTCTCGGCGCCGCGTTCGAGCTCGCGCGCGCCGCCGTCGCCGCCGTCGTCTTCGCCCCTCCCACTCGCCCTTCCTTCCGGTGCTTCGGCGCGATGCTCGCCTTCGCCGTCTCGGCCAAACGCCTTTCCCGCATCCTTCGCTTCGAGACGTGACTCTGTTCATTCTTCCACAACCGCCGCCGTTCCCTCGCCTCCGCCTCCGTCTCGTTCGGCGTCGCCGCCGGCGCCTTCCTCCGCTTCCCCCCTCGCGCCTGCTCGACCGCCCCGTTCGCTCGCGCGCGTTTCCGTTTCTCCCGCGCTTCCGTCGCGTCGAGCGGTCGCAGCGCCGCCGCGTCGACCCACTCGTCGTCCCGTCTCGGGTGGTGGTACCCGCCGTACCTGACCAAGTACTCGCCTCGGCCGTCGTCTCGCGCCCGCGCGCCGACGATCGTCGCGTTCACCGCGTCGTCGCCCTCCAAACGAATCGCCTTCGCGCCGAGTTCAAATCCAGAAATCGCTTTCGACGTCGCGCGCGGCGTTCGCGCCGGTCGCGCGCGCGCGGCGACGTCCGGGACCGCGCGCGTCGCCGCGAGCGCCGCGGCCTCGGCCGCGGCGAGCATCGCGCGTCGAAAACGACGCGACGCGACGCGATGTGGAGATTTGAAATCTTTGAAATCTCGACACTCGAGCGCGCGCCGCGGGACGCGCGAGGCGTCGCGCGCGACGACGGACGCGCGCGCGGGCGCGCGGACGGACGACGCGCGACGCGCGACGCGCGAACGCGCGGCGCGAGCGACGCACGACGCGAATCATCGGAATCATTCATGACGGTTGGATAACGAACGACCGCGTTCGAATGGCGACGACGACGACGACGCGATGCGACGACGACGACGGCGCTCGACGCGCGCGGGACGCGCGGGGGAAATTACTGGACGCGCGGGCGCGACGAGACGCCGCGCGCGAGGCGGTGCGAGAGGCGCTGACGCGACCGAGCGCGACGACGCGGTCGAACGCGGCGACGACGACGGCGCTCGAGGAGGGACGACGACGGCGCGTCGGGGACGCGCGACGCGAGATCGACGCGCTGCGGGAGGTTTTGAAGATCGAGCGAGCGGCGCTGGAGGCGGCGCGGACGAGGATCGAGGCGATGGAGGCGACGGAGGCGGAGGCGTACGCGACGCTTCGGGACGCCGAGCGCGCGGCGCTCGAGGTGGAGGTGCCGTGCGCCATGGCCGAGGTCGAGCACGAGTTTCGCGCGGTGAGCGCGGCGAGGGCGTTGGAGACGCGACGGGCGATGGTGAGGCTGCGAGCGCTGCTGCCGGTGAGGATCGATGAGGAACGAGGGAGCCGCGAGGCGCCGCGAGGCGTGCGCGCGTGCGAGTGGCGAGTGCCGGACGCGATCGACGATCGAGGGTTCGACGCGCACGAACTCGCGGCCGGGTTGGGGGCTTTGATGCATTTCAGCGCGCTCGCGTCGCGGTATCTCGACGCGCCGCGATTGCACAGAGGATCGCACGCGGCGTCGCAGTCGTACGTGTGGGCGCCGACGAGCGCGTGGGACGACGTCGACTCGTCGGTGTGGGAGAATAAAGGCACGGTTCACGTTCGTGATTTCGCGGGCGTGAATTCAGAGCGTTTGGAGCTATTTCTACCGCGCGCGGTCGTCGAAGGATCGTGCGATCCCGCGTCGGTTCGCGAGAGCAGACTGCGGCTCAAGCGAGCGATTCGACTGTTGACGAGATCCGTCTCGGTCATGTGCGCGCACCAATCGCGAGAGTGCGGCGTGATCGCGCCGCCTAATTGGGGACCATTTTCTCAACTGTGTGCGCTCACTTCGGCGGTGGCGAAAGGAGAAGAGACGACGACGACGGCGCCGCAACGCGCGCCCGCGCGGCGACAAACGCCGCCACAAATTTTGCGCACCTCCACGAACGATCGCCGCCGCGAGTCCGTGGAGAGTTTTGAATCACGAGACATGGTTCAACCCGTAACAGACGGCGCGCACCGCGGCGATGTGGTTAAACGCGCGGTGTCGTCGACAATAGCGGAAATTTCGCGAAACCATTGGTTTTCCGCTCACGCGTCGACGCCGCGAGAATCCAACGCGATCGTCGACGACGACGAGTTGCTTTTTGAGACTTTAAACGCCGGTGATTTCTTCATCGATCACGATTCAGTGGACGATATCGGTGGCTGGGAGGCGATTCACGGCAATCGTTTGCGCCCAGCGGCGGTCGAAGACGCCGTCGCCCCAGTCTCGAACCGCGGCCTCGTCTTACCGCCACCACCCAGCGCGGTGGACGACATAGAGCATTGGGAGCGCGCCATGCTGGTGGATAATGCTGGTGGATAACCAGTCAAGTTGTTGAACGGCGCGTGCGATTGTAATTCTACGATGTACACTACATTTCACTCGCGCCGAACGAAGCGTCTTTTACGACTTCACCAGACTCAAAATCTCCTCCACCCGCGCCCGCGTCTGCGCCAACGAGCACGACGTATCGATCACGTAATCCGCCTTCGCCCTCTTCTCCGCGTCCGGGATCTGACGCGCCGCGATCCCATTAAACTTCTCCTCCGTCATCCCGTCGCGTTTCAACACGCGCGCCCGCTGCGTCGCCTCGTCTCCCGTGCTCACCACGCACACCGCATCCACGCTCGCCTCGTACTCTTTCTCGTACAACAACGGAATATCAAACACCACCACGTCATCGTTCGCGTGCGCCTCGACGAACGCCTCTCTCGCGCGTTCCACCAGCGGGTGCACCGCCGACTCGAGCGCGCGCATCTTCGCGTCGTCCCCGATGACGATCGCCCCGAGCTTCGCGCGGTCAATCGCCCCCGTCGCGGCGTCTAAGACGCCATCACCGAACATCTCGGCCACGACGGCGACGGCGGCGCCGTCGGGGGCGTATAAATCGTACACGACCTGCGCGCGGGACGACGAGCGGGACGGTTGGGTCAGCGCGCGGCTTCTCTCGAGTCTTCGACGCGTCGCGAAAGGGCGACGTCGACGCGAGCGCACGCGCGAAGGCTCGACGCACCGCGTCGGCGTCCATGACGGCCACACCGAGGTCGCGAAACATGGCGGCGACGGTGGACTTGCCCATGCCTATGGAGCCGGTGAGCCCGAGTCGCGTCGTCGAGCGCGACATGACGACGCGCGCGCGACTATGAGCGCGCGAGAGACGCGCGATGCGCGCGAGGGTTCGAGTTATGCGCGTCGTCGACGTCGTGGGCGCTCGCGATCGATCGGTCGAACCGACGCGCATGCGCCGAGCGAGGCGCGTTGTGGCGCGCGGCGGCGCGCGCTTCTCAAATCGACGAAATCATCACAAACTCAAAGCTCGCGCTAGTTTACTTCTTGGCGAAGCCGAGACCGTTATCCTCGGCGTAACGCGCCATGAATCGCATGAATCTGTCCCAATCTCTCTCCGTCTTCATCACGTATCGCGCCTCGATGCCGCTCGGTTTACCGTTGATGAACTTCGCGTTGACGTCCACCGTGCTCATCTCTCCCTCCTCGTCGTTCAGGAACATCCCCGTGATGTCACCTTGACCGTTTTCAAACACATCCGGTTCGGCGAAGATGAAGAACGCCGTGCCGTTGGAGCCGTCCTTGCTTCGCGTGAGTTTCACTTCGGGGACCGAGGTTTCGTTTTGACCCTTGACGAACTGAATCGACGTCGTCCCCGCGCGCGTCACCGCGCGCGACGCGCGAGTCGCGCGCGCGACGCCGCGGTTCATCGTGGACGGTCTGTGGGCGATCATCGCCCGAGAGGCGAGCGTTTGCGCGTGCATCGCGCGGTTCGTTCGCGGCGAATGGGACAAAGTTGCGTGACGTCGACGGTCGTTTCGACGGTCGTGCGGCGCGCGCGAGCGGTCGTGCGGCGGTTTCGCGGGCCGTGTGCGCGCGCGGAAGGTCGGTCGCGAAGACTGCGCTTCGCGGGCGAGATCGGCGGTCGTGCGAGCGCGCGCGTCGATGTGCGGCGAGTGGGCGCGTTATCCAGAGGCGTCTCGGCGCGTGGCGTCGCGGCGAAGTGATATTGAAATGAATGTGCGCGTGCGCGCGAAATTGCGTGAGTCGATCGTCGTCGATGCGCTCGCTAGTCGTTGCGCCCGTCGACGACGCCGGCGTCGTCTCTGAAATTATCTTGAAGCTTGTCCAGACGCTTGGCCACCTTTTCGAGCTGTCGCTGTTCCTTTTTGGTGAGCGTCGAGTTTTTATCATCCTTTGTGACGAAACCGGCGGGACGGCCCGGACCGGAGTTGACGAGACCGCTCTCGAGCCGTCGAAGCTTCTCTTCCAGAGTCACGGCCTCGGTGGTGAAGAAGGATTCGATCCGTTTGACGTCTTTTTCGATGTCTTTTTCGATCACCTCGGCGTCGTCGACGAGGGTGTCGAGATCCGTCGGCTTGGTGAGCTTGAGCTCGGGGGCGGGCTTGCACGAATTATCGGTGATGACGAAGTCGCTCCACTTCACGCCCACCTTTTTGGACGCGGCTTCGAGATCGGGGATCCACTCTGGCTTGAGATCGGGCGTCGTCGCGTACACCGTGGCGCCGCCGTATCCGTCCCACGCGTCGTTGGTACCGCGATAGTAAATGTACACCCACTCCCCTTCCTTGTACGCGGGGATGTACCAATCGTCTTGATAGTGCAACATCACGTTCCCGTTGTTGTGCAAGATGGCTTTACCGTCGGGTTCTTGGTAAAATCTCTGCACGTCGTTGCGTTCGTAGAATTGCCCATTCGGCCGGTTCACGCGCCAGTTAATCTTAATGTACATCTTCCCATCGTCTCCTTTGTCGAAAAAGTGTTCTTGGCAATCGAAGGTGTCAAAGTCCTTATTCAATCCGGCGACGATGTACCAGCGCTTTTCCTTCACCATGGTGTCGATCGTGAATCCATCCGCGAGCGCGTCGAACGGCGGCACAGGATACGTTCCGTCGTCCTTTCGCTGCGCCACGCACGACTTCTCCGTCACCGCGCACGTGTTGAACGTCCCGACCGCTTGCGAGGCGTACAAATCACCGCATCGAATCTGACAGTCCCCCTCGTCCGGCTGTCCGAAGCATCCCTGCAGGCACACCAAATCTTCCAAACACTTTTCATCCGTCACGCACTTCGCGAGCTCCTTCCCGCAGTTTTGCAACAAACACGCCCCCGTGTCCTTCATCTCCGCCTGCTTCGCCGCGCTCACCGCCAGCGCGCTTCCCGGCGCCACCGTCATCGCCGACGCCGCGATCGCGACGGCGGCGAGCGCGCTCGCCGCGCCTCGCGCGACGTCGCCCAGCGCCGTCGTCCCGTCGTCCCGCGCGCCGTCGTCCCGCATCGCCGCGCGCGCCCGCGAGATCGGCGTCCGCGTCACCGCGCGCGCCTTCGACCCCTTCCGCGCGCTCGCCGATCGCGCGCTCGCCGCGCGCGACCGCGAAAACATCGCGCCGTCGATCGCCCGCATCGCCGCGACCGTCGCCATTCGCCTCGTCCCTCGCGTCCTCGCGCCGCGTTCGACCCTTTCGGCGCGCCGACGCGCCTCGCGCGCGCGCTCGCGCGTTCCCGCGCGCGCTCGCGGCGTCTCGCGCGCTCGCGGCGCGTTTTGCGGCGCCGCGCGCGTCGCCGCGAACGGATAAGACGACCCGCGATCGCCGCACACGCGCGCGCGCCGTCGTCGCTCGCGCCGAGCGCGCGCGTCGCGACGGCTCGTCGCACGCGCCATGCGCTCGACCGTCGCGCCGTCGCGCGCGACCGCCGCGCGCGCGACGCCGGCGCCGTCCCCGCGCGCGGTGCGCTCGACCGCGGCGTCGCGTCCCGCGCGCGCGCCGCGCGCGATCGTCGCGCGCGCGCGACCGCGCGACCGCGCGCGAGCGCCGCGCGGACTCGCGCGCGCGCGCGCGGTCTCGGACGACGTCGCGATCGACGCGACGAAGCCCAAGGTGCTGGTCGCCGGCGGCGGGATCGCGGGGCTCGTCGCGGCGGCGGCGTGCCGACGCAAGGGCATGGAGGTCAGGGTGTTCGAGAAGGTGAAAAAGTACGAACCGTTCGGTGGACCGATTCAGCTGCAGTGCAACGCGCAGGGAGCGCTGGATTCGATCGATCCCGCGATGGCGGAGGCGGTGACGGCGAAGGGGACGATCACGGGCGATCGCGTCAACGGGTTGCTGGACGGCGTGAGCGGGGAGTGGTTCTATCGGTTCGACACGAGAAAACCGTGCCATGATAATGGATTGCCGCTGACGCTGGTGCTGTCGAGGTTCGAACTGCTGGACATACTGTCGAACGGGGTCGGGGCGGAGAACATCGAGATGGGGACGGTGGTGGAGAGGTACGAACACAGGGGCGAAAAGGTGGTGGCGACGCTCACGGACGGACGAGAGTTCGAGGGAGACGTGCTGATCGGGGCGGATGGGATTCGGTCCAAGCTTCGGGCGCAGATGCGCGGCGCGGATCCGGAGAAGCCGCCGCTCGCGTACGCGGGCTACGCGGTGTACACGGCGGTGTGCAAGTACTCGCAGCCGCATCGAGAGCCCCAGCACACGGACCCGAACAAGGTCGGCTACCAAGTCTTCCTCGGTCCGAAGCAATACTTCGTCTCGTCGGACGTCGGGAACGGCGAACAGCAGTACTATGCCTTCTTGGAAGTGCCTCCGGGCGGGGACGACGAGTTCGCCAAGTGCGAAAAGTGGGAAAACTATCGCGAGATGCTCATGGACCGCTTCAGCGGCTGGGCGCCGGCGGTCATGGAGCGTCTCGAGTGCACGCGACCGGAAGACGTCGAGCGCCGCGACGTGAACGATATTCTCCCCGATCCTCGCTGGGTCGACGGTCGCATGGCGTTGCTCGGCGATTCCGCGCACGCGGTGCAACCGAACCTCGGCCAAGGCGGCGGCCAAGCCATCGAGAGCGCGTACGTCTTGGCGGATGAGCTTTCCAAGTGCGAGGGCGGCAAGGGCGTGCAGAACGCGTTGATGGCGTACGCGTCTCGTCGATTCTTGCGCACGGCCTCCATTCACGGCTTGTCGCGATTCTCGTCGTTGATGAATACGTTTTACCGACGACACCTCGGCGACGAACCGTACGACTGGTACCCCGAGCCGGTCAAAAACATGTGGAACACCGTCGCCAAGGCGAAGATTCCGCACCCTGGCTCAGTGATCGGTCAAATCGCGCTCATCGGCACCATGCCCATCATTTTAGAGTACGTCGGCGCCGGTTACGGCTTGCCCGGCGTCTTGGGCGGCGCGTCGACGGGCAACGGCAAGGATCGCGTTCCGCGCTCCCAAGTCCCGGGCATCTCCGCCCCTCTTCGAGACTTGACCGCCGAAGATTTCAAGATGCGTGGCATTCCCGGTTTCGCCAAGTGATCGCCACGCACCGGCGCGATCGATCCATCGATTCGCCGCCGACGAAGAGCGACGCCTCGCGTCGACTCAACCCACACCACCGCCGCTGTACCATCAAACGTCACCATCTCACGTTGAAGAACGTCTGAATTCACGAACAAAGACATTTACCGTACTGAACTATTATTAATAACCACGACGACACATCGTATCGCTCGGCGCGCCGCTCGCTCGACGCGCCGCTCGCTCGACGCGTCCGCAGAGCGCGACGCCGATCCGCATGCCTCCTCTCCCGCGCCGCCGCGCCGCGCGCGCGCGCGTCCGCGCGCGCGCCCGCGCGTCCGCGCGCGCGTTCGTCCTCGCTCTGCTGTCGCGCGCGCGCCCGAGCGCGTCGTCGGCGCGAACGTCCAAGATCGGTGCCCTGCGCGAGTGCGTCGACGCGTCTCGCTCGCAGCGGCGCCTGTGCGGCGCGTCCGCCGCCGTGGTGCTCGGTCAGAACGTCTACGTCGCGTCGTCGCGCGCGGACGCGGTGACGGTGATCGACGCGAGCGATCCCGAGGCGATGCGGGTCGCCGGGAGCGCGGCGAGCTTCGGCGGCATGCGACGACCGACGGATTTGCACCTGCACGCGTCGCAGAGCTACGTCGCGGTGCTCGCGACCGGTGACGTGCAGACGAAAAAGTCGAGCGTCGTCGTCGTGGACGTGAGCGCGTCGAGGTGGTCGGCGGACGGGACGACGATTACGCCGACGATGGCGGCGAGCGGACACAACTGCACGGCGACGGAGAAGGGAGGACGGACGTTTTACGACGGATACCTGTGCGGCGCGACGGCTTTCGCGATCGTGGGTAATTTGGCGTACGTCGCGTGCGGAGACACGAATCGGTTGACGGTGATGTCGCTGCCGAGCGACGTCAGCAAGACGGCGCTCGAACCGGTGGCGGTGGTGGGGACGATTCAGAGCGAGGAGTTGACGAACGCGGAAGCCATCATGGTGGCGAATAATAAGGCGTACGTGCGATCGGATGGTGTTTGTGGGTCGTGCGTGGCCGTGGTGGACGTCACGAGCGCGTCTTCGATGTCGATGTTGGCCACGAAGGACATTTCTGAGATTTCATCCGACGTCCCGACGTGGCGATGGTCGACGGGATATTTAGCGCGCGGCGCGCACAGAGACAACGCGTCGTACCCGTACGATTGGGTAGTAGATCCCGTGAGTTCGAGCGTGACGAGCGTGGCGAGGGAATGCGTGAATGTGGCGCTCGCAATAGGCGATACGCCCGCGGCGTGCGTCGGACGGAACGAATTCGCTTACGACGCCGACGCCGAGACGAGCGCGTTCAATTTCGACTTGTTGACGTCTTAGGTACCGATAGCTATAGCTATAGATTTTGTAGATTTTGTTACAGAACGATTGTAGTATTAGGTGTGTTCTACGCGATTTTCTCCAAGAGCTCGGGCGAGGCGGCGCGAATCAACGTCGGGTTCGGCAGGAACAAAAGCCGCATCCCGCCGACTTCGATGAGCGTATGCGGCGCCAAAATGCACCGCTGCCCCGTGGTGAGCGGAGAGTTATTGCACCAAATCGGTCGTCTTCCGACGTTACGAAGCGCGAACTCGCCGTTCCAACGAAGCTTCAAGAAGGCTTGCTGTCGAGAAATCTTGCTCGCGTTTCCCTCCGACCCCAAGTCCACGTCCACCTTCAAATCCTCCGTCGACCGTCCGATGACGCAGTCCCGCTTCGCGATCTCAAACGTCACGTTCGCCCCCACGAGTTCCGCCAGCGCTCCCTTGGCCGTGGCCAACCGCGCCGTCGCCGCCTGCGCGCTCCGCTCCAACGCTTTGATTTTCTTCAGCGTCGTCGCGTTCGCCCCTCGCCCGACCTCCCTCTTCGCCTTCGCCTTCGTCTCCGCCGCCCGTCCCGCCTCGGTGCGCTCCACGAGATCGCTTCTCAATATCGCCTGCTCGGCGCGCGAAAACCTCGGCGGGGCGCCGTCGTCGCTCTCCGGCTCCGTCTCCGCGCCGCCGTCCCGGCGCCGCGACGTCCCCAGCCCCGCGCGTTCGAGCACCTCCCGCAGCGTCGCCCCTCGCGGCGCCACTCGCTGCGCGATCGCGCGCTCTATCTCATCGTCCCGCACCTCGGCGAGCCTTCGGACGCACGCGCGCGCGAAGGCGTCGTCGCGGAGCATCGAATTCCAGCGCGCGCGCACGTCGTCGAGCGTCCTCACCGACGCGAATTTCACGCACGAATCCGCGCCGACGAGCGATTCGAGGGCGACGCCGCTCTCGCACGCGAGTTTTAACAGGTAGTCATCGATCGCGGGCCAACGCGAGAGGTCGGGGTCGGGCATCGCGCGCGAGTGAGGGATTCGATGTGACAAGGACGCGCCGCGGGACGGCGACGCCGCGCGGCGACGGCTAGACGAAGAGAAACATCGGACGCTCGTCGTCGTCGATCATCTTGCGCGCTCTGGCGCAGCCGACGATGCGCTCGAGCTTTAAGGCGTCGAGCTTGCTGAATAAGGCGACGACGCCGGCGACGTGACCGACGACGGGGGCGCCGGCGACGGCGTCGGTCGCGCGCGCGCTCGCGGCGGCGGACGATCCGGCCAAGTAAGAGACGAGCTCTGGGTAAAAGTCCCGATGCTCGGGGAGGGAGTAGAAGCAAATCTCGCGGGCGCCTTTGATTCGACGCCTGAAATAAAAGTGCGCGCGCTCGGAGAGGAGCAACACGCGCTTGCGACCGTCGGCGAATAAGGTGCGAGCGCGAGCGGCTTCGCGAGGCTCGGTGTACTCGCTGTTCACGGCGAAGGAGACGTCTTCGGCGACGAGCAAGTTGCGAACTCGGACAAAGTCAAAGTACGAACTGACGAAGATCACGACCCCTGGCTCGGGGTTTTCACGTATGCGCGGTAAGACCTTCTTGGTGAAGTACTTGAACCGAATGTCGTCGGCGTCGACGACGTCGGAGGCTTTCATGGCGACGCGCTCGAATTGTTGACGCGTCTTCACCGCGAGCTTGCCGAGGACGCCTCGTTGAGGGGCGCGGAATCGGACTTTGCCCTCGAAGTTGACGCATCGGCGGTTGAACAACGCGTTGATTTCAGGGGTTTGGAACGCCGATAACAGAATCGTCTGCCTGAGATGACGCGCGTGACCGTTCAAGTGCGACTCGTGCACGCGTTGAATGTCGCAGTCGCGCGTGTCTTTGGGAAGCGCGTTCGTGGCGTCGACGAGCGTGGCGACGTGCGCCCAATTCTGCATCTGAATCACGTGCGCGTGATCGATGACCAAAATTTCGATCGCGCTCAAGAAATCCGCGGCGGATTTTTCATCCTGTAACGCGGTGACGATCCCGAGAGGCGAAGCGAAGATGATATCCGCGCCGAAGAAATCGACGTACAAGCGCACGCTCGCCTTCGTGAGCTTCAAACCGAGTCGGAAGTGGTCGTCGGTGTTACCCTTGAACAGCGCCTTGTGATCGTCTGGAACAAACGGCTTGTACTTTTTCTTCTTGTTTCCGTGTTCGTCCTCCACCTCGTCTTCGCTATCGCTCCCATCGTACGCTAAAAAGTCTTCCTCGATGCGTTCGAGCTTGTTCACCGCGTCGTTTCTGCCGTGCGCCGCCGGACACAGCTCGAGCAAGCGCATGATGGCTCGACCGGCGATGTTACGCATCGGGGTTAAAAATAACACTGTCGGTCGCACGAAGCCTTGATCGCGAGGGAGGTCGTCTTCGATCACTTTGACGCCCGCCTTTGCCTTTTTCGCCAGGGATTCGTTATTCTTCATCACGCGATTTCGCGTCCTCGTCACGTGATCGATGACGTGCAAGCACACCGCATCGAGCGTCTCATCGTTCAATTGTTGTCCCGCCGGTCCTTGGTCGGGAATCAACATTCTATTTCCGTGCTGTACGTCCACGTACGCGGCGAGCATGGAGTACAATCGCGCCTGATCCTCGCTCGCGAAGCCTTCGCTCCCCGTCACCGTCCTCCATCGCTCGCGTAATTTCGCGTTCACGAACCTCGGCACATCCAGCGTCTTCGGCGGCTCCAACCCGTTCGCGCCCTCCCACGCTCCCTTTTTACCCACGCTCTCCGCCGACGTCTTCGGGAACGACACTCTCTGCGTCTTCAAGGCCTCCGCCTCGGCGTCCGCGAGCGTCTCTCCGACTCTCAAATGTCGCGCGAGCGCGCCCTCGTCCTCGTCCATCCCACCACCCTCCTCCAGCTTCTCTCCCGCGCTCGCGCTCGCGTCGTCGTCGGCATCATCGTCGTCGTCGTCGTCGTCGCTTTCTTCGCCGCGGGCGTCGCTTTCGTCGTCGCTCTCGCTCGAATCGCTCGCCGCGCCGCTCGCGCGCGCCGAACCGCCCGCTCGAGCGTCCGCCGGCGGCGAATCCTCATCTTCCCCGTCCGACGCGCTCGACGTCGTCGTCTCGCTCCCCGAGCGCTCCGACGCGTCGGACGACGACGCGTCCTCGTCCTCGTCGCTCTCGCGCGCGACGTTCGCGCCGAGCGACGCCAACAGCGCGCCGTACGCGTCGCCGCCGGCGAGTTCGAGCTCATCCTCCGAGTCCTCTCGCGCCGCGTTCGCGCCGTCGCTCGCGTCGACGCGCGCCGTCTTCGGTCGCGCGCGATCGCTCGCGCGTCTCGAGCGCTTGCGCGCGTCGCTCGCGGGCATCGCGCGTCGCGTCGCGCGAGAGAGTGACGCGAAAAGCGATGCTCGACGCGCGCGTCGACACTTCGACGCGCCGACGCGCGCGATGTCGCGCGCGCTCGCGTTCGGCGTCGCCGTCGGCGGACGACCCGCGTCGCGCGCGATCCGGACGCGACGCGCGACGCGCGGACGCGCGCCGAGAGCGCGAGAAACGCGCGCGAAGGTTGACCAAACGCTCAATGAACGCGTCGCCAACTTGCAGCCGTCGAAGACGGTCGCGCTGACCGATCTCGCGCGCGCGATGCGCGACGCGGGCGAGGACGTCATCGGTCTCGCCGCGGGCGAGCCGGATTTCGCGACGCCGCGCGCGGTCGGCGACGCGGGGAAGGCGGCCATCGACGCGGGGAAGACGAAGTACTCGCCGAACGACGGCGACGCGAAACTGCGAAACGCGATCGCGCGAAAGCTCGAGGAAGAGAACGGATTGACGTACGATGGGAAAACGGAGATCGTGCTGTCGAACGGGGCGAAACAGAGCGTGGCGCAGTGCGTGATGGCGACGTGCGGACCGGGGGACGAGGTTCTGGTGCCGGCGCCGTATTGGGTGAGTTATCCGGAGATGGTGCGGTTGTCGGGGGCGGAGAGCGTGATCGTGCGGACGACGGCGGATGAGGGATTTTTGGTGACGCCGGAACAGCTTCGAAAGGCGATCACGCCGCGGTCGAGGTTGTTGATTTTGTGCTCTCCGAGTAACCCGAGCGGGGCGGTGTATCCGAAGGAGACGCTGGAGGAGTTGGCGAAAATCGTCGTCGAACATCCGAGATTGATGGTGCTGAGCGATGAGATTTATGAACACATCGTGTACGCGCCCGCGGAGCATCACTCGATCGCGGCGATGGATGGGATGTGGGAGCGCACGATGGTGGTGAACGGGTTTTCCAAATCCTTCGCCATGACGGGATGGCGTTTAGGATACGTCGCCGCGCCCAAACACTTCGCGCGGGCGATGAGTATGATTCAATCTCAAATCACGAGCGGGCCTAACTCAATCTCTCAAGAGGCTGCGCTCGCGGCGTTGGAATTAGGCTACAAGGGCGGCGAAGACGTCGCGGCGATGGTGCGAGCGTTCGAGCAACGTCGCGACTTCGTCTCCGCACGCTTAAACGCCATTCAAGGCGTCAAGCTCCCGAAAGTCGACGGAGCATTCTACGTATTCCCAGACGTCAGCGCCTTCTTCGGTGGGAACGCGTCGGCGGAAGGCTTCGGCCCCGTCGCGGACGTCGACGAGCTCTGCCGGTACATTTTAGAAAAGGGCCAAGTCGCCCTCGTCCCCGGCAGCGCCTTCGGCGTCCCAGAGTGCCTGCGCATCTCCTACGCCGCATCAAACGCGACGCTCGAGGAAGCGCTCTCGCGCATAGAGCGATGCCTATCGCTCGACGTCTTCACGCGAAACTCCCGGCGTTGAGCCGAGCGAGCGACGCGACGCCGCGCCAACCGATGGTTCGCGTCCTGGGCGTCCGAAATACGGCAATACGACGCAATCATCATTAGCGAGCGCGCGCGCCTCGAAATCCTCCCCCAGCTCCCGCGCCGCGCGCGTCGTCATCCGTCCCGCTCGCGTCGTCGCCGCACTCGTCGCCTCGCTCGCCGAATGTCTCGCGCCCGACCTCGCGCCACCCTCGACGACGCCCTCCGCGCGCGCGCGCTCACCGTCCTCGGCGCCCCCGCGTCCGCGCTCGAGTGTTCGACGTCCGCGAGCGCGCTCGCCGCGCTCGCGGAGTTTCTCGAGGACACAGTCATAAGAGCCCTGCCCGCGGACCAACGCGACGGTTTGCGACGCGCGCGAACCGCGGACGCGCGCGGCGTGCGCGACGCGCTCACGGCGTACGGCGAACACCTCGAACCCGCGATCGAGGCGCTGGGCGAGGGCGCGCTGGACGCCGTCGCGGACGAGCTGCTGGAGCGAGCGACGGCGCTCAAACACGCCGACGCGTCGCCGTCGGCGGCGCGGGACGACGTCGAGGCGATCGAACGGTCGAGCAAGAGGCTGAAATTGTTTTCGCGAGACGCCGATGAAGTGAGCGGGGCGCTGGCGAGCGACGCGGGATGGGAGGCGTTGACGCGGTTGGCGACGGCGCTCGGCGCGGAGACGAACGGGACGGGCGGCGGGAGGGATCCGCTCGACGCGTGCGTCTTGCTCGAACGCTGCGTGGTGGCTCAGGAGAGGTTTGTGACGGCGTTCGCGTCGGCGAGCGGGCGAGAGACGGCGAGAAATCCGCCGAAGCTGGAGGACATGCCGAGCGGGGTCGGACTGAACGGCGACGCCGAAGTGGAGCGCGCCGTCGCCGTCGCTCGGTTATTGCACGTGAACGATCTGCGGAGGTTACAGAGCGAAGTGGATGCGTTTTTAGTCGCCATGCAAGAGTACACCGCCGATCCCAAGACGGATTCTCGCATCGGAAAAGTCGGACGATAGTCGGCGCGTCGCGTTCACGTTTTAATTCACACGCCGTCGCTAGATAGCTAAGCTCGCTACGTCCTAACCGATCGCTACTTCACAGCATGAAATTGCACGAACCGTCTGTCCGGATCGACTTGCGCATCAGCACCCTGGGAGACTGTTTCTTCCCGCCGAACAATCCGCCGAGCGAAAACGCGCGTTCCCGCGCCACCTCGTCGTAACCTTCCCCCGAATACAACGCGTACGCCGCCGCATCGTCCGCGCGCACGTGCAACCACACATCACATCCACCCATATCCAAAACCAACGCCTCGACCGCCTTCAACAGCCCCCGCCCGACGCCTCGCCTTCGTCTCGATTTCGCCACGCACGCGTTGGCGAGATACGCCGCGTCGCTCGGCGGCGACACGCTCGCGTCCCTCTCGATCGGTCGCGTCTTCGCGCTGATGCTCGTCGTCACCAACCCCACGACCTCTCCCCGAGCGTCGCTTCCGTCCTCGACGACGTCCCGCGCGACGAGCGCCGTCTCCTCCGCGTCCTCGCCGTTCGCCAGCCCAATCAAATACTTCAACACGTACGCCCTCGGCTTCGCGTCTTCCGTGTCCCCGAACGCGTCGACGACCAAATCGACGCACTCCCGCACGTCTCTCTCGCGCAATCGCTCCACGCGCGCGCGTCGCGCGTCGCCGAGCGTCATCTCGCGCCGGAACGATTTCTGAAGCTCGAGCAAGTCGTCCCGTCTCGCGCTCGCCGCGCGCGTCCCGCGCCTCGCGCGTCCGCGACGCGCGATTCGCGCGCTCGCGCGCGTCCGCGGCGCGCGCGCGCTCGCCATCGCGCGCGCTCGCGTCGCGCCGTGGCGCGCGGCGCCACTCCGACGCGCAGTCGTTGACCGATCGCGTCGACGAATCGCGACGCCGCGACGCGACGCGAGGGACGGCGCGCGATGTCGACCAAGGACGAGGTCGCGAGGCTCGAGCGCGAGCTCGCGAACATGGCGCTGGACGCCAAGCAGGTGCGCGGCGGCGACGCGAGCGCGATGATTGATGATTTCGATCTCGACGCGACGACGACGACGACGACGACGACGACGACGGGATGACTGACGGGACGCGACGACGCGCAGCCGGGAAAACTGAACGAGACGCTCGATAAGATGCTGGCGCTGGAGAAGACGTACCGCCTGGCGGCGGACTTCGTCGCGACGCCGCGGCTGTGCGTCGCGATCGTCGACGTGCTGCGCGCGTGCGAAGACTGGGACGGATTGCGAGAACACGTCGCCGCGCTCACGAAACGACGGGCGCAGTTGAAACAAGCGATCGCGGCGATGGTGCGACGGTGCATGGAGTTCATCGATGAAGCGCCGGGGGCGGAACAGCGATTGAAGCTGATCGAGACGCTGTGCGACGCGACGAGCGGGAAAATTTTTGTCGAAGTCGAAAAGAGTCGGTTGACGCGAGCGCTGGCGAAGATGCACGAAGACGAAGGGCGCGTGGCGGAGGCGTGTGGGGTGATGCAAGAGGTGGCGATCGAGACGTATGGGGCGCTGACGAGGCACGAGAAGTTGTTCTTCATCGAGGAACAGGTGCGGTTGTGCTTGGCGAAGAAGGATTACCTGCGAGCGTTGATTTTGAGTCGTAAAATCAACCCCAAGGTGTTCGACGAGCTGATTGAGAAGGAGAAGAAGGACGCAGAAAAGGCGGCGCTGGCGGCGAAGAGCGCGACGGAGCTGAGTGAGACGGAAAAAGCGGAGCTCAAGGCGGAAAAATTGAAAAAGGAGGGGCAAGTCGAGCACGCCGAGGGATACTTTGAACCCACGGACAAAGGCATTCCTTCGCTCGAGGCGCTGAAATTGCGCTATTACGAGCTCATGGTGGAGTACTATAGTCATAGCGATGAATACCTAGAGCAGTGCCGGTGCTACCAGAACATTCTGGAGTGCGCCGAGGTGAAGCACGACGTCGCGCGGTGGGGGCCGACGCTGAAGAAAGTCGTGTGGTTGGTGTGCCTGAGCAAGCACGAGCCGATGCAACAGAGCATCTTACACGGCGTGAAGGGCAACTTAAAGCTGAGCGATTTACCCGCGCACGAGGCGCTCATCAAACAGTTTTGCACCAAGGAAATTATTCACTGGACGACGCTGCAAGAACGATACGCCGGGGAAATCGCCGCGGAGACGGAACTCTTCGGCGGCGAGAAGGGCGCGAAGCGCGTGGAAGACTTGAAGCTTCGCGTGATCGAGCACAACATGCTCGTCATCGCCGCCTACTACTCGCGCATGTCCCTCAGCAGACTCTCCGAGCTCTTGTGCCTGTCGCCCGAGGAGACGGAGAAGCACCTCTCCTCGTGCGTCGTCGACAAATCCGTCGCCGCGAAAATCGACCGCCCGGCCGGTCTCGTCAATTTCTCCGCCGCGAAATCCAGCGACTTTTTGCTCAACAAGTGGGTGTCCAACATCGATTCCCTGCTCACGTGCCTCGACAAGGCGTCGCACTTGATTCAAAAGGAATCCCAACAGTTCAAAGTCGCGCTTTAGTCTCAGAAACCATCGCGAAATACATACAACGCTCTTCTTTTTTACAATCCCGACTTCGCCGCTCGCCTTCGCCGCTCGCCGTCGCTACTCGCCGTCGCCGCTCGCCGTCGCTACTCGCCGTCGCGTCCGGCTCCCTCGCCTCGCGCCTTTTCGTCCCGCTCCAGCTCCGCCAGCCTCTCCACCGCCTCCCGCTCTCGCGCCTCCCGCGTCGCGATCGCCTGTTCGAATCGTCGCATCTCCTCGCTCCCTCGCGTCAGCGTCACCTCAAACTTCCCGTTCGCGTCCGCGCGTCTCTCGCACGCCTCGGCGCACGCCAGCGCGCACGTCTCCCCCGCGTCCTCGCTCGCCTCCGCCCCCGCCGCCGCGCGCTCGCACCCGCCCGCGCACGCTCTCTCGCACGCCTCCGCGCGCGTCACCCGCGGCTCGTTCGCGCCGTCACCGCGCGTCGTCGACGCCGTCGCCTGTTTTTCATCGCCCTCGACGCGGCAAAACACGCGCACGATGAAATCGTCGAATTCGTGCGCGTCGTCGTCGTCCTCGAGCGCTTCGGAGGCGTCTCGACGCGCGCGCGCGACGCCGCGGACGCGAATGACGCTCGCGCGCCGTCGCGCGACGCTCGACGCGTCGTCCGCGCGCGGCATTCTGCGGCGACGCGCGCGCGCGTCGAATTCGAGCGTTCGACCGACGACCGCGACAGAGCGCGGCGCGCGCGACGACCGGGCGCGCGCGAAGGGCGCGCGGGACGACGCGCGAGCGCGACGGCGCGTCGCGAGGGCGAGCGCGGGCGCGAGGGCGAGGGAAACGGCGCGCGAAACGCGAATGGGTGGGAATCGTGACGGGACGACGATGCGGGCGCGGGGACTCACGAGCGCGCTCTGGGCGTCGATCGACGCGCGCGCGCGCGACGGGGGCGCAGAGGGGGACGCGTTCGACGCGCGGGACGCGCGGGGGGGCGCGGCGACGACGAAGCGTGGATCGGGCGAGGTCGGGACGGCGACGACGGCGACGACGGCGACGACGCGCGAGCGAGAAGAGACGACGGATGATTTAGAGCTGTACGCCGCGCGGTGCGCGCTGGAAGCGACGCGGGCGATGGAAACGCGCGCTGTGCTGTGGGCGGCGATGAATCAGTGGAAACTGGCGATGGGAAGGAGGGTGAGGAACGAGGCGTTGGCGACGACGGCGCGGAGACGGAGGCGCAAGCGGGAGCTGAGGCGATGCTTCGCGCGGTGGTGCGTGCAGATGCCGATGCGGGCGGCGAACGATGGGTGGAATCGGTTCGGCGCGCGGTCGACGTACATCGCGGGGTTGATCGAGACCGAGGATGGGGACTTCGACGACGAGGAATTCCCGACGGATTATCGCGCCGAGTTGGAGATTCGGCTGAGTCAAATCGCGCGCTTGGAGGACGCGTTGAAGGACGCGAACGCGCGCGCGGCGGTGGCGAGACGCGAAGAAAACGTCGAGGCGCAGATGAGTAAGTTTCGTACGCACTTGCAAAACGTGCAGCGCGAGTTAGAGAACGTCAAGCGCGAGAGGGACGCGTACAAGATGAAATGGCACGCCTCGTCGGGTCCAGCCGAGGCGAAGACGCGCGAGGCGCGTCGGGCGAATCAGCGCACGATGGCGACGCAGACGACGTTTGACGACGACGAGAAGAAGAAAGACGCAGAGGTGGCGCCTTCAAAGAAGGAAATTCGCGCCGCGGAGGAAAAGTGGATGGAACAGGCGCGTCTCTTTGAACAAAAGTTTGAACGCCAAATGGAAATCTCCAACGAGTACGACCGCAAGTTGCGAGACGAGCGCACGAGGTTGATGCGCAGTGAGGCGAGATATGAGGCAAGAATCGAGGAGTTAACGACAAAGCAAGCCGAATTGATCGCCGAGTTGTCCGTGCGAGGCGTCGGGACGGCACCGACGAGCGAACAAACGGTGGATTTCAGCCGCAATCAATTCGCCGAGTACGCGAAAATCGGCGCCGAGGCGGCGACGACGCGCGCGTTCCCCGACGCTTCCCCGATCGCGACGCTCCATCCGCCGTCGCCACCGATGGAGATGTTTGAGTCGCCGTCAGCGAATTTCGACGACGCGGAAACCAAGTCCGATGTCGAAGTTGAGAAGATTTCCCCCGCGAAATTCGAGAGCGCGAAGAAGCTCAACTTCGCCGCGGCGTTGGATGATTTCTCCTCGAGCGACGACGAGGATGTCAACCGCAGACCGATGCCACCGCCGCAGATACCAACCACAAATAATATGCAGGCACCAACACCGCCGCTCGCGCGGACATCGAGCGCGAGGAAGCCTCTTCGTCTCACCGTCGCCGTGGCGAAAATCGTCATGCTCGGTTACTCGCAGCGAGACGCCATCGAGGCTTTGAAACACGTCGACGGCAACGACGTCCACGACGCCTTGGCCTGGCTCGAGCGTCGCGCCCGCACAGCCGCGTAGCTCACGCGTGTAACCATATTTCGCACACTTCGCCGCGCCTTCTTCGTCCTTCGCCGCGCCTCGTTCGCGGTCGCCTCGTTGACCGCGCGTCGTCACACGCCAGCGCGGTCACAGCGCGGACGGACGCCCCCGCTCGCCCGACGCGACACCGACGCACGGAACCGCACTCGCGCGACGCGTAGGCACCGCGAGACGTAGAAATCAGCCACCATGGTGCGCGAGCGACGCGCGTAAAGTTTGATTTCCGCCCGATTCACAACAAACTTTCACCGCGAAAATCGCACGCGTGACGCCCGCGGAGCGCGCTCGAGACCGTGACTGACGCTCGAACGCTTGCGCGATGTCTGTCGCAGATGATCAAAGTGAAGACGCTGACTGGGAAGGAGATCGAGATCGACATCGAGCCCACGGACAGCGTGGAGCGCATCAAGGAGCGCGTGGAGGAAAAGGAGGGCATTCCGCCGGTGCAGCAGCGGTTGATTTTCGGTGGGAAACAGATGAACGACGAGAAGATCGCGAAGGATTACAACATCGAGGGTGGGAGCGTGCTGCACTTGGTGCTGGCGCTGCGAGGAGGGCGGAAGTAGAGCGCGACGAGTCGACGAGACGACTGAAATGTTAGCCTAAACGCTGTAATGGTAACCTAAAGAATCGCTGATTTATCACACAAATTGAATTACGCAGTCTTCATGAACATCGTGCGAAGGACAACCTCTTCGCTCCCGACAGCCGGTCTCGCGAGTTCCTCGGAGGCGGCTTTGAACACCGCCGGCGCGCACGTAAAGTTGACGACGACTTGGTACGCATCCGGGTAACCCTTAATCTCGTACGAGTTCGGCTTCAATCCGTGCTCGGTTTGCTCCCACGCCACCAAACCTTCACCAAACATCGCCTTGAAATCATCCATCGTGGTCGCACGCGTGGCGTCATCGCAATCCGGGCGCAACAACATGACGCCCTCGTACGAGTTCGGCTCGTTCTTCTTCGCCACGGCGCGCGTCTTTTGGCATTCACCACGACGCGTCGTCGACGTCACGCGCGTCGGCGCGCGCACACCAGAGGTCACTGTGCATTCACAAACGCGCATCTTTCGTCAGTCATCGTTCGCGTCGTCTCGATCGAGCGTCTCGCCGCGCCGCGCCGCCGCGATAGGTTCTAGGGCAGCTTCTAGGGTCTCGCCGCATTCGACTCGTCGTCCGTCCCACGCGACGCCCTCGCGCGCGCGCGAACGCGCGCGAACGATCGCCCGAAATCCCTCGCATCGGTTTCGTCGCTCCGAGCGCCCGCGCGACGCGTTTCGCCCGCACGCGCGAGGGAAATCGCGCCGTCGGCGGGACGTCACCGCGAGCGTCGGCGTCGCCTATCCATCGTCACCACCGCGCGCGCGCGCGCGCTTTCGCGTCGCGCGTCGCGCGAGGTGGTGAAGAATATTCGCGGTCGTCGTCTACGGGCGTACCTCGAGCGATGGAGTGCATGTTCGCGCGTCAATGTGTCGCGCGCGCGCGGCGTGGGGTGCTTTCGGCGCGTGGGACCAGGGACACTGACTGTTTATAGTGTACATGACTGTTTGCCCATAGACGGATTGACATCGGTCGGTCGACGCCGGCGACGGCGACTGACGAGCGCGTCCTGCGCGAATACTAAGCGAGCTAAATCTCTAAATTCTTACCACCACCCATCGCGATCGGGTGGTCGTGCCAAGTGCGCGCGCCGCACTTGTCCACGACGTCGCGCGGCTCCGTCGCGACGCTCAAGCCTCGGGAGTCGGCGCCCTGCGGGAACGACCACGGGACGTCGGCGTGCCGCGCGGGATCGTACCGCACGACGTCGCGCACGCCCGCGTTCCAATCGAGAACTTCGTAACATCGCGCTTCGGCGTCCAGAAGACACTCGGGAACGCCCTCGGCGCGTTCGCGAAGCGCGGGATTGAAGACTATGGGAAGCCACGCGCGCTCCAACGTGTGGGCCCACTCCAAAGCGGCGAAGTACTCGAAATCGACCGCGCTCGTGAGTTTGCCGTCGCAAGCGACGAGTAAACTGAGCGCTTCGTAAAACTTTTGCGAGCGATGCTTCGCCATGTCGCGCGTCACGGCAAAAATCGCCGAAATGGGCCAATCGAGCCTCTCCCCGAGGTACCGCGACGACACGCGCCAGCCCGGTCTTTCGGATGCGTTCCTATCGGGCGCATCCGCGAGTTCGCTCGCCGGATCCTCGACGTCTTTGACGACATCGAAGAACGTTCGCAGAAGCAGCGCGAAGGCGTTGGTGTACATGTAAGTACCCACTAAAGGCTCTCGCGCCACGCTGTACGCGATGAACGTGTCGCCGTCGAAGTCTGTCGGCGCTTTTCCGTCGCGAGCGACCGAAAACTCTTTCTCCATCTTCCGCGCGCGCGCGTCGACCACGCGCGTAACCGTCCCGTCTCGCTCTCCCGTTCGCAACTCCTCGACGAACGCGCGCAGACTAGGCCAAAACGGCCTGTCGTCGTGCGCGAAGATGAAAATCTTCGGCGCGTCGCCGACGTACGTTTCGCGCAAAAACCACGCCATCGCGTCCACTTCGCGCGCTTGTGAATTCGGCATCTCCGCGCACATCCACGTCATCGCCCTCAAATCGTCGGTGAGCGCGTCGCACGCGCTCTCCGGCGTCTTCGCCGCGAAGACCAATCCGAGCGTCGTCGCCGCCAAACCGTCGAATCGTTTCGTCAAGTGCGCCACCGAGTTCCCGCAGCACCACGTCACGACGTACGCCACCTCGGGCACGACATCGCTTCGCCACGCGCCACTCACCGCGCCCCGCGCGAGATCCGCGGACGCCTCCGCGCGCGTCGCCGTCGTCGCGTTCGCCGCCGCCGACCCCAAATCCAAATCCGCCTCCACCGTCTCCACCGTCTCCACCGCCGACCCCTCCACCGCCGCGCGCGACGCCTCGCCCACCTCTCCCGTCCCTCCCGACCTCACCGCGCGCGTCGCGATGCCTCGCGTCGCTCGCGCGTCGTCGAGCGCGCGTCGCGTCGACGCCCGCGCCGCGCCCCGCCCCCTTCCCGCGCCGTCGCGCGCCGTCGTCCACGTCGTCGCCATCGTCGCGATCGCCGCGATCGCCAGCATCGTCCGCGCCGTCTCGCGCCGTCGCGTCGTCCGCCGCGGCGTCGCGGTCGTTCGCGCGTCCCGTCGACGCCGCGGCGAATCGCCATCGGCGTCGGCGTCGGCGTCGGCGTCGGCGTCGTCGCGGCGCGTCGCGGCGTCGTCCCGCGCGACGCGCGTCGCGGCGCGCGCCATCGGCGCGCGCGTCGCGGCGACGCGCGTCGCGATGCGTCGCGCGCCGCGCGCGTCAAAGATTAAAAGATTGAAAATCTGCGACCGCCGCGCGCGCGCGCGACCCGGCGTCGCGCGTACGGGCGTCTTTAAAAAAAAAGACGCACCGCGAACGCGCGACCGGGCGAACGTACGAACGCGGGTCGTTCGAATCGACCCCGCGCGCGACGCGGCCGTCGCGCGCGCGCGCGCGCGTGCCGGCGTCGCGCGACCGACCGTTTTTTCGGCGCGCGACCGACCGTTTTTTTTTTATCCACGCGCGCATTCGTAAGAACGCTCGAATGAACGCCATGTGCGCGCGCGGCCACCGCGCGCGACCGACCGTTTTTTTTTTTGAATCCACGCGCGTATTCGTAAGAACGCTCGAATGCACGCCATGTGCGCGCGCGGCAAAACCCGTAATCGATCGCGCGCGCGCGCCCACCGCGCGATCGATTACGGGTTTTTATCGCGCGCCGCCCTAGGTCGCGACGATCGCGCGTGCGCCGCGCGCGACGCCGCGACGCGCGTCACGTCGCGTCGATCGGACGCGCGCGCGCGTGGCGTCGCGTCTGATCGTCCGATCGACCCGCGGCGACGCGATGGCGCTCGGCGCGCGCGCGACGACGCGGGATTTCGCGACGGGCGCGACGCGCGTCGCGCGACGACGACGACGACGCGCGACGACGACGACGACGACGCGGGATGTCGCGACGCGGGCGCGCGGTGACGACGGTGACGCGCGACGCGTCGCGCGCGCGGCGGTCGGCGACGACGCGGCGCCGATGGCGAGCGAGGACGGGGCGACGGCGACGGGGTCGGCGAGACGCGCGCTGGGGCGAGCGCTGAGCGTCGACGACGACGACGCGCCGGGACGACCGTCGGCGCTGATGAAGACGCCGCGACCGACGGTGAAGCCGACGAAGGTGCCGCGGTGGTTGGCGCCGCTGGTGGATCAGTATTTCGTCGATCACAAGGCGCAGGCGAGGGCGCTGCGAGAGGGTCGGAGGTGGGACGGCGAGGCGGAGGATAGGGAGTACGCGGCGGCGTTTAAACTGTTCAAGACGGACGAAAGCGAGCGACCGGTGGAGATGACGTATCTGTTGGAGGATTACCCGAAGTTGTTGAAGCGGATGGGGAAGATGCGCAAGGCGCGACGGGCGAGTCGGGCGCAGCGGGAGGACACGTACCCGGATCCCGACACGAAGACTGTGAAATTCGGGTACCAGCGAATCGCGGAGAAGATGGGCGTGTACCCGCGCATCGATGGCGAGGCGACGTACGCGCAGTTTTTGGAGTACCTCGAACGACGCGAGGTGACGCGGGTGTTGCTCTACGAAGAGGGGAACATGGCCATCGCGGAGATGGGCGGTCCGGCGACGCACTTGGATCCGAACGTCGACGTCATTCGGTGGAAGGTGCAAATCCCGGGCGACGCGCACGATGAGGTGACGCGGGCGTGTCTGAAAGCGTTTTACACGAAACCACACAACCCGGAAGATTTGTTCACTCCGGCGCAAACGCCGTGCCACCTGTTCATGAACATCAAGCCTTGGAACGTGGGCGTGCACGGCGCGCGCAACTGGCTCATGGCGTCGACGTTTTTCTACCTCGCGGGTACCGTGTGCAAGGGGGTGATTCAGGCGGACAAGGATCCCGAGGTCAAAAAGCGACGCGCGTTGAGGCAAAAGATGAAGAACGAGCGCGCGGCGCTCGCGGGGCAGATGGGAAAATCCAAGGCGAAGCTGGTGAAGAAGAACCAATCCAAGGTGCGCTTCAAAGACGTCGCCGGTCAAGACATGGTGGTGAACGAATTCCAGACCATCATCGACGTCATGAAGGGCAATCCGAAATACAAGGGGCGTTACGTCGAGCCGCCGAAAGGGATCTTGTTGGAAGGACCGCCCGGCACGGGGAAGACGCTCTTGGCGAAAGCCGTCGCCGGCGAAGCCGGGTTGCCATTTTTTTACGCCAACGGTTCCGAGTTTGTGGAGATGTTCGTCGGCGTCGCCGCGAGTCGCATGCGCAACCTGTTCAAGCGCGCGCGTGAAAACGCGCCGTCGATCATTTTCATCGACGAGCTCGACACCATCGGTCGCGCTCGCAACGCTGGCGAACAGCGCGACTCGTCGACGTCTGAGCGCGAGCAAGGGTTGATGCAAATGTTAGTCGAGATGGATGGTTTCGACAACAAGGAGTCCGGTTGTGAGATCTTGGTCATCGGTGCGACAAACTTGGCGACGCAACTCGATCCAGCGCTGCTGCGTTCGGGGAGATTCGATCGCACCTATCACATCGGCGTGCCGCCGACGTCCGAGGCTCGCATGCCGATTTTGCAAGTGCACGCTCGCAACTTAAACATCGACCGCGGAGGTGACGACAAGTACGAGAGCGATGCCTTCTTACATCGCGTTGCCGATCTCACCACCGGCTTCTCCGGCGCCGAGCTCGCGAACGTGCTCAACGAAGCCGCCATCTTGAGCGTTCGCGAAGGCAAGGACTCCATCGATATCAACGACATAGAAGCCGTTTTGGAAAAGCAAGCCGTCGGTCTCATCAGCGCTCCGCTGGACGATGGTTGGGGGAAAGAGCACTTGGCCATCATCGAAGCGGCCAAGGCTGTGATTTATTCCGCTCGCCCCGAGCTCGGCCCGGAGCTGCTGCAAGTCTCCATTCGCCCTCGAGGAACGCAAATGTCTGGCCTCATCTTGACGGAGCGCTCGAGCGAAGCCGAAGCCGAGATTCGCACCAGGATAGGTCCGGACACGCTGGGTTTGTACATCGACGCTCTCGCCGTGACGTTGACTGGTCGATGCGCAGAGTTGCACTTTTTCGGTCCCGACGGTGTGTCCATTCGAACGAATGAAGAAGTTTCCGCGGCGGCGGAGATGGCGTTCGACATCGTCACCACGTCGGGTCTGTACCCGGATAGCAAGTTTGCGCCGCACTTCGATATGGCCATGGTTCACCAGCTCAGAATTCCTCGAGAAAATATGGAAAAAGGCACGCTCGATGTCATCCTTCGCGCGCACACCAAGGGCATGGAACTCATTAAGGAGTATGCGCCGCTCATCGAACGCGTCGCGAACGAGCTCATGGAGAACGAACGCTTGTACGGCTCCACGGTTCGCGCAATGGTGAAGAAATACCAGCAAGAAGAACTAGGCGGCAACTTTACGCGCACGCCGTCGTTCTACGAAAGGGCGGCGATGAATAGCGCATCCAGCAATTAGACACTAGCCTACGAATTAATACCAGTTCTACAACAATGATTTGCTATTTTCTAAAAGCAAAGCTTTTCTTCTACGCGGCGCCCCTCGTGTTGCGACGCACTTCGACGTAGTGCTCGACGGCGTAAGACACACAGTTTGGACACGCGACCGCGCACTTTTGCAATTTATAGTCGCTTTCGAGTAACATGGACGACAGGGGTAAATCCAGAATCTTCAATCTCGCCTTTGCGTCGTTGACTTCGCGCTGCAACTCTTCAGAGCCGTAGCGGTGTCCGCACGTGAATGCCCAGCACTGCGCACCGTCGACTGAAGTCAGAGAGTCCAGTTCCATCGCGTCGAAAGCTCGCGTTTGAACAAACTCGGGGGAATCCAGGCGAGATGCTAGATCTTGCTTGATTTTCAACCAAACGCTTTCGATTGTAGCGCCATCCTTCGAAGAATACTTTGACTCGTCCTCGGCTACTCGTTTCGTCGCGACGGCGAGAATGAATTGACCGCTGAATTGAAATCCGAGATCACTTTGCAGTACAACTTGCATAGCCTCTGCGTGACCTTGAGAGACGAGTACGTCAAGAAACAAACGTTCGAGTTCGTCGATAGGCAATCCATTCCTTTGCCAGCATCGTGCTACGTCTTCGATTGATTTCACTTGCGCGCGCGTGTCGACCACCCGCGCGACGTACGTCTCGACGCCCAGCTCGAGCTCAGCCTGTAAGGTTGACGGCGACGTCTCGCCCACAGCGGCGAGCTTTTGAACAGCGGCCACGTGGCACATAGCGGCGGTGGCAAAGTCTTCCATCTGTGACGCTGCCAACTCGGTGATGCGAAACTTTCGCTTGTCCAGACACTTGGACGCGATCCAACCAAACAACTTTGGATCGTCTTCCAACATGACTTCGATGCGCTCGGCAAGAGCGTTTTCGTCGTCCAAGTACAAAAGTATCGTTAGCTCGATTTCAGCTGCACCGGTGACGCCAAGATTTTTCGCCTCGCGCGCCATATCCGCGAGCGAGCGCAGCTCATCTCTCGTCAACATGTCGTACACAAGTTCCAAGGGCGACGCCTCGCACGTGTCCGTCGTGTCGCTGTCCAAACCGAGCACATGAACGATGTCGTACAGATTTTCCATCGTCTGCGTAGCGATGACGTAGTACGTGACATTCGGATCCCAAAACACGAGTGGTTTGGACTCCCAAGTACGCACGGTGCCGCCGCTGTGCTCGGCTGCTTGCGTCATCAAATTCGCTGTGACGCCACCGAGCATGTGCAAGCTCTCAACGGTGGATGATGAGGACAACAGCATGGTGAATAACGTTTTGATTCGATCTGAGTACTCGTTCGCCGCACACGACGAGATCACGGATGTGCTCACCGCGTTCGCAGCCTCGAACGCGACGACGGCGGCGCTCGCCGAGCACGCCACGTCGCGCTGCACGCCCGCGTCTTTGGTGGCTTCGATACCTTCACCGATGACGCGCAAAAGATCCTTCACCGCTTGTTCAGGGGAGCGTTCTTCTTTCAGGTTCAACTTTTGGAGCTTCGCTTGAATCGATTCTCCCAAATCGTGCGCGGCGGCGTTGTACGCGACTGCGTTCGACGCTTCGCACCACGCGTGCAAATGCGCGTGCGCGGCGGCGGCCGTCTTCAACCACGAAAGGTTCGCCTGTCCTCCGTACGCCTCGACTGATTTTCCGTGGAAGTTCGTCAGTGCTTGCGACGCCTCCCACGCCTCTAAGCTCAGCGAGATGAAATCTTTGAGTGGCTTTCCAGTCTTCCCGAATAAATCGCGCGCTCGAGAGAAATTTTGTCGCTTGAGCTCCTGGCGCGCAGCCTCGACGAACACGGGCATGTGATCCTCGTCCAAGACGTGCGCGACGAGTTTTAAGCGTTCGTCTTGGTCGAGATCTACGCTTAAAGCGTTGTCACCGAACTCGTCGCGTTCGATCGGCGCCCACGCGTCGCGGCGGGTCGAGGCAACGACCGCGTTCGGCGACATGAACGATCGCAGCGTAGACGCGATGTCGACTTTTGACTTAATTTCGTACACCCCGTACGATGTCCACAACATGCATCCGCACAGCGTCTCTCGTCTTCGCACGTACGTTTCCGGGAGCTCAGCCGCGAGGAACTTTTTTGGCACGCCCGCGGAGCGCGGCACGTGAAACGTCTGCAGCGTAAACGACTTGGAACCGTCGGTCCCGAATCTTCGCGCCAACACGTGCACGGACGCGGTGAATGAGGTTAAGTCTGCGAGATCTTCCTCACCGAAAACCGGTTCGCGCACCAAGGCGAATATTAAATCTTCAGTCACGTGCACGGCGACGGTGTGATTCGGCAACGCGTGCGTGGATTTTGGCTCGGTGGCGCGATCCACGTCGTACAACTCCAACGTACGGCGATCGATCAACGCAGCGATGAGCGAATATCCATCGCTCTCGCCGGTCTCTTGCACGCTCAGCGTCACCTGCCGCCCCTCGCGAACGCCGTACTCATCCTTGAGCAGGTGCGCGGCGAATCCGTGCGAACCCGCGGCGTCCGGTAACGATTCAGCCTTGGTCGTCGTCTCCACCTTGCCTTTTTCGCTCGTCGACGTCTTCACCACGCGCGACATTTTCTCCAGCATCAACGTCCAAACTTCGCCCTGAACACCGTTGATGACGAGAAATTGCTTCGTCGCGCCGCGCGCGAGCTCCGCGCTCGCGCACTTGGCGCCGACGACGCACGCGCCCAGAGGCGACCCCTCCTTCACGTCCCACGCCCGCACCTCCCCGTCCACGCCGACGCATATCCCCACCACCGGATCCTCGCGCTCGGGTTCGAGCGCGCGATACCACCACAGCGCGCTCGCCGGCTTCGGCCCTCTCGACGCCAACACCCGCATCGCCGGCGACGCCTCCGCGTCACGCGTCAACTCCAAAATCGGCACCACGTACACCCCTCCCGCGCTCGTGCAGCACAACAAGCTTTCCCCATCGCGCGAGTGCGCCATCGCGTGGATCCTCGCGCGCGATCCCTCGTACCACGGCGCCAACCGTTTCGTCGCGCGTCGTCTCGCCGCGATAAAATTTTCCACCTTGGCCGCTCGCGCGCTCCCGCTCGCGCCGAATCCGCTCACCGAGCACGCCAACGCGCGTCCTCGCGCGTCCGCGTCGCCCTCCTCGCCGCGCGCGCGTCCTCGCGCGCTCGACGCCGCGATGAATTCCATCGCCCCGTCGTCGAATTCTTCCCTCGCCGCCGCCTCCGCGCCCGCGCTCGCGCCGCCGTCCGTCTGCGCGTACCCGAACATGGCGCTGATGCTGAACGACCGCTCGACCGCGCCGTCGGGCGGTCGCGCGCGCGCCCGGCGCCGTCGGTCGACGCCGAGCGCGTCATCGACGACGAAGATTTCGCACTCCAATCGCGCGTCCGCCTCCGTCGACGCCCCGGACGCGTCGCGCGCGTCGCGAGCGCGCGCGTCGCGACGCTCGGCGCGCGTCTCGCGCGCGTCGGCGTCCATGACGCGCGACGCCGCGCCGTCGCGGCGTCGAGTGCGGATTCACCGTTGGCGCGCGAATCCGCTTCACCGCACTTCGCGATGCGCGACGCGCTCGATCGCCTCGCGTCGGACGCGCTGGTGGTTCTGAACGACCTCGGCGACGCGGTCGACGCGCCGAGCGCGTACGGGGACGCGCACGGGACGCGCTTGAGCGCCGCGGATGCGAATTTGTTGAAAAAGTTGTTTCGCGCGTTCGCCGCGCGCGACGGCGGGGCGCCGTGGCGACGCGCGAGCGACGCGGACGGCGCGCGCGTGTATCGCCGCGCGTCGGCGAGCGCGGCGTCGAGGGCGCACCAAGTGCTGGGGGTGACGGAGACGAGGGCGAGCGCGGATGAGGTGTTCGCGTTCTTTAGCGAGGCGAGCGCGTTCGACGAACACTTTAAGATTCTGGACGACATGTTCAAGGGAGGGGACGTGCTGAGCTATAGGTTGTACGACGACATGGTGAAGACGACGGGGGGCGAGGGCGGTGCGGTCGAGCGCGCGGGGGCGGGTGGAGGAGAGGGGGCGAAAACGCGACGGCGCGCGCGGGGACTTTGGAATCGAGGCGCGAATTTCGGCGAGTTGTTCGAGCGGTTGGAGAGATCGGCCAAGGCGAAGGCGCGAGACGCGAAGGCGCGAGGGACGGGGCGCGCGAGCGAGGGGAATCGGTCGGCGATGGAGACGATCGAGTCGGTGCCGCCGGAGCGGCCCGACGCGAGTAATCCGCTCGGATGTCGTCCGGGACACGCGATTTTGCGAGGGACGTTTAGGCTTCCGTCCATCATACGCGACCGCGATTTCGTGTGGGAGCAATTGACGATGAAGATGCCGAACGGGGCCGTCGTCGTCGCCGCGCAATCGATCGAAAATGGCGTCGTCAACGCCGTGGCGCCGCCGCTCGAGGGACACGTGCGCGGTGCAATTCTCGTTTCGGGATACTACGCCGTGCCGAATCGGGAGACCGGTGGATCGACGTTGTTTTACGTCGTTCAGGCCGACCCGAAAGGCGTGCTCCCGATGTGGGTGGTGAACTTGGTGGCGCCGGATCAAGCGCAAAACGTCGCTCGACTTCGTAACCACCTCGACGGGCCGAAGAAGTGAATAGATTATTTCGCGGCGGCTCGCGCGCGCGGGCTAGGAACGCGTAACAACAACGCCGCTAACGTTCTAATGTGTATCTCTAAGGTAATCTAAAACGCGTCGTCGACCTCGCACCCGAATAACGCGCGCGCCATTCGCCCGACGATCATCTCCAACAGCGCCGGTTCGCGCGCCGCGGCGTCGATGAAGCCTTCGACGTGGCGCAAACGTTCGTGGCCGTCGACGTCGACGTCGTCGTCGTCCGCGACGTTTCGCGGCGCTAATTTCACGCGCATCATAGCGCGCGTGGGGTTGACGTGCGCGTGCACGCACAGCAGTAGCGTTCGCACGGATTCGCGAAACGCCGCGGGAAAGTTTTTGTGCGACGCGCGACTCCAGCGCGTGGGATTGCCGACGCGCCAGCAGTGCGCGACGCCGCCGTCACACGTCGCGCCATACATCTCATCTCGAGCGGGCGTGATCGCGAGCAAGCTTGGAAGCGTTCGTCTGTGCCCGCTCGTGTCGTGAAAGTGCTGCGCCGGGTGAAGCGAGGTGATCAACGCGCCGTTGCCCGGATTGATGACCCAAATCGCGCCGTCGCGATGCGCCAAGAATAAGCTCCCGCCCACGCTGCACAGCGAACCGCAGTCGATGAAGACGTTGGACGCGCCGAGCCCTTCGATGCTAAACCGATTCACCTCCGCGCCGTCCTCGGCGTCTAAAATCACGAGCTTTACGGACGAATCCGGAGCCGCGTACGTCGTCCCGTGCACCATCTCCTCGCACGAGCACGTCGCCGCGCGAGACGACAACGTCCCTCCCCTGTCGATCACGGCCGCGCCGGCGAGAAACACCCCTCGTCCCGGCTCGCGCCTCGAGCGCCAAATCAACCGCGCGCGCCCGAGATCGTTCACCTCCACCGCCGCGACGCTCTTTTGATCCATCGACGTCGCGACGAATCCGTCGCCGCCCAACGCCGCGTACGCCGACGTCGTCCCCAACCACGTGCTCTTCGCCATCGACGCGAATCCCTTCGCCTCTCCCGAAGCCGTCGACGGCGACAGCGTCTCGACGTCCCACACCGCCAGGCTCGCCCCCCCGGAGCCGTGCCGCGCGACCAACGTCCCCGCGCGCCGCGCTCGACCGACGACGACCAGCCGCGCGCACCGCGTCGCCGACGCGTCCCGCGCCCGACCCCATCCCGCGTCCCATCCCGGCGGCGTCAGCGTCGCCACTTTACTCGCCTCCATCCCGCGCTCGCGCGCGCATCGATACACCCACACCGACCCGTCCGTCATCCCGACGGCGAACTCGTCCGCGTCGTCGCGCGTCGCCGCCGCGCTCGCGCACCCTCGCGCGCCTCGCGCGCGCCGCCACACCCCCCGACCGCGCCCGCGCGGCGCGAAGTACACGACGCCGTCCCCCGGCGCGCTCGGCGCGCATCCCGCGCACGCGACGACGCCGCGCGACGTCGCGAGCGCGTGACACTCGAACCGCGTCGCGCCTTCGTCGTCGCTCGACGCGTCGCCGTCGGCGTTCGAGACGCCGATCGAGACGCGACGCGCCGGGCGATCGACGTAGTCGTCCGCGGCGCGCTCGAGCACGACGGCGCTCCGCGAGCGCGCGCCGCGCGGACGCATCCCGCGGTGTGACGATTACACGCCGCACTCGCCGACGCGCGACGACGCGCGACGACGCGCGTGCCGGCGTTCTCGAGATGCCGGAAGACGCCGCGACAACCGACGCCGTCGCGCGCGCCACCGCGACGCTCGGCGACGCGCGCGCGCCGACGCCCGCGCGCTTCTCCGCGCTCTTCCAGCTCCGCGCGCTCGCGACGCCCGACGCCGTCGACGCGCTCGTCGAGCGGCTGCGCGCGTCGCGCTCGGATTCGGCGCTCGTGCGGCACGAGTGCGCGTTCGCGCTGGGGCAGATGCGCGCGCGACGCGCGATCGACGCGCTGATGGAGACGCTGCGGGACGGCGACGACGACGGGATGGTTCGACACGAGTGCGCCGAGGCGCTGGGCGCGATCGCGAGCGACGATGGACGATGCGCGACGGCGCTGAGGGAAGCGGCGGGGGATGCGCGCCGGGAGGTGGCGGAGACGGCGGCGCTGGCGCTGAGGAAACTGGAGATGTGCGGCGCGGGGGGCGCGAGGGACACGGGGAGCGCGACGGGGAGCGCGAAGGAACGCGCGAGTCGACGACGCGACGACGGAGGGACGACGGGGGGGGCAGAGGAGGGTAAAACGGAGACGACGTGTTTGAGCGTCGATCCGATCCCGGCGATGCCGACGGAGACGCCGTTCGAGCGATTGAAGGCGGTGGTTTTGGACGACGCGCACGAAATGTGGGAGCGGTACGCGGCGATGTTCGCGTTGCGGAATAAATCGTGCGCCGATCGAGAATCCAGCGACGCGTGCGCGGACGTCCTGGGCGAGGTTTTGAGCGCGAGCGGGAGCGCGCTGCTGAAGCACGAGGTGTGCTACGTGTTGGGGCAATTACAGAGCGCGAGCCCGGGGGCGCGAGACGCGTTGATTCGATGCCTCGAAGACTCGCGCGAGCACCCCATGGTGCGTCACGAAGCCGCCGAAGCGCTCGGATCGATCGCGCATCCGAGCACGCGAGGGTACCTCGAGTCGTTCGCGTCCGATCCCGAGCCCATCATCGCCGAATCGTGCGAAGTGGCGCTCGAAATCATGCGCCGAGAGCGCGAGGGCGAAATCGTCACCGCCGACGGCGCCGTCGTCGCCGTCAAACGCGACTGAGCGCCACCGCGCGATACCGCGCGATACCGCGCGCGTCTACGTTTTATAAAATGCGCACGCGCACGCATTCATCGCCGCGTATTCATCGCGCGCGCTCGAAGAGATTTCCTCGCGTCCCGACGCGCGTCCCGGTCGCCGCGGCGCAACCCTCCCCACAATCCCACGCCATGACCGCCAACCTCGCCTCCCGTCCCCTCGCCCGCCTCCCGCCCGAGGTCAACCGCACGCTGTACGTCCGTAACCTCCCCTTCAACGTCAGCAGCGAGGACATGCACGAGATATTCGGTAAATACGGCGCCCTGCGACAGATTCGCCTCGGGACGACCAAGGCGACCAAGGGCACCGCCTACGTCGTCTACGAGGACATCCACGACGCCAAGCAGGCGTGCGAGCACCTCAGCGGATTCAACGTCGCGAACCGCTACCTGATCGTGCTGTATCACCAGAGCGGAAAGGCGACGCAGAGCGTCGAGCGACGCGCGGCGGAGACGGCGCGTCTGCAGCGCGAGCACGGCGTCTCGGGAACGCAAACCTGACGCTCGACGCCCGCGAGCGCGATATTTTAGCGCGTGTAACGATAGTGATTAGCGTACTAGTGCCGAACGCGGCGCCGCGGACGCGGTCGGATTCATCGCGTCGCGTCGCGTCGCCGTCGTCGCCACTCGTCGCCTCGCGCGACGCGAATGCGCTCGAGCGCGCGACCGTACGTCGCGGGTGCGCTCATTTTGTGGGCCGTCGCGCTGCAGGCGCACGTGTGGAGCATCCCGGACGCGGAGTTGAGGCGATTGCGCGGAGATTCGCGCGTGTCTTTCGTCCCCAGCGCGCGCGGGGTGCATGCGCGCGGGGCGAGGCGCGACGGCGACGACGACGACGACGCGAGCGCGCGGCGACGCGATTAAAGCGAAACGCTCGAAGGTCGCGCGAACGACGCGCGCAAACGCGCGGCGAGTCATGGCGGGAGAGGCGGCGGCGATCGACGTGACGACGCTGCTGTCGACGTGCGTCGACGCGGCGGGACGCGGGTGCGCGGAGATACGGCGAGTGCAAAAAGCGCGCGATGAAGCGGCGAGCGACGATGAGAGCGCGTTCGTGGTGACGAGAAAAGTGGCGAGCGATCCGCGGTCGGCGCTGACGGAGGCGGACGTGGCGGCGCAGAGCGCGATCGTGAGCGCGTTGAGGGCGCGGTGGCCGACGGTGAAAATCGTGGGCGAGGAGGACGAAAACGACGACGCGGCGCCGATGAGCCCGAAGCGAGGGGCGCCGCTACGCGAGGATTTGTGTGCGGCGATTGAAACGTGCGATGACGCGCGATTGCGGACGATGCGGGTGAAAAGCGAGGACGTGACGGTGTTCATCGATCCCGTGGACGGGACGCGAGAATTCGTCGAGTCGCGTCTGCGCGCGGTGCAGTGCTTGATCGGAATCGCCGTGCGCGGACGCGCGGTGGCGGGTGCGATCGGGTTGCCGTTTCCTGATGGTGACGTCGCGTCGTCGGAGGCGTGCGTGGTGTACGGCGCGGTGGCGCCGGGGGCGAAGCGCGGCGCCGTGGGCGCGCACGGCGAGCGCGGCGCCGCTCTCGAGATACGATTCGACGCAGAGAACGCGCAGGTGCGCTCGGTGACGGGAGATTCCAAAAATGCGGCGTTAATCGCGGCGAAAGAGATTTTGCGAGAGACGGCGACGAAAAGCGGGGCGACGTACGCGCACGGCTCGATCGGCGGCGCCGGGAATAAATTGCTCGCCGTCGCGGAAGGTCGCGCCGAGTACGCTTTGATGCACTTCGGGACGTCGCTGTGGGACACGTGCGCACCCGAAGCGATCGTTCGCGCGTGCGGGGGGAAAGTGACGGATTTATACGGCGCGCCGCTGATGCATTACGAAGACTCGCCGGGGGGGTTGGTGAACCAACTCGGCGTCGTCGGTTCGTCCGCCGCGTGCGAAGGCGCGATTTCGCACGACGCCGTGTGCTCGGAGATGCGTGGAAACGAAGACTTGAAGAAGATGCTGAATCGCTTCACGGGTGGTGATAGCTCGCTCGCATTCGGCGGCGATGAAATTCAGGCGAGCGACGTCGCGCGGTGTTTGGGCGGCGGACCGTTGTCGGCGCGAGACGTCGGCGACCGCGTCGCGCGCGCCGTCGGCGCCGAAGGCGACGTCTCGCTTTCCGGATACTCCGCCCCCGAGCGCGACGCCGTGCGCGGTTTGATGAGCGATGCGTGTCGTATCTATTTCAAATGGTCCACAGACGACGACGGTCGTCTGCCCCGGTCGGCGTTCTACAAAAAAGTCGACATGGGCAATCTCGAATACATGCGCACCAAGCAAGTCACGCAACCGCTCAAAATTGCGCGCGACAGTAAATCGTACGCCGTCGAGGCGTCGTTTCTCGCCTCGGACGCGTGTAAGGCGCTCGAAGAAGCGGGCATCGGCGTACCGATATGCTACGCCGCCGACTTGCGACCGGTGCACGACGACCCGATCGAGAGCAAGTTTTCCCTCTTGCTCGAAGACTTTCACCCGAGCGACGGTTGGGAACAGGCGAAGATGCTTCGACCGGATCAAGCCAAATGCGCGCTCAGAGCGCTCGCGCGCATGCACGCGTTCTTCCTTCCGGGAAGTCGCTTCCGAAAGTCATCGAAAGCCGCGAATGAGGATCTTCTCGCCACGGTTTGGAGCTCGGGCGGATATTGGCAACCGAACATGCAACCGGACGATCAGATGGACGTCGTGGCGAGCGCGTGGGAGCAGCATATGTCCAGCTTCGGCGCCGCGATTGAGGCCGAGCCGACGATCGACATCGCCGTGGCGCGAACCGTCGGTGCGAGATTACAGTCGCACGCGCGTCGAATAGGCGCGGAGACGCACCCGTTTTCGGGATGTCCGGGCGCCGACGACGCGTTGCGACACGGCGGCGAGAGACTGGCGGCGCTGCAAACCGTCATCCACGGTGATCCGAAATCGGGTAACATTTTTGAGCGACGCGCGGGGGAGTCCGACGAATGGGAAATCGGTCTGATCGATTTCCAATGGACCGGGATCGGGCTCGGCGGTACGGATGTCGGGCATTTTATGTGCGCGTCCGTGGCGCCGGAGGGGCTGAGCGCCGACGGCGCCGCGGAAAACGCACTCGTCGACGTGTACTACGACGCGTTTTGTGAAGCCGCGGCGGAATTCGGCGCGGTGTCGAGTAAAGAAAACGCTGGCGAAGAGTTGCTCACGCGAGAAGAGTTACAAGTGCAGTATGAAAACGGAGTATTGGATACGATGCGATGCGTGTTTGGCTACCAGTGGCTTCGCGTCAAGGCGTCGCCCGAGTCGCTCGCGAAGAACGCACAGTCCATAGGGCGCAACAGTTACAACAAGTCGCTCCCGAACGCGTTGTGGATGATTCGCACTGCGGATTTGTATCTCAAGGCGCGCGAAGCGAGAGCGCATTAAATGATTTGTTGAGTAAGATATGAGTTGAAATTTTCACGCGCACACGCTCTTCTTCGATCGAAGCTCGACGGTGTATTTGTCTGGAATCGCGTCGCGCTCCATTTCTTTGACTTTACGCTCGCGAATTTGTTCAAGTAAAACGTGCGTTTGTCTTTCGCGCCGGCGCGCCTCTTCAGCCTCTTCAGCCGCGCGCGCCTCCGCCCGTCGTTTCGCCTCTTCGTTGGATTGCATTTGATGGATTAAATCGCGCTTGTGCGCCGCCGCTGCCTCGCGCCGCGCCTCCTCTCTCTGCCGCTCCGCCAGCAGCTGCGCCTCGTACTCTCGTTTCAAACGTTCGGCGTTTTCTTTTTCGTTCTCCTTCTCGATGCGCTGCAATCGCACCTTTTCTTCGTGCTGCGCCACGCGAGCGGCGGCTAAATCTTCAAGCATTTGGCGTCGCTTGGCGCGTTCGGCGCGTTCCTTCTCGCGCGTCTGTCTGTCGTACTCATCTTGCAGCTTTTGAGCGCGAATAAAGTCTTGCTCGGCGCGACCATCGATGTACTTTTCTTGCATCGAACGAAGACGCGCGGTCTCGAGTTCGCGCGCTCGGCGCTGCGCTTCCTCCTCGGCGGCTTTGGCGGCGTCGCGCTCGGCTTTCAATCGCAAGTACTCCATCACGCGTTCATCTTCCGCGCGTTCGGCGCGCTCGGCCTCGGCTTTGCGCTTGATTTGTTCTTCGTTTTCAGCGTTTATCTCGTCCAGAAGTTTCAGCGCGGCCACGCGCTTGCGCTGCTTGTCCGCGGCGTCCTCTTCGAAGGCGCGCTCGATGTCTTCGACGCGCTTGCGAGATTCCCGCTCGCGGCGTTCCTGCTCCATCGCGCGCGCGCGCTCGCGCTCCGCGATTTGCTCGCGCAGCGTATCTGCGCCGAGTTTCATCTCGAACCTACGCTCGCGTTCGCGACGTTCCATGCGCGCGATCGCGGCGACGCGATCGCGCTCCATCTCCTCGTCCAACCGTCGCCGCTCCGCCTCGGCGGCGATTCGCAGCGCGCGCTTCTCCTCCACCTGCGCGTCTCGCGACGTCATAACCTTGCCGTACAAAACCATAGAATTCATCTCGCGCACGTCCGCGAGATCATTCTCGAGCTCAGCCGCCGCGCGCGCTCGAGTCTCCCCATCCGTCTCCTCTCGCACGGTGCGCCTCGGCGCCGCCGCGTCGCCCTCCCGCGCGTCCTCCGCGCCCCGATTCGTCTCCGCCTTCCCTCGCGCGCGCGCAGCGTCCGCCGCGCGCATGCGCTCGCGCCGCGCGCGCTCGCGCGCCGCCGCCTCCGTCCCACCGTCGCCCGCGCCCGCGTCCGCGTCCGCGTCCGCGTCCGCGCGCGTCGCTTCGTCTCGCTCCTCCCCGCCGTCGTCCCACCGCCCGCGCGCGCGTCGCGCCATCGCGCGCGCCTCCTCGCGCGTCACGCGCGAAAACCCACCGCGCGCGCCCGCCGCCGCGCGGTGGGTCGTCGCCATCGTCGCGCGCCGGTCTCTCGCGTCGACGCGTCGACGCGTCGATTCGTCGATTCGCGTCGCTATTTTTAGCCGCGACGCGTCCGGTCGCCCCGCGCCCTCGCCGACGACGATCGCGCCCGAACGCGTCGCGCGATCGCGCGCGGCGGTATTATTTAACGCGCGCGTTTCGTTCGCGCGTCGTTCACGCGTCGTTTTCGCGTCGTTTCGGCGTCGTTTTCGCGTCGTTTTAAATCTTCAAGTCTCGAGACGCTCGAGCGAAACGATCGATTTTCGCGTCTGTGCGCGACGTTCGCGTCGCGTCGCGTCGCGTCGCGTCGCGCGTCGTCGCGATGGCGCGCGCGATACCGTCCGCGATGACGCGCGTCGACGCCGCGCCGTCGGCGAGCGCGTCGGCGCGCGCGTCGTCGGCGACGCGCCGACACGCGCTCATGTTCGCGTGGCTCGGATTGATTCACGTCGACGTCGCGGTGACGGCGCTGGCGGTGTGGACGCTGCCGAGCGCGATGGCGGTGACGGCGCTCGCGACGCTGGTCGCGGCGGCGGCGATCCCGCGGACGGTGGCGACGCCGAGGTGGGGCGCGCGGTTGGCGCGCGCGGTGACGAGGACGGCGACGGCGTACTTTCCGACGCGATTGGAATTCGAAGACGAGGAGGCGTATCTGCGAGCGGTGAGGAACGAAGAGGCGTGCGTGATAGGACTGGAACCGCACGGGGTGCTGCCGCTGAGCGTGATATCGTTCGCGGAGTATTTTATGCACGATGAGGAGGGGGCGCGGCGACGAGGATTGACGCCGGCGGCGAGACGAGGCGCGCGGGCGCTGGCGAGCGCGGCGATATTTAAAGTCCCGCTCGTGAAACATCTGTGGACGTGGTTGGGGTTGGATCCGATCTCGAAGGCGTGCATGCTGAGGATGCTGCGAGCGGGGAAGACGGCGGTGATCATTCCCGGCGGCGTCGCCGAGTGCATGGCGATGGAACGCGGCGTGGAGACGTTGTATTTGCGCAAGCGATACGGATTCGTGAAGATCGCCATCGTGACCGGAGCGAAACTGATTCCCGCGTACACGTTCGGACAAAGTCGGACGTACGGGTACTGGCGGCTCGGGCCGCCGATCGTGCCGAAATTCGTGGCGGATTGGATCGGGAAGACGTTTTCGTTCGCGCCGATTATTTTCTGGGGGAAATTTTGCACGCCCATCCCGTACGCGACGGCGCTCAACACGGTCGTGGGCAAACCGATCGAGGTTGAAAAAAACCCAGATCCGAGCAAGGAAGAGGTTCAGGCGAAATTGGACGAGTTTATCGACGCCATGCGTTCGCTGTACGACAGTCACAAGGCGAGATTCGGTTACGAAGACGTTCGACTCGTGATTTGTTAGGATTTGTTAGACACATCGAGCGGCCGCGCGATGTTAAATATAACGTTACAACGACGACAACGACGACAAACGCGGTCCGACGCGGCGCGCTATCGCCGCCTCAAACGCGCGCTATCGCACCGAACCAACCCGTTGCGTGAACAAAAAGTCCGGATACACCTTAGTCAGTCGCTCCAAGCTCGGCATCGTCATGTTCGCGATGATCTTCTCATTCTTCTCCACCAACGTCTTAAACTCCTTCATGGAAATCACCCCATCCTTCGTCAAATCGCAATCCTCGAACGTTTTGTTCAGCACCGCCTCCATCATCTCCTTCGTCAGCGTCATCGCCTTCGACTGTCGCAGCACCGCCTCCAACATCTCTCGCACGTCCTCCCTTTCGATCGCGCCCGTCCCGCGCAAGTCATACACCCTAAATGCAAACTCCGTCTTCTCGTTTCGCGTCGCTTGCGGATGAAACACGCTCAAGCCTTTCACAAATTCCTCAAACGTCAACTGTCCGTCCCGCGCGCTGTCAAAGCACGCGAAGATTCGTTCGCTAAACAAATCTCTCGTCTTCCCTCCGTTCACTTCGCGGCCGAAGAGCGCGAGTTGGAACTCATCCGCGTCGATCGCGCCGTCGGCGTCGTGCGAGCGGCTCACCTTGGAGAAGACATCGCGCAAGACTCGAATTTGTCCCGGTCGAAAGTGTGTCTGGTCGGCGAGGCGTTGGCGCTCGCGCTCCTCGTCCACGGGACCGGAGGCGACGCAGCCCATGCGCGCGGGTGACGCGACGTTCGTCGCGCCGATTCGATGCGCGGTCGGACGAGGCGCGCGGCGCGGCGCGGCGCGGAGTGAGGCGAGCCCCTGCGGCGGTTTGGAATTGGTTTCGCGGCCAACAAGAGCTAAAGGAAATCGAACAATCGCAAAATGGCGTCGAAGACGCCGACGGCGACTTTTTCATCCATCACGGCGTCGACATCGATGGCGACTTCGTCAGCCATGAGGGCGGTTTCCGCGATTTTCTGAAACGCGTATTGCGCGGCGATTAACGCCGCGATGGCGGCGGTTTTCGCGTTGACGGCGTTGGGAGAGCTAATGTCGGAATCTTCGCGTTGACACGCGTTCATGGTGTTCACGTGCTCGCCCTCGTCGTCGCGAATGTTGCTAAAGACGTCGAACAGCGATCTGATTTGCGGACGTCTCAAGCGCACCTCTCTCGCGGTTTGGAACTCGTCGAAAAGGTACAAATCGGCGGCTTCGTAATATTCGACGGCGATTCTCGGCGCGGGCATGCTCTTCAGGAGCTCGGCGTTTTGATCGACGAATTGCCCGTACGTGTCCACGGCGTGTCCCTCGATGAGCTCTGAGAAGTTATACGCCAACGCCGGAGATATGAGCCACAGCGCGACGAGCACGAAGTAATACACGATGGCGGCGTGCTGGCCCAAAAAACGATCCCGCCAACACGCGTCGCCGCCGAGCGACTCCATGACGAGCAGATGATGATACTCGTTCCATTCCTCCGCGAAGTGCACTTTACGAAGCTCCGAGCTTCGTCGCCACCATCCCAAGATTTCATAAAACGTCAGCATGGACGTGTAACTAAAGTACGGCATCCTCGCGACGGTTTCAAGAAACCAAAACCGTTGCACCGGCTGCGTCTCGTCGAACAATTTATCCAACATCACGCACAGCGCCACGTACGGCACCTTCAGTATCCAAGGCGCCGAAATCTCCGGCCTCGCTCGCTCCCGCGCCCAAATCGCGTCCGCGTCCAATCGCAGCGCGTCCATCTTCGCCCGCAACTCGGCCGGCATCGCGTCTCGCGCCTTCTCCGTCTCTGGCGTATTCGCGTCGAAATACGCCATCATCTCTCTGAGCTCGCGCGCGAAGTTCTCGGTGCCGCTCTGCAAAAACCCTCGCGGCACACCGTGTCGTTCGATGTCGATGTAGCACCCTCGCAAGCTCGCGATGTAGCCGTACGAACACGAAAACTCGACGTCGTCGTCGTCGTCTCGCGACGCCTCCCTCGCGAGCGTCGCCGCCGCGTACGCCAGCTCCGCTTTCGCCAGCGCCGCCTTCGCCGCGTCGCGAGACGCCCGCAGGGCGTCGACGTCGGTGTTTCGCGCGATCGCGGCCCTCGTTTCGCGCGTCGTCGCGCTCGCGAAGGCGTCGGCGACGTCTTCCGGGACGTCGGCACCGTCCTCGACGCCGTCGCGCGTCGCGCGCGCGCGACGCCGCGCGCGCGACGTCGCGAGACGCCGACCGCGCCTCGGTCCGTTCGCGCGCGCGACGACGCGCGCGCGCGACGGCGCGACGGCGCGCGGCGTCGTCATGACGCCGACCGCCGACGACGCGCCAAACAATGACGCGATGTTCGACGGCTCGCCTCGCGACGCCGAGCCCGCGCGCGCGCGCGCGCGACGCGCGCGCTCGAGCGGTTCGCGACGACGCCCCCGCGCGCTGGCGATGTCCGGCGTGCCTTCGACGGGGCGCGCGGGAGCGGTTGCGGTCGGAGCGGGACGCCAACTGTATCGACGGCGGCGATGAAAAACGCGCCGCGGCGACGTATCGCTGCGCGAACGGACACGCGCTCGACGCGAGCGCGTCTGGGTACGTGAATTTGTTCGTCGGGAAGCGCGCGCGAGGGGACTCGAGGGCGCAGCTGCGCGCGAGACGGCGATTTTTGGTCGAGGGCGGGCACTTCGGCGCGCTGAGCGAGGCGGTGGCGGACGCGGTGTTGGGACGCGCGGCGGACGCGCGCGATGGGGACGCGGAATTAGGGTTAGCGGTAGAATTAAGGTCTGGAGGCGATGCGGCGTCGACGACGGCGACGTCGCCACGAGCGAGACGCATGGCGCGGAAGCGGGAAGCGAGGAGCGAAGCGCGCGCGGCGAATCCGAACGCGGCGAACCCGAACGCGGCGTCGGCGAAGGTGAAGGCGAAACCGCTCCGAGTGGTCGATTTCGGGTGCGGTGAGGGCTATTATTCATCCGTCGTGCTCGAGCGCGCGAGAGCGCGGGATGACGTCGAGTTGGAACTCGCGGCGTTGGACGCTTCGAAGGACGCCGCCGATTTGTGCGCGGCGGCCATCGGCCGATTCGCGCGCGTCGCCGTCGCTGACGCGACGCGCGATTTGCCCCTGGACGATGATAGCGTAGACGTCGCCATGAGTGTATTCGCACCGCGTTCACCGACGGAGCTCGCGAGGGTACTAAGGAAAGGCGGTCGAGCCGTCGTCGCGAGTCCGGACGACGATCACATGGTCGAGCTTCGCGACGCGTTCCGGGACGACGACAAAATCACCGTCCTCGGCGTCGAGCCGAACAAGTCCACTCGCGTTGATGAAGCTTTTCTTGCCGCCGGGTTCGACGTCGTGTTCCGACGCGCGATTCGCGACGTGGTTCCGCTTCCCGCCGACGCCGTAGCCGATCTCGTCTTCATGGGTCCGAGTGGCTTTCACAACCCAGAATCAGCTATTCGCGACGCAGTCGGCGATGCCCCGCGTGTCGTGACGATATCGTTTAACGTTGTCGTGTACGCTTTGCTTCGGTGATGCTGTGCCCATAGACTCCCGTATCGTCGTGTTGTTTGTCAATCAAGCAATCAATTGTGTGCTCGCGCTACAATATCTAGTTAAAAATTCAAAGAATGGAACTGGTTTACTGATTGATGGACGCCATCGTGCGCACGACGACGTGCCCGAGTCCTTCGTCAAAGGCGATACCGTTCTGAGTCAACCAGCGCATGATGTCGCCGTGAATAACGCGTCCGCCGCGGCTGTGATTCCCTCGCCCGGTGATGAGTTTGATTGACCAGTCCGAACTCACCATTGGCGCTATCTTCAGCAGTTCGCGCTCGAGACGTCGAATCGCGTCCAACCTATCGTAACCGTGGAAATCAATGACGCGATTGAAGCCTCGATTATCGTTGTCCGCTGTCGAAGGTGCTACAACCTCGGTATCAATCGACTCGAGCGCCTGCTTCAATTTCGCCTTTTCGCCGAGCAACGCCGCGGCGCGTGTATCGCCCCTATCTCTCTGCACTCGCAAGCGCGACATTTCTTCAGAGAGCTCTTCTAGACGCGCGGCGTTTCTATCCGACAAATTTACGCTTAACCTCTGCGTCTTCGCCTTTGGACCTTGTAGGAACGCCAAGTGTTTTGCAGCGTTTATGATTTCCGCGCGCGCCCCGCTGACTTCCCAATTCGGCGTCGAGCTGGGCGGCGGCTTAGAGACCCAAGTCGTCCCGCTCGTGATTGTCACCTCTCGTCGGTCGGTACCTAATCCGGCGGCTTGGAGACGGCGCGTAGTTTCCTCATCACGAGCTTTCCGACGTTGCGCTTTCGCTTGTGCGCGGCGGATCTTCTTGCTCAGCCCTTTGCTGATTCCTTCCTTCTTGGAAGAATTGTCTTCGGATTCGGGTTCGGAGTCATATTCGGATTCGGATCCATATTCGTCGTCTTCCGTATCGTACTCCGAATAGTATTCATCGTTGTCGTACATGTCCTCGATGTCCGGCGCGATGCTGGCCAACAAATCTTGCGCCGTCGCCTCCATGTCGTAGCCAAATCGAATGAACGTCGTCTTCACAAACTCTGGATGATGCTCCTCGAACATCTCGCACAAGCTCAAGTACTCGCGTCGTATGTTATTTCGTCGTTTTTCCTCCTTCAGTGCCTGCTTTTTCGCCTCGGCGACGGCGCGTTCCGCCATTTCCTCCGCCGTCAACGGCCGCGCCTCCTCGCGCGCCTTTGCCTTCGCCTTCGCCGCCGCGATTTGTTTCTTCGTCATATACTCCGGTCGCGTCGACGTCGCGCGCGGTGCCGCCTCGCTCGTTCGCCCCAACGAGTGTTTGTTCTTAGTCGGACTCGCCAATCCCGGAATCGCCGACGAAGATCCCGAGTGCCGCCCCGAATCGCTCGTCTCGCCCCCGAATCCAAAATCGACGCTGCCGTCTCTCATCTTCACTCCTAGCCGACACTCCAACCGCAGCGCCTCATCGCTCGCGCCCAACGCCCGCAAATCCAACCCCTCGTCTCGCGCCAAATCCTCCGCGACGACGTCGCCCAGAGTTCTCCACTCCATCGTCTCCGGCGCGAACACCGACACGTGCGGCGTCGCCGGCGTCTCCAGCCCCGTCAGCTCGCGATCCATCTCGATCGACACCGCCATCACCATCGCGCGCGGTCGCACGCACGCGTGCGTCATCGTCACCGTCACCGCGCGCGATCGCCGTCGCCGCGCGAGCTCGAGCACTCGCGTCGTCGCGTCTCGATCCGGCGCGTGCGCGAGCGTCACGTGATCCGCCGACGATTTCGCGCCCGGCGGCGCGCACGACATCCCCAGCAGTCGGTGCGCGAGCGCCCACACCTTTCGGCGCGCGTCGGCGTCCAGGAACAGGCCGGCGTAGTGCGCGTCGCCGTCGCCGTCGTCATCATCGCGCGCCATGATGTGAAGCGACGCGCGCGCGCGGCGTCGTCCGTCGGCACACGGCGACGCGCGCGCGCGCGGCGTCGCGAGCGAACGCATCGCGCAAACCGCGCGTCGAGCGCTCGACGTCGCGCGCGAACCGCGACGCGAAATCGTCGAACGGCGCGCGAATCGTCGCGAATCGCGAGAGGCAACGGTGACGGACGAGACGACGACGCGCGGCGTCGCGCGACGACGGCGACGATGCTGCTGCGGCGTGGAGAGTTTGTGTTTCTAGCGGCGGTGCTCGTGGGGGCGTACGGCGTCGATCGAGGGATCACGGCGCTGGTGGCGGCGACGTGCGCGTACTACGCGGCGAGGTGGGCGACGAGGCGACGAGGCGAGACGGACGCGCGAGGGAACGAAGACGACGAACGACGACGAACGACGACGACGACGACGACGACGACGACGCGACTGACGGGAGGCGGTGGTGCTGCGCGACGTAGGTTTTTCTTGCTGAAGCGAGCGATACGGGCGATACGAAGATTGAAAGAGCTGCGCGAGGCGGCGATGAAGCGGTCGAACGAGCTTCGAGGGGTGTTGCTCGAGGAGTATAAGATTCGAGCGTTTCAGAGCGTGTCGCTGAAGTTGTTCGACATGCCGCATCAGCCGCGGCGAATGCGACAGGCGGTGCGAATTTGGCGGGCGTGGCGGGTGCAGACGAAGCTCAAGGCGAAATTAAAGGATATTCGCGGCGACGGGTTGAGCGTGCTGCACAAGACGGAGGAGGATTTGCGAGAGGCGATGTCGGCGCACGGATTGGCGACGATGCCGCCGAGCGGGGGAGCGATGCATTTAGATCCGACGTTGGAGGCTTTGAAGGCGTGCTCGGCGTGTCGTGGGATGTCGGAGAGCGCTTTGGCGACGCTTCGCTCGCGGGCGAAAACCGTCGTCGTGCGCCCGAAAGAGCGCGTGGGCGAATCGGTGGCGCGCGACGAGTTGACCGTGTTGGTCGACGGCGAGGTTGATTTGCGAGGACAGATAGAGATTGATGTGAGTGTGCGAGGAGACGTCGAGCAGAAAGCGATGACGACTTTGTGTTCGCGGCCGGGAACGTGCTTGAATTCTTTCATGGATATATTAGAACACATTCCGGCGCCGGCTGAGGCGAACGAAGGAGAAGACGCGGCGCGTGCGCTTTCGTCACCATCGGTTGACGGTTTGGGCGAAGAATCGACGCCAGCGATGTCACTGAAATCTCATGACGAGAGTGGAGAGCGCGTGCGCGTGCGTCTGACGTTTGGTTCGGATCACGAGCTTCACCGGCGCGATCGCGTGCGCGTCTCTGCGCGCGCCGCCAATCGAGGTTGCGTCTTAGCGGTGTTTCGCATGTCGGATTATCACGAGTGCGCTGGCACTGTGATTGGCACCCAAGGGGTGGCGCTGAGACTCGCGAGTGGGTTCGCGGCGGTGTGCAAGTATGTGGGCATGATGGGGGACATGAGATCGCTCTGGGTGCACGATAGAGGCGCCGACGAGCCGCAACCGAGCGACAGCGACGAAGAGGCACTTGTATGCACACACGCGTTATCTCGGATGCTGGACGCCAAAGTAGTGAGCTTGATTGATACGAGTGGCGTTATTGCTACGTTGGAGCGACATGGGTACAGAAAACGTAGCTCCGGAGCGGCGTCGAAGAGCGGCGGATTCTTCGCTAGGCGCAAGGAAAAGAAGAACGCTGAGCCAGAACCAGAGCCGACGTCGGAAGTCTCGGTCGAGACGAAAGTGTTTCCTCCTGGTGCGATCGTGTTACAACAAGGTGCTTCAGCCGCTGCACTCATCGTCGAACGAGGCTCGCTAGAAGCGCTCGTCGAAGCAGTACCATCCTCGAGACGAGAAAAGCCACCGCTACCGAATTCCTCGCCGCGAATTCGTCAGGCATCAGAGACGCCAATTTTCACCGCCAACGTCGGCGACATCGTTGGTTCACATTTGCTGTTGACTGGTCAGCGCAGCGGTCTGACGATTCGTGCTGGTTCGAGCGGTGCCGTTGTGGTTTTGCTTCCGTTGAGTACCCTGGCTCGCTTGGGCCGCACGCGCGCTGCCATAACACATAAGATGGTCGTGTCACTCGCACGAAGAGTGCGCGACGCACCGAGCTCACTGATTTGGGATCGATGTGGCGCTGAAATGGAAACGCTCGAGGCGGGTGAAGCTTTAAATGCGCGTGCAGGCGGCGTGCACATCGTCGTCACGGGTTGCCTGCGGGAACAGATGGAAGAACCCCACGGGCTATCGCGCGCGAATTCTTCGCAAAATTTGTTCAAGCGACGAAAGTCGCAAAGTGGTAAGTCTACCGCTGCGTACGTTCCAAGTGGTCCTGGCTACGTCGTGAGCCCTGGCGAGGCGACTGGAGAAGATTCGGTTCTCATGGAAACCACCGCATCGCGACCCATGGCGGCGACGCCGAGATCGAGACGGCAGAGCTTGATGGCACCCGCGGCTAGGTTCACAGCGCGTGCTGTGCGAGACTCGCAAGTGTTATGGATATCATCCGCCGGATTGGACACGCTCGCGTTCGCCGCGCCCACGGCATTCGTACGCCTGGCGCGCGGTTTGGGTTTGCGTCAGGCCAATCGTACGGCGGCGTTGTCCGGAACCGCGCACACGGCGCCTCTGATTCCTGGTTTAGTGCTTTCCCAGAAGGCGTCCAACGCGCCGAAGACAGTCTCAGTCATTCCCGTCACCGAAGGTGCCGCCGTTCATTTGGACGAATTTTGCTACTCCTTAGCCTTCGCGCTGAGTAAGATTTGTCGCGCGAGAACAGTGGACTCCGCGTGCCGGCTTGGGGAACTCGGACAAGCCGCTATCGGACCGCTCGCACAAGAAGCGACGGCGAATTGGCTTTCTCAACTTGAATCAGCGTATGACGTCGTGATCTTGAAAGGGGATCCTTTCCCGTCGCCTTGGTGCGCACAATGCGCTCGACACAGCGATACCATTTTGCTCGTCGCCAACGCAAACGATCAAGCGCCGACGCACGAGGAAGGGCAAACTCTACAAGATCGCCTTCTTCACGGTCTCGGTGAGACAAAATTTCAACGCGTCTTGCTTGCTCAACGAGAACTTGTGCTTTTGCACCAAGACGCCGATGTGACGCCCAAGGATACGAAATCTTGGCTCACGGCGTTCAGCGTCCAACGTCATCATCACGTCGCCATGCAGGCGTCTTCTGGTCTCGTGCCGTCGCATGCCGCGCGTCTCGCCCGCTCACTTCGCGAGTTATCCGTTGGTTTAGTCATGGGTGGTGGAGGTGCACGTGGGTTGGCTCACGTGGGTGTTCTCGCGGCGATGGAAGAAGAGGGCGTTCCGATCGACGCCGTCGGCGGTACGTCCATCGGCGCCATGGTCGGCGGCATGTACGCTCGCGACCCTAGCGCCCTTCTCGTTCGCATCATGGTGACGAAGTTTGCCAAGGAAATGTCTAGCGCGTGGGGACGCGTGATCGATCTCACCCTTCCCGTCGTCAGTTACTTCACCGGCTGGGGCATGAACCGTGCGCTCGGCATAAATCTCGGCGAAACGAAAATCGAAGACTGCTGGCTGCCGTTCTTTTGCTGCACGCTCGATTTAATCTCGTGCATGCCAATCGTGCACCGAAACGGTACGCTTTGGCGCTACGTGCGCGCGAGCATGGCACTTGTCGGTTTTTTACCTCCCGTGTGTGACACCGAGCAAGGACAACAGAAGAACATGCACGTGCTCGTGGACGGCGGATACGTCAATAATCTACCCACGGATGTCATGCGCGCGTTGGGCGCGCACTACGTCATCGCCGTCGACGTCGCGGGCGAAGGCTTGGATGGGCAATCGCTTACGCCTTGGGGCGATGGTATCAGCGGCACGTGGTTGCTTTTGCGACGACTCCTTCCGCGATGGCTCGGTGGTGGACATTCCATCCCGACCATGGCGGACATGCAAGGGCAGCTTCCGTTTGTCACCGACACCGTCAAGCACCAAACGCGCTTGGAAGACATCGACGTGTACATTCGTCCGAATGTCTCGAGCATCGGGATTTTGGAATTCAACAAGTACAGCGCCATCATTCGTCACGGTTACGACATCGGTATCAAGATGGCGCGCGAGTGGAAGTCTGAAAATCCCGACGTCGCGTTACTACTCGAGCAAGGGAGAAACATTCGTCGCGGCTTGACGACGATGCGGTCGGCTCGCTCGGGCAATCCGAGCGCGACAAACTCACGAGAATCCATCGCTAGCGACTCGGGCAGTGACGCAACCTCGGCGTACGGCAGCGCGGAGGATTTGCACAACCACCGTCACACCCTCAAGCCACTCAGCGAAGGTTTGCTGAGCGAATTCTCCGACGACGACGACGTCCATGTCCGCTCCCTGCTGCGAACCAATAGTTCATTCGCGAGCTGGACACCCGCACCGAAACAAAAACGGCCACCAGACATGTTTTAATTCGTGTACCACAACGCTGCTACGCTAGATAGATGTAAATTTACAATCATTTGTTTGTTTCTAAGAGTACGGTTTGTTCGAACGTGGCAGCTCCCCGCTGACGCGTTGGCGATGCCATTTCCCTTGAACATGTTCCGCCCGCTGCGCCTCGCTCGTGAACACTTTGCGACACAATTCACAGTGTGGTCCAGGAGGTGGTTTCACGTACCTCCGCCCACCAACACCGCTCGCGCCACCCCCCCCGGCAGCGCTTCGCACGTTGCTCAAATGCTTCTTCCCGCGCGCGTGCTCGGCGTACTGCGCGTCGCTCGTAAAGTCCATCTGGCACACCTCGCACCGCGGTCGATCCGCGCGTTTCGCCAAGCGCCGCTCGAGTTCATTTTTAAACGTCCCCGGCGCGTCCTTGCCCTCCCCGTCCGCGCGCGAACCAGCCGGAATCGGCGCGCCACGCGCGCCGACGCTCGACTTGCCCAAAAACGACCCTCGCGCCCCTTTCCCCTTGTAATCGTTCCCTTCCGGCAGCAACGCCGCGGGAAGCGGTTCTATGCGCGGTAAATCGTCTCCTCCCACGATGACCTCCACATCATCATCGCTCGACGCTTCCCGGCGCTTCCGTCGTCGTTTCTTTGCTTCCTTTTTTTCTTTTTTTTGCTTCTTCTTTCGCTTCTTTTCCTTTGACGACGACGACGACGACGCGCTTTCGCTCTCGCTCTCGCTCGGGAGCTCGGCGAGACGTTTTTCTAACGCCTCGAGCTCGGCATCGATCGCGTTCAGCGCCTCGCGCGGCATCGCGGGCGTGTCCCAGTGTAACGACTTTCACTGGGACACCGCATTGGGACACGCATGCGATCGCGCGACGACGACGATTCGGACGCCCTCGACCGGTCGTTCACGTGCGGAGGTTTACGTTACGTCGAGCCGTATCGCCGACGCGTGCGCGTGCGCGTGTCGAAGCGTCACGAAGGTGCTTTTCGTGACGTGCTCGTCAATCAAGTCTCAAAGTCAGAGTTTGCGGCGCGGAATTCGGACGATGTAGACGCGTACTGGGCGACAGCGCTCGCGGCGCGACGCGTGCGGTGCGTGATAGATGCGCTGCGAAAGATGCCGCGCGGCGGGGAGGCGACGGAGGAGATGTGGACGGAGATGGGTGTGGAACATTTGGACGAGTTCGTCCCGGCGGGGACGCTGCTCGAAATCGAGCGGTGCGTGCACGAGCGGTGCGTCGCGGATGCGATGCCAGAGATCGTGTTTGAGTGTGAAAAGACTGGGTTAGTCGTGGTGGAGAAACCTGCGGGCGTGCCGGTGCTCGCGGGGGCGGCGCCAGGGTGGCAAGGGTACGGGAATTTGGCGGCGTTGACGTCGGCGCTGCGGCGTCGCCGCGCGGCGAAGGACGACGCGGCGGACGAAACGCGGCGGACGAAACGCGCGCGCGCGACCGGCGATGCGGGTAAGGTCTGGGCTGTGAATAGGATCGACGCTCCGGTGAGTGGGATTTGGCTCGCGGCGACGTCGCCGAAATTGGCGGCCAAGGCGAACGTGTGGATGTCGAAAACGTCGCTCGGGAAGACGTATTTGGCGCTCGTTCGAGGCGCTCAAATCGAGTGTGGCGTGCGCATCGACTCGCCCCTCGCGAAAGACAAAGAATCATCGTTAGCCGTGGTTTCGGAAAAGGACGGAAAGCCGTGCGCGACGCGCGTCGTTGTCTTGCAAAGGCGCGAGAGCGAAGACGTCGCCCTCGTAGCGTGTCGTCTGGAATCGCACGGGCGCTACCACCAGATTCGCGCGCATCTCTCATCCATCGGGCATCCGATCGTCTTCGATAGTGCATACGGCGATGAAGACCCAGAGTCGTCTTACGCCGGTCGCGCGTACGCCGACGACGCCGAGACCCGGGTCGTCGCTCGAAAGCTCGCCGAGCGTCGAGACGCCGCGTGCGCCGAATGCGACGCCCTCATCGCCCTCACCGCCTCCGACGACGCCACCACCAAACCCCTCGCCGCCAAGCGCATCCATCTCCACGCCCTTCGATACCAATTCTCCATCCGAGACGTGAATTACGATTTACGTTCGCTTCGGCTTCCCGAATTCGCGCTCGACGCCCTCGGCGCCGCCGTCTCCGTCGACGACGTCGTCGCCCGCGTCGACGCCCGCGTCGACGAAATCGAATCCTCTCGCGAGTAGCGCGTCGTCCTGTGATTTATCTAGCGCTCGAGCGCCGGACGCCGGCGCTCGACGCCGATCCGCGCCGTCCGCGCGCGCGCCGTCCCGATGTTCCATAGTTAAGGCTCTAATCATCGCAGCCGCCAGGCGTCGCGCGCACTTCGCGCCGCGCGTCGCGATGTTCGGCGCGCCGCCCGCGAGCGATGGCGCGCGCGACGCGCGGAGCGTGCTGTGCTGCCTGTGCGCGATCCCGATGCACCCGAACCCGAGCGGCATGTGCGTCGAGTGCGTGCGCACGCAGGTTGACATCACCGAGGGCATCAGCAAAAACTGCGTCGTCACGTATTGCTCGCAGTGCGAGCGCTACCTGCAGCCGCCCAAGCACTGGATCCGCGCCGATCTCGAGAGCAAAGAGCTGCTGACGTTTTGCATCAAGCGCATCAAGGGATTGCAAAAGGTGAAGCTCGTGGACGCGGGCTTCGTGTGGACGGAGCCGCACAGTAAACGACTGAAGACGAAGCTGACCATACAGAAGGAAGTGCTGAACGGAGCGATACTGCAGCAGACGTTCGTGACGGAATTTGTGGTGGAGTGGAGGATGTGCGATGCGTGCGCGCGGAGCGCGGCGAATAGTGATCAGTGGAACGCGTGCGTGCAGGTGCGGCAAAAAGTGGAACATAAGCGGACGTTTTTGTTCCTCGAGCAGATGATTTTGAAGCACGGCATGGAGCGAGACGCGATCGGGATCAAGAGTCAGCCGGATGGGTTAGATTTTTATTACGGTCATCGATCGCATGGGTTGAGGTTTGTAGATTTTTTGGGCAGCGTGGTGGCGACGCGGTCGAGGGGCGACAAGCAGTTGGTGTCGCACGACGCGAATAGTAATACGTACAATTACAGGTTTACTTTCTTCGTGGAGATCGTGCCGGTGTGCAAGGAAGATTTGGTGGTGATTCCTTTCAAGCTTTCGAAGGAGTTTGGGAGCGTTGGGCCGGTGATGCTGTGCACGCGGGTGTCGAATTCTTTGCAGTTTACGGATCCGGTGACGATGCGACAGATTTGGATCGATCAGGAAAAGTATTGGCGCCAACCGTTTCGCGCGGCGGCGACGGCGAAGCAGATGATAGAGTACGTCATCCTTGACGTTGAAGTCGATCAATCCACGAGACAAGGGAAGTTGTGCATGGCGGATGTCGAAGTCGCGCGCTCAAGCGATTTCGGCGTCAACGACACGACGTTTTTCGTCAAGACGCACTTGGGGAATATCTTACAAGCGGGCGACACCGCGCTTGGATACGATTTGACAAATTTGCAAATCGTCGATCCAGAGATGGAGAAGTACTCGGGTAAACATCAAGGCGTTGTGCCGGATGTTTTCCTCGTGAAGAAGTCGTATGCCGAGAGTCGTCGACGAAGGCGCGAGCGAGGCGTGGCTAGAAATTGGCGTTTACAGCGCATGCAAGTGGAAGAAGACGAAGAAACGCAACAAAGGTCTCGCGGGAGCGCTGATCGCATGGCTCAGGACGAAGAGTTGTTCTATCAAGAGTTGGAAGAAGACGAGGAAACGCGAGCGCAAGTACAAATTTTCAAGGATGAAAACGCCATAAACGCCAACGTCACCGCGGCGGCTGGCGACGACGACGACGACGACGACGACGCACCAGAGGTGCCGATCGAGGAGCTTCTGGATGAGTTGACTCTATTGCAGCGCCAAGCTGACGACGAGGACGACGAGAACGATCTCGACGATCTCGACGATTCCATGCAAGAGTGAGAGAGTACATTGTAAAATTACATAAAGTCGGTTTATGAACAGAGTTTGTTAAAAGAAAGCGCCGGCCCGGGTCAATGATCACTCCGTGGATGTATAGTCTATCCAATCTCCTTCGTCGGCTTCCCAATCATCCTCGTCGTCGTCGTCATCGAAATCGTCGTCGTCGTCATCGAGATCGTCGAAAACGTCGCCGTAGGGGCGCGGGCTGTTCATGTTCATGAAAGATTTAAGGGGCATGCGCAAGCTTCGGATGTGGTCCTCCAAAACCTCTTGAACCGTGCTAAGGTCCGTCTCATCGGATTTGTGTTCGTCTGGCGACATTCTGTGGGTGTTGCTCCGTACGTCAGGGCGCCAACCTTCGAGATGTGACACGTGCGTGCAAATTATATTTGTAACATTTCGCACGGTATCCAAGTCGTTCGCGATCGCCTGCGCGTTGTACTCGGGCAAAAGGTATTTTTGCTTAATGCCGACGATTTGCGACCCTTGCGTTTTGCGATCACTCTTCGCTTGAACAACTTTCTCGTAGCACGATCTCAGCATGTGCAGCAAGGCTTCGACGCGATGCCGCAGCGTGCACCCGTGCAACATCATTCGAAGTTCCGGGCTCCGGCTCACAATCGTACGAACCATCGCAGTCGCGACGAACTCCATGCTATGAGTGTCGTCGTAGGGGGGTTGTTCATTGCCTTCTTTCACGTGCTCGAGAAATAGGGCTTCCAGCACTACGTCCACGCGCGGTGACCCGCTCGACTCTGCGAACGGCGGATACTCCCTCGCCTTCAACGTTCGCCCGAACCACTCCCAGCCGACGTATTTGTTCAGCGTGTACATCATCACATTTTCGTCCAAAACAGACAAAATGCTTCCCGGATCCCGCATTCCGCGCAGCATCGTGCGCACGACTTCCTGAAACTCGCTCGGAAACCGCGCGTGAATCTCGCGTTCGGGTTGCCACAACATCCATCGCACCCCGTACGACACCATCCCGACGAATCGTCGATCTTTCCTCAAACTCGACACCATAGTTTCATCCTCCGCGTACCACGGCGCTGCCTTCCCGAACGGCTCGTGACTCAGATGCGCGTATCCCGGATATATCTGCAACACCCCGTCGCACTTCGGCCGTCCCAGCACGTCTCGTTCGTCGTCGTACACCAACCCCTTATCGCTCCGCGCGTCCGTGTGCACGTACACCTGCACCTTTTCCCCCACTCGCAGCGTGATCGGCGCATTCAGCTTCAGCGCCACCAACTCGTCGTAGCTCGGTCGATGTTCCTCGTCGTACGCCGGTTCGCCCCACGCCTCGGCGTCCATCAAATCCGCCACGTTCGCGTCGTTCGCGCTGTAATGCCCGTACCGCTCGCTCACGTCCACCGGCGGCAGCGCGTCGTCGAAAGTCTTCAAGTGCACGTTTTTCGCGTACACTCGCACCCTGCCGAGGTTTCCGCGCACGGATATCGCGCTGATTTCGATCGAATCGATGGGCAACGCGGTGGCGCATCCGAGCGAGAAAAACATCCCGGAAAAGCTGTGATCCTCGCGATCGGGCGTGGGGGCGGTGAATTCGGAGTAGTGCAAGTCATCGCTCGCGCGCGCGAGCTCGCGGATGGGCATGGCGGGCGATGGCGCGCGCGACGATGCGCGGCGCGGCGCGAGGGCGGCGCGAAGGCTAACCGAAACGCGAGCGAGAGTCAATAATTACAAACGACGCGACGACGACGCGATCAGGACGCGGCGGTTCGATCGCCGGCGCGGGGGGAGGGGACGTCGTCGGTGGCGGAGGGTGAGCCGGCGCTGGGGCTGGGGGCGTCGGAAACCTCAGACGCGGAGGGCTCGGCGCGGACGCGCGCGGCTCGGGACTTGTCGCGCTTGACGTGGCGGGGAAGCGCGCTCTTGGGACTGGCGCGCTTCTTTTTGACGGCAGACGCGGCGTTCTGGACGACGCGCGCGCGGAGGACCTCCTCGAGCACGGCGACGTCTTCGGGCGCGCGCAACGCCGGCGTTTGGTTGTTCACCGGGCACACCTTGATTTTATACCCGTTTTCCAGCGTGTTGAGGGCCTCGATGTTCTCCATGCGCTGCAGCGGCGTCGTGTCGTTGGAATCGTCGACGAGCGTTCTCAAGTACATCGCGTCGTAACACGAGCAGCCGAGGACGTGCCAGTGCATCGCCGCCGCGTCGAGACGGTTCTTCGTCTCGCGCTTCGTCGGCGTGAGATCGAGCTCGCCCGTCATCGTCTCCCGCGGCTTCGACCCGATCGCCGGGATCACCGCGCGCGTCAAATATAACGCGAATCCTTGCTTATCGAACACGCATCGCGGTCTGGTTTCGCTCTCAAACCGCGCGGGATCCGTCGCCGCCACGCACGTCGACGCGACGCACCACTCGTCCGCGTTCGCCTCCATCTCCATCACGCACGCGTCCACGGAGTCCGCGTCGATCAAGCACTCGTCCACCTTCAACGTGACGACGAAATCCCATCCTCCGCCCGTCAGCTTCGCCGCCTGGCGCGCGTAAGTACTCGCCGTTCGCCTCGCGTCTTGCGCCACCAAAACCGTCTCGATTCCGTACTCCTTCGCCGTCTCCACGATTCTATAATCATCCGTCGCCACCACCACTCGATCCAATCGCGCGCACCTCTTCATGCTCTCCGCCGCCCTCGCGAACGCCGGCTTCCCGTGCACGATCATCAGCGCTTTCCCCGCGAATTGATCGTCCTCGCCGTCCTCGTACGGCGCCGAAACCACCCCCAGGACGAAATTCGCGCTCATCCGCCTTCGCGTCCCGCGCTTCCCGCCCGCCGCGCGCGCCCGCGCGTCGCGCGCGCTCGCGTCCGCGTCCTCATCGACCGCATCGCTCGCGCGCGCCTCGGGCCGTCGCCTCGCGCGCCACCGCGCGCGGTTTTTCCGCCGTCGAATGAATTTCTGAAGCTCGATCGTCCCGTCGCCGTCCGCGCTCGTCGCGCGGAACGCGACGACGAACGCGATCGCCGACGCGATCGCGCGCCATCGCGACGCCACCCTCGCGAGCGCGCCGAGCATGGAGGCGACGCGCGCCGTTCGCGACGCGACGGAAAATTCGATTCGCGCGACGACGAGTGACGACACACGGCGGCGCGGCGCGCGCGACGCCGCACCGGCGCGGCGCGCGCGATCGCGTCGCGAATGCCGCCGTCGACGCGTCGGCGTCGCGCGGCGCGACGGTGCGCGCGCGCGATCGGCGTCGTCGCGTCGCTGTTCGCGACGCGGTCCGTCATCGCGCGCGCGCGCGCGGCGCCGCGAGCGACGCGCGACGCCGAGCGCGAGGGCGGCGATGCGTCGACGCGCGACGACGCGACGCGCGACGCGTCGACGCGCGACGGGACGTTCTGGGCGCGCGCGCGCGCGGACGCGGGACGACGGGACGAGGTGAAGGCGGCGATGCGAGAGGCGTTCGGGGCGTACAGGACGCACGCGCTGGGACACGACGAGCTCGCGCCGCGCGCGCGGACGGGGCGAGACGATTTCGGTGGGATCGGGGCGACGCTGATCGATAGCTTGGACACGCTGCACATCATGGGGTTGCGCGCGGAGTTCGACGAGGCGCTGCGGTATTTGAAAAAGCCGGGATCGGCGTTTCGGGATTTGGTGCAGGGCGAGACGGACAGAGACGTGAGCGTGTTCGAGACGAACATTCGCGTTCTGGGAGGGCTGCTGGCGGCGCACGATTTATCGGGCGACGCGGACGTTTTAGAGCTCGCGGAATCCATCGCGGCGAGACTTTCGGCGGCGTTCGACACCCCGAGCGGAGTGCCGCACTCGTTCGTGAACGTCAAGACTGGGAACTCGTTTGGGTTACCTTGGACGAAAGGCGCGTCCATACTCGCCGATTTCGGGTCGATGCATTTGGAGTGGGCGACGCTGAGCGCGCGCACGAAGAATCCGGTGTACGAGGCGCACACGAATCACGTGTTCGAGACGGTCTCATCCCTGGGACGACGAGGCAAAAGTGGCGCTAGCACCAAGGGTTTGTTTTCCGCGCATTTTAACGTCGATACCGGAGAGTTTGCGGGCGGAGACGTCACTTTCGGTGCGCTCGGCGATAGCTTTTACGAATACTTGATCAAGTGTTGGCGTTCGCTCGGCGATTTAAAAGACGCCGAGACGTGGCGCGAGATGTTCGACGAAGCCATGCTCGGGATGAAAACGAGTTTGCTGCGAGACTGGAAAACGGACGAGGCGACTGGTGAGAAGTATTCGTACGTTTCTCCGATTGGAGGTTCCGGTGCCGGTTCGATGGAACATCTCGCGTGTTTCGTCCCGGGTATGCTCGTGCTCGGCGCGGCAGAGGCGCCCACGCCTACAACCGCCGATGAGTACGTGCAAATAGCGAAGGATATCGCGCGTACGTGTGTAGAAATGTATTCTTCTCAGCCTTGCGGCCTATCCGCGGATCACGTGCGATTCGACTCGGGTTCAAAGACCATCTCGAACATCAACGGCAAAAATATTCAACGCCCGGAAACGGTGGAATCTTTGTTTTATTTGTATCGCAAAACTGGAGATGAAATTTATCGGACACAAGCTTGGAAAATCTTTCAATCCATGAAGTCAGCTTATCGAGTCCCCGAAAGTGGCGGCTGGCAAGGCGTGCTCGACGTCTCGAAGACCCCGACGGCGGGCGACGACAAGATGCAATCATTCTTCCTCGCCGAGACGTTGAAGTATTTATATCTCATCTTCACCGACAGTGATACAATGCACTTGGATGAGTGGGTTTTCAACACCGAGGCACATCCACTGAGAATCACAAAGGCACGTGAACGACTGAACGATTGACAAACACGCCGAGCAATACGGAAGGTGGATATTTATCACAACTTTGTAATAGGATAGCATAGAAAGTAGAAGTAGAAACGGCGTGCGGCGATGCTGCGTATTACTGCGTAGTTTACTTTGAGCTTCATGCGTTGCTTTGATGATACGGACACGCTCGCTCGCGACGAAGAAGACGACTCCAGCGCTTTCCTCGCGCCAGCGAGACTTGAATGGATGAAACAAGAATTGAAACAATTGAAAGAATGATCGTCATTTGCGACGAACGTAATGAATTCGTTTGGAATCTTACCACGAATGACGCTCTATTCGTCGAATCGAAACGGTGTAGATTCCCTCGACGTCGTCCTCTCTTCGACGACGACCTTGGTGACTTTACTCTCGCCGCGCCGCGGCGGATAGAGATACTGGCGCATGTCGGCGCAAGTGTAAGAATTGAGCTTTAATTCGCGGTACGTAGACGTCGGTGATGCATCGATGAGCTCACTCGCGGTGATGCGTTTGGTGTGATCCTTACGCAAACACGCCGATAACAACGCGCGCAGTGCGTTTGAGACGGCGTCTTCGCCGTCGACGGCGCCGGCGACGTCGATGTCGTCGTCCATGATTTGTATCACCAACCCCAGTGGGCCGCCGTCTTCGATATCGAACACGTGCTTTCCCATGACACTTTCGAGGACTGTGAGACCCATGCCCCAGACGTCGGCTTCGGGCCCGCATCTCGCGGCGCTCGATTCCAAGCGTTCGGGCGACATGTACATGATGGTTCCGAGCGAGTCGTGCGCGTCGTCTTCGACATCGCCACCCGTGAAGGGCGTGCACAGACCAAAGTCGCTCAGTTTACACTCCCCGCACTCGTTTATCAACACATTGCTCGGCTTCACGTCGCGATGTACGATCTCGAGAGTGTCGTGTAAATACGCCAACCCGTTGGCGACGCACCTCGCCGCGCACATCGCCGCCCGCGGCGCGAAACGCATCGACCCGCGCAACCTCACGACGTCTTCCAACGATCCGAAATGCATGAGTTCGAGCGTGATCGACACCTCGTTTTTAACCGCATCGTACCCGAACCCAAAACATCGCACGAGCCCTTCGTAAGTCGGCGCGCTCTCCGTTTCCTCGTCGTCCTCCGCCGCCGTCGGGTCAACGCCGAGCGCGCCTCGCGCGGTCAACGAAGACCACCCTTCGACGTCCCCATTCCTATCGAACCGCGCGTTCACCGACGACGACGAAATGCGCTGAAACGTCCACATTTCCCGCTTCGCTTGCACCGCCATCGCGCGATCGTCCGCTCGGATGCGTTTCGTCGCTCGCCTCGCGTCTTCGCCGCGCGTCACCACGCTCGAGCTTCCTCGACCGAGCACGCGCGACGACCCCCCCCCCAGCGTCGACCCGCCGCCGACCGCCGCCGCGCTCGACCTCAGCGACGCGCTCGACGACGACGACGACACCGACCGCGACGGCCTCGGTTTCTTCGCGCGCGCGCCCGCGTCGTCGCGTCGTCGTCGCGCGGGCATCTCCGATAAAGCGCCACCCCAAAAAAGTGCATCGCCGTCGCGCGCGTCCTCGCGCGCGCCGATGCGCGTCCGCGCCGACGCGCGCGCGCCGACGCCACCGAAATCCAAATCATCGCTCGACGACGACGACGACGACGACGCCATCGCGCGCCGTCGACTCGCGTCGCCGCGCGCGACGCGGGTCGTCATTAAAGCGCACGGCGACCGCGCGACGTCGCGCCGTTCGTCCGAGTCGTCCGCCCGCGCGCCGCGCGCGGCGAGTCAGGACTCGCGCCGCGCGCGCGTCTCCGGCCGTTCGCCGCCGATTCGTCTACCGGCGACGCGCGGCGCGACCTTTGACGACGCGAGAAGACGAACCGTCGTCCGCGCGTCCGAATTTTCCGTATGTCCGAACCGACACACTGCCACCATACGAAAGCGTCCGAATTCCGCGTTCGCGAGGGGGTCGCGATGAGTCGGACTCGTCGCGCGCGTCGCGCGAGCCAATCGAAACGCTCGATCCGAGCGCGCGCGCGCTCGAGCGTGAGGCGATCGCGCGCGCGCGCGCCGGCCGGCACACGACGACGCACCGCACGAAAGATGTCTGGACGAGGTAAAGGAAAATCCGGCAAGAAGGCCACGAGCCGATCCGCCAAGGCGGGCTTGCAATTCCCGGTCGGCCGGGTCGCGCGCTACCTGAAGGCTGGCAAGTACGCGACGCGCGTCGGCGCCGGTGCGCCGGTGTACTTGGCGGCTGTCATGGTGAGTGGTTTTTTGAAATTTGAAATTTGAAATCGAGCGTTCGCGGCGCGCGCGGCGATGGGCTCGGGATGGTGGACGAAGACTGACGCGTTGAATCGTTGTGTTTTACGCCGCGTAGGAATACTTGTGCGCCGAAGTGCTCGAACTCGCGGGTAACGCCGCGCGCGACAACAAGAAGTCGCGCGTCGTGCCGCGCCACATCCAACTCGCGATCCGCAACGACGAAGAGCTCTCCAAGCTCCTCGGCACCGTCACGATCGCGGCGGGTGGTGTTTTGCCGAACATCCACTCCGTTTTGTTGCCGAAGAAGTCCAAGAAGTCTGGCTCGGCGTCCCAAGAATACTAAATCTTTTCTCAGATTTTGAATTTTTAGCGCCTCGCGCGCGCAAACAAAACAAACCAAAAAAATTACTTGGTGTTCATTCAACACCACCACGAGAAGAAAGAATGTTTCACTATGCGCATTACATCATCATAATTAATCGTTCGCGTCATCAAGCCGGCTGGATGGCTAAGCGCTCGACGACGTTGCTCCTGGAATCTCTCGCGAGCTTGTCGAGAGGGAACGCCGTGCGTACCATGTACTCGACGCCCTTGCGACCTTTTTGGTACGGACGCGCGATGCCCAAGAACTCCAACTCGGCCACGGCGCGAGTAAATCGCGCCTGAAGCTGCCATAATTTTTCTCGCGGCAAACCGAACGTGCCTTTACCGCGAGCCGCCGCCGCTGCATCGCCGCGTTTCATCTCCGACCCCGCTTTACTCTCGCAAAAACTTTGAAACCAGTCGTATATGGGCGCTCGTTCGCCGAATCGCGCGAGTAGGCGATACGCCGCGGCGGTGTCAGGCAACGTTTCCGGCACGCGTCGACCGTTCGCCAAGGCGTAGTCATCGTGACGACAGCACGCGCATCGCAGCAGCTCGCTCGGATCCGTGAGCGTGTTCTCCAACGACAAACGAGGCGACGCCTGAAGCGCGGCGCGAACGCATTCGACGTCGGTGACGACGAATATTCCGCTCGCATCGATCGATTCCGGTGGGTGACTCCCGTACTTGCGCGCGATGGCGCGAAGAATGTCGCAAAATTCATTCGCCGCCGCGGATTTCGCCGAGTCGAGTCGAGGTCGTTCTGGCTTCGCCGCCGTTGCCACCGTCGTCGTCACCAAAGCTAGGGCGTTGGCTTCACTCCTCGCCGGTGCGCTTCGACCGCGCGGTGGAGACTTAGGAAGTACCAAACCATCGTTCGCCGCGGCGTCTTCATCGCGCGTTGAAGTCCTCGGCGCCGGCGTGAGGCTCGTCGCAAACGCCGCGCCGTTTCCACGCCGTTTCCGTGCGTTTAAGATTGCCTCCATCGCTAGTCGCTGATCTTCCGCGTTCGTCTCGTCGTGCGCCAGTTTTTCAGCCGTTGCATTGGCATTCGACGCAGCGATGACGAGACCGCGCCGTTCGTCGCCACCTTCGTTCGTCGGCGTGGATGCCAAAATTGCCGCCTCTCGCCGTCGAGCGTCCTCCGCGTCGAACGAGCCGTCCTCTATGTTTGACAGTAAAAAGCGCAGCTCCGAACCTTCTGCCGACCGCATGACCTCATCATCGTCCAAGAATTTCAGCATAGACTTGACCAAATCACCGATTTCCGCCGTCGTGAACTCGTCCCGAATGCGCGAGAACGCGACGTTGAGCAACGTCCCGCCTTGACTCTTGGGGTTGAATTCTCCAGCACCACCAAAGTATCCTTTTCGCGACGCGTCGAGGAGTAAGTCTGCCATCGTCGTCACGCTCTTTTTGAACTTTTTCTCCGTCGCCGCGCACGCGACTTGAATGCAACGCAACGAGAGTGCCCACCGTCGCCGCAAGCGGTACACATCCTTCAGCGCCGCGCTCAGTTCGCTCTTCGTGTGCGTCGTTGAAGACGCGGAGTCGCCGTCCCCGTCTCGCATCGACTTTGCACCGAATCCGTGCTTGATGCGCGCGTACTCCACCGCGTTCGGATCGAGATCTCGAACGAATTGGTCGATGGCGTCGCCGTACTCGTCGTCGCTCTCGTCGCCGTCGGCGCAAGGCTCGCTCGAATCTTTAGCGAGCAGCGGCAACACCGCGCTCAGCGGCTCTGTCATGAAGTGTGTGATCGTGAGCAAATGGAGCGCACGACGCACGGCGGCGAGGGAAAAGTCGTGCTCTTTAAAGCGCGTGTGCAAAACGTTCAACACCTCGCTTCCAAACGCGGGCACGCGCTCGGGGCTCAACAGCACGCGCTCTTGCACAGCCTCCATCATTTGCCCGGGCGCCCAAAGCTGGAACGCCTGCGCGTTCATCAACGATGCCGTGGCGGCTGGTAACATCCCTTGAAGCGAACTCACACTCGTGGCCAAGCCCAAGAGGACGACGACGGGCACGCTCGAGACGAATTCCGAAACGCTTCGAATAAACGAATCCAACACGCGCACGTCGAAACTTTCCGTATCCTCGACGACGATAACCACCGGACAATCGCGACCTTGAATCACTGGATATAACGTCCTTTCGTCGTCGCCCGCGCGCTCCACGTCATCTCTCGCGCGCCGCTTCGACCGTCTCGCCGGCGACGTCGCGCGCGAATCTGTCGCCGCCCGCTTCTTCCCCCCCCGCGCGCGAACGTCGTCGCCCTCTCCCGATGCGCGCGAATCACCGCCATTGTACACCGTCAACGCGTTCCCGATCGGCGACGGCACCGTCGACGCCGCGATGAGCCCGTCTCGACGCGCCCCCGACGTCTCCTCGTGCCATCGCCGCAGCGCGCGCATGCTCTTCCCCCCCCAATGCCCCCCCGTGCGGTCCAACTGCCGCATGATCACCCCAAACGCCACCCCTAGCCCCCCGGTCCCGGCCCCCGCGCGCGCCTTCAGATCTCTCGACCGCAACAGCGCCACGTGCGCGTCTCCGCTCTTCCTCAACGATTTCGTCAGCGCCGCGAACGTCTCCTCGTGATCGTCGCTGTTCACCCCTCCCGCCAGCACCACGCCCACCGGCACGCGTCGATCGCCGCCGTTATTTTTTTCCTCCGTTTCTCGCGCGCGTTCGACCCGCGTCGCGCCCTGCTCGCGGACGAACCTCCTCACCCTCGCGAACGCCTCCGCGTTCGCCTCGTCGGCGACGCGTTGACAGTGTCCATCCAGCGCCTCCCACGCCCGCGCGCACGCCGCCGCGCGCCGCTCTCGCGCGCCGCGCGTTTCATCCCGCAACACCGGTTCGAACGCGTTCAGTCGCGACGCCTCGTCGCCTCGCGGCGCCGCGCGCGCGGATTTCAGCACGAAGACGCCCGACTTTAAACCATCGTTCGTCTTGAACGCCCCGATTTCTCGCGCGTCCGGCGCCGCGCGCGTCGACGCGTCGACCCGCTTGGCGCGGGACGTCATGCGTCGCTCTCGCGCGCGCGTCTCGCGTCGCGCGGCGCGCGCCGCGACGCGCTGTGCGGTCGAACGTCGTCGATGATTTGAATCATCGACGACGTTCGACCGCACAATCGAGCGCTCGCGCGCGAACGCGACGCGAACGTCGCCCCGAACGCGGCGAGCGACGCGGAACTCGTCATCGCGCGCGTCATGGCGCCGAAGAAACCGGCGCAGAAGAGCGCGAAGGCGCAGATCAAGGAGCAAAGAGATCAGATTCGGCAACAAATCAAAACCATTCGAGACGAATCCGCGTCGACGCACGTCCTGGACAGCCTGTACGACGCCGCGCTGGGGCTCGAACTGTGGCTGCGAACGAACTCGAGCGCGTTTCCGAGCGCGGCGGTGAAACAGAAGACGGAGCGACTGGGGGAGATCGCGACGCAGGCGACGAGAGGGACGCTGGACGCGGACGCGGCGTACTGGGAACTGGCGGGACTGTACACGATCATCCATCGCGAGTGCCAGAAGGAAGATTTGGGGTTGGTGTTTCCGTCGTTCGTGTTTCCGGACGGAGGGATGCCCGCGCTCGGGGAGGGGGACGCGCTGACGCTGGCGGACGTGCGAGAGGCGATCGGGTGCGAACTCACGGCGGAGGCGCTGGACGCGAAGATCGCGGAGTTGGAGGAGATCGAACGCGCGAAGGCGGCGCTGGAGGCGATGGACGCGGACGCGTGAGAGGGTGAGGGTAGAGATGGAGACGGTTGTAAATTACGGAGTGATGTTGACATCGATAAAACTAAGCGTACAGCGCGACGAGGCGCGGCGATTACGTCGAGCCTTCGCGGCGCGCGACGGCGGCGCGCATCAACTCGAGCGCGGATTTGAGAAACGTGGCGTTGGACTTGATGGATGAGATCGTGAACTCGGCGGCGGTGATGATGTCTCTCCACTCGTGTCCGCCGACGGCGACGCAGAGCTTGATATCGCCCTTGGCGACGGCGCCGACGCGCGCGGCGATGGCGACGCGGCTGAGACGCCACGTCGCGCGCGCGACGCCGGCGATGGTTTCCAACGCCATGGTGATTTCTTCGACGGTGATGGACGAGTTTGGTGCGAGCTCCGACGTGCCGGTTTCGGCGGCGACGGAGGTCAGCATGGAAACCTCGGGCGCGCCCGCGGCGGCGACGGCGGCTTGGCACTGCGCTATGTCGATGGCGCTCTCACTGATTTGAATGAAATCCACACACGTTTTCGACGCCGTCGTCGTCGTGGACGAGCGCGGGAGCTTGTCGAACTCGAGCGTGGTGGTGGCTTCTTCAGATTTCACCGCGCGAGATTTTCCGGGCAAAAGTCCCGTCGCCTCCGCCCGCGTCGTCGTCGCGTCCTCCGAGTGCGTCGTCGCGTCGTCGCTCAAATTCACCTCGTTCACGATCTTCTCGGTGCCGAACTGTTTCAACTGCGCCGAGAGCGCGACGTGGTTATCCATGTGTTCGTGCATGTGTTTCAACCCTTGCTCGATTTTTTCGCGCTCTTCGCGAATTAAGCGAAATTGCGAATTAAGCGCCGAACGACTCACGCCGCGTTGCTTCCCGCTCGCGTCCTCAGTCTTCGACGTCTTCTTCGCCGGCGCGCTCTTCGCCGCGCCATCCTGCTTCGCCGCGACTACTTTCTCTTCCGCTTCCTCCATTTCCGCCTCCACCAACGCTTTCGGTCGCGGGTGCAGCGTCATCTGATACTTTTGCAACTCGGTGAGCTTCCACGGTTCCGACTTCACCTTGCCCCACTTGCATCGAAGCGTCGCGTGCCAGTGATTCTTGATGGCGTTCTCCGGTCGTCCGGTCAAGAGCTTGGCGAGCGCGGCCCACTTCGTGCCCAGCACTTTGTGCCCCTCGACGAGGATCAGCTCCTCCTCCTTGCTCCACTCCCCAGTCTTGATTCCGGGTCGAAGGTGGTTCAGGTAACGATCTCGACACTGCTTTCCGCGTCTGTGACGCATTAAACTCGCGATGTAACTCCACCGTTTCGCGCCGTATTTATCGATCAACTGCAGCAACTCCTTGTCCTCGCGCACGGTCCACTGTTGCGTCATCCCTTTAAGTTTACCCTCGCGCATCTCCGCCTCGTACGCGTCGTCTTCGCTCGCGTCGCCGTCGCCGTCGCCGTCGCTCGTCGAGGCCAACCCGGCGGCGGCGCGCGCCGCCGACCGCGCCGCCATCCCCCGAACCGTCTCTCGCACCTCCGTCTCCACCGTCCCCGCCGTCGCCGCCGTCGATTGTCTCTTCATCGGCGGTCGCCCTCGTCGCGCGCGTTTCGTCCTCTCTCGCTCCGGCGCCGCGTTTTCCGCCGCCTGCGCGCGCGTCGCCCGAAAAGTCAACCGTCAGTCGTCGCGCGCGCCCTCGCGTCTCGCCTCGATCCCGACCTTCCCGCATCTCCCGTTTCGCGCGTCGCCTCGCTCGATCCCGCGCACCTCGACCAACCAAAACAACGATCCCGCGTCCTCGACCGCCTTCGCCTTGGGCGGTCGACCGCGTCGTCGTTTCTTCGTCGTCGCCCTCGGTTCCGGCTCTCGCCGCGCGCGCGCCGTCGCCGCGATCGCCCCTTCGTTCGCCCGCGCCGCGCCGTGCGTCGCCGCCGACAAGTCGTGTTCGCCGGCGACGTCAGTGTCGTTCATTTTCGCGTCGCCCGCGTCGCGCGCGTGGTTCGCGTCGTCGCGCGACGGCGATTCGTTCGCCGCGACGATCGTCATGAAACGCTCACGCGTTGACGATCGTCGCGCGTTTCCGTCGCGCGCGCGTCGTCGCGCGCGCGCGCGGCGAGGGCGACGTCCGGAGTCGCGGTTTTATCGACGCGTGTCGTTTCGCGCGCGCGTCGATCGATCGCGCGACGGGAACGCGCGGTCGACGCGCGGGCACGTGACGCATCATTGGGGTTTCGCTCGAGCGTTTCATTTTTTTCATTTTCGGCGCCGCGTGTGGACTCGCGCGAGCGCGAGCGCTAGAAATCGGCGTCGAAGGCGGCGACGCGAGCGACGATGGACTCGAGACGCTCCCACTCGTCGTAATAGAGCGCCTGCTTGGCGAGCTTTTCGTCCTTTTGGCGCTGAAGATCGAGGGCGCGAGCGACGTCGGCGCCGGCGGCGACGAGGTCGGCGTCGAGCGCGGCGATTCGGGCGTCGAGGACGGCGAGCGCGCGCTCGATTTTGTCGATGGTTTTGGGGGCGTTGGCGGCCTCTTTTTCCATCGCGCGACGGGATTTGCGGGCTCGTTCGTCGTCGGTGGCGTCGGCGGCGGCGGCGGCGGTGGGGGGGGGTGGACGCTCGGTCGGCGGCGCTCGCGCGGCGTAGTCGCCGACGCCGAGCTCGTCGCCGGCGACGCGCATTCGCGCGGAGAACGCGCCGTTTTCAACCTTGGCGACGATCGTGGGGTTGAGCGCGGCGGCGAAGGCGGGGTTGTGCGTGATTGCGATCACCGCGCCTTCCCACCCGCGCAATCCATCGCACAAGGCTTCGATGGCGGTGCCGTCTAAATGATTCGAGGCTTCGTCGAGGAGTAACACGTTGACCGGTTTCAGCACGAACGCGGCCAAGGCGACTCGAGCTTTTTCGCCGCCGGACAGACTGCCGATCGTGCGATCGACTGCTGCGGAACCAGTGATGCCGAGTGCGCCCAGAACGCCGCGCGCGCGCTCCATCGTAATCGATTTATCAACCTTGCGCGCGACGTCGAGCACGTGTGTCAACGCGTCCACCTCCGCGGGCAGCTGCTGCGCCAAGTCTTGCGAAAAGTATCCCACGACGCAACCCTCGCCGCGCTCGACCGTTCCGCTCATCTCGGGTAACTCCCCGCCGATCGTTTTCAGGAACGTCGACTTGCCGGCGCCGTTCGGTCCGATGACGAGTAACCGGTCGCCCTTGGTCACGGTCACGTTGACGTCGGTGACCAACGTCGAGCCGACGGCTGCGTAGCCGACGGCTAAATCTTTCGCGATGAGAATTTCTCTCGCGCCTTGCGGTGGATTTGGAAGTCTCAAGACGACTTTTTTAGCGTCACCCGGCCCTTCTCCCAGATCGCCTTCTCCCGCGAGTTCGGTCAAGTCTTCGATTTTTTCTTGCACCTTGTCGAGGGCTTTCGCCTTGGACTTCGCCGCGGACGCCTTCGTGGCCTTGGCGCCGAATTTCGTGATAAACTCATTCAATTTAGCCGCTTTTTGTCCCTCTTTCTCGAGCGACGAGAGCGCTTGCGCGCGTCGCGCCTCTCTCTCCTTGAGAAACCGCGCGTAGTCGCCCTTGAAATTGCCCAACTTTCCGCCGCGCACTTCGACTATGCGATCCACGCACGCGAGCAATTCCTCGTCGTGGGACACCAACACCACCGTGCCGGCGTACGATTTGATCCAATTCACGAGCCACGCCCGCGCGTCGCCATCCAAGTGATTGCTCGGCTCGTCCAGCAGCAACAGCCCGCCCTTGACGCCCGCCTCGCGAGAGTCTCCGGCCGGCGACAGCAGCGTCCTTGCGAGCGCGACTCGCATCTGCCATCCCCCGCTCAGCGTGTCGCACCGCGCCCGCATCACCGCCTCGCTGAACCCAAGTCCTTTCAGCACGCTCGACGCGCGCTTCTCCGCCGTCGCGCCGCCGACCGCGTCGTATCTCTCCCGCGCGTCCGCCAACCGCGCCGCCGCGCCCGCCTCATCCGCCGCCAACGCGCGCGTCGCCCGCTCCACCGCCGCTTCCGCGTCTCGCACGTGCGTCATCCTCGACGTCGCTTCCTCGAACACCATCAATTTGCTTCCGCTCGTCGCAGTCTGTTCCAGCGCGCCGACCGTGACTCCCATCGCGACGCCGAAGCCGACGCCGTTCGCGTCCCGCTCGCCGAGCAGCGCTCGCACGAGCGTCGTCTTCCCGCACCCGTTCGCGCCGACGACGCCGCATATCTCCCCCGGCTCCACGCGCACTGGATCGCCGTCGCGCGTGCCCGCGATGAGGTCGCGCGCGCCCGTCGTCACGCGCACGTCGGCGTCGAAAACGACGACGGCGCCGGCGGTTTCGCCGCGCGGGACGCTCGCGGGACGCGCGAGGTCGCGACGCGCGCGCCGGCGCGCGGGACCGCGCGCGCACACCGCGCGCGCGGTCGCGGGGCGCGTCGACATCGCGCGCGCGCGCGGCCGGCGTCCCGGCGCGCGCGCGGCGACGCGGCGCGAACTGAAGGTCGAGCGTCGAGCGCGTCAGCCCTCGGCGGCGTCCCGCTCGCGAAGACGCGTCGAGCTCAACTTGAGCTCCTCGCCCTCGCCGCCGCGCACGAGATCGACGACGACGACGCGCAGCGGCGCGAGACCACCGCTCGAACGCATGTCGTTCAGCGCCTCCGCCCCGGCCACGGTCTCGCGGCTGACGACGAGGCCGGACATGTCGCGAACCGTCGCCGCGAGCGGCGGCGACGCGTCGAGCGGACCCACTCGAACCTCGATCGAAGATTCCGGATCGCACAGCGCCAAGAACGCGCGCGCGTTCGCCGTGCGATCCGCGTACGACTCCACGAGCGCGCCGTACGCCTTATTCGCGAGCAATTCCGCGGACGTAACGCCGACGTACAAAACGCCGCCGCCGGCGACGGCGCGAGACGCCGACGCGAGCAACAGTCGGTGCCCGGCGTGCAAACGATCGAACGTCCCGCCCACGCTCACCTTATCCATCGTCCCATCGCTCCCGTCATCGCGCGTCGTCGCGTTCGGCGCGCTCCAGGACGCGACGCGCGCGCGCACCGCGCGCTCGACCTCCGCGTCCGCGTCGTCGTCTCGCGTCTCTTCGTCTTCCTCTTCGTCCTCGCGCGCGTCGCCCCGCGTCCCGACGTCGTCGCCGCCGCCGCGTCCCTCGAACACCGGGTACACCTCGCGCCGCGGATCAATCGCCGACACCACGTCGTACACCTTCCACAGCGCGCGAGCCGTCGCGAAGTCGTCGCTCGAGCGCACGGCGACGCCGCGCGAGGCGTCGCCGCCGCACGCGCGCGCGAGCGCGAGCGCCGACCCGAGCTCGTCCTCGCGTCGCCAGCGCACCTCGATCGGCGCCGGCGCGACGCGCGCGAACATCGTCGACGCGCGCGGACGTCGAGACGCGCCGCGCGCGCGTCGTCGCGACGCGAAAGCGTCGTCGTGTGACTGATTTCGAAACGAATCGCGTTCGCGCGTCGTTCGCGCGCGCGCGCGCGCGACGCGCGCGACGCGCGGCGACGCGGGACGCGCGATGGTTACGCGCGGCGTCGCGCGCGCGCTCGGCGCGAGTCGCGGCGTCGCGCGCGCGCGCTCGCGCGCCGAGGTGTGCGACCGACGACGCGCGCGCGGCACATCTCGACGCGACATGCGCGCGCTTCGCGCGACGAGCGCGCGCGCGACGACGCGCGACGGCGCGAAGCGCGCGTCGCGCGCGCGTCGCTCGTCCCGCGTCGCTCGAAACGCGTCGAGCGCGACGCACGAGCCGTGGGAACTCGGGCTGGGCGAATTGCACTTTTCGACGCGCGACGTCGACGCGCTCGCGGGCGCGAGCGCGCGCGACGACGCGCTCGGCGCGCTCTCGCCGACGTGGCGAATGCTGTTGCTGAGCGATGGGAGCGTGACGCGACACCTGAGCGTGCTGGGACGGGCGGAGAGGACGGAGGTGGAGGTGACGCGGCGAAGCGCGCGGGACGACGGGACGCGCGCGCGGGGACGACCGTCGCGACCGAGCGACGTGGAGGCGATGCTGCGGGGACCGATCGTGCGTCGAGAGGTGTACCTGCGCGCGGGAGAGGTGCGAGGCGCGGACGGGCGACCGGCGGTGTACGCGGCGTCGTGGTGGAACGAGGACGCGCTCGCGGCGTATCTGCCGGACGAGGACGCGTCGATGTGGGCGAATCTGCGAACGCGGCACGTGGAGTTGCACCGAGAGATTCGAGAGGTGTATTACGGCGAGAGCGAGGGTTTAGAGGCGGCGTTCGGCGAGCGCGGGCCGTTTTGGGGGCGGCATTATATTTTTTGGAGCGGCGGCGCGCCCATCACCGTCGTGTACGAAGTCTTCAATCCCGCGGCGTTTGAAAGGGCGCTCGGGCCTTTGAAGGCGGCGTAGCGCTAGGAAAAGTATTGTCGTATTCTTCATCTATGATTGTCTAGTCAGCTACGCGTTCACGCGCTCGAAGGTGTCGAAACATCTCGACATTTCGCTCGTGGTAAAGATGGACGTGAAAGGCTCGGCGCGACTGGCGAGCGGGACTTTTTTCACCCGCGCGTCCAACTCCTCCGCCGTGAGCGAGCCGTAGCTCGCGCCGCACAAATCGCCCATCTCTAATTCTTTCGTTTTCACGCGGTCGGTGAGGTCGCGCTCGAGCAAGGCTACCATTTTAGGGATTTGCGGAAAGTAGTGCGCTCGGAGCGTCTCGACCTCCCACAGCGAACTCTTCAACGCGTTCGTTTTGGCCGGATCGCGCTCGTCGGCGTCAAACGGGTCGGCGTCGATGAGTTTCGCCGCCTCGCCTTCGACGCGCTCGCGATGCACGAGCACCACGCACGACTTGTGCCGACGCAAGAGATTATGAATGAATCCGACGCACACCATCGCGCCCGCCGGCGGCGCCGACAGCGCCAGTCGCGCAAAGCGCTTGATGAAACTCGCCACCAAGTACGCCGGTAACGCGGGCGATTTCAAGAAGACATCCATGAGGGAGAAGAAACCGCGACGGTGATTGGCGTGAAAGCACGATGCGTCGAGCAATTCGTACAAACGGTTGTAAAACGTCGGATATTCTAACCCGTGTTGCGTCATGAGAATGAACAACCCGTTCAACGCGAGCATCCCCGTGAGGCCGCCGACGTCGATGGAATCGACGCAAAAATCGCTCAACAACTGCGGATTCACCATGTGCGGCATCACGTCCACGTGCAGGCGCATCAAAATTTTTCGGTAAATATCCTCGGGAAAATCTGCGCGCAACAGCGCGAGCCAGGCGTCGCTGAACGCGCGTCGATGCCGCGCGCCCTCGGTCCACTTTGGCTTGCCGCCGCCCGACGTCTTTCTCTTCTTTTTCGCCGCCTCGAGATCGATCACGCTCCCCTCGGCGTCCTCGCACCACGGTCCTCGCTTCTTTTCGCCTTCATCATCGACGCTCTCGCCGCGCAATTTCGCCAGCATCGCCGCGAAATCCGCGCGTCCGTCTTCGTCCTCGGCTCCCGCTTCGTCGCCTCGATAATCGTCAAACGCGCGCGGCGTCGCGTTGAGCACGTCGTACACGTTCCTCGCCACGTCCACCGCCGCCGCCTCCCCCTCGCCCGGCGCGTACGTCTTCAATTCCTCCGCCAATTTCCGCATCGCGCCGTACGTGTGATACCGCACGTCCACGCGCGTCAGATACCTCGCCTTGAGCGTCCCCAGCAGCGCCTCGCTCCACGATTTCGCCCGCGTCGCGCGCCGCAGCGCGTCCTCGTACAATTCATTCGAAAACTTCCCCGGCGTCTCGCACCGCGCGCACTCCATGATCACCCCGAGCGCCAGGCACCGCGCGCGCTCGTCCAGCTCGCCGTCCACGACGCACCCCACGCACCGCTCGACGAACACTCTTCGATGCTTCGCGAACCACGCCAAGTACGCGTCCCTCGCGTCGTCGTCGCCGCCCTCCTCTCGCCCTCCCTCGTCCCGTTTTCGCCGCGCCCGCGACTCGGCGAGCTCGCCCGCCGCCGTGCGCTCGCAGAAGAACCGCTCGAGCGCGACGAGGGCGTCCGCGACGTCCTCGCGCGGCCGCCGCGACGGATCCCTGAGCGTCCCGAGCAGCGCCAGCGCGCCGTTCGGGTCGTTCGTCGACGCGTTCAGCGCGATCGCGCCGTCTCGAATCCCGCGACGCGCCGCCGTCGACGCGACCGACGTCGACGCGCGCTTTTTCGGCGCCATCGCGACGAGAGACGCGCGCGCGACGACGCGCGGCGCGGAATGACGTCGCCGGTCGCCGCGCATCGAGTGGCGGCGGCGCATCGATCGCGCGCGCACTTCACCGCGCGTCGCGATTCATCGCGCGCGCGTCCGCCGGACGATCCGCGACCCCGTCGCGCGTCTCGGGCGCCATGGCGGAGCACCTGGCGAGCATCTTCGGCACGGAAAAGGACCGCGTGAACTGTCCGTTTTACTTTAAGATCGGCGCGTGTCGTCACGGCGATCGCTGCTCGCGGCTGCACAACAAGCCCACGGCGTCGCAGACGATCCTGCTGACGAATCTGTACCGTCCGGACGTCGAGGTGGCGGCGGACCCGCGGGCGGCGACGAGCGGGGCGGCGAGCCGGGCGGGGCGAGGGCAGGAGGGATTCGAGGCGTTCGTCGAGGACGTCTTCGAGGAGCTGGACGAGTGCGGAGAGATCGAGGGCGTGAACGTGTGCGATAACGTCACGGATCACATGATGGGGAACGTGTACGTGAAGTTCGTCGAGGAGGAGGCGGCGGGTCGAGCGGTGGAGAAATTGAGAGGGAGGTATTACGACGGACGACCGATCGCGGCGGAATTTTCGCCGGTGACGGATTTCAGGGAGAGCACGTGCAGGCAGTACGAGGAGAATTCGTGCACGCGGGGGGGGTACTGCAACTTCATGCACTTGAAACCGATCGGACGAGGCATGCGGAAGCGGTTGTACGGACGGTACTTGGGAGGAGGGCGACGCGAACGACGCGAGGGCGAGCGGAGTCCGGGGCGAAAGCGCGAGAGAGACGACGGGGAGGACGACGGTCGAGTCACCGCCAAGGGGATGTCGGACGACGCGCGACGGGCGATGTTCGCGTCTTGGAACGACGCCGACGACGAATGAGTGAATGAATGAATCCGCGAATCTGCGATTCTGCGATTGATTGATTCGAATGTAGCGCGCGTTGAAACGAAACGAAAGTTGATTTCTACACTGGTGCGTCGGTGATTTACACGTCAAACTAAACTATTTTTTCATTTTTTTCGTCCCTCACGCGTCAATGCGCCACCGCGAACGCGGAGCGAATCAAGAATGGGTTGTTTCCGTCGTCGTCGCTGTCCATTTCGTCGTCGCTATCGACACTGAACGCTTCGCGAGTGATAGGATCCTTCCTGTCGAAGATAATGCGACCGCTGCGACCGTAACGGGGTCGACACTGCTTGAGATTGACGCCGAGCGGAAGCAAGAACGTTCGCACCGCGGCCATGGATGGAGACTTGGTGAACAGCATCTCGATGTCTGGAATCTCCGGCGGCGGTTGATACGGCAACACGGGAATTTGGACTCTCGGGCGAGGCGCGTAACCGCCGAGCGCGGCAAGACCGAGCTCGCGACGACGCTTGCGTCCGGCGAGATCGCCCATGTCGTCGCCCAACACGACGTATTGTCCATCGGGTTTCTTGATGAGTTCCACCGCGCCACCGGCGAGGACGATGTTCTTGTTCGGCGGAATCTCCGGCGTCTCCGTCTTGAAGCGCTTCTTGTCCGCCTCCATGACTTTTTGCTCGATCGCCTCGAGCGACGCCTTGGGCTCGTGTCGAAGCTTGATTTGGAGTTTTTGCAGCTCCTGCTCGACGGTGAGCAACTCGCTCTTGCGTTTCTCACGCTTCACTACGAGCTCGAGCACGCCTATGGAAATGTCGAGCGACTTGCGCAGCTGACGAAGCTTGTCGTAGCTCGTCACGTCGTTCTCGCGACGTCGACGAGTCTGCGGTCTAGAAATCTTCTCGCGCGGCCGGAACACGTTGAACGGGTTACTGTCGTTCGGTGCCGGTGGCGGTTGTAACCGACGCAGAAGCGGCTTCTTCAAGCGCTGGCGCCTGTCCGTCCAGTACTCGTACACCGCCGTGAGAATGGCTTGCTTGCCACTGATTTCTTGAAGCAACTCCAACGCTTTATCTTTGGGTAGGTTTGTCACGACACCCAGCGCGTCCACTTTTTCTTGGTAGCTGATCACTTGCCCGCGCGCCGCGGCCATAGCCGTGTTCGCCTTCATGATCTTCTCGTTCGCCTCGGCGCACGCCAATTCCAACTTCCACAGCATCTCCTCGAATTTCTCCGCGCTCAGCACTTCGGAGCCATCGTTATAATTCTCCAACCAATCCTCATCCTCGTTATCCAAATCATACTCCACGTAACTCGTCGTCTCCGTCGGCGGCAGCCCGCACGTCAATTTTGAGCGCAAGTAATAATCCGGCTGCTTATAATTCGTCGGATAATCCGATTCGTACGACGACACGTTCAAAATCTCAGGAATAGGAATTTCACTCACCCCAGTCGTCGTTTCCTTCGTCAGCACCTCCTCGTTCTCTTTATCCAGCGCCTTGTGCGCGTGCGTCACCTCGCGTTGTACCACCTGCTCATCCTTAATCGCATCTGGATCGCGCAACAGGGCCAACTGCGACGTGATATCGATAGGTCGCGCCCTGAACGATGTCTGTCGAGTCGCCATCGCGCTTCGTCCTCGACAGCGCGCTTCTGTCGAGCGCTACGACGGCAATGCCGCGATTTCGCTTCAAATTGCCGAATGCGCGCGATCGCACGCGAGAATCTCGCGTTTACGCGTCGACGCGCGCGCACGAACGGTCTTGTGCGAGCGCAAACTCGAGATCGGACGTTCGCAGACGCGCTCGCGGCGTAAGACGCGGCGCCGTCGCGCGCGGCGCGCTCTGCGGCGGCGAATTCGCGGCGAATTGGCCTAGGTCACGCGAGCCGAAAGTCCTATTTAAAAGTCTACACTATGGAAGCGGCGCGCGCGCGAACGCGAAACAAAGCTCAGAAGAACTTCTTCACGAGATGACGCTTTAAAACCTCGGATGAACACGAAGGACACTTGCCAGGACCTTTTGGCTTGACGAGACGAAGCCAACAGGCGTAGCACGCGATGTGCTTGCAGGTGGACGCCTCGAAGGGCTTGTCGCACGTGGCGCCGCAGGCGACGCACGCGCGAGGAGGAGCGACGACAGCCAAGCCGGGAGGGGCGCCAGCGGCGGATTTCTGAGCCTTGACTTTTTCTTGACGCTCTATCAGAGCGCGGCGATGCTTTTCGTAGATGGGCTTGTGCGCCGCAGGGACGAATTCGCCGAAGAGGGCGTACAAGCCTTTCGGGTTCTCCGGCGCCTTGAGCACGCGACTGGCGACGCGAAGGAGGTCACCAATATCGAACGCCTCGGTCTTCACTTTGTCAAGCTCGGCGATGAGTTCGTCGTAGGAATCACACGAGAGTTCAAGACGCGCACGACGCATAAAAAGCTTGGTACGATCTGCGCTCGGCGGCGCCTCGTTTTGATCGCTCGCGCTCGCCGAGTCCTTCTCATTCTGCTGCCCACTCGTCTTTGAGAGCTGAAGGAGAAGGGTCGACCTTTTCATCGCCTCTTGCGTTTTTTTACCATGCTTTTCGCGGAAGATTTCTGCTGCCGTCGTTTGAAGCGGGACTTTTTGCTTTGACACAAGCATAAACTTTTGGCGAGCCACTTCGTCTTCGCCACCACCTTGGTCCTTCGTGAATTGACGAACGAGCGACGTGATCGACGTACCCGCTTGCGTGAAATCTTGTTTGTTCTGTGACTTTTTCACGAAAGCAGCGCCCGAGGTTTTTGGTTTCACCTGCGCGATATCGACGAATTTGGCGGGCGCGGCGGCTTTCACCTTTGCGCCCGCTCTCGCGTGCTCTTGGAAGAATTCCTTCAAGCCGTGCACAGCACTGTGAAACACCGAGTGCACTTGCACTGACGGTCGAAGCCAAAGTGAAAGTTGATTTCGCGCGTTTTCGTTCGCGAAACGCTCGTCGGCAAGGATAACGGCGCCGAAGTCATCCTTGTGGCGAATGACACGCCCAAGCGCCTGGTTCACTGCGCGCATCGCGGTTTGAGAGTACCACTCGTTCCCAGAGTACGCACCCCCGTTGTCCGCTTTTCGCTTATCCAAATACGTTCGCTTGTGCATCACGAGTGGATCCTTCGCGCCCGCGTACGGAATACCAGTGAGAATCACGCCACGGCACGCCTTGTCTGCGAAATCGATGCCTTCGCTCAGCTTACCCCTACACACGGCGAAGAACGCCGCACCGCGCCTCGAATCCTCTTCAAGCGCCTTGTTGTAGCTATCGTAGCACGCATGAAATTCATCTGCATTGCTTGGCTCAACCAAGCACGTTTTGTTCGTCTCGAGCTGGTTCCAAAGCCCAGTCGATCTCCAGTGATTGACGCACGAGTGCATGACGCCGTACGACGGAAAGAACACGAGCAATCCATCGGGTACGATTCTTGCCGTACTTAAAATCACGCTCCCTATCTCTGTCTTATACTCGCGCGTATCGCGAAATCTAAATGAGCTGTTCAGCACGCCGTTATTCGGCCCGTGCGTGACGACTCCGCCCCAAACTTGATTCCTTTTGATCACGTGCGGATTCTCCAAGCGCACGGGAAAATCCAATGCGAGCTCTGACGCGAAAGATTCCATGGGGGAGAGCGTACCAGAGGCAAGCAAAAATGTTCCAACGCCTTTATCGATCAGTGCCTTGAGGCAAAGACCTGGAAAGAAGCACCAGTACGACAACGTCGGCCCGGCGCGCGCGCGATTGCTTGTCTTAAACTTCTCCATATCCGGCCCAAGTCTCGTGACGAAATACTGCTCATATCGATGCACGAATATCCTCTCTATGAAATTACCGATTTCCATTAACGGTGTTTCGTTTTGTGTCGGCTGCGCCATGAAATCGCTCCCGAGTTGCACCGTCCGCGAAGCGCTCTTAATGAGCTTTGTGATGTGCTCGTAAGTATCCGCCGTGATGTTCAACTCGGCGAGAATAACGTAGATGAACGCGCCGTCACCAATACGCTCGCCGAGACCTCCTTCGTGCTTGGCGTTCGGCGCCTTGGCCGCCTCACGACAAATACTATCGAGCAACCCTTCGAGTTGCACCAACACGCCCGTTAACATTTTAAAATCTTCACCCTTGAACGCCGCAGCGTCCTTGTCCATCCCTCTGCTAAAAAGTTGCAAATCTGCCTCGCTCACGATTCCTTCCCCGCTAGTGTCTTCTAAAGTCAACTTTGTCTCGTAAGCTCTCTCCGATTCCTTGATGGCTTTCGCCAATTTCGCCGCGGTGAGGGAATAACTCATGCTATCAGAAGCGCTCGACTCGAGGTTGTGCGCCTCGTCCACGATAATCACCGCGTTCTCCCACGCGATTTCCAATCCTTTGCGCACGCTCTCATCGAGCAGGTAATTATAAGGCATAAAAATTATCTCCGCCTCCGCGCACTTCGTGCGGGCGAGATAAAACGGACACGGCCCCCTCGCCTTGGCCTTGGACACCAAATCCTCGATGTCTTGCACGCCGTCGCTGAATAAATCGAATCGCCCATCCCGCCCCTGCAGCGCCCGATCGAGCGTCACTTTCGCCCCACACTTTTGCTGCTGCACCAATTTAGCGCATCTATTTTTCTGTTCCGTCCCATTCAACGCTCGAACGTCGTCCCGCGCGCACGCGTGCCGCCGACTCGCGAGCGTCGTCGCGCGCGTCGTCGAATCAAACAATTTCAACTCTCGCACCACTTGATCCACCTGCGAGTGCGTCCTCGTCGCGTACACAATCACCGGCGCGCGCGTGCGCTCCTTTTTTTCCACGTCATCCACGAACTCCCGTCCCGACGTCCCCGCGACGTCGTCGGCGTCTCCGGCGCCGCCTCGCCCATCTCTCACTTCCTCCCTAAATTTCCGCTTCCTTGCCCGTCCTTCGCTCCGCACGAACGCCAGCGCGCTCGCAAGCAAGCACAGCGTCTTCCCCGTGCCCGTGGGCGACTCCAAGAGCGCGTGTTCGCCGCGACACATCGCCAAGAGTGCTTTTTCCATGAAAACGAGCTGATTGTCGTACGCTTCGAACGGAAAGTCAACCGTGAACGCGCGCTTGTGCGCGATCTTGACCCCGTCCGCGGGCACGGTGATGGTGTACGAGTGCATCGTGCCCATGATGCGGCCGAGCGCGGCGGACGACGCCGCGCGCGCCGCGCGGCGGAGTGATGATGGAGAACGCGAAGGGACGACAGCTGGGGCGCGGCGTTTGAAATCGAAAGCGACGGACATTCGGCTCGAACGGTCGATCGGTGCGGTGCGTTTCTCGATTGATATAGCTACGGTGAGTGCGAACGTGCGTCGCTAGAGGAAATCGGCGTATCGCGAGGTGAAGTCGCTCTTGCTGCGTTGGCACCACCCGCTCGAACTGCTGTCGCTCGGATTGACCACGATGTTGTTGTCGAAGTAGATGACGGATCCTGTTTCGAACTCTTCTTTTTCGTTGATGATTTTCGGACGGTCGAGTCTCGCGAACCACGTGCCGAGAATCTTGTGAAAACGCCACGAGGAGGCGTGGAGCTCGTTCGCTGCGAGCAATTTGAGTCTGTCTCTGCCGTAATAGAACGTGAAAAACAAGGCGTCGCTATCGAGACGTTTGAAGAGCGCCGGGTTGTCCAACTGGCATCCGGGCGGTATGTCTCGAGGTGATCGCGGATACGACGATGGCGTCGCGATTTTACTCTTTTGCGGCGCCGACGCGGATTTCTTTGCGTTCTTCTCGCTCGATAACCGCCAATTCGCATCCGCGCTGAGTCCTTCGCGCGGAAGCTTGGCGCACGCGATTTCGAGCAAGCGATGGCTGACATGTCGGTCATTTATAACGACGCCGCGAATCGACACGCCCGATGGAATATCGGCGTGTTCGAGAGCCATGGCACCGCCGCTCTCGGGCGAAATCTCACCGTACGCGTGTCCGCCGCGCGACAGTTCATCCAGGCTCAACAATCCATTCCCGGGTAAATCGAAAATACACGCGTCCGGATGCATCCCGGTCGTAACCTTCGCGCGCGAAGTCGACGCAGACGACTTTTTCGGCGACGTCGCCTCGAATTTCGCCTGCAAACGATTTACCGCCGCGCCTTCGTCGCCGCCGTCCTCCGAGCGTTTCGGCTTCTTCGCCTGCGCCTCCGCCGGGGTCGAAGGCGTCGACGTCCCCGACGTCGACGCTTCATCTACCGCCGCTCGCATCGCGCCGTCTTTCCCCGGCGTTTCCAAACGCTCGACGTCCGCCTCGCTCGCCTCGGCTCCCGCCTCATCGTCGCCGTCGCCGTCCTTCGTCGCGTCCGCCGCCAAAACGCTCTCAAACCACCCGATATCCGCCGCGCACTCCCGCATCGCGTCCTCGATCTTCGCCGTCACCGCGTCGTCGACGTCATTGTTTTCTCTGTATTCCATCAACTCCCGCACGAGGTCGCGCAGGCGCGCGATCTCTCGAGTCAACTCCGTCTGCCCGTTCGTTCGTCGATTCGACGCGATTTCTCTCGTCAGTCTCGTCGCCGTTGACCGACCCTCTCGTCACCGACGCGCCGCCGCGCGCCTTCGCGGCGACCATCGCGCGCTCGTTCGTCTCGAATCATCGTCCGCGATCGCGTCGCGCACCTCGGCGCGTCGACGCGCGGCGTCGTCGTCGGCGGCGTTCGTCTCGCGAATCAGCTCGACCGCGCGCGCGGCGTGTTCGCGACACCCATCGATGCGCTTCGTTCGGCTCTGTATCTCCGCCGCGTGTCGTCCGGGAAGCGTCATGCGCGCGCGATTCGGTCGCGCGCGCGCGCGCGCGGCGCGTCGCGGTCGGCGGCGCCGCGCGCGTCGATGAGTGGCGATTTTGACGCGCCGAGAGACGAACAGACACTTCGACGCCGACGCCGCGGCGCGTCGACCGGAACGAAGGGCGATATCATACAAATTTATCGTAACACTCGACGCGGGCGCTTCGCGAGACGCGACGATCGAGCGCGGTCGTCGTCGACCCGCGCGCGCGTTCGCGGCGTCAGCCGTGCGAACAAACTTTACGCGCGCGAGCGTCACCTCGCCGCGCTCGATCGTCGCGCCGTCGCGCGAGTCGCCCTTCGCGTCGTTCGCGTCGCTCGCGTCACCCGCATCCGGCGCCCGAGGACGCGTCGCCCGTCAACCCTAAATCATCCGCGCTCAGCTCGCGCTCGAGGGCCTCGATGATCTCCAGCGCGCTCGGCGGTCGGCCTCGCGAGAGCGCGCTGAACGCGGCGTCCTTCGCGCGCGCCCCCTCGAGATCCGCCTCTCCCGACCCATCGTCCAGGCTGTCGCACACCACCACCTCGAACGCCCCCGGTCGAGGTCCCGCGTCGCCGACGACGCGCGCGTCGTTGCCGTCCACCATCAATCGCGGGAACGCGTCCTCGACGGCGTCGGCGACGGCGAGAAATGCATTTAAATGCTTCCCTTCGTCGTATTCGACGTGAATCGTCCTCGGCGGCGCGTTCCCGAGCGCGCTTCGTCACGCGTACGCGCGGTAGACGACGCGCGCGCGAAGTCGCTCGCATCCGCGCCGCGCGAGCGCGCGGAGCGCGGACATGACGACGTCGAAGCGGCGAAACGTCGCGCAGTGACGCTTTATCCGGGACACCGCGACGTCACGATGACGCGCGTCGCGCGGCGGCTGCGACGCGCGAGCGCGACGCTCGCGCGCGCGATGACGTCGATGGTTCATCACTCCGCGACGCGGCACGCGCCGGGGGCGAACGGCGCGGTGCCCGTGGTGCATCACGCGAGCTACAGCAAACCAGTCATGCCGCGCGGGCACAGATTTCCGATGACTGTTTTCCAGCGCGTGCACGACATCCTGCGCGAAGAGGGCGTCATCGCGAGAGGGCAGACGAATTGCTTCGTCCCGGGACGCGCGCCGAGCGTGGACGAGCTGTGTCGAGCGCACGATGAAGATTACGTGAGAGACGTGCGCGCGAGCGCGCTGGACGCGAAGCGCGAGAGAGAAATCGGACTGCCGTGGAGCGACGCGCTCGTGGAGAGAACGCTGATGGAGGTTTCGGGGACGATGCTGACGGTGGATTTGGCGATGAAGGTGGGATTGTGCGTGAACACGGCGGGAGGGACGCATCACGCGCATCGCGATAGGGGGAGCGGGTTTTGCATCGTCAACGATTTGGCGGTGTCGGCGCTGAGGGCGATCGATTCGGGGGCGGTGTCGAGGGTGATGATTATAGATTTAGACGTGCATCAAGGCGATGGGACGGCGGCGATTTTAGCGAACGAACCGGGCGTGTTTACGTTTTCGGCGCACGCGAAGTCTAATTTTCCGGCGCGAAAGCAACAGAGCACGCGAGACGTCGAGCTGCCGCGCGGGATGACGGACGACGCGTACATGGCCGTCGTCGCGGCGGCGATGCGAGAGTCTCTCGAAGACTTTCGGCCAGAGTTGGTGATTTACGACGCAGGCGTGGACGTGACGTCGAACGACACACTCGGACATCTCGATCTCACCGTCGAAGGGCTGTATCGACGCGAGCGCATGGTGATGGACACCGTGCTCGGCGCCGGCATTCCCCTCGCGGGGGTCGTCGGGGGTGGGTACTCACCGGATATAGATGAGCTCGCGAGTCGTCACGCAGTCTTGCATCGCGTGGCGCGCGAAATGTTCGTCGATCACGGGTTGTAAACTAAATTAATAGTATCGTAGTCATCCGGCATCTGTGACCCGTCGCCGTTCTTCGTCGATCTCCGGTAGCAACGCGTCCACGCGCGCCGCTCTGTGCGCTTCGTCATACAGTCGTCTGTGCTCTCGCCAGAAAGGCAAGATTTCGCGAAGGGAGACGTGCCCGCCGTCGGCGTCGTGTCGATGCCGATGTCGAGAAAGTGCGATTTCGAGACCGATTACCGCGTCGGCGTCCGGGAGAATCGGCATCGCTACTTTTTCCCAGGTGAGTCGTAGACTCTGCGCGTGTGGATGCTCTCGCTCAATCAGGAAGAGTATGACTTCCATGTTCCCATTTGACATGGCACAAAAGTACGTCTTCGCGTCCCAAGGACACCCGTGCTCGTGCGCGTACTTCAAACACTCCAAATGTCCATAATTGGCGGCATACCAGCACGTCCACACGTTCCAAGGACACCCTTGCTCGTGTGCGTACTTCAAACACTCCAAATGTCCATTCTTGGCGGCATACCAGCACGTCTCCTCGTCCCAAGGACACCCGCGCTTGTGCGCGTACTTCAAACACTCCAACTGTCCATTCGAGGCGGCATCACGGCACGTCCACACGTCCCAAGGACACCCGCGCTCGTGCGCGTACTTCAAACACTCCAAATGTCCATAACGGGCGGCATTCGCGCACGTCTTCGCGTTCCAAGGATACCCGAGCGCGCGCGCCTCTACGAGAAGGTCCAACCTCCCCACGGCGGCGCACGCACCAGACACAGTTCCTTGCGCATCCTCTTCCGGTCGTATACCGTCGTCCAAGGTGGCGATAGCATCCTCAATTGTGTTTCTATACAACCAGTCCACGTTTTCTTCCGCGATTGCCACGAGCGCGGCTCTCAAACGCGCCTGAACTTCACTCATGTGTGTCTCGCGAGTCGATGTGTGAGGACGCGCCGCCGATAGTCGCGCTCGACCACTCGATGACATTTTCAAGCGCGATCGTATCGTACGACGCGGCGATTCAGTGACGATAAACTAAACTAATCGTAGGTAGGGAGGTGCACGTTACATCATCGCGTCGTCATCGTCGTCATCCGGCATCTGTGACCCGTCGCCGTTCTTCGTCGATCTCCGGTAGCGACGCGTCCACGCGCGCCGCTCTGTGCGCTTCGTCATACAGTCGTCTGTGCTCTCGCCAGAAAGGCAAGATTTCGCGAAGGGAGACGTGCCCGCCGTCGGCGTCGTGTCGATGCCGATGTCGAGAAAGTGCGATTTCGAGACCGATTACCGCGTCGGCGTCCGGGAGAATCGGCATCGCTACTTTTTCCCAGGTGAGTCGTAGACTCTGCGCGTGTGGATGCTCTCGCTCAATCAGGAAGAGTATGACTTCCATGTTCCCATTTGACATGGCACAAAAGTACGTCTTCGCGTCCCAAGGACACCCGCGCTCGTGCGCGTACTTCAAACACTCCAAATGTCCATACTTGGCGGCATACCAGCACGTCTTCGCGTCCCAAGGACACCCTTGCTCGTGCGCGTACTTCAAACACTCCAAATGTCCATTCTTGGCGGCATACCAGCACGTCTCCTCGTCCCAAGGACACCCGCGCTTGTGCGCGTACTTCAAACACTCCAACTGTCCATTCGAGGCGGCATCACGGCACGTCCACACGTCCCAAGGACACCCGCGCTTGTGCGCGTACTTCAAACACTCCAACTGTCCATTCGAGGCGGCATGCGCGCACGTCCACACGTCCCAAGGACACCCGCGCTCGTGCGCGTACTTCAAACACTCCAAATGTCCATTATTGGCGGCAAATGAGCACGTCGACGTGTTCCAAGGACACCCGTTCTCGTGCGCGTACTTCAGACAGTCCAAATGTCCACCATCGGCGGCATCCATGCACGTCTTCTCGTCCCAAGGACACCCGTGCTCGTGCGCGTACTTCAAAATCCTAAAATATCCAGACGAGGCGGCATTCGCGCACGTCTTCGCGTTCCAAGGATACCCGAGCACGCGCGCCTCTACGAGAAGGTCCAACCTCCCCACGGCGGCGCACGCACCAGACACAGTTCCTTCCGCATCCTCTTCCGGTCGTATACCGTCGTCCAAGGTGGCGATAGCATCCTCAATTTCTTCTTCATACAAAGCGTTCACGTCTTCTTCCGCGATTGCCACGAGCGCGGCTCTCAAACGCGCCTGAACTTCACTCATGTGTGTCTCGCGAGTCGATGTGTGAGGACGCGCCGCCGATAATCGCGCTCGACCACTCGATGACATTTTCAAGCGCGATCGTATCGTACGACGCGGCGATTCAGTGACGATAAAGCGCTCGTGATTCTATAATCTATTCGAACGCGTCTACTTCTAGTCCTTCCGGCGCGCCATCGTCGCGACGGCGCGTCTAAACCTCTACGTCTAATCTCGCGAGCAAATCGTCAATGCGATGCAACGCCTCGCTCGCCGCCGGCGGACAAAACTGGCGCGCGCGCTCGAGCAAGTCGCGTATCTTCTCCGTATCCGCGGGTTTCCGTTCGTCCGCGGCGGATTTCAACAACCAAACCGCCGTCCTGTACGCATCATCCGCCAACGACGCGTCCGTATCGCTCCAACCCGTCTCCGAATCGGCGCCTTCGGCGTCGTGGAACTCGTCGCCGGCGTCGTCAAAGTCTCGCGAGTCGTCGAACTCGTCATCATCGCGCGAAACGAATTCGTCGTCATCACCCTCGTCCTCGTCCTCTTGTTCCAGCAAAGCTCGCGTCTGGGCGATCGTTTTCAACAACTTTTCCTTGGCCTCCGTCATCGAGCGAGGACAGCACGACTCCGCGTACACAAATCTTCGCAACGCCTCGTTCAAATCGCCCCGTTTCAACGCGCGCACGCCAGCCTTAAACTCTTCATCCGCGATCACGGCGTCTTCATCGTCATCCCGCTCGTCGTCTTCATCGTCGACGTCCGAATCCCCCGAAGCCGCCGCCGCGCTCGCGTCGCCGTCTTCGTCCACTTCGCGCGCCCGTCGTCCCCACTCATCCTCCCCAGGTTTCGCCGCGCCGTAAATAACCGAACACGCATCCATCGCGTACCCTCGCCGCGCCCGCCGAGCCGCGTTTTCTTCAATCTCTCGCTCCGCGCGTCGCATCAAATCCATTGGATTCTGATTTTGCATTTGATTCTGCGCTCGTTTCTGATTCTGATTCCGTCCTTCGCGCGCGCGCGCGCTCGACGCGCTCGCGCCGTCGTCGCGCGTCGCGTCGGCGACGCCGCGCTCCATGTCGACGGACTCCCGCGCGGACGCGCGCGACGAAGTGACGCGAACGAATCCAATCCAATCCAATCCACACCGGTCGGTCGCCGTCTCGGGACGACATGGGGACACCTCTCAGACGGCACTCTGAGACGCGCCGCTCGCTCGAACGAACGAACGAACGAACGCGACCGAACGAAAAAAACGAACGAACGAAACCCTTCATGCTCTGCTCCGCGCTGAACGCGCGAACGACGACGTGCGGACGAACGACGACGATGCGAGGCCTGGCGTTGGGAAGACGCGCGGCGCGCGTCGGCGCGCGAGGCGTCGGGACGACGACGCGCGCGTCGCAGGCGGAATCTCAAACCGCGACGAGCGAACAACAACAGGGAGAACAATCTCAGCAAGGTGGTTTGCAGCGACAGCAAGAGCAGAAGCGAGCGCTGGCGCGGTCGCCGTTGTCTTCTATGATGGCGTTTCCGAGTCTGATGTCGGGCATGACGCCGTTCGGGTTGTCGAGAAGCATGCAGAGAGAGATGGCGAACATGATGAACTTGATGGATGACATGATGACGGGCGGGGCTCTGGCGCCGTTTGAGACGCTGGATCCGTTTAAGATCACGATGCACGCCGATCACACGCAAGGGGTGCCTCAACAAATCTTGAACTTTCCGATGGGTACGACGACGACGACGACGACGCGAGCGAGCGAGAGCAAACGAGAGCGGGACGAAACCTTGAATCACGAGCGAGCGAGAGCAAACGAGAGCGAGACGAAGCCTCGAATCACGACGTGAACGACTGACGTTTGACTCATCGTCGACCCTTTCCGCGCACCACCAGACGTGATTCAAAAGAAGGACAAGTACATCGTCAAGGCTGATTTACCGGGCCTGTCGATGAAGGATGTCAGCGTCGAGGTGGACGAAAAGAATCGCATCTTACACGTCACGGCAAAGCGCGAGCACCGAGCCGAAGAACAAGACGAAACCGTGGACAAGGGCGCGAAGTGGGTCGCGTACGAACGGTTCTACGGCAAGATGGATCGCTCGTTCGGCCTTCCCGAAGACGCGGTGGCGGAAAAAGACGCCATCAACTGTCGATTGGTGAACGGCGAGCTCACGGTGTCCATCAAGCGCAACCCGCCGCAGGAGGAAGAGGCCGAGAAGCAGGCGCCGCGCACGAAGATTCCGATCATGGATCACTAAAGCAGTGTGTGTGGTCGTGATCCAGGCCGGACAATCAAGACTTTGCGTTCGCGAATCGCTGGTTCGCGAGCGTCGATACGGTAGTCTCGAACTCATTTTAGTTTTGTCTTTTCATCACATCACATCACATTAGATCTCCGGATCAGATGGAGAATAACTACGAGCCATACTCTCATCATCGTTATCATAAACTACGTCCTAGCACCACTCGATCGTCGACGGAGGCTTGCTACTCACGTCCAAGACGACGCGATTCACTTCCTTGACTTGGTTCGTGATGCGCGTGCTGACCTCCTTCAAGAAATCGGTCTCGAACGGGAACCAATCCGCCGTCATGCCGTCGGCCGAAGTCACCGCACGCAAGCCGATGACGAAGGAGTGCGTCCGTTGATCGCCCTGAACGCCGACGGTGCGAATCGGCAAAAACACGGCGAACGCTTGCCAAATGTCGTCGTAAATCCCGAATTCACGAATGGTGTTGATGTAAATCTCGTCCGCGCGTCTCAAAATATCTAACGCGTTGTCCGCGGTGACGTCACCGAGGATGCGCACCGCGAGCCCCGGTCCCGGGAACGGGTGGCGCGCCAAAAACGCGCGCGGCACGTCCATGATGGCGCCCAACTTGCGAACTTCATCCTTGAAAAGCATGCGAAGCGGCTCGACGAGCTCGAAACCGAGTTCTTTGGGCAAGCCGCCGACGTTGTGGTGCGACTTGATCGTGTGCGAGTGCTTTTGATCGCTGCCCGGGGGCGGACACGACTCGATGACATCCGGGTACAGCGTCCCTTGCACCAAAAACGTCGGGCGCACGCCCGTGCGCTTTTCAATCTCACCCTTGAAGTTTTTAAAGCACTCGATGAACTCGGCGCCGATGATTTTGCGCTTCTTCTCCGGATCAGTCACGCCCTTGAGACGCGTGAGCATTTGCTCGGAGTGATCGACGCAATCCACGGGGAGGTGCAAGTTGTCGCGAAACATCTCCATGACGCGCTCTTGCTCCTTGTATCGCAACAACCCGTTGTCGACAAAGACGCAGTGCAAGCGATCGCCGATGGCTTTGTGCACCAGCGTCGCCGCGACGGCGGAGTCGACGCCACCGGACAAGGCGCAGATGACGTGCGCGTCCGGGCCGACTTTTTCCTTGACGATGGCGATTTGTTCCTCGAGCACGTTCGCCATCGACCACCCGGCGCTCACGCCCGCGACGTCGAATAAGAACCTTCTCAGGGTGTCCAACCCTTTTTCGCTGTGCGTCACCTCGGGATGATACTGCAACCCGAACAACTTTCGCTTCGGGTCCTCGATGGCGACCACCGCGCCCGCCTCTGATTTCCCCACGCACGCGAATCCCTCCGGCAGCTTCGTCGCCTCGTCCCCGTGCGACATCCACACCTGCTCGCGCTCGCCCGCCTTCGACCCTTGGCCGTACAGCACCGAATCCGAGCTCTCATACACCACCGGCATGCGTCCGTACTCCCCCTTCCCGCGCGCCGCCTCCACGACGCCGCCGAGTCGCTGCACCAAGAGCTGCATCCCGTAACAGATCCCCAGCACCGGTATCGACTCGCGCGCGCAGTACTCGAAGAACCCCTCCGGCACGCTCGGCGCATCGTCCACGTGCACCGAATTCGGTCCTCCCGACAGCACGATCACCCTCGGCGCGTGGCTCTCGATCCGCTTCAAATCCGCATCCCCCGGCAGCAAGATCGAGTACACGCCGAGCTCGCGCACGCGTCGCGTGATCAATTGCGTGTACTGCGACCCGTAGTCGAGGACGACGCACGCATCCACGCCATCGGTCGCGGTCTTTCGCTTCTTCGCGCACGTCGGCGACGGCGCCATCGTCCGTCGGTGTGTGTCGCCGTCGCCGCCGCCGCCGTCGTTCAAATTTTTGTTTTTTTGAAAAAAATTCGCCAGCGCGGGGCGCGGCGTCGATTATTGGTGGCGCGCGCGTCGCGCGGGCGCGACCGACGGTTCGCGCGGTCGGCGGTTCGCGCGCGGCGCGGCGATCGGACGGCGCGCGACGCGCGGCGTCGCGCGAACGAACGCGGCAAAAAATCGCCAAACGGCTTTAGGCGCACGCGAAGAAAAAGCTTCGAAACTGCACGGTCGAACGCGACGCGCGTCGTGGGTCGGCTCGCGCGGCGATGGGCGACAGAGTTACGGTTTTTTCGCCGCGAGGGGGACGAAGCGACGAATCGTCGAATCGACGCGAACGACGCGCGCGGCACACCGCGACGCGCGACGCGAGCGACGCGAACGACGCGAACGCTTCGCGAACGAAACGATGGCGAGCGCGACGACCAAGGCGACGCGTCGACGGTTGAGCTGGCGCGACGCGCTGGACGAGACGCGGACGTACGACGACGACGACGGGGACGGCGCGAAGGACGGATGGGCGCGGCGCGGTGGCGCCGCGGACGAAGAGAACGCGACCGCGCGACGAGCGAAGGGTCAAAAAACGAGCGCGTCGCCTCGGAGAGCGCTCGCCGCGGTGGATGCGAACGCGACGATGACGTCGCCGACGACGCGATGCAACACGTTTTTGGCGGGGTCGACGCCGGGGGCGATGAGCGCCAAGCACGCGTCGCGGGTGCGCGCGCTCGTGGAGGTGGATGAACCGGAGGAGGAAGCGGAGGTGGCGGAGATTTCGTTTGACTTCGAGGACGAGAGCGCGATGATGTCGCCGGCGTCGGTGGACGACGCCGAACTCGAGTCGGATTCCACGGGCGACGTCACGGTGGTGATGTCGAGCAAGCGAGGAAGGCTGTCGCGCGTGAACGAGACGTTCAACGTGTTCAAATCGCTCGCACAGCTGGCGATATCGCCGTCAGAGTTGGACGTCTCCAAGCGACGCGCGCCGACGCCGATGAACACGCCGGCGACGACGTTGACGTTCGACGACGACGTGGATTCGCCCGTCGTGCAAGCGAGAACCGAAGCCGATTTGCGCGACACGGTTGAGAAAATTGCCAGCTCTTTGGTGGACGTCGAAGACGTGATGTCGTCTTATACGACCAGAGTTCGCGCGCACCGCGTCGCGAAGGCGCTCGGGGCGGCGATTTTCATGCTCGCCATTTCCGCTCGATTATACTTTGCCTGGAACGTCGCCATCGCGGCGTTCCGTCCGCGGTACGCGATCGATGGAACCGCGTTCGCGTATCGTTGGTTTTGGCGTTCACGAACGAATTGGAACGTCCCGTTCGCGTTCGCGGGGTACGCTTCGTACGGTGAGTTTATGATTCAAAGGGCGCTCGACGTCGAGTCGCGGCGAGCGATGACGCGCGCGGCGGCGTTTCGAGCCGCCGTGAGCGCCACGAGGCGCGTCGCCGTCGTTTTGGCGTACATCAGCGGCGTTTTCGGAATTTTTGGGGTAGTCGCGAAGGCGAGCGAGGACCCCCATCCGGGCGAGACGACGAAGCGCGGCGCGACGTCGCCGTTCGTCTTCGTGCCGAAAGTCATGATGATGATGACGACGACGACGGACCCAGAGCGGCCTCGGCGGCCCTCTTTTGGTGCGTCCGCTGTTTTGGATACTTCCGATCGCACATCATCGACGCACCGGGAAATGGACGGCGAAGCCGACGAGTTCGCCGTCGTGCGCGTGTAAAATAATTTCAGATTTCAGACGTGGACTTCTTTTGTAATAAAACACACCACACGAAGTGAAGTCAAGTCAACACGTGGATCGCCGATGCACGCATGGACTGACGGGTACGAAATCAGTGAGGTGAATAAATCAAAAACCAAAAAGAAGAATCGTAAGAATCGTTTAAGTACCAGATATCAACGCACAAAACGTGTACGAGCGTTCGGCGCTCAAACGCAGGCTGGTGGAAATCACAGAAAAGAACCCGAAAAAGAACAAAAGAACAAAAGAATCAAAAGAATACCGGCGCAGGGGCTCGAACCCTGGACCACAAGCTTTCGCTACGCGAAACCTGAGAATGCGATTGGGAGCGCGAACTCCCCGCTTCGCTCGGATTTATTTTTTCGGACCCGATATTCATCGGGAAACCTCATATATTAAGAGGCTTGCGCTCTACCAACTGAGCTACGTCGGCTAATGATGACAGAAATAAGCTAAAATCGTCCCCACCGATCGTCGCGCTGGCGATCGATGTTTGTTATGGGTTGAAGCGTAGTAGACGTCGGCGTCCAGAAGAAGCGCGCGGTCATCCCGCGACGTCGCCGGAACGAACGCTCTCTCAATTCGAATCGACACTGGATTACAATCAATCAATCAATCAATCAAAACTACTACCCGCAGTGCGCCTCGACGGCTCGAACGATCGCCCTTGTCGTCTCCTCGACGCGCGTCTCTTCGCTCGCCTCGACGTAGACGCGAACGCAATCCTCCGTACCGCTCGGACGCACGAACGCGCGACATCGAGCGTCGTTCGACGCTCGCACGATGGCGTCGATGGCGTCCTGGAGACCCTCCGGCTCGGCGACGCGGCGCTCGGCGTCAAAGGTTTGAATCTTCGTCCTGTCCGCGACGACGACTTTGGTTTGTCTCGAGGGCAAATCTTTGTAAAACGATCCCAAACGAGGCGCCTTGACGGTTCGCCGTAATATGGCCTCGACGAGTAAGATGCCGCTCATGGCGTCGCCCACGGAGGGATTGATGACCCGCTGCGCGTTCGTCAACGCCAAGAGCGCCTTGACGGCGGGCATGTCGCGAGCCACCAGCGCCTCCACCGTCGCGTCCTCGATCGCCTTGCTCGCGCTCGGGGAAAACAAAGCCGTCCCGTGGCCGTTCGATTCGAAGTACACCCCTATGTCGAATTCCTCCGCTCGATGGTGCAGGTGTTTCACCCCCGTCGGCACGCACGCCGGCGCCGCGCCGAGCTCGCGAGTCAAAAACTCCGTCGACGCTCCGTTGGCGTACGCCGTTTGCACGACGCCCACGGTGATGTCATTCAAATACGGTGCCGCTTCTTTGACGCGCGCGTTCATCCAGCACGCGATGAGCACCGCCAATTGATCGCCGTCGACCAAATCGACGCCCCCAGCGGCCGTCGTTTGAAAATAAACCAGTCGGTCCGCGTCGCCGTCGATGGACACGCACCGCGTGCCCGCGGGCAAGTTTTCAAAACCTCCGCGGGTCGGGATAGTTTTTCCCTTTTGCACGAAATCGCTACCGACGCCGTCGTTCAGCGACGACGTCGGCTCGTCGCCTCGGTTTCGCAAATCAAACGCGAGCCCGTACGGCGCCACCGCTTCGCCGAGCGACGACAACTTCACACCGCCCACGCCGTCCGCGCAATCGATCACCACCGTCGCGCCGTGATCGTCGTCTTCGTCCTCGTCTTCGTCCCTCTCCGTCAGCGCGGCGTATCCCGCGGACAAGCGATCGTAATACGCGCGCTCCGAGTCGTCGGCGCCGACGTTCGCGCAATACACGTAATAGTGCAACTGCGGCGTCGTCGCGATCCCGCGATCGACGGCCTCGACGCCCATCGCGTGCACGCCCGCCAGCGTCGCGTCCGCGAGCGCGCGTCCGCTCTCTCGCGTGTCTCTCGCCACGAAGACGCGCGCCGACGCGTTCGCCGACGCCGCGTCCGCCGGCGCCGCCGTCGCCATCGCCTCTCGCAGCGCCCGCACCTGCGTCTCCGCGTCCCCGTCCTCGGCGTTCGCTAACATCTCCGCCACGCCCTCGAGCGCCATCGGCAGCGTCCCTCCCGACGGTTCCACGAGCTTCACGCCGTTATCCGACGCCGGGTTGTGGCTCGCCGTCACCACCATCCCCGTCGTCTTCCCCCCGTGCGCCATCGCTCGCGCCGCGGCGAACGCGCCCGCTCGAAAGCACGTCGATCGCAACGCCGTCGCCGTCGTTCGGAATCCCGCCGTGCCGTACGCGAACCGCGTCGGCGCCGATCGATCTCCATCGTCTTCGCGTCGCGGCTTCGCGTGCTTCACCGTCGCCTCGGCGTACGATCGCGCCCAGGGCTCGCGCGCGGCGTCCGCGGACATCGCTCGGCGTCGCGTCGCGTCGCGGCGCGCCGTCGTCGCCGCGCGGCGTCGCGTCGTGCCGAATCCACCCATTCGTCCATCCATCCATCCATCCATCCGTCGTCTTCCGCACAGCGCGACGCCGCGCGCGATGGCGACGGCGCGCGCGACGGCGCGCGCCGACGCGCGCGTCTCGCCCTCGCGCGCGCGCCGCGCGACGCGCGCGACGGCGACGACGCGCGGCGCGCCGGACGATTCCCGCGCGTTGGCGCCGACCGCGACGTTCGCGACGACGACCGCGTCGACGCGCGACGACGCCGTCTCGCGCGCCGCCGACGCGCTCGCGAGCGTCGACGCCGCGACGTGCGCGACGGCGCTCGCGCTCGCGTTCGTCACCGCGCGGTGGCGCGCGGCGACGCGAGAGCGGAGACGCTGGCGCGACGAGGCGCGACGACTCGACGAGGCGAACCAAGAGCTCGAGTGGCGACTCCGCGTCGCCACCGCGGAGAGCGACGGCGCGGACGACCTTCGCCGTCGTCGATCGACGCCGCGAGCGAGGCCCGCGAGCGCGCCCGCGACGTCGCCGCCGACGGACGCGCGCGACGTCCTCGTCGACGGTTTGCGCGCCGAGACCGAGGCGCTGCGCGCGGCGCTCGCGCAGGCGCGCGCCGCGCAGAAGTAGAGCCGTAGCTTAGTCGAAAATGTAGACACCGGACGCGCGTTCGGACGTCGATCGCGACGCGTCCGACCGCGGCGTCGTCTCGCGCGCGTCGAGTGAAATAAAACGCCCGCCTCACTGAAAACGCATACGTAACATGTGACCAAATCGGGACGGGTTTTCGTGACCGGCGCGCGCGCCAAAGCCCTAACGCGCGTGCGCGATCGGCCTTTCGCGACGCGCACGATGCCCGCCGCGCTCCCCGTGGTCTCCGTCCAAGGCGGCAACGGCGCCACGAGCGCCCTGCCCGAAGTCTTCCTCTCCCCGATTCGTCCGGACATCGTCAACGCCGTGCACACGGGGCTGAACAAGAACAACCGTCAGGTGCGGCGGAGCGCGACGCGACCGCGCGATGCGAACGAGGGCGACGCGTGGACGCGCGCGCGACGCGAACGAGGGCGCGGGAACGAGAGAGCGACGACTGACGAATGTGCGCGCGTCGTTTTTGCGATCGCGATAGGCGTATGCGGTGTACAACCGAGCTGGGTGCGTCGACGACGCGAACGCGCGATCCATCGCGACCTCGGCGGGCGTCTGAACCCTCACCAGAGAGGGTTTCGGAGGCGCGCGACGACGACGACGGCGCGGCGCGGTGCGAGCGAACTCGAACGAGAGACTGACGAAAGATCGATTTAAACGAACAGGCACCAAACTGCGGCTGAATCCTGGGGTACCGGTCGCGCCGTGTCTCGTATTCCGCGCGTTCCGGGCGGCGGTACGCACCGCGCCGGTCAAGGGGCGTTCGGGAACATGTGCCGCGGCGGTCGCATGTTCGCGCCGACCAAGGTGTGGCGCCGCTGGCACCGACGCGTGAACTTGAAGGAGAAGCGATATGCGGTGTGCTCTGCGCTCGCGGCGTCCGCCGTGCCGGCGCTTTTGCTCGCGCGCGGTCACCGCGTCGAGGGCGTTCCGGAGGTGCCGCTCGTCGTCGACGACAGCGCGAGCTCCATCAAGAAGACGGCCAAGGCGGTTGAATTGTTGAAGCAACTCGGTGCGTACGCGGACGTCGAAAAGGTCAAGGCGAGCCGTAACATTCGTTCCGGTAAGGGTAAGATGCGTAACCGTCGTTACGTCCAACGCCGAGGCCCGCTCGTGGTGTACTCTGAGGACAACGGCGTCACGCGCGCGTTCCGCAACATTCCGGGTGTGGAATTGTGCTCCGTCGACCGCCTCGGTTTGCTCACGCTCGCCCCGGGTGGACACGTCGGCCGATTCATCATCTGGACCAAGAGTGCCTTCGACAAGCTCGACTCCATCTTTGGCACTGCGTCCAAGAAGAGCGCGTCCAAGAAGGGCTGGAAGCCGCCGACGAACATCATGGCGCAAACCGACTTGGCGCGTCTCATCAACTCTGATGAAGTTCAAAGCGCCGTCAACGCGCCGAAGGTTGGTGCTACGCGCGCGCACGCGCCGCTCAAGCGCAACCCGCTCAAGAACAAGTCCGCCATGGAACGCCTCAACCCGTACGCCAAGGTCGCTCGCGAGATGCAAGCTCGCGCGCAGGAGGAGCGCTCCAAGGCTAAGGCGAAGAAGAGCGCCACTGCGCGCTCGGCGGTTGGCCAAAAGTTCTACGAATCCATGAAGGTGGACTCCAACTACGAAGGCGAACTTTTCGAAGATTTCGACGACTGGCTCACCCGCGGCGCGCCCGTGGTGCAAGGCGGCGACGACGAATAAGCGTCTTAGCAACGGACCATTTAGCTCGTTTGTCATTACGAACACACACCCTAATGACCCTAATGAAATTAAGAAACAGTCGCCAGCAGGCTGTGCGACCGCGCTACTTTGACTAACTCTCTAGATTATGCTACAAAAACCGTGCTACTACTAATCGCGGCGAGAAGACGGCTCAACTTCTCATCGCTCTATAACAAACGACGCGTTTGTCATCGGCGTTCGCGCCCCGGTAGCGCGCGAACGCTCGATCCGAGTGCGCGTGAGAGTGCCCTGAGCGCCGACGCCACGGAGGCGCTGGATGAGGATGTTTTCATCGCCTCGGGATCGAGCAGGAACGTCACCGCGGCTTCGATGTGTTCGACGCGCCGCGATACTTCGTCGCGCGCGCGATCATCGGTGGATGAAGCGCACTGCGCGAGGAATTTCGTCGCCGCGACGAGAAGTGCCCGCCCGCGTTCGCTCGCGCTTTCTTCCACGTAGAACGCGTTCGGCGCGAGCGCCGGCGTCGACGATGGGTCACCCCAACGCACGTCGCCGAGATCACACGACTCGCGAACGACGGCGGTTTCCGGAAGCGGCGCGAGCGCGTCGCTCAATGCGCGTTCCGCCTCTTTGCGCTCGAGAGCGACGGATTTGTCGTTCAGCTTTTGCGCCGTGGCGAGCACTGCCTTCAATCGCTCAATCTCAAGCGCGCGAGGCGAGCGATCTTTCGATTTTGAGAACAAATTGACCGACACTTGATTCTGCTCTCGACTCGCCGGCGACGCCAGAGCGGCGCGAACGAGAAACGATACCGATGCCGCGGCGTACGCTCGCGTCACGCGCCACACGGCGTTTGAATTCAACGCCGCGTCGAGCAAAATCGTTCTGTCCTGAACGTTCGGCGCGGTTCCGGTCACGGCGACAGAGATTGATGTGGGTACGTTCGTCACCGGTCTCCGCGGCTCCTGCGGCAAATCTTGCGCGCGCGCTCCGGGAAACGGAAAGCGCGCGCGAGTCGACGACGGTTTTTGCAGCGGTCGAGGATGAGGTTGCAATCGCTCCTGACGTTTTCGCTGCTTTGACACCGTCGTCGTCGTCGTCGTCGTCGAAGACGAGGTCGCGGATTTGTTCTCGACCTCGCGCGCCGCTCGTCGACCCCCAAATAGCGGGACCAAAATATCCGTCAACACTGCGGCGACGCTCGCCGTGGCGTGATGGTCGCCCGATCTCGTCGAGTCCGTGGCCTCGTGCACCATGACGATGAGCGGAAAGGCCATCGAACTCAACAACATAGAAGGCGCGATGGCGTGGCTTTCGTCTTCGTCGTTCGTCATCAAGTCGCACATGAATTCGACCGACGTGATGACTCGTCTCGCCGCGCACTTTTGCGGCGCTCTGAGCGCAGAGAGGACAAAGTGTGGAAGATACCGCCTCATCGCAACATCGCCGACGACGCCGAATGGTTTGTTACCGATTCCCTGTAACGCTTTCGCGAGGGATTCGACGAGCGAGCGCTCGCGCGCGCGTGAATTTGGAGTCCCAGTGATGGCTTCGAGGACGCCGAACGTGGCGATGGCGAGCTGTCGCTGTGTCACCGCAAGGACGCGCTCGTTTGAATCTCTCTGCGCCGTCTTCATCGCGTCATCGATGGCGCACAAATGCGCGCGAAAGACGTCTCGCTCGGACGCTTCCAAGTTCGTCGCCAGGAGCTCACCCAGAGGCGAACGTTCGTTTCTCGAACCCCAAAACCACGCCGTCGACGGAGGCGAGGGCGAAAGACGAGGAAGCGCGAACGTCGTGTCTTGATCACGAATATTTTCCGCCGACTGCGTGTCGGCGAGAAGAATTATCGAGGCACAATGTGTGGCCATCTCTCGAACTAAAGCGCCAATGATGCGCGCGTACGGCGCGTTTGACTCGTGTGAGCCGTCGCGTGCTCGAGTTTGCCGCTTGTACAGCCCGACACAGTGAGCAGGCAATGCGAGGGCGATGCGACGCATGGTAGAGACTACGCGCACGTCACTTTTCACATCCGGCTTGTTGAGCTCTTTCGTCACCAGTGTTGCGACCGCAGCGCGAAAAATACCCTCTTTCGATGTCAAGAGCGCTCCCGGTCGCTCGCCGGCGGCGACGACGTGAGATTCGCCGCCAATCTTCGTTTTCCCGCGTAACACCGCCGCAACGGCGGCGCCTCCTTTAGATTGCGACCAACCTACGGTCGGTACTGGAGAGGCTTGTTGATTCATTGTCAAAAGCTCGCTTCGCGCGCACAACGCAACGGCCAGCGGCGCGGCGCCGCCGGCGACAGAGTCCGCCGCAAACGCCAACCACGAGCACAACGTTAAGTCGAAGTCTTTCAAACCGTACTTATCCGAAAATGAACCAGGAGAATATATCGTTGCGAGAGACCTTGACGTGAACACGCGCTCTCGCCAATCACTTGACAGCGCACGCTTGTCAAGCGCGCCCAGAGTTTCGAGCCCCTCGTTTCTGCATTCGGTGGCGGCGCAGCCGAGTACAGCGAACGCCGTGGCCCATGCCGCGGACGCTTCGGCGATCACCGCTCCGTCGGCAAACGCGTGAGTGGTCCCTGGTATCGATGGTTCGAGCGCTCCCGTCATTTTTTGACAGTCGGCCAACGTTGTCATTGCTCGAACTGCTTCCTCTGCTGGTTTCGCTCGGCCCCATTCGCTGCTCGTCGCCCCGCGAGCAAGCCAAATTCCGAGGCATGTCGTCACAGCGCGCAGTAAGATGCACCGGGGTGCGGGGTCGTCTCTACAATTGATCTGCGATGCGAGCGAGGTGAAGATTTGCTTCAAGCAAAGCATGGCTTGATCATCCAGAGAAGATTGCGCGCAAGCGCGAAACAGTTCGATGTGGACGCTTGCGCGATGCTGGAGACGCAGCGCCGCTGGAGACAAAGGGAAGGTGTGTCCTCCCAATGCCCTGAATTCATTGTCGCTATTCTTGTACGCACACACTTCATCCGTGATTTTGCTCAAGCGAGCGTCGGGAAGCCATTTGCCGAGCTCGCGGCGTAAAACCTTGTGCTCGCACGCGCACTTTGCGAGATGATCGCCGAGCGCGCGATACAACGCCTCACACGCCGTACCAGTCACGAACCGAGCGTTTGCAGCTTTGAAGGACTCATCATACGGTCGCCACACCAAGGGCATGCACGCTTGACAACACGCAGCGGACTTTCGTGCCGTCAAGCGCCAGTCTTGCGCGGCGCCTGAATTCACACTCGCGCCGTGAACGAGTTTCCACAGCACTCGCACTGGATGTCTATCCGCCGTGCATCGCGGCCACCACGCGACAAGCTCTGCGATGCGCTCGCAAATCGCTTGCGTATACTCTTCCTGGCTGAAGTGTGTAGGCGGCACGATCCCGCTCTTGGGCTCTACTGGAAAGCTCGCGACGCGAGATTCGTCCAACAACCAACCGACGACAGCCCACGCCTGCGTTGCCCAATCCGTGCCCACTGCGTGTTCGAGTTGATAACCTTTGCTGTACCACAGCTTTGCGGCGATAAAGGTAAGTTCCCACGCCACCTCGAGCGATCTTGCGTGACTGCTGTCGTCGAGAAGCGTGTCTCGCTCGAGCTTGGCAGCCTTTCTAATCGTCTCGCGTTCGGCCTCCACCAATTTCGGTAAAGTCTCTCGAAGTCCCGTCCAAAGTCCATCAGCACGCTCGAGAAGTGCCATCGCGTGTCCCCAACCGTCTATTTCGTCCAGCGTCATCTCATTCGAGTCGCCTGGCGTTCGCGCTGATGCGCCGACGCGACCCACGCTCCGGCGACTGACGAAATCCTTCATCGCCTTTTCGAGCACGCGCAAGCCTTCTACTTTTGCTTCTTCCACCGCCGCAGTCCACTCCAAATCGTCGTCGTTGGAGCGTTCGAATGCAGCCAGCGTGGTGTTGTCAGCCGTCGTCGTCGGAGCTCGATCGCCGAAGACACGATGATCGAATTTCCACGGCGCCGCCGCCTTCGTGAACACCGTCGTAATTCGAGGTTGCGTCGAGTTGTCGCGAGCGAGCGCCGACTTGTTTATCTCCCCAAACGTCTGCGTCCGCCGTCCCGTCGAGTTGTCGCGCACCAACAGCACCGTCGGACTCACCGCCTCGCTCGGCGGAACGGCGCGACGCCGTCTCGCCGGCGACGCCTCAACTTCTCCGACGACGACGACGCCCGGTGACTCGCTTTCACGCACCGGCGAAGACGCGTGATCATGTGCCTCGTTCTCATCGTCATCGTCATCGTCATCAAAATCATCTTCATCCCACGAAACCGCCGGTCCTCGGCTCAAAACGTCCTCCACCGATTTTCCAAACGCCGTTCGTCTCACCATCCCTCGCTTCCCCTTACCGAATCGCTCGTTCACCACGTCCGCCACAGCGAACGATTTCACCCCTCGCGTCCGATCTTGACTCGATTCGCTGTGCAACGACACCTCACCGTCTGATATTTCAAATCCTTCCTCGTCCTCGTCGGCGGCGCGTTCGATTTCGTCGTCGCGTTCGCTCGCCGACCCATCATCCGTTCGTCCTCGCCCATTCGCCCGCGATCGATGCGCATCGATGAGCATGGTCGTGAGCGCGCCTCTCGACGCGTCGTCGTCGTCGTCCGCGTCCGTGTCGCTCGCCGCGACTTTCCAACGCGCCGCGGCGTCGTCGTCGGCGTCAGCATCGTCCCATTCGTCCCTCACGCGCCGTCGTTTCGCGTCCTCGCGCCCGCGCGCATCGTCGACCGCGTCGGCGAGGAACGCCTCGACGTCGCGCGCGTCGATTTCGGCGCTCGCGCGCGCGTTCGTCGCGTCGCGAAGCGGTTTTTCGCCGTCGCGGTGCCGCCGCGACGACGACGACGCGACGGCGCCGCCGACGCGCGCGTCCGCGCGCGCGCGCGAGGACATCGACGACGACGCGCTGGACGCGTTCGTCGCGCGTCGCCGCGAGCGACTCGCGAGCGAGGCGCGGTTTGAGGACGGACGGGCGCGGCGGGGACGCGGCGACAGCTCGGCGGCGTTTGAATCGCGGCGGCGAACGCGCGACATCGAGACGCGCGCTGTGCGCGCGAATGGACGCGACCTTGCGCGGGATCGGGTACAGAAACTTTGCGGTGCGTCCTGGATGTGCGATGGCGCGCGCGATGGCTGGGTGTTGATGATACATGAGGGACGCGTCGCGCGGCGCGTGGCGCGCGCGAATCAAAAGACGAAACCGCCGAGGATGATGAGCACGGGCCCGATCACGGGGAGGCGCTGCTGGATGCGTTCGAGTAAATCGTCGTCATCATCGTCGTCGCGAGATCTCCTCGCGACGGTGCGGGAAGGCTTCGATTTGGGTTGGGGTTTGGACTTGGCCGGACGCGCCGCGACTTTCGTAGTCGGCTTGGCGTGGCGCGCGGGCTTGGGTTTCGGTGCGCTCTTACGCGCTGGCTTGCGGGTGTCGGCTGGGCGACGATTGAGCCTGGGCATTCGCGCAGCGGCGCGGGTGAAACCACCGATTCCAGCGAGCGCGCCGCCTTGTTTGCGATCGATCGCTGCTGCGCCTTCGAGTCCGCCTTGACGCTTGGTCAGATAGCGGCGCCACACCGAGGCTTCGCGCCACGCGCACTCGGCGTGGGATAAACTCAACATGAAGACCAATTGTGTCGCCGCACGGACCTCGCGGAAGTTCATCGTGACTCTGTTCGTCGGTGGAGCCAAGGTGAAGCTTAAAATACTCGCGACAATGAGCGCCAACGCGCCGTTCTCCGCGTGCACCTCGCCCGTGGACATGAGCTCTATGGAAGCCAAGATGGCGAGGGCGTTCGTCGCAGGGTGCAATCGTCGCAGGATGCCGTTCACCCACGGAAATGCGTCGAGGAAGACGTCGTGGTTGATCATTCCATAGTGTTCGTGCGGAGCGCCGACGATGGCACCGCCTGGAATCGGCCACAAAGCGCCAATGAACGTCGCCAAACTCAGCGGCGGAACGATGGCGGCGGCGGCGTTGGCGATGACGCCTCGCGCACTATCAGTGTCGGTTCTTCCCATGGAGGCTAGGGTGGCGGGAAGCAGCAATGGTGCGGCACGACGAGCGATGGCTTGGGGAATCGCCACGCGTCGCATAAACTCTTCGCCGAGCTTCGCAGAGAGCGACAAGACGACACTGTGCGCCGCTTGAATACCGGCGTTGGCACACAGCGCCACAATGGCGAGTTTTGCACCACCACCGTGCGCTTTCTCGACACGCGCGCTATCTAAAGACTTCATGAACGCCTTTACGTGTCCAACCGCCACGGCTAAGCGATACATCTTCGCCCCGAATCCTCGTTTGGCGTTGAGCACTTTGTTGATGCCCTTTTCGTGTTGGCGGCGACGAATGAGCGTGTCCTCACCCGCCGCCCAAGCCGCGGCGCGACGCATCTGCTGCTCTAAATTTTTCCGCGTGCGTGCGCTCGCGGGCGAATTCGGGGGAATCCTCGTTCCGAGCGGCGTGCGCACGGGCGAAGGAGACCACGGCGCTGGCGATCTCGTCGACGCGCTCGACGTCGGCGACACGAACGGCTCGCTCTGCTCCGGCGACGCCACGCGCGCGAATCGAACATCTTGCTGCACCTCATCGCGCGCTTCGTCTCTACGATCGGCGACGGGAAATGACCATGAATCTTCCTTCTTCGCCTTCACCGCGACTTTCTCGCGCGGCGGCGGCGAAGGTTTCTTCGGCGTCGAATACGAAGCCTCTGAAAAATTTGGCGACGCCGCGGCAAACGACGCCTCGGGTACCGCCACCGGCGCCACCGGCGCCGTCGCCCCGACGCCCACACGCGTCGTTTCAATCCCGATCTCTTTCTCGCGCCAATTGAAATCGTACTCCATCGCCTCCTTTCGCCTCGCCTCTCGCGTCCCGACGTCCGCCGGCGCCGCGACGTTCCCGGCCGCCAAGGTCCCGATCGCCCCGATGCTCGTCACCACGTCCCGCACCGGGCTCCCACTTTCGGGCGCGTCCCAGTGATTCGCGTACCCGTGATTGAACGTCGTCTTCGGCTCGTACCGCGTCGCATCACCGATCGTACCGCCGCCGCCGCGTCCAGCCGCGTCTCGCCGCAACTGCTCCAAAAACGTAAACTGCGCCCCATCGCTCGTCGGTGACGACGTTTCGAACCGCGTGTGCGTCGTGGGTTTGTAATCAAACGTTCTCGACGCCGTAGACGCGCTCGGGGAGCTCGACGGGCGCCACGCGCGCGAATAATCGCTGTCGTTGTTTGTGCCGTTGGAATCCGTCGGAACGCCGCCGACGCGCACGGCGTGAGCGTTCGACGCCGTGTACGGCGACGCGCGATTACCCACGTGCGGTTCTCGCACGTTCTCGATAGTCACGTCGTCCGAGGTCGGCATGGCGACGGGCGCGGCGACGAATGACGCGGGGGGACTGAATCAATCCAAGAATGCAAAATTTGGCGCCGCGAATGAACGCAAAAGGTTTGATTCGACGCGAATGTTCTACGCCAAGGCTACGAAATCGCTAGAGCGGCGGGAAAACAAACGCATGAAATTTGATTTCGCGCGATTGAGCGCGTTTCGAAGCTCGCAGGCGAGGACTTCGAATAAAAGGACGCGACCTTCGCGCTCGCGGAGGGCGTCGAGCGCCACGCGGAATCGAGGCGTGGAGGCGAGCAGGGAGACGTCTTGGAGCATGGCGAAGAGCATGTGGATGGAGAGCGAGCGCGTGCGCTCGTCTGTGGCGAGCTGGCGGATGACTTTACGAATCACGGGCGAACCTTCGGGGTTGGCGAGTAATTTCTTCATCGAGTACGGATAGACCTCGGCCAAGATGTTGAAGTTCGCGTCGGCGGATTTTGCCATGCCTTCGAGCGTGCCCAACGCGCGTGCGTTGTTCAAAAAGTACGGCGGTAGGACGAACTTGAAGCGCGGAACCAAGGCGACGAGAGCGCCGAGGAGTTGGTCGAAACGCACGTTCGGGACGCCGCCGCCCTCGGGAAATTTCAGCGTGGCGTTTGCCGCGTCCTCGAGCGCCGACTCGAGCGCGCGCATCTCGCTCTCGTCCTCGAGTACTTCGGGCGGAATGAGCATGAGTTCGCCGAATAGTCGACCTACCGCAGCGTAATTGCGGCTGAAGATCAACAGCGCCACGGCGGCGACTAAACCATCGCGCACTTGTTGCGGCACCGTGGACACGAGACCGAAATCCAAGTACGCCAAACCGCCGTTGGGCAATTTTAAAATGTTCCCGCCGTGCGGATCGGCGTGCATCACCCCAGTCTCTATCAGCTGGCTCAGCGTGCACGAAATACCGAGCTTGACGTAGTGCAAGTCGTCCGCGTTCACCGCGCCCGTTCGCCCGGCGGTTAACTTTTCGCCTTCAATCCATTCCATGACGATGACGCGCTCGCCCACGCCGTACTTGTCAATCAATCGCGGCACCACGATCCCGGGCTTGGGCAACGATTTCGCCGCGCTGCCGTTCTCACCGTAAAGCGCGTTGAACTGCATCAAATTCGCCGCTTCGCGTCTGAAATCCATCTCTTCGTATAATCGCGAGCAAAATTCATTCACGGCGTCCAGCGCGCGCGCCTTCACCTTCCCCGTGCGCTCCACCGCGCTCGCTCCGAGCCGTAACAACGCCGCATCCGCGTCCACCATCTCCCTAATTTCAGGTCGCTGCACCTTTATCGCCACCGTTTCCCCGTCTAACGTCGCCTTGTACACCTGCGCCAACGAAGCCGCCGCGCGCGGCGCGCCCGCCGCGCGCACCGCCTCCGCGACCGCCTCTCCCTCCGCTCCCAGATCCTCCCGCACGATCTCCACCGCTCTTTCATCGCTGAACGCCGGCATGTCATCGCACAGTCCGCGCAGCGCTCGCGCCAGGTCTTCGCCCACGATGTCGCCGCGCGACGACAGCGCTTGCCCGAATTTCGCGTACGTCGGCCCGAGCGCGCCCACGGCCTCGACCAAACCTTCGCTCCTCGACGAATCGCTCGCGACGAACGCGACGCGCGCGCCCGCGCGTAAGATGTCGCCGACGCGCGCCAGCATCGCCGTCGGCATCGCCGTCGCTTCGCGCGTCCGATGTTTCGACGCTCGCGTGGACGCGTCCCGCCGATTACGTCGACTTCTTCGTCCGTTTTCGCGCGAGCGCGACCGCGCGCGCGTCGCGACGCGCCGTGACGACGCGACGCGACGCGCGCTGCGTCCCGCGGACGCGCTCGTGGACGCCGCGAGCGCCGCGCGCGCGCGCGCGGGCGCGAAAGCCATGACGACGCGACGCGAAGTGACGCGCCGTTCGGCACTCTCGCGCGCGTTCGCGCGTCGCGCACGGTTCGTCGCCGCCCTCGCGCGCGCGCTCGAGGTGGACGCGTAACGCGCGCGCGTCGTCGATCGACGCGCGGCGCGGACGGCGCGGCGCGGACGGCGCGGTGCGCGGATAAAGCGACGACGATGTTGTCCCGGGGCGTCGGCGGCGGCGCCGTCGCGCGCGCGGCGGCGCGCGGGCGAGCGAACGGCGCGCGAGGACGCGATACGAGACCGTGCGCGCGAGGGTTCGCCGCGGACGAGCGCGCGCGCGAACGCGCGGTGGTGGTGGCGGCGAACGCGGACGCGACGCGGCGCGGGACGAAGGTTATCGCGCGCGCGGCGAACGCGGCGACGAGTGGAAAGATAAAGAAGGCGGAAGAGGCCAAGGTGAAGACGAAGACGAAAAGTTTGATGAAGAAGGCGCTGCGCGTGGAGGCGGTGAGCGCGGTGGTGGAGGCGGAGGTGGAGCGAGAGACGGCGTCGACTCGAGGGTCGGCGGCGAGCGCGGGGATGGAACCGAAGCCCATGATCGCGCCTAGGGTGAGTAAACAGGCGAAAGCGAAGGATGGAGTGAATGGGAAGAACGGTGAAGGGGCGACGAGCGGTGAGGGGACGACGCGGCTGACGAGACCGAAGTTTGCGGACGAGGCTTCGTTTACGCGCCGGCGTAAATTTCCAGTGTTGTTTTACAGTAAAGAGATGGAGCCTTTGGCGCGAAAGGTGGCGGAGGAGAGCGATCACATGGTCGAACTCGGACAGATTGATTGGCGCACATTCCCCGATGGGTTTCCAGACTTGTTCATCAACGACGCGTACGATGTGCGGGATCGGCACGTGGCGTTTTTAGGCTCGTTTCACACGCCCGAGGTCATCTTTGAGCAGTTGAGCATCATATACTCGCTGCCCAAGATGTTTGTCGCATCGTTCACGCTCGTGCTGCCGTTTTTTCCAACTGGCACCGCCGAGCGAGTGGTACGCGAGGGCGAGGTCGCCACCGCGGTGACGTTGGCGCGGATTTTGAGCAACATTCCGCCCTCGCGCGGGGGCCCGACGAGCACCATTATTTTCGATATTCACGCTCTTCAGGAGCGATTTTATTTCGGCGACAGCATCTTGCCATGCTTCGAAAGCGGCATACCGCTCTTGCTCGACCGTCTGAACGAGCTCGAAGACTCGAACAACGTCGTCATCGCGTACCCAGATGAGGGAGCGTACAAGCGATTCAACTCCTTCTTCGCCGCCGCGGGTTACGAGTGCATCGTCTGCACCAAAGTCCGCGAAGGCACCAAGCGCATCGTCAAGCTCAAGGAAGGCGAACCGATCGGGCGCCACGTCGTTATCGTGGACGATCTCGTACAATCCGGTTCCACCCTGATCGAGTGTCAAAAGCTCTTGCACCGACTCGGCGCCGCCAAGGTGTCCGCCTACGCCACTCACGGCGTTTTCCCCAATGCCTCCTGGAAACGTTTCACCTCCACCGGCGCCGGCGGCCAGGGTTTCTCAAACTTTTGGATCACCGATTCGTGTCCACAAACCGTCGAGGCCGTTCGAGACGCCGAGCCGTTCGAGGTATTATCCCTCGCCCGCGCCATCGCCGACGCCCTCGAGGTGTGAGATCCGACGCCTCGTTTCCTTAGCAATCACCCCCTCATCGTTCCCGTTCGCGCGTCGCGCGCTCGCGCTCGTTACATATTCTTATTCGTGTCATTCGTGTCAATTTCACGCATTTATTAGCATCACGCGTTCGTTTCGCCGCGGCTCGTCCGTCGCGTCGCTTCGTCGGTTGGTTGGTGCTTTTGCTGACGAGGATTCCCGATCGCGCGTCGCGCGCGTCACACCCGCGCGTCGCGCTCTGACGCATCATGCGCGCGACCGCCGCGCGAATCGAACCGTCGCGCACCTCGTCGCGCGTCGCGAACCGCGCGCGCGCGCCGCGCAGGCGTCGCGCGCGCGCCGCCGCCGCGTCAACGATCGGGGACGCGAACGAAAGCACCGACGCCGCCACGGCGTACGACGTCCTGGGCGTCCGGGAAAACGCGACGAAAGATGAGATACGACGAGCGTTCCTGCGAATGAGCAAGACGCATCACCCGGACGTGCGACAGACGAGCGGTGATGACGACGGGATGATGGCCAAGGTGAATTCGAGCTACGCGGCGTTGTTCGACGACGACGCGCGAAGGAAATACGATGCGAAACTGCGGGAATCGAGGAAAGGAGATGCGAAAATGAAACGCGCGAGCGATGGGGTGACGGCGACTTACGAAGGGTTGGTTGGACCGATCGTGAACGATGAGATGGCGTCGCTCGACGTGTGTAAAATTGAAGAGTGCGCGGTGGACGCGGCGGCGGAGATGATCGATTCTATACGACAGTGGGCGAGGACGTTGGCGTTTACGAGCGAATTACCGTTGCCGTTGCCGGTGAGTGTGGACGATTTGCCCACGGGCGCGCGGCTGGCGTTCATGCGGTACGATTCGAGCCAAGGATTGCGAGAGGCGGGAGCGTTGAGACTCGAGGTGCTCGAAACGAGCGAGGGCACCAAGGTTTCGGTGTCTCGATCATTCGCGAAGGCGTCTCGCGCGGCGAAATTCGAAATTCCCGGCGAAGGGCGTGTGATGTCAGCATTTATGCAGGAGTTTAAGTTTCTCCTCGGCGAAGACGAGAAGAGAACGAGGAAAGTCGACGAGGCTTCAGACGACGACTTTGTGAGCGCTTTTAAAAGCGCATTTGCGGCGTTCATCTTACCAGGTTTGCCCATGTTTGGTGCCACTAAGAGCGCGCCGGGTGGCGCGTATAACGCGTACAATTTAAAGCACGACGCCAAGCACATCGATTAAGCCAGCCAGTACAGTAGTTACAACAGTGTAGAGCGTTTTTTCAATCACAGCGCGCGCAAATCTTTACCTAAAAATGTCACCCACGCGTCGTCATTTGCACCACATCCGCCACGACGTCTTTGTACTCCCCGTATTTATCCAGCGCTGTCGATGCCGCCTCTTTGAGCCTTTTCCTCGTCGGAACTGGCCCCCAAAAGTAGCCACCAAAGCCAAGGAACGCGCAACGGTCGCCAACGTAGACGACGCGCGCCAGCATCCAATCCTCGCTCGTCACCGCGCTCGTCCCTCCAGCACCTCCAATCGCCGACGTCAACTTTCCCCACACGCTTTTCGCAGCTTTACTCGTCCCAGCGGCGACGAGGTCCTCGCCGATTGTCGCCCGCGCGAAGGCGCGATACCACGCGCCGACTCTCCCGACCGTCCCGCGCTCGTCCGTTTCCCGTTTCCGCAGTCTCTCCAAGTGTCGCTCGAAAAATCTCGAGAAATGCTTTTCGCTCGTGTACGGCTTCGTCGCCGCTGCGAACGCGACAGCGCCCGCGGCGATGGCGAGAAGTCGCGTCTGCGCGCTTCTCCTGATTATTCCGAGTTCGTTCACAAACTCCCTCGTTATGGCGCGCGAGCGAAGTAACATCGCCGAAGAGACGACGTCGAGCTCGGTTTTCACCTTGGTCGTCGCCAACGCGAGCGCCAAGGCGAAGGCGATGCGATGGTACGGCGCAAGATCGTCTGGCATTGGGTCGCCTCGGAGTGACGCTACGCGGCGACGCGCAGAGCTAGATGTTGATGAATACATAATGCGACCGGCTAAGGATTACAAGCGCTTGACTGAGGAGAATTCGACGCCGCGATCGGTCCACTGACTGCGGAGCGACGCGAGCGTGCGCTCGAGGATATCATCGTCTGGCGCCGCCGACGGGCGGAAGACGCGCTCGCCGTGCGCCACGGCGACGGCGGCGCTGAGATCTCGAGTCGCGCTCGCATCGATCGTGCCCTCTGGACAGATAACTTTTTGCACGAACGTCGCTTCGTCGACGAAGTCAAAGTGGCCGGCGCCGCACGAGATACCCCAGGGTGGGTGGTCGCGCGCGACGGCGCCGCTCGGCGATGCGGCAAAGAATTCGGCAAAGTTTGACTCCGCGGGCGCGCATTCGCCACCGTTCGCGCCACCCACGATCGCCACGGGCGGTACGGCGGATGGATTCACTTTCATAGCCGCCAACGCGCTGGGGTAGCCCACGCCGAGCGGCGCGTACACGGTATTATCGACGGGATCGAGCAAGCAAATCGCCTTAATGCGTTTGTCTCGCGTCGCTTGGAGCATGGAAATCTTCCCTCCTCTGCTGTGCCCGATCAAGTAAACCGCCTCGGCGTCGGCGTAAGGCGATATCAGTACGTCTGACCCCACCCAAGATATCAAATCGTCCAAAATCGCCGTGCTCAGTTCGTCGTCCAGCGACCCTCCCGCGACGGATTCCGTCTTCGTGTACGTCACCACGACGTAACCCCACGAACACAATCTCCGCGCGATCGACGCGTACGCGTCGCCATCGATCAAGAACCCAGGGGTGATTATCGCCACCGGATACGGCGCCTCCATCGCGTCGTCCTCAGCCCGCGATCGCGTCGCTCCGCGCTCGACTTCGCCCAGCGGAAACAGCGCGTCCGGCGACACCTCCACCCTCGGCACGTACACCTTGATCCTACTCAGGCAGCTCAGCCCCGTGCACGATGGAAAGCACTTCGCGCACGTGTGTTCGAGCTGCGGCAGCACGCGCACGCGGTACGGTCCAGGCAGCGCGTAGTCGACCGCCGCGCTCGTCGCGCTCGCGTCCTCGTTCGCGTTCGTTCCCATCGGCACCAGCGCGCTCGCCCCCATCGCGAGCGCCACCGCGCGTCGTCCCAGACGCGCATCATCCGCGCCCGCGCGCGACGACGTGGACGCGCGCGCGCCGCTCGTCGTTCGACGCGCTCGACCTCGGTCGTCCCGTTCGCGAGATTCGTCTTCAAACTCCTCGCGCGACGCGCGCGCGCGTCGCGACGCCGACGCGCGACGTCCGCGACGCGGCGAGCATCGCGCGCGAACCGTCGACGCGGTCGGGCGCGCGCGCGACGCGACGACGCGCGACATCGAGCGCGTTTCGAAGCCGCCGCCGATGAGTGACGACTCGTTCGTCACTCTTCGCCGCGATTGCGTCGATATCGAGCGAACGCGATCGCGCGCGTCGAAGCGAGGCGATAGGTATCGATCGTCGACGTCGATTGGCGTCAGAGCGAACCGCAAAGGCGCGCGCGTCGCGAGAGAATCGCGGTTGAAGCGCGATGCTGTACCTCATCGGCCTCGGCTTGGGAAATGAACGCGACGTCACGCTGCGAGGGCTGGACGCGATCAAGCGCTGCTCGAAGGTGTACTTGGAGGCGTATACATCCGTCTTGGGCGTGGACGTGCGAGCGATGGAGGCGCTGTACGAGAAACCGGTGCGAACGTGCGATAGGGCGTTCGTCGAGCAGGGCGTCGACGCGGTGCTGGACGAAGCGTTGAGCGAAGACGTCGCGTTCTGCGTCGTCGGTGATGCGTTCGCGGCGACGACGCACTCTGATTTAGTGCTGCGAGCGATCGAACGCGGAGTGGCGGTCAGACCGGTGTATAACGCGAGCATCATGAACGCGGTGGCGGGCACCGGGTTGTCGCTGTATAATTTCGGCAAGGCGGTTTCAATTTGTTTCTTCACGCAGACGTGGAGGCCAGACAGTTTTTACGATTTGATTCGAGACAATCGGAAGAGTGGGGCGCATACACTGTGCTTGTTGGACATTCGAGTGAAGGAACCGACGGTGCGAGCGCTGTGTAAGGGGATCGAGGAGTACGAGCCGGCGAGATTCATGACGGCGGCGACGGCGGCAAAGCAAATGTTAGAGGTGGAGGAAAGTCGGGGAGAGGGCGTGTACGGTGAGGACACCATGTGTGTCGCCGTTGCGCGCATCGGTCAGGATGATGAAAAGATTCGTGCGTGCACGCTCGGGGAGATGCGTCGCGTGGACATGGGCGCGCCGTTGCACTCGCTCGTGCTCGTCGGCGACGTCATGGAGATCGAGTCCGCCATGTTAGCCACGCACGCCGTCAAGCCCGAAGACTTTTACGACGGAGATGCACCGTGTCAAATGCTCGACGGGTAGCGCACACTGACCGATTGTAGATTAGCCATTCTTTTGATATTCAACAATTCTCTCAACGACTCGCGACTAATCACATCTTATTCGCTGTCTCGCGTTTAACTAAACTCACGCCCACTGCTGCCCTCCTCGCGCGCGTCGTACACTCTCTCGCCTCATTACACTATAATTCACATCGTTCGTTCCCTTCCCTTACGTCTCTGCTCGTCCGTTCGACCCAATCACGGCGTGGACGTCCTTCCCCGCGCGCATTCGCTCGCGCATCGTCTCAAACACTTCTCATTCCATCCTGGCACCCCGTGTCCCGCCGTGCACGCCACCCGCGCGCACGCGTCGACGCATGCGTCCGTCGCACTCATCCCGCACGTCGTCACGCACGTGTGCATGAGTTCCGCCTTGCCCAAACCACCGAGCTTGGCCATCAAACGATCGGACGCGCAGACGCGCTCGCACGCGAACGACACCTCGTTCTCGTCCACGACGCCTCGGCGAAGCTCTTTTTGCGAGTTTTGACGCGTGTTCAAGAAGGTTTTAGTCGCCACGGCGACGGCGGTGGCGGCACCGATGGGAGCGGCGATGAGGGCGAGCTGGACCATCGCGGCGCGGCGCAGAGTGCGGCGAAAGTGAAGGAAGAATTGAGGACTCGGGCGCGCTGATTCGGGCGTCTGCAAAGAGGCGAGTTAGATAAAATTACATGTCGACCGCGTGCGCGGTTCAACGGGATTTTGCGAACGTGGGGGGATGGAATCGTTCGTACGCTGAGCGACGGTTTAAAGGATGCCGTTCAGAATGCGTTGGTAAAAGTCGTACTGACGCGTGCTCCAGGCGTCGATGGAGTCTGAAATCATGCCCAGTACCGTTTCCACACACTGTTCTTCGCTTAAAGCGAGGTTGAAGCGTCTTCGGAGTTGCTTGATGACCTTCGGTCCGGCGTTGAAGCACGGACAACCGCTGGCGCCCATCATTTCGACGAGCAATACGATGCGCTCGGCGTGTTCGCGAACGGCGAGGTAGCCCTGGATGCACAGAGCCTTGTACGCGTCGAACGCGTCCGAACGGCTGCCTTCAACATCGCTGTCCATGACTTCCAAGTATTCTTTCGTGAGCTTGAACGGGCTCGATTCAAAGTTTATGCCGCCGGGAGACGTGGAGAGCATGAAATTGAAGTCGATGTGTATCAAGTGTCCATCGTCGTGCAGCAAAATATTGCCGTTGTGACGATCCTTTACTTGCAACAAGTAGGTAAGGATGGAATATCCCGCCAGTGATTCGACGAAGTTATTCTGCGCCTTGCGGAATTCTGGCGTACCAACACCAAACTTTCGCTCAAAGTGTTCGCGCAGCGTCGTGCCGCGTTGCGATCGCGACTTCAACGCGTGCACGCTCGGCGCATCCGTCACCGCTTCAATCAACGCACTGTGCGTGTTCGTGGTCAAGATGTCAAAGTCTCGAATCCAGCATCGAACACCGGCGGTGCGATAGATTTCTGCAAACGTACGAACGAGTTGCAGCGCCAGTAATTCTTGCCTGCAATTATCGCCGGCCTTTATGATGATGGGCTTTAGCCCCCATCCAGGCAGATTTCCATACGGTGATGAGTGTCGAATACGCTCGCGCTTGTCAGCCCACAATTCGCCCAATCCACCCGCGCTGCGCTTGTGCGGGGAAGATGTGAGCGCTGCGCCCACTCCAGTCGCCGTGGGAAGCGAAGTGACGTCAAAGGCGTCCTTCTCCGGAGCCCACGATGTGCGGTTCACCTGAGCTGCCATCTCAATCAAACCAATTTCTGATGGTTTACGTTGGTGCGGTGATTGCGTAATGTCCATGTGACCTTGCGTGGCGACGACGTGCATGACGACGCTTTCGCTGTGCTCATCCGCCGTGAGGACGACATTGACGAGCTCGTCCGCGAGAGAGTCCTCTGTGCTAAATGAATCAGTCCCCGCACCGTCTATCGTCGGTAAGTCCCCGTAAGCTTTGTCTAGCGATCTACGAATACGTTCGCGCGAGTTGATCGTGAAATCATCTCCCACAGGATAGAAATCTTCAACGGTTGGAAGGCCCGAAGACTCGGCAGACGATGTAGCGTTGTGCATCTCTTCTTGCGTCGGATTGGAGCTCACGACTTCTAAACAGACGAGGTACGGCGCCTTCTCGCGACTATTCAACAGCACAGCCTCTTCCCACGGTACGCGAATCACTCGCTCCATCTCGCCGTGGCCCATCGGAAACAAGATTCCGGTACCCTTGTCGGTGTGGCGAAAGCGCTTGTTCATCTGCGCCAACTCTCGACGCAAGATACTTTGACGATTTTCGAGCGGAAACACCTTCGACAGCTTCAACGAAAGCTCGCACAAGTCATCCGTGAGCTTCATCGTCGCGTCGAACGTTTTCCTTCGAAGATTCAACGCCTTGGCTCCATCCTCAGCCGGTAACCCCTTCGTTCCGCACACGCCAAAGAGCGACGACAATCCACCCGAGGGTGATCGTAATCCCGCATCTTTCGTCTTGCCCGGTGACTTCTCTTTGTCTTTGTGATGATCTCTATTCTTCTTGCCCGAGTCTTTTCGCGAACCGGAGGGAGAAGACCGAAAGGAGAGCGCTCGCGAGACGCCGGCGAGGAAACCTCCCGCGGCGGGCGGCGACTCCACCCTCTTCCCATCGAAGCCATCGCTCGATCTTCGCCCCGGCGACTTCGCCATGCCGAATATTCGTCTCGGTGGCGTCACGGGTTCCGGAGTTGACTCCGCGGGCGCTCCCGTCCGCCCGTTCCTCGGCGGACTTCCTCCTCGCTCCGTCGTCGCCGTCGCCGCCTCCGTCCCCGCGCTCTCCCCTCCCATCGGCACCCGCTCCTCAAACGGCGCCGGCCACGTCCCATTCTTCACCGCTTCCCTCGCGCACTCGTCCCTAAAATCCAACACCGCCTTGGACTCCGCGCTGTCCCCCGCCGCCGCCGCCAGCAACCAGCATATCTTTGTCGCCAGCCGCAGCGATCGTCGACTCGTCATCACCATCATCCTCTCAAAGCTCGCCAGGTGTCCCGCGTCGCTCCCGCGCTCGTTCGTCTTATTTTCCACCGCGTGCACCCACATCGTGACCATCTGGCTCAGGTACCGCTCCAGCGCCTCGTCCGACGTCTCTCGATACAGTCTCGCGCACAGGTAGTCGCTCACCCCCGCGTGTTCGCGTCGCTCCCACAGGTTCGACACCGCGATCCACGCGTCGAATCGCTCGAGGTGTTGAAAGTAATCCAGCAGCACGCGCGCCCGCTCGCGCTCGCGCGCGATCGCGCTCGCGTCGTCGCGCGAGGTCGTCGAGACGCGCGCGCCCGAGTCCCCATCGCGCGCGACGCCGACGCGCGCGTCGTCGTCGTCGCGCGCGCGCGCGAGGGCGTCCGCGCGCGCCGCGCCGCGCGTCTCGCTGTCGACGAAGCGTTCGAGGGAGTCGGCGAGCCAGGCACCGCCGCTCTCGTGCCGGGCGTGCCGCGACGCGCGATCCATGGCGACGCCGGCGAGTGCGGAGACGCGAACGCGATCGAACCTCGATCGCGCGCGCGTCGATCGCGTTTGAAATTCAATCGTCACGACGTCGATCGACGATGGACGCGATCGAGGTTCGATCGAGATCGAGAGGTCGAGACGCGAGAGCGACGCGACGGAGACGCGAGAGGCGCGCGAGGCGCGCGCGGGAAGGGCGGGATTTCACTGGTGTTACAGGGATGATGGGTTCGGTGATGATCGTCGCCGGCGAATCGATCAACCGGGATAGGTCTCGGTGAGCGCGGATAACGTCTTCGGTAAGCCGACGAATTTCAACTCGCCCCACTGTCGCCACGCGAAGGCGCACGTTAAACAGTTGAGCACGATGGTCGCCGCGGCGAAAATCAGGGAAACCAAACTGTAATCTGCGTTTTTGCACACGTAATAATCCGAACTCAATACCACGGACGCGCACTCGGTGATGGACATGACGACGAACGTCGCCATGGCCGCGGTGAACAGCGCGTAGGACGCGAACTCCGTCCCGGGCGGCGGCGCCTTGCGAATCACGTACATCGCGATCAAGATCACCGTGTACGCCCAGAATCCCGCGTACACACCGACGACGCCCTTAAATTGATAAAACTTCGTGAATCCACACCCCGCTTCACCGCAGTCGTTCAGCGTGCTCAGCTCCGGCCCCGCCAGTCCCTCGGTTTGTTTCGCCATGAACGAAAACGTCGTCAACGCCATCAACTGTTCGTTCGTCGTCGTCGTCGCGTCCTAGGTCAGTCTCCGCGCGTGCGAGTTCACCGTCGCGTCGCGTCGCGTCGCGTCGCGTCGCGTCGCGTCCCACGCACGCTCTCCACGAGCAACGCTCGAAACTTTGGATTCTTCATCAGCCTGTGATTCATCAGCGACGTCCCCTCCACGCTCGCTCCCACGCGTTTCAGCAGCGGTTCCCGCGCTTCGTCCGACGCCCCGGGCGCGTCGTCCATCGTCTCATCGCTCGCCATCCCGCGATATCCCTCGTCGTCGTCGTGTCGTCGTCTGAAGCGACGGCTCAACACCTTCGAGGTGTTGAGCCGTCGATCCATCGATCGATCGATGCGCGATGCGATCGACGCTTTGAGTTTCGTTTCATATCGTCGATCGACTCCGCGAGGTTCGACGCGACGCGATTTCATCGTTCGACCGCTCGAACGTTTGCGGCGACGGCGCGGCGCGCGCCGCACACCTCCGCGCGCGGAGGCGTCACCGCGCGCGCGCGTCGTCGATCGCGCGCGAATCCGCGAACGCGTCGCGCGCGCTTCCCGACGCCGCCGATCGCGCGCGCGGCGCGGCGTCGCGTCGAATGCCCCCGTCGACGACGCTGCTCCGCGCGCGCGATCTCGAGCGCGCGCTCGCCGAGCCGTGGCCGAACGCGCGATGCGCCACGGCGCTCGACGACGCGATGATCGACGCGCTGAAAAATCGGTTCGCGATCATGACGCCGTTCGCGAGGCGCGGGGCGGTGTGCGCGGCGATGTTGGCGTCGAAACGCGCGACGAGCGCGCGCGCGATCGCGACGTGGCGGGACGTCGCGGCGGGAGACGCGGATGAGTGGGTGCGAGCGATGGCGCGGGCGATGGATGAAAGCGGGGAAAGATTCGATTGCGACCGATTCGCGACGGATGTGCCGGTGGTGCGTGTGCGAGCGATGCGCGAGCGAGGGGAATGCGACGAGAATTCATTCGGGAAGGCACCGTGGTGTGAATGAACCCTAACGCGAAGGACGCGGGAAACGACGCGGGAAACGACGCGGGAAACGATTACTGACGAATGAACGCCGCGGTGTTTGGTAAACTTAGGTGAATACCGCCGTGCGGGCGATAAAGGAGACGATTGCGAACGCGGGGGAGGATGGGATGACGCGAAGACCGCGCGCCGACGCCTACCTGACGATGAAAGAGCCGACGGCGCATGGACACTTCACGCTGAGAGAACGGCGCGAGCCGAAGAAGCGGCCGATGAGTGCGGGAAGTCGAGGTGCAACGATCGCGGGCGATGGTTCGTCGCAAGTGAATCGCGCGCAGGCGAACATCTTTGCGCCGTCGCGCAAGCCGACGGCCAGCGGAGGCGCTTCGTTTTTGCGCGACACGGGTCGATCTGGCAGTGTCGGTGCCGCGCGTTCGCGAGTCGGTGGCGGCATTCCTCGTCCAGGGGCGAAGACTATGGTCATCGACGTCGCCGAAGCCGCGCAACTCGGCGCTACTTCGCAAATCGACGATCCTCTCCGAGCGCAAGCGCAGGAGGAACGCGATCGCAAACGTCAACGAGAAAAGGAGGCCAAGGAGCAACGCATGCAGAGATTGATGCAAGAAATCGAGGCAAAGAAACAAAGGGAATTGACGAGAAAACGCGAACGCGACGAAGAAATTTTGGAGAAGAAGAAGGCTTACCGGGCGGAGATTGAAGCAAAGCGCGCGAACAAGCGCGTCGCTTCCATCGCCACGCCGTCGCCCACGGACGAACCGGCGACGTGGTGAATAGTGACGGAATAGTAACAAAAAAGACACAGAGTATCCGCTTGCGCGCATTCGTGCGCGCAGCGCGCTCACATGACTGCGCATTCGTGCGTGGTTTGTACAAAAAAAGCCGACTCCCGCGTCGGAGCAAAAAAAATTGATAAGCGCTCGAGCGAGCGCGACGAAGAAGCGAGCCAACTTCGTCGTTCGAGCGTGGAGTACACTACGATAGCTACCCCCTAGCGAACGATCGTCTCGATCGTTCGATGAAATTCAGAACCAACCAGGAAACCGGAGAAAAATCAAATCGTCCCGCGTCTCGCCCGCTCGAGGCCCCCACGTCGTCGCCCGCGCGCTCCGGTGACGTCACTTCAACGCGTCATCTTTCGTTCGCCATGTTTCGCGCCGCCCTGCGACGCGCGTCGACGCACGCGAGCTTGAACGCGCGCGTCCGCGGCGCGTTTCGCGCGCTCGCGACGTCGGCGACGCAGAAAACCGGCGGTATTTACGAAGTGCGCACGTACGACATCGAACCGTCGCGACTGGATGAATACCTCGCCATGTGCGCCGACAGCGCGAACGAACGCAAAAAAGTGACGAACGAAGGTTTCGTCGGATTCTTCGTCACGGAGCTCGGCGGTGACGCGCACGAGGTGACGCACGTGTACCGATACGACGATTACGACGCGCGAGACGACGCGCGAAACGCGATGAAGCGGAGCGAAACGTGGACCGCGTTCCTGAAAGCGTCGAAACCGATGGTGAGACGACAAAAGAGCGAGATATTCTTAGAGGCGACGAAAGCGACGGCGAGCGCGGGAATGGAGGCGAACGATGTGCTGCGACGGGCGCGCGAAGGGAACGGAGGACGCGCGGACGGCGTCTTCGAGTGGCGGCGGTATCAGCTCGAGTTGGGATACAACCCGATCCCGAAGCTCGTCGACGCGTTAGCCAAGGGACTGCCGTCGAAATTAGCGAGCGATCGAGACGGGCGCGGGGAGTTGGTGTGGATGGGATACAGCGACGTGGGGAAATTGAACCAATTCGTCGAGCTGTGGCGATACGACTGCTATCAGGATCACATAAAGGCGCGCGAAGCCGCGCGGTCCGCCGATGCGTGGCGCGCGGCGATCAACGAGATCGCGCCTATGGTTCAAATGTTTGATACGCAGCTCATGCGACCAGCGGCGGCGTCGCCGATCAAGTAAACCGTCGTCGTTGTAATTTTTAATTCGTTCGTTTGTCGTCGCCTCGACGCCGCCGTCGCGAGCCGTCGGCCGTCGCCGCGCGTCACAGCGCGGCGCTCCATCGCATGCGCGCGACGACGCACGCGACGACGTCGATCGCGATGCAAGGAACTAACGGCGCGCGCGACGCGACGGCGACGGCGCACAACGGCGGCGCACAACGACGCGCGGCGACCGCGCCGGCGCACGCACAAGATGGCGAAACCGCGACGACGATGCGGACGACCGAAGGCGCGCGGCACCGCGTCATCTTCTTCGACTGCGACGATTGCCTGTACAAGAACGATTGGCGCACGGCCAACGTGCTGACGGCGAAGATTGAGTCGTACACGACGCAGAGGTTGGGTCTGCGAGACGGCGACGCGTACGCGCTGTACAAAAAATACGGCACGTGCCTAAAGGGATTGATGGAGGAGAAGTACCTGGACACGCAGGAACACTTGGATGAATTTTTACACTACGCGCACGATATACCGTTGGATATTGAGCGAGACGAGAAGCTTCGAGCGATGCTGCTGAAGATTAAGACGCCAAAGTGGGTATTTACGGCGTCCGTCGCGGCGCACGCGCGGCGGTGTTTAGAGAAGTTAGGAATCGATGATTTATTCGAAGGAATCATAGACGTTCGCGCGGTGGGGTGGGAAACGAAACATTCGCCTCGAGCGTACGAAGCGGCGATGCGAATCGCGGGCGTGGACGACCCGTCCGATTGTCTGTTTTTGGACGATAGCGTGAGCAATATGCGCACCGCGCGCGAGGTCGGATGGACGAACGTGCTGGTCGGTACGCACGCTCGAGATGGAGGAGAGCTCATCACGTGCGATCATGCCGATCACATCATCGCCACCGTGCACGAGTTCGAGGCGCTCATGCCAGAACACTTTGACGAAATCGAAGACGCGGCTCCGGGCAAGCGCGAAGAGGACGCCGTGCCTGGAGCGCCCAACTGACGTCGCAGACGAACGAGCGACTGAATGAGTGAGCGACTTAACTTACTAAATATATTTGAATTGATAACAAGAAGCCATGGCGGTGCGCATGCCTTTCGCACCTCACTCAAGCGCGCGCCTTCCCAAAAGTCCGCGAGCGCGACGCCGCCGCACTTCACCTCGCGCCCTCGAACGTGCCCCACGCGCGCGCCTCGACGATGGATTGTTGCGCACGCGTCGACGCGCGCGTATCCGCGCGCGAGGCACCCTCGCACGCGCGAACGCGACGCCTTCGTCCTCGCCACCATTTTTCGGCAAGCTCGACTTTGACGCGTCGCACGCGCGCGCGCGTGGCGTTCGCGCGCGCATCGAGCGACGACGGCGTCGCGAGTGACGTCGTTGGAGTCGTCGTCGTCGATCACGGCTCGCGCCGCGCGGCGTCGAACGAGCAGCTCGAACGGTTTGCGGCGCTGTACGCGACGGCGACGGGACGCGCCGTCGTCGAGCCGGCGCACATGGAGCTCGCACCACCGACGATCGCAGATGCGTTCGAGCGGTGCGTCGAACGAGGAGCGAACGTGGTCGTCGTGGCGCCTTTTTTTCTGTCGCCGGGACGACACTGGCAGGAGGACATACCGAGACTGGTGGACGAGGCGGCGGCGGCGCACCCTGGGGTGAAGTATTTAATCTCTGCACCGATAGGGTTGCATCCGCTTATGGCGGAGGTGATCGATTCGCGTTTGAGGCATTGTTTAGCGCACGTGAATGAAGGTGGACCAGAGTGTGATGTTTGTGCGGGGTCAAAGTTTGGGTGCGAGCTTCGGCGAACGAGTTAGCGAGAGCAGAAATAGCCGACGGCGTTTGTCGTTACATGTTCTTTCCTAGTAAGCGTAAGCGTAGCGCAGATGTACAAAAAAGATGCGAATTTATTTTTTTTTCTATTTTCTTGCCGCGTGGTACAGCTCAATGTAATCCAACGCGGGTCTGTTCCATGAGAAATCGCACGACATGCAGTTTGCTTGCAAGGCGTGGAATTTTTCTATGTCGTTGTAGAACAGATCAATGGCACGGTTCAACGCGTAGTCAATATCGTGCGCTTCTGTACCGTCGAACTGAAATCCATTCGGTGTCATTCCTTCCCATTCAGCCTTGGCGTGATCGTGATCGTAATCAAATACAGTGTCCGCGAGACCGCCCGTACGACGAACGACGGGAACGGTGCCATATCGCATCGCAATGAGCTGAGATAAACCACACGGTTCGAACATCGACGGCACGAGAATCATATCGGAACCAGCGTAGATCAGGTGCGATAACGGTTCGTCAAAGTACAAGTGCAAGGCGGCATCGTTGAAATGGTTCTGTTTCAAAGCATTCGCCATGTCTTCAAACTCGCGCTGCACGTTCGGATCCGGGGCGCTTCCGAGCAGCACGACCTGACAACCTCGCTCGAGCGCTTTGAAAATGGCGTGCTTGATCAGATGAATTCCTTTTTGATGCGTAAGACGCGTTACGACGCCGATGAGCGGTACGTCGCTCTTGTTTGAAATGTTACTCCTCGAGCACAAAGCTGCGCGACAAGCCGCCTTGCCTTCAGCAACTGTGTCTATCTCATATGATACCGGTAAGCACTTGTCATTCGCTGGATCCCAGATATCGGGATCGATCCCGTTCACCACGCCGTGGAATTTTTGGAGTTGATGAGAGATGGAGTCGTGACCTGAAATCTCTTGCGCGTACGATCTCGACACCGTTGTCCCAATTTGACTGTAATCCATCGCCTCGCGGATCAAGCTTTGACCAAAGTCGAGGTTGTGAATGGTGAACACCACTCGAGGGTTACCTAAGCCATAGTTGTGATAGTCTTCCCAGTACACCTTGGCCACGGGTGCGGTTTGCCAATCGTGACAGTGAATGATGTCGGGCTGTCGACCGCTTTGCAACATCCATTCCAAAGCTGCTCGACTAAAGTATCCAAATCTCTCGGCATCCGTCAAAGGAATCTCCAAGTAGTCGGTACCGTAAATCATGCCAACCTTGAACATACCATTGTCTGGATCGATGAAGTAAGTCTTCACTCCCTCTACGGTACCGCTGAAAACGTGGTTGTAACAGCCACCCCACTGAAAGCCTTCCTCCTCCTTCAAGTCTTCGATGAGATCGTACTTGAGGACGTCGTATTTCGGAAGAACGACTTCAACTTTGTGCCCTTCCGCTTGAACAGCCAATCCGAGTGATGTGACAACATCACCAAGGCCACCAACCTTGGCGATTGGAGCCATTTCGACGCTCACGCTCACGACGTGAAGCGGCTTCTCCACCACGGCGACACCTTTTTCATCCTTGCCTCCGATCACGGGAATGTGATAGTCCATGTTGTTACGGTTATCGTAGTGAGCTCCTTCGTGGTTTCCGTTGGAGAACACGAAATCCATCATGTACGCGTCGGTAGGGATGTTCAACTCAACTTCCATGCGCTTTTCGCCCTTGACAAGAACCTCAGTCATGGGGAGTTTGAAAGTCTTTTCGTGCGACCATCTGTTCCAACTCCCCACGATAAACACGCGCTCAGACCCTTTGAGCGACGTGTTATTGGGATTATAGAACAGCTTCATGATTTTGCCTGCCTCCAACTGACCCGGCTCTGTGAAAAGTACATGCTCTTGCTGCTTGAGCGTCACCGCTTGCGCCTTCGCCTTTGCCTCCGCTTTCGCCTTATCTCGCTTGTCCTTCTTGATCTTATCAGCCTTCTCTTTTGCGTGTCGAGCAGTCGTAATTTCTTGAAATCGTTGCAAAACTGAACTCATTCGCGCAATCTCGAGTTTTTGCGAAGCGTTGCGAACCGGAGCGTGGAAATCTGCGCGGTCGGCGTTGTCGTAAATGGCACCGCCGTCGCTAAAGACAAAATCCATCACAGCGGCAGTTGCAGGCACATCGACCGTCGCGATGAATGTATCATCAGCGCCAGTAGACTTTTCCATTCGCACTTGCTCGGCACCGGTCCAGTCATTCGAGCCGTAGTGCATAACAATGGTATTTTGGCCGTGAAGAACTCTGTTGGTGGGGCAATAGCGCACCGTGACGGGCATACCGACGACTGGTACCGCAGGTTCAAGACTCCAGAGGTTGGCATCGCTCGGTGTCGAGCCGTCCAAGTGTCGCGAAATCCCAGAAAACTTGGCTGATACTTCATTCGTGGCGATTTCCCAGTCCTTCGCGGCCATCGGGATCGCCGCCGCAAGTTCCTTCGCCTCGTCATACGCGACTTGCAGCTCAGCGGATAATTCCTGTTCCATACGGAGCTCTTCATCGAGTTCGATAGTGGAGACCGTGTTCTTTTGACTTTTGGCCAGTTCTTCGGCCGCGAGGGCTTGAAGCTTGGCTTCGGCAAGAGCAGCAGCCTTGACCTTGGCTTCGGCCTCTGCCACGGCCTTTGCCTTAGCCTCCATCTCAGCAGCGGCGGCAGCTTCAGCTTCGGCTTGAGCGGCGGCAGCTTCAGCTTGAGCTTCGGCTTGAGCGGCAGCAGCTTCGGCTTTGGCTTGAGCGGCGGCAGCTTCAGCTTGAGCTTCGGCTTGAGCGGCAGCAGCTTGAGCTTCGGCTTCGGCTTGAGCGGTTGCGGCTTGAGCTTCGGCTTCGGCTTGAGCGGCGGCAGCTTGAGCTTCGGCTTCGGCTTGAGCGGCAGCAGCTTGAGCTTCGGCTTCGGCTTGAGCGGCGGCAGCTTGAGCTTCGGCTTCGGCTTGAGCGGCGGCAGCTTGAGCTTCGGCTTCGGCTTGAGCGGCGGCAGCTTGAGCTTCGGCTTCGGCTTGAGCGGTTGCGGCTTGAGCGGCGGCTTCTGTGTTGACGGCGACGTCGATGATATCTTCATCAGTTTCTTCAACTTGCACGGTTCCCATTTCGCTAGTCTTTGTCGTAGACTTGCTCAATAAGAAGGCTTTCTCAGCTTTCTCTGCCGCTCGAAGTCTAGCTTCCAATACTTCGCGTTCTTGTCGCAACTTTTTCTCTTGCATGAGAAGCTCTTTGAGAGCGGCGCTCGCTTCATCTTTTCCGCTCGTCGCGCGCTCTTCAACTTCAGTAAACTCAACGGGAGCGGGTGGCGTCTCCACAACTTCGGAGACGACGGGCTCGCATGCTGGCTTCTGCGGATCTCGTGCCTTCGCTCTCGCCTCTGCATCTGCTCTTATCTTTGCCATCTTGGCATCCACCTGCGCTCTCACTCTGGCTCGCGTGTCTGCTTTCAACTTCTCCAACGCCGCGGCTTTCTCCTCTGGTGTTTTGGCGACAAATTTCGGCGCAGTTTTCTTTGCTTTTGCGTCTTCTTTTGCCTTGGCTTCCGCGAGACGCCGCTCCTCTTCGGCGGCCTCAGCCTTGGCGGCTCTTTTAGCTTCCATCGCCGCGCGAGCTTCGCTTTCAGCCTCGGCGGCGGCGCGCGCCTCGAGCTCTCGTTGCTCAATCGCCTTTCGAGCCGCAGCCTTCTCTCGCTTCTCCCTCAACTGTCTGTTCTCCTCCTCGAGCGCTCGAAACGCCATCAAAGACTGCCGCTCCGCCTCCAGTCGCCGCAATTCCCGCTCCATCTCAGCCTCCTCGTCGCCCTCCGCCGCGCTCGCGCTCGGCGCCATGACCACCTCCATCTTCTTCGGCACCACCCCCTGCACCCCCCCGAACGCCTCTCGCGCCCGTATCTCGCTCTTCAGCGCCGTTATCTCCCCCCGCAGCGCGCGCACGTCCGCCGCTCTCGGCGCCCCCCCGTCCTCGCTCGGCGCCAGCATCGCTCGCAGCGTCGTCTCCAGCCCCTCCAACCGCGTTCGCAGTTCCTCCGTCGCGCTCCCTCGCGCGTCGTCCGTCACCGCGCGCGTCATCGCCCGCTCCCGTCGCCCGTCGTCGCGTCGTCGCGTCCCCGTCGTCGCGCCTTTTCGCATCCATCGCGTTTCCGTCGCGTTCGCGCGCGTTCGCCCCCTCGCGCGCGCCGTCGCGACGGCGTCCGCGCGCGTCGCGATCGCCGCGCCGAGCGCCATCGCGTCGAGCGTCGCGCGTCGCGCCTTCGCGCGTCGTGCGTCGCGCGCGTCGGCGTCGCGCGCGTCTCGTCTCGCCCGGGTGTGTGGTGTGGATAACGCGGCGTCGCGCGATCGCGCGGCGTCACTATACATGGGCGTTCGTACGGCGAATCGGGCGTATAGTAACATAGCGCCGCGTCGCGCGTCGTGTCGTCAGTATACATGGGCGTTCGTACGGCGAATCGGGCGTATAGTAACATAGCGCCGCGTCGCGCGTCACATCGCGCGATGGCGCGCGCGTCGCGCGCGGAGCTCGCGCGGCGCGCGGTCGCGATCGCCGTCGCGGTCGCGGGCGTCGCGCTCGCGGCGACGCGCGCGAGCGACGACGCGCGCGCGACGGCGACGGCGACGGCGATCGCGACGCCGACGGCGCTCGACGCGCGATTTCTGCGATGGATGGACGCGCGCGCGCTCGCGGCGACGGACGACGCGCGAGCGCGCGGGATGGTCGTCGCGCGCGTCGAGGATTGGGAAGACGAACGCGCGGTGGGCGCGAGGCGAACGCGCGGGGCGTTTGGCGCGCGGGGAGGGAAAGGGGAGGTGGAGACGAGGATCGCGCGGGACGCGGCGCTCGAGCGCGGGGCGACGACGGCGGGCGCGGGGAAGGATGAGTGGGCGCTGGCGATCGAATTGATGCGAGAGCGAGCGAAGGGAGGGGTGAGCGCGTACGCGCCGTTCGTGGAGTCGCTGTACGAACACACGCCGGCGAGGGCGGTGGAGACGTCGAGAGCGGCGCGCGCGCGGTTGGAGGGACACGCGGCGGCGGAGACGATGAGAGAGTACGAACGAGACGCGGAGGATGGATGGCGAGCGGCGCGAAGGACGTTTGAGACGTTTCCATCGATTTTTTCCGTTCATGAATTCACGCGCGCGGCGTTCGAGGAGGCGTTGGCGATCGTTCGCGCGAACTCTTTCGAGGCGAGGAGCGAAGACGGGACGCGCGCGCGCGCGCTCGTGCCGATGGCGCATTTGCTTTTGCACGACACCGGGAGCGAGGTTCCGTGCGTGAAGATCGTAGACGGTGTGTTCGTCATAAACGTTGACGAGCACGAAGAGGGAGACGAGTTGTCGTGCAGTCACGGTGATTATTCCGACGCCGAGACGTTTGCACGATTCGGCGTGAGCGCGTTTTATTCAGCCGAGAAGAACGCGAGAAATAAGATAAAGTTTGCGTTTCCGAGCGAAATTTATTCCATGAAAAGCTTAGATCGATGTGGATCCGTCGAAAATATCGCATTCACGGACGCGGGTGCGACGGAAGAGTTTATGTGCGCCTTGAGACTCGCCTCGGCGAATGAAACCGAATGGGCCGCAATCTCAAAGTCTAAAGCCAGCGTTCGAGCGCTTCGTAAGAAACCGCTGAGTGAGGAGAGCGAGATAGCGGTTTACGAAGCATTATTTGCCACGCTCACCGAGTTACTGAACTCCTACCCATCGAGCGATAACGAAGACGAGCGATTATTACAAAGTCGGACGCTGCAGTCGGCGCCCGACGAGGAGCGCGCGGTGACGATTCGTCTTCGAGAGAAACGTCTCGCGCTGAGTAGTTTGAATGCTGTCCAATACGCCGGTCGTCAACAACTCGGCGGTTTGTTGTTCGACAAGCATTTTGCCGACGTGTTACCGTCTCCTGTCAACGTGCGGCAGACAAACGGATGACGCGTGATCGAGTTGTGTTTGTAGCATAAAGATTGTATTGAAAGAATATTTTTACTGTACAGCTTAATCGACATACTCAGGTACTGAGTTTAGGACTTCATCGAGCTCGGTTCTAAACTCTTCCTTGGCTCTGTTCGTTTTACCGCCGACGACGATGGCGGTTTCCTCCTGAATGGCCCATATTTGCGAATGCGAGAGCAAGCTGAGGAACGACGTCACCATCAGCCCGGCGAACCCAGCGTATACGAGTGGAACCCCTGGATCAGTTTTCAACTCCAAGCCCGTACTTCCCTTCACGTCACCGAGCATGAGCTTGATTCCATCGACGACGATCGGTTTCTTGCTTTCAGGACGGCGGACGCCCGCAAACGCGCCCTTGCTGTCGTAAATCGCCACGCTTTGGAAATCCCGAGCGACGAGAGAAATGCCTCGCCGCTGGTCATCGTCGAAACTTAATGGTAAAAACGTGCCCCATATTCGGCCCTGAAACCCTCCTTTGCCTTCTAAAGACGCCATAGGAAGGACGTATGTGTTTTCAGTTTCTGTCTCGCCATCTGCGCCGGGCTTTGCGACAGTGACTTGCATGGATGAAAGCGCCCAATCCGTTTGATACATCGTCACCCCGCCCGCTCTCAATGGAACATTCACTGATATCGTCTTTCTAGACATTTCTTTACCGTTGGGATCGACCACGCTCAGATCGGAATAAAATTGCGACACCTGCCCGTTCGGAAGGTAGTCAATCGTGAAATCGTTCACCTGAACGCTCGATTTCGCGATGCCAGGCATGGATGACAGCAGCGAACCGCGTGTCAAACCGGAGGCGATTTCAAATGAAGATCCATCTGGGACCATCACCGATCCACTCAGTCCTCCAAGACCGCTGTACGCCGCTCCGCCGAGGGTGAACAACAACGCCGCGTGCACGCCGATGGGCGCTAGTCGCCCTATCAATCCCTTGAACGCATACATTTTCTTCCCTTTGATGAAGACTTGATACCCGCGATCGGCTAATAAATCGCTGAAATCGCTCAGTCTGGCTCGAGGAACAGATTCTGCCTCTTCCATGGCGAGCAAAGTCGCGCGTCTATCCAAAAATTTCCATTTGGCTGAAACTTTCCAAACGGGCCACTGCCTCGTCACCGTGCACGCCGTCAACGACGCCCCTAAGAGGCCTAATAATCCTAAAAAGTACCACGTCGTGTAAATGTGATCCAATCCAAGGTCGAGAATCAAAGGAAAGTCTATGAAACCAAGGCTCTTATTCTCCGTGGGATAGTTTTCGACGTACCACGCAAACGACTTGTTCTGTTCAATCACCGTCCCGAGCGCAGAGAATCCCGCGATGACGAGCAATTCTCCTATCGCGAGTGGCAACGACGAGAGTGATTTCAGCGTCTTTTTCCCCATCGACGGCAGCTCGCGCTCGAACAGCCATTTCGAGAACGCCGCGTCGTCGCCGTCGCCGTCGCCGTCGCCGCGTCCCGGTCCGGGCGACGGCGCTCCCTTCGCCGCTCGCTCCGTCGTTTCCGGCCTTCGCGCGTTCGCGAGCGTTCGCGCACCGCGTCTCCGATCGACCGCTCGTCCGCGGACCGCGGCGCGGCGCGCGGGCGCGCGGTGCGCGGCGTTGAGCGGCGGCGACGCGAGTGCGCGACGACGCGCGCGCGCGGCGACGGCGACGACGACGGACGACGACGACGCGGGCGACGCGTACGCGCGCATGTTCACGACGTCGACGCCGAGGACGCTCGAGCTCGCTCGCGGCGTCGCGCGTCGTCGTGTGCGCGTCGTCGCGCGTCGGTGTCCACAACCCTGGCGCGCGCGCCGAGGCGAAACGCGGGCGCCGGAACGCGAATGAAAGAATGAGAAATGAATTCGATGAGGAGCGCGCTAGGAAACTATGCATCTTAATCTATCTAAAATCTATCGCCGCGCTCGCTCGACGTGGGAGCGAGTGTGTGGGGTGTGGTACATGCGCGCCCAAGCGGCGAGGGCCTCGCGTCGGAACGGCGGTCGGTCCACCGCCGTGTCGCCGCCGAGCAAGAACGTGGCCAAACAACGCGATCCTTCGTCATCGTGACGGCCGCCCCACACTGCATCAATGCCGGTGAGTGCGAAAAAGGCTTCTCCTGGAGGCGGGGCGCCGTTTGGGGGCCAGTCTTCTCCCGACCAATACGAAGAATCGCGACCGGCGTCTGGAAAAAATTCAAAGCCGCAATGTGCCCCACAGCGCGGGCACAAGATCGGTAGCCATGCGTATCCTTCGAACCAAGAAAACTCAGGATGTGGCTCATCGGTATCCAGGACGACATCGGTGGTTCGATCGAGGAGCTCGTACGGACTCGTCGACCAAAGCTCGCGCAAGCTTTCATTTTCGACAGTGCTCAAATCGACGGCGTTGCGCGCAAAGACCGCGTATCTATCGTACCAACCTCCGGGATTGAAAAAGATTTTACTCCTGACCGCAGTCGGAACAGTGTCTCGCAACTCAACAGAATCGGTGCGGAATCCGTCGATGTTTGAAAATTGCCGCATCATTCGAGTCGTCGTCAATACGAAGCCGCATCGATGCGTCACCGGAACGTGATTTGGCGGCATGACGGCTTCGAGCTGCAACCTGCTTAAAATCAAAGACAGACGAGAGTACGCGTCATCAATCGAGAGGACGAGCCAGCGAAACTGAGTGTCCAAAGCGATCGAAGGTATGGCATGAAGACACCAAAATGAAAATTCCGAGGGATGTCTGGCGCCGACGGGAAGCGACTCCTCGACGACTTGACGCAATGCCTCTTCCTTCCACGCGACTGCGTCCGTGAACTCGCGTTTGCTTTCGCTCAGGTAATCTAAAATTTTTCCCATCAATTTTCTGCTATCGTGCACTCGATTATCGCGCTTGTGCACCCCCAGAGTATAAACGTTGATGCCGCTCGGCGCGAAGACGTCGTCGAGCGCGACGGGTGGGAACAACGACATGTCGTGCATGCTGTTGAAAGCGTTCTCTCGCGCCTTTGTCGTGTCGAAATCATCGGGAAACTCGCACCAAACGATGTTTAACGCGCGGAACTCCACGAAGCAGGGCGTCCGATGAATCCATTGACACAGCGTCCCGACGCATCCAAACGTCGCCCCTCTCGCCGGCTCGTGCCCCTCTTCGGTCACACCGGTCGCATTCGACGCATCGAGCGCGAACACCACCAATCCCGTCGAGCGTCGCCGGACGGCACCGTCATCCCCATCATCGAGCGAGCCGTCTCGAAACGCGTCCTCGGGCGTCGTCGTCTCGCGCGTCCCCTCCAACCCCCAACCTTGCTCGACGCCATCGCGCGCGTACGCCACCAACTCTCGCGTTCGTCTCGCCGCGCTTCGCCGTCGCCACAACCACGTCGCGCTCTCCGTCGGCGCCTCGATCCTTTCTCCCGGCACTAATCCCGCGAGCGCCGACGTCGCCTCGACGAACGCGCACGGCGGCGCCGCGTCCATCTTCGACCCACCGCCTCGGCGTCCGCGGTCGTACCTCCACGCGCGCGCGCGCGCGCTTTCGACCGCTCTCCCGTACGTCTCGAACGCCCGCTTCGCGTCGATCCATCGTCGCGCGGCGTCGCCGTTCGTCTCGAACGCGTCCACCGCGTCGTCGTTCGCGGCGACGCCTCGACCGAGCGCGGCGACGTCGGCGCGATCGCGCGCGCCGTCGCCGCGTCCCGTGCGCACGGTGACGCGCGGGTACGCGTCGTCGAAGAGGTCCATGCGCGGCGCCGCGCGACGACGACGACGACGACGGCGACGCGCGGCGACGTGCCGGTAACACTATTCGTTTTCATCACTCCGCGACGCACGACGACGGGTGTTGCGCGCGCGCGATGGGCGCGCGCGCGCGATGGGCGCGCGCGATGGCGGCGGTGACGATGGTGACGCTCGCGACGTCGATCGCGGCGGCCGAACGCGTCGAACGGGAGGACGCGGTGCGAATGTATTACGTCAACGCGCGCGGTGCGACGACGAAGCGATTGGAGATGGAGCGCGCGGTGGTGGCGCTGGACGCGCGCGCGCGAAGGATCGAGCGCGTGGACGCGAAGAGACGATCGACGCTGCTGATGACGTACGAAACGGCGACGTGTGGACGCGGAAGATTCGCGCCGAGCGCGCACGCGGAGCGACGAGAACGATTCGGCGAGGAGTACTTGAACGCGCTGGGGACGTCGCTGTCGCACCTGGAGGCGGTGTACGCGGCGTACGACGACGGGGCGAGCGTTGCGTTGATCATGGAGGACGATGCGCGATGGGACTTGCTGCCGACGTGGTCGAGCGATTTGGAGAAATTCGTGGAGCGGTTGCCGGAAGACTGGACCGTGACGCAGTTGTCGGCGCTCGGCGATTACGCCGAGACGACGAAATTGTTTTACGATTGGCAGCGCGAGCGAAAGAATGCGCCGGGACAGAGTTTGACGACATTACCCAAAGGTTCGCGGCGTTTGAGCGGTACGCAGGCGTATCTGATCAGTCGTAAGGGGATGAGTAGATTAGTGAAGGCGTATCGATCGCCTGCTGGAAAAACGGATGTGTGTTCAATGACGTGCGTGGAGCTCGAGGAGTGCGTCTTGGCCGACGGTGTGCACTTGGATGAGAAGTATAGAGTCGCCACGCCGCCACTATTTGTCGAACGCTCCCCAAGCAGCGACTTTCTCGATTCGTCGCGAAATATGATTCTCAGCTGGGCCGTCTCGCTGTCGCTGACTCAAGGCAAGGCGGCAAATTTGCGCATGGACGGAGATATGATTCGCGATGTTTTGGCGGAAGGCTTGAAAGTTCCCGAACACTTGAAGCCCAACACGTTCATGGAGCATTTCAATTACCATTGCAAGCTCAATCACGGCGGTGGTTCAAAGTGTTCGATCAAAAAGGCGTACTTGGTCAACCAAAAGCCGCCACGGATGGAAGAGCCAGCTCTGGCCGAAGAAGCGCCCGTAGACGCCGAAGAAAATTTCCGAGGTCACAATGCATCCGCATTAGGTCGCGTGGTGATGTCTCGTCGAGATCTCGCTCCGAAAGAAACGAGTATCTGGTCCGAGTATTCCAAATCGACGCCCTTCATTTCGATGTTCGTCTTCGGCGCGTTGACGACGTTTGTGCTCGCGGCGAGCTTCGTGTTCGCCAAAACACGCCCCGAGTCGTCCAGGGACGAGTTACAGACCATTCTCCCTATAGATCCGCAAACTGAGGAGTATTATTCCTAATAATAAATCTTTGTTGTATTAAAGACACCTAGCTATAGCTCTATTCGTCCGACTCTGGCGGTTGCATTCGTTTCGCGTTTATAATCTTGTCCTTCAGCTCGGTGTAGTCCCCGGTGAAATCGAAAATCAACCCGAGATTGTCCACAATCTGATGCCACACCTCGCACTCACCACACTGCACCCACATCGTCCCCCGTTCGAGGACCTCAGGGTTGATCATCCGCATCGTTCGCCCCTCGCACTTGTTACACGTAAACGTCATCTGCACGCGCCGTCGCGTTCGCGGCAGCTGCACGCTCGCTCGCCCCTCTTCTTCGCCCTCGTCATCGCTTGACGATGTACCACCGTCACCCAAGACGTTGACGCGCGCCACCGATCGCGCGCGCGCGAGCGGGACGTCGTCGCGACGTCGCGCGAAGAGTCGCGTCGAGAGCGACGGCGCGCGCGCGAGGACGACCGAGGCGGCCCGAGAGCGACGCGCGACGCGCGAGGACGAGGGCGTGCATGCGGATGTTGTGCTGCGCTCGCGCGCACGCGCGAACGGCGACACGCGCCCCGGTCGGGCGAGGGTGAGGGCGAAGGACATGACGCGCCGCGCGCGCTGCGTTGTGACGACGAGCTCACTCAGATGTGATTGATCGTTCTGGTCGCATATGAATTACATAACTCGCTATACATTCGGAACATCAATCACTGCTAGCAATCGTAATGACTAAATCCGTCGTCGTTCTCCAAGCGCGTCATCGTCGCGCGCGTCGTCGCTTGCGCGAGCTTACGCGAGGGAGGCGAGGAGGGCGCTGGCGGTCTCTTGGACATCAGCAAGAAGCGCGGTGGCGGCTTCTTGGTCCTTTTGGCGGATGGAGAAGTCGAGGTTTTCGAGCTTCTTGTAGAAGGCCTTGGCTTGCGCGGCGTCCGCACCCTTGATTTCGACGAGGTTGTTGATGTCGAAGCGGAGGGTACCGACTTGGCGGCGAAGCTCGTTGGACGCTTGGGTCCAGTACTTCTTGCCGACGTACTCACCAACATCCTTGTTGATGCGAGTCTATAAATCGTAAGTGGCACATTGCATCGTCAGTCTCTCATTCGTCGTCCTCGTCACGTTCGTCGTCGTCATTCGCCGCGTTTCGCGTCGAGCGCCGCACGCACCACAGACTCCGTCGCGCGCGCCGCGGTTTCCTTTTGCGAAAGCTTTTGGAAAGAGAAGCGGGACGGGCCATCGGATCGCGGCTTTTGGTCCAATTCCAAGTCACGAGCCTTCGCGCGCACGAAATTTGTCAACAGTCAGTCTCGAGCTCTCGCGCGCGTTCGCTCGCCTCAACCACCCTCCACTCGCCCGATCGATCGATCCGGGCGGATTCGAGCGAATCTCGCGAGATTCGAGGGCGCGACGCGATTTTACGCGTAAATAGCGCTTCGAGAGCGTTGAATACGGTATTCGACCCCCCGAATGGGTTTTCCACGCTCGCATCGATCGACGCGACCGGCCCGGGTTCGACCGGTCGTCCAGGTTCGACGCACCTCGTAGATGAGCTGCAACCCGGTTTGGTTCTCCACGCGCTTGTCCGTGAGCTCGATGCCCGTCGCCGCGAACGCGGCCGGGGTCGCGCTCAAGACGACCGCCGTGACGGCGGCGAGGGACACAGCCTGTGCGCGCGCGATAAAATCCAGCACACGCGCGATCGCGAGTTCGCACGCGACGCGCGCTCGAGCGTCGGACGACGCGCGCGCGCGCGGGATGACGATCGATCGCGAATGCGATAGCGATCCACGCCCCGCGCGAATGTGCGCGCGCGTCGACGTCGAGCGCGCGTCGGTGGACGCGATCGCGCGTTTACGGAGCGGGGCGATTCGGTCAGTCGAAATTCATTCGATCGTTCGCGCGCGTCCCGGGCGTCGAAAGCGCGTCGGACGCGTCGACGCGTGCGCGATAGAATCGCATCATCACCATCGTTCGCGCTCGTATCAACCATCGATCGCTCGATCGCGGGTCCGTACCTTGTTCGCCGAGGCCTTGACGACCGTGTTCGCCTTGACGGACTTCGAGGTGGTGATCTTTTGGGCGATGGCCTTACCGGTGAAGGCGGACGTGGACGCGGCGACAGACATGGTCGAACGTTCGTGTGCGATGCGAAGTGCGGGTCGCGCCGGGCGCGCGCGGGATCGGATCGAGGTCGCGGCGGACTCGAGGTCGCTCGGGGGGGGGGGGTCGGCGCGAGTCAGGATTCGACGTGTAGGGTTTTCGACACGAATGTCACAACATTAGGCGCGACGCGCACGATTATACGGGCGTACCGCCCCGATCTCGATCTCGATCTCGATCTCGATCTCGATCTCGATCCGCGGACTCGCGCGTGAAGCCGTCTCGACCGTTCTCGTTTGGGCAATACTTTGCCACGCCGTCGTCCGAGATGGGCACGACAGATTGTTCGCCGGCGTCGTAACTGATCGACGGCGACCACACGAGCTGGATGGTTTCGCCGACGTTCTCGAAGGAGTGAATCCAACCGCACGGCATGAATAAAATGTCGCCCGCCTCGACGACGGCGCCGAAGCCGCGCGAACGCGCGATTTTGGGTTGTTTGTCCAAGTCGACGTTGAAGGCGTTCCCCAGATAGACGGGATTGTACAACTCTTCACCGCCGACGCGCGCGGAGAGCGGGTAGAGGTTTTCCTCATCGGCGCGATCCCAGACGACGGCGCGTTTCGAGCCTTGAACCACTAAAACCATCACGTGAGCCGGTTTGGCGTGATGATGCGCGTGATACGCTCGAACGCCATCGCCACTGGCGAAGAGCATAAACTTTTTGAACTCCGTAGGTCGCTCGCGAAAGAGTATCTTGGAGATATACGACCAGTCTCCGCGCAATTTCGTTTCGACAGCTGCTTTGACGCGTTCGGCGAGTGCCGGACATTGTTCAATAATGTGCCACGAGTGTACGCTCGGTGGCCATAAATTATCCGCTGGGTGTAAAAAGTCCACGCCGCGTTTTCTGGCTATTTTGGATTCCCCCATCAACTCACTATCGAAAAAATCTCTCAGTGTTTTAATCTTTCCTTTGCCTTCGAGAAAATCCAACGTTTCATTCAGCGTCAAACCTCGTGTCGTTTCGAGACGTTCGGAAAGATCTCGCAAAAGTTTTTGATGCGTCGTTTTCGTCATAGACTGGAACAATGGCACTATTTTCGACCCCAAGTCGGCGAATGCATCGCCGCATAAATCTAAAATGAGCTCTCGCGTCACGACGCTTCGTAGCACAGTTGCAAGGTTAGCGTTTTCGATCACCACTGGTTGCCCTTCCTTGACGTATTTCCGCTCGAACGCGTCAATTGATAGTGTAGATGCGTCAACGCGCTCGATGTTGTTCCACTGAAAACTCGGATCGCTCGACGACAGCAGCAGCGGTATATCATCATGTTGCGGCGCCTCGACCGTCGGCGCGCGTTTGTTTCGTTGATGATCCTCAACTCTTTCGCCACGACCGAGGTTGGCTTGATCATCTTGAATTCGAACTAAAGACTCTAGGAAAGACGTAACACTTTGGGCATCGTTCGGTCCGATGAAACTCTGTGCGATCGCATTCAACTCCTTATGATTTCGCACATACGGCCCAAAGTGTGACGTTTTCATCTCGCGTCTGGCTTTTAGTGACTCTTCCACGGGCCACGGACAATTTAATGGATCGCAACACGGCGCATTAATGTCATACTGACTTTCTGCTTGAAGCAAAGTAGTCTTAAGCGCACCCTCAAAGCCGTAACGATTCAATAAAGTCGCGCGATCTTTCAGAAAGGCGACATCTTCTTCGGCGATGCTGTACTTTTCCATCAACTCCTCTATTGTTGCGTCAGTGACTTCCGCCAAAAACGCGCTAAACGTGGAAGGAAACGTGCGGTGAATGGCACCCCCCTCCACCCAACATCTGTAATCTAAGATAGCTCCGATAGTCGGTGACCAGTTTCCGTTTTCAAGCTCCACGATGCACGCCGGTTTAGTTTCGTTGGCAGACTTTGCGTGGCACCTTTCCATCCACGGCAAAGTTTTTTCTTTCTCATAGATCACATAACCTGCAACATAGTGCCAGTGATGGCGCGTCCCGGGAATGCTCACTGTGCTGGTTTCGTCCTCACGTTTCAACATGTCCTCGTTGTCTATCAGCATCAACGACCCTTTGGCTTCGTCGATGAAGATGTTGAATATATTTCTGTCGTGGTTACCAAGGAGGAAGTCCATCAGAGTCATCCCTATGACGTCCTCTCGCTTAAGTCGCGATACAACGAGAAAAAGTTCTTTCGTCATCATGTTCTGGCCTGGTCTGGCACCATTGATATCAGTTGGCGCGATTCCCTTTGCCCAGTCTGTGACGAGAACGTGAGTGTTTTGCTTTCCACCAAGAGAACGTGTGTCGCGTGGCGTGAAAAACTTCAAAGTCTTTGCCTCCGTAGGCGACACAAGTCGCCCGAACCCCATTGTTTCGATCAATCGATGGATGGCTGATATCCTTTCCGGGGATCGATCACGCTGACTGTGGAAACCGCCACACGTTTCGTCAACCGGCGTCGCGTTTGCGTGTTGACGAAATTGTCCACGAATACCGCACCAAGCCTTGACGCTCACCTTTTTCCCTTCGCTCGTAACTCCTCGCAACACCATTGCCTCAGATTTGCCGACATACCTCCCTGGATTTCCCGCGTCGATGCGCTCAACTTTGACGTCGCAGTCGCAGCGCTCGCACCACCCACGCGAGTCGACGACGTCGTCTTCGCCCAGCTCGGAATGAGGCACGCATGTGGAGCAAGACGAACACGTCTCAAAGCTCGCGCGTGTACGCTTGTGATTTGTGTCTGCCCCGCGTTCATCGTCACTATCTTTCCGCACGTCGGCGTCGGCGTAATCAGCGTCAGCGACACCATCGGCGAGTTTCAGCGCTCTAACAGCAATCGTCTCGCGACGCGGCGACGTCCTCGTGAGTGCGACGGTGAGCACGCACACGAACGCGATAGAATAACACGGTGGTTTCCACCGCGCGGGCCTTCGACGCCTCTTCGTGGCGTGATGCCACATCGGAGGCGCGGAGTGACGTCGGGACGGCGACAAGCGAGAAGGCGTCGTAGAACGCATGGGAACTAAAGCGACGCGTGCGTAACGAATGCGCTGCTTCAATCACGATAAGTCTATCTATTGATTATTGCTTAATACTATTTTGGGGATTCCCGCGAGTTCGTGGAGTGCGCGGTGAGATGGCGCTCGTCCAAGGCGATTAAACGTTCGCCGCGTCGGTGTGTTCGAGCTTTCCAGCGCTCACGTAAATCTTGCAACTGTGAGCTCAAAGCGCCGTGTTGCTGGCGAATAGTAATCGTAGAGTCAGCCTTGATCGTTTCAAGTAAATCGTCGTCGGCGAAAGGAAGACGTTGACCAGTCATGCTTCGAAGTTGGATGCGTTCGCTTTCCTTTGCCATTTTCTCTTGATGAATGATCTCTTCGTCTCTCTTGGCGTCGAATTCGTCGACAATCGCCTCTTCAAATTCCAAGTCGCGAATAGCGCGCTTGATGAGGCCTTCTTCGCCCTCTTCGCGGAACTGGCGAACCAACGTTCGGGCAAAATCATACCATGCCCATGCGTGCAGGATGAACAACAAGGCCGTGATGAGATCGACAAAAGTCGAGCCTTGTCCACCTTGTTCGCCTGATTGTTTGAAAATCAGTCCGCCGGTGAATGTTGCCATAGTAGCAAGTAAGCCATGTGTCTCGATCTTTGCGTACTTTTCGCCGGCATACGGTTTTGCGACGATGTGGAATACAAAGAAAAGTTGCAACATACAATTCACCGTGTATCCACCAATGACTGCACTTCGTCTAGATACGATCACTATGAAGATCAGGATGAATTTTCTCGCGAATATGACCCATTCCCACCACCACGCGGACTTGACATTGATTCCCTTGAAGAGCAAACCGAGACGATATTGCACCATTGCTGAATCGTGCTCGCCGACAATGTCTTCTCCGCGAGCGAGCTGCAGCAAACCGTATGGAATACCGACGATATACAGTATAGCCCAAACGATGACCATAAACAAGTAAAGTGAGTAGGCGGTGCCCCGGCATTGGACCGAATAGTCGGATACAAAGTGTCGATCGCTGTCGCCAGACGTACCAGTGCACTGCGTGAACTCAGCCAAATATTGAACAAGGGTGGGATAGAGAAGCCACAGAGTCGCGACGAGCCATGATATTACTATGTCGTAAGCTCTGATGTTTCGCACTTCTTCAAGACCGACATCGTGCTTGTTCACTTTATTCGTGTTACCACTATCGATGGCGTTTGTTTCTTCATCTTCAGCAGAATCATTTGCCTTTGTCTTCTTCGTGGCTTCCACTCTAGCTTGGGCCGTTGCCTCTCTCAACTCTTCGACGTACTTGATAACCGTGAAGATGATGAACAAGAATATCATCAAGCCTAGTGGGAGCAACTCGTGAAACAGTAGATTTCCGTAAAACTTCCAGCCAATGGCGCACTTTGCTGACGCCGACCGTATGTCAGGTAACGAAAGCTTCTCGGCGATAAGTAAGAATGCTTTCATCGAATCCGGCCATGCGAGGTCTAAATTTTTCGCCAACGCTGTCATTTGTAAATAGGTGACAAACGATTTTATCATGCCGACGACTTGTGAACTTCGGCGTTGATTGACAACCCGAATGAGCCACACCAGCAACAATATCCAGAGAAAGTTGACGACGACGATCGGAAAGTTGAGCACTCGATATGCTCCTGCCGAACAATCGTAACATTTTGGTGGATATGCTTCTCGAATGGCGTGGTACGCATAACCATTCGCACAAGCTGCGCACATAGCACCAGTGTACCCTGCATCAAGACATGTGCTGTTTACGCCGCCTAGGCACGCGTCAGGGTACGGACACGCGCGAAATTTCAGCGTTTGTCGGTCAAATCTACTGAAACCAGGAAGCGCTTCGACATTTTCGAGCTCATCACCGTAACATTTTGCACCTTTCGGGCATGCCATACATTTGTAATCATCGAGTGGGAGTTGTCGATAATAGCTCTCGAATGGGACACTCGTTTGAGAGATGCAGTGGCAGGAACTCTTGCTCACGTGACCAAGGGCGCCTAAAAGTTGCACTCCTGACTGTGCTTGATATGTTTGCCTCAATCTGCCGTCAACTCGCGAAGTATCCATGGAGATTGGGCACGACGTGCATGCTCCGTCACCGTGCGCCACTTTGTAGAAGCCATTCTTGCACGGCACACACATGCCATACGGGTGAAGAGCATCGAGCCATCGAGATGACCCAGATGTAGCTGTCTTATATAGAGTTATATTCGTTTCGACATAAATGGTATCGATATCTTCAGTATATCCCGTGCCTCCACTAATGTCGGCGGTGAAGCCAGGAATGCACTCGCACACGCCAGAGCGAAGCACGCTGTTCGGTTTGACTGTTGAGCAATTCATGACCGTCGTTGGAGTTGAAGGTACGATACTCACATTCAACGTTGAAGCCGAAAAATTCAGCTCATAGGCATTCGCGCGCTCACCGATGATTGTGATTGAATCGAATTTCGCCAAGCCGTTCACCATCGCCGCCTCTGTCCCTGAAATGCTCGCCACAGCGGGCGATACACTGACCGTAAGCGTCGTATTGATATCGACGCACACGTTTCCTACAGAATCGATCGCCGCGATGACTGGTGCAGGCGAAAGTGCGAAGTCATTTTCGTTTATGAAGGGAGGTGCCGTGACGACGGCCAACGCTGTCGGCGCGCCAGGGACTACGGTGAACTCCAACATGTCAGTCTCCAGCACAGGATAGAGCGCACCAGGACATCGACTTGAGCCACATGATGAAGCGAATCGCAAGCGATAGGTCCCAGCTAATGCATTTTGAATATGCAGACCGACATTATAGTGTGTGTCGGGCGCAATACCACTATACCCAGCCTCCCTGCAATATGATGGTGCGGGGTTGGTGTACACCACTCTGTACGTGTAAGCACCAGTCGTGGGATTACTGGAGACCACAGTCCTCGGGCTAGAGTCAAGTGAATCTTTGCACCATCCCACTCCACCATTTACTGCGAGAAGAGATCCATCCCATTCGGCTTGCAAGGTTGGTAGCACACTTGCCCGTGGTTGATCCTCCGCTGGCACGAAAGAAAATAGCTCAACCGTGATGTTACGCGCTTCGGTGTCCCACATCGAGCCCACATGATAACCGCCAGGATCAGTCATTTGCACGACAAAGTCACGAAGATCCAGGGTTTGCGCTGCGATATATTGTGCAGGATCCCGACACAAACCTCGGTCGACACGTGTGAACGAGTTACCGGTGCACGTGTCAAGCGCCGCTGGGTACCCAGCGCTGTAAGTCAGTTGTGTGGAGACCGAATCGAGACCCGCTGTAGAAAACGTCAATGAGTACGTTCCGGTGCACGGTCGATAGAATACGATATCATCAAACACCGCTGTGCCCGCAACGATAGTCTGAGGTGTGTATGATACATTCGTCTCAAAGTTGCAAGCGCTCACGACCACGCGCTCCGCCTTTACAGAAACTTCGTAATTTAGGTTGAGCGCATTCAAGCCTGCATCGACCACACGAATCTGAATCATACTCAATTTTACTTTTTTTGCCGTGGAATACGCAGTCTGCAACGCGATTGCTGCACCGCTGGCAGGTGACGTGAAAGTCTGAACAATTAATCCACCATTAATATTTTGCATGAAAAAGAAAAAATAAGTAAGCCTTACCGGTGAGATGAAAAGCGCACTTGCAGTGCCAATCGTAATCGTAAATGTACGAGTCGCGGGCGCAACGCTGAGCCCTAACGCGGTACAATTGTCGCAGTTGAAAGAAATCACATAATCCCCGATCTGTAATTAATTGTGTGTGAGGATGAAAGTTCTAATGAAATCTGTCATCAATGGGAGCGTACCTCTGGGGCATTGATCACTGTGTCACGAAGTAGTGTACTGTCGGTTCCCGCCGCTATGACGCCATTTCTCCCGCTCGTCGCAAACGTATGCCTACATTTTGAATAAAATTAATTAATTCCGGTTATGAATTAATTAGAATCGAAACGTACCTTTGACCCACGATACTGGCGATAATACTGTACTCGTGAGTGTTAAGCGACCCGAAACGATTACCTGCGTCATCTGCGATCGCAATTTCGAAAGGGCCGAGGGTTGTTGATGCCGTCGCCGGGTATGATCCTTGTGGTGAATTTGCCACGACCAGTTTAGCTGGATCTCCTAACGCCACTGTTACCGCATAAGTCGCAACGGCCTTGCCGTTGAGATAAAATACGATATCGTGCTGCTGCGCAGTCGGCGCGAGCAGCACGAGGTTCTTAAACTCAACGACGCCGGGTGTGCCGCCCTGTGTATTTAAATAAGTTAATTAATTGTTCTCCGTGAAATAAATAATTCATCGCGTTCGAGCATAGTTGACTCACCTGAGTTGCACACGTCGTAGTGCTACCACACGATATCGCAAAAGTTTCCCCTCCTATCAAGGGATTAATTCCCTGTGGATAAGCCGCCAATTCGGCGGTTTGGCAGACAACAAATATTTGTGCCCCGGTCGGCGAAGCCGAAATAAAATTCCCTCCGCCATCGTAAAGTCGCCCAACTAGAGGACTAGAAGCGTTCGCAATCGATGTTTCTAGCTTAGATTTGAATGTTCCACTACCTTGTGTTTCGTCGAGGATCAATTGTGCCGCATTTCCCAAAGTCACGGAAAAGTAGTACTGTGCACCCAGCAGACCCGGCGAGTGGATGTCGACGGCGTACGTACCGATGTACGGCTTGGCGATGTGTAGTCCATCAAAATAGCTTCCACCAGACTCAGTGTTGGCTTCAAAAGTCGCCACTGATGTACATGATACTCCATGCAGTGTCGACGATGTACTGGCAAGCCCAGCACATTCGCATGCGTTGCCTTCACCAGTTCTTCTGCACAAGGTGACATTTTGCGGCGATAAGTGCACACGTCTGCTAGGACATGTCTCGCAAGCTTTCGTTTCAAGATCATCGACGGGATTGAAAGCTCCGTCGAGAATAGTCACCACGACTGGGTACATTGCAACGTCCGACGCGGCGCGATATTGATGACAAGTGCAGTTGACATTAGTTTGGCACGCTCCGTCGACTGTGGCGCAGTACGGCAGTAAGCCGAGGTGATTGGATCGCCCTGCCGTGATCTCTAAATCCACGCTTGCAGACCTCAAACTCGAATCGGACGACACGAAAGTCAAATTGTACGTTCCTTTCTGCGGCTTGACGAGATGCAAACCTGAGAACGTCGCAGTCCCAGCGCTCGAAGTGGTTTCCACAAGAGAGCCGGTCCTCGGGTACAGTGAAGTATCTGTGTATACAGTAAGTACCGACGTTCTTGCGATTGTTGTCGCATTTGCACCGAGTATGAACGGATGAATTTCGACGTTTGTGTCATTCATCATCGCCGTCAACGTAACTCCGTTCGGCAAAGTCCCCGTCGGCGACTCATTTCCCGCCCCATCCACCGGTACGACGACGAAGTCATCCAGAGGCACAGAGTGCCCGGCTGAGTATGCTGTTGCCTCGGATAGTTGGATGCTTTCAGTGAATGATGGTGAAAATTCTAAGACTTTGGGGCTGGTGACCTTGAATCCGCTCACGGCTCCAATCAAAACGCTCACCGTGAGAACTGTACTTTGTAGCTTTCCCACGCGCAACTCGCCACTCACTTCAGCGCCAGTCTCAATGACATTAAGGGTGTGCGTACCGACTTTCGGTGAATTTGCAATCAAACCCGTGAAAGAAACTTGACCGTTGCCATTCGTGAACATCGCAGTCGTTCCAGAAAGTTTCAAAGTTTCGCAAGTCACTTGAATGGTACGATTTGGCGCTACTGCATCCGTGGTTGAGTGACGATCCGCGGTTCCCATTGAATTGCCGAGCATATCTTGAACGTATACCGTGAACGAACCCAATCCTACAGATTGATCAGCTGTTACCGATGATAATATCGATTGACTCGAAGCTAGTTCATATCCAGCATCTCCAGCTAGCACATTCACCACTTGGAGAACGGGTGTTAAATCGCCAGACGAGAATGTCAATCCGAACTCCCCGACGACAGGTCCGACTACTTTGAGATCAGAAAATCGCCATACACCGCTGTCGTCTCGTTTTACTTGCAAAGTACCATCCAAAGTGATACCAGCCGATGCATGTACGGTCACAGTACGCGGCGTAATTTCCGCCGCACCGACAAAGTTATTCCCCCCGTCGTATGCGCCAATGATAATTTCACCTACGGATTGCTTGGGTGCCTCGGCGTAAACTGTTCTCTTACTATACGTCCCATTTATACGAAGGTAAGACGGTTCGCCGATCTCCATTTGCATAATTGAATGCGCGCGATATCGAACTCCATTCAACGTCGTCGTAAACTGAACAATGTACTTTGAAGCCTCGCCAAAGTCTCCTCGTGTGGCATCGCTATACGTGATATCGTCCGTGGATCCTACAGCTCGTGAACCAGAAGGTGGCATAGCGACAAGTCTGAGATCTGAAAATGATACTCGACCATCATTAGTCGTCTTGTTCAGCGTTCCAGTGAGCTGGGCTCCGATACTTCTCTCTCTGTAGTCTTCGTTGCTGTTGAGTGTACCCGTCACGAGTGACGCTTGTACGGTGACGTCATCAAGAGATAGCGTCTGAAGCATACTTCCACCGATGTCAACGATGTCGACTGTCAAATGTCCGATCGATACGTTTCGGGCCGCGTCGAGCACGACGACATCTGTTGGAAATAACGTAGCACTTGATATCATAGAATTCTCCGTCGCCGCGCCGGGTGTCACCTTCAAACCACCGCTCGAACCTGGTGTTACGGATAAATAGGCGTGTGCAAGTACACCAAGGTCATCACTACATGCACCATCATCATTGGTACAATCGGTTGCGGTAAAAGTGATCACGTATTCCCCAGCGGTTGGTATCGAGGATAGCTGTGGAGTGAATGTTGCGATGCCGTCCGAAGTCTGCACTGATGACGTTGCCTCGGTGATAGCGACCTCTGACGGCCCAGAAATACTCGCCGAAATTGTGTAACCTTTCGTACCTCCTTGACCACGGTCATAGTTGATTTCAGTTCCATCGATATCCACAAGTCCAACCTTGAACGTTCCAAGTGAGAAATCTGTCGCGGCAACTCGAGCTTGATGCGAATCCGGTCCACTCAAGAGCTTAACTCCAACTGGTGGTCCATGAAGCTTCAAAATCCCTCCACTAACGTAATCAATACCGTTCAGTGCAACTGCGACCTGCGCATCTTGCGGTTGTCCGTTCGTAAGCCATGGAAGCGGACTCCCAACTGGATTGGCGCACCTTCCATTGACTACATTGCACACAGGACACTTGATTTCTGACGAACTAACGAACACCGCACTGGTCACACTCGTCGTGTTATCGTTGAACTTACATTTTAAATCGGGCGAATTCAGAAACGGACCTCCGAGTATGCGAAGCAGTACTGGCGCGAGATCGGCATCCTCGCCTGTGAGAAGAACCTTGGCGTCATCTGAACCAATCTTTGTACTAATTATGACGGCTGGATCGTGATAACGTAGATATATCTGACCAGAGTTCCACAGCGAGTTGGTCCAAATGCTTGTTGGATCGCTCGAATCGGTTGGTAATCCATCGAACGATATTTGGACTTCGCTATAACCTATAGTGGAGGAGTTTGAATTTGACGCCGACGGTGCCATGCATGAGAGCTCTGTCGCCGAAACATAAGTTGCTGGCGACCAAGATGTCTTCGAAAACCCATTATTAGCGTCATAAGTGTGTCCAAACCTACATGAAATCGAATGACTCATTCCACTGGCAAGGGTAGGCGAATAAAAGCCAGATCCATGAATTTTTATCGGCGTTCCAGACGTGAGCGCGCTGATGTGAGTCGGCTCGATCCCCGAAACGATCACCGTGGAGTACTTTGTGTACGTCGTACTCGCCGCAGAACTCACCGCGAACACGCTGCGCTCGCCCGGTACGGCGCTGATGCCACCGATGGTGTGGCTTTCTTCAAATGTCCCCACACGCTTGAAACAACCGCTTATACAAGCACTAGACGTGTCCGTACCCCCTATTTCGATCTTGACGATCCGACTCTTACCGCTTTCACGCGATCCCACGGCCCAGTACATGAAATCTTTTTCTCCTGCCGTCGCTCCGGTTTGAACGGTAGCGCTCAGAGCATCACGCTCTCCGAGCGCTGCGTCAAGAGCAATCACGGCGAGTGGACTATCGCCTTCAGCAAAATTCAAGTCAAACATGAAGATGCATGCCGCGCGATTTTTACACCCCGGACAGTCGCCGTCTCGACCTGAAGTGCCCACGTATCCATAGCCGTTGTGCTTTGTGATCGCAGTAAACGTCGAAAAGCGTCCTTGCTTTGAATCGAGCTGCCCTTCGCACGCCTCGAGCACCTTGACGTTTGTTGAGTCCAAATACATTTCAACCCCATCGCCGTCACGAGTCCCTGAGTTTGTATTCACCTTGAACAAAGTAGGATAAAAGGTTTTGCCATCGGAGTCATCCAAGAGGGCAGATCCAGCGAAGATGACATAGTTGACACCTGTTTGAGTATGCGCCACACTCGTCTCCAACCTCATGGCGTCCGGGGCAAGCGAACATGTGGGGCATTTAGTGCTCAGTAAACCCGGAGCTAAGAAGTTTATTCCTTTATCGTTCAAACTGCCGTCGACGTGACCAATGACGCTTCGCGACAGACCGTCTTCGTGCGTGGCCTTGTACACTATCATGCCGTTGGCTGGGTCTGTGCCCATGGCATCCAAAATGTACTGCTCTTTTGAGAAAGTCGCACTCGCCTGACCATTTGTCAATGAACTGAGAACGCAGTTCGCCCACTGCGATGAATCTGATGAGCATGTAGTACCGACATACTTGAAAAGCGAAAATCTAAACTGATTTGCCGTGGTCTGATGCCACATGTTCACTGGCACGACGACGCCCGTCAGCGCTGTCGACAAATCGGCAGCCATTTTAGCGTACACTCCGTACCAACCGCGCGACTTCTGAGGATCCACATGTCCATATGCTCTCGGATGCTTCGCTGCGCACCCGCTCGAGATCCCAATACCGCAAAAATTTGGCAAAGGTGTTATCGACAATGGCACCGCGCCCGTTGTCTCTCGTCTCGGTCCGTTCGTTTGTCCCCAACCTCTCGCCGTCACTGCGTTTGAGGTAAAAGTCTCCGGATACCTCGGATCGACTTCGATCACTCGCGTTCCATTAGCATCTTGCGCGTAGACGTAAATTACGTTCTTTCGCGTGTCTACCATGACGTCTTCGACGTACTTTTCGTCGTACGCCGTCCCGGCGGTGTCGTACTCGTACCCCGCCGTCCCATCCAAGCGCGACTCTTTCACCACCGATGGCGTGGGAACATCGCACGCAAGTCCTGCCCATCCTGCCTCGCACGCGCACACGCCGTCTAAGCCGCATCGCCCCTGTCCAGCGCTCGCCGAGCACCCGCGCTCGCAACGATTGAACGTCAAGCCTTGACATGAGTGCGCCAACGACGCGATGACGACGACGAGCGCGACGGTGACGAGCGCTCTGAACCCTCGGCGCGAGCTTGTACGACCGTTACCACCCATCGTCGCGCGGCGAGCGGCGCTTGAAGTCGCGCGTTCCCGCACGCTCACCCCGCGTCCCGCGCGATGGCCGCGGCTTCCGACTTCACGAGACGATGCGACGCGCGCTCGAGCGCGTCGTCGGCGCGAGCGGCATGGACGACGAAGCGAATGAGCGCTGAGACGAAGTTTGTGTGTTATACACGCACCGCTCGGCGTCGACGCGGTGGAGTGACGCGGCGACGCGTTGACGCGAGACTCGACCACCAACGACTCCAAGCGACGAATGGAATCGTCGCGGCCGCCTCGGCGACGCGGTCGTTGGTTCGTTTGTGAGTTTATTTTCGTTTCAACGAGTTTTTACGCTTTGAAGAGTAATAATGGACTATTATTTTAGATATTGAAAAAGGAAAGTTGCAAACCCCAAGTCATGTCGCGAATCGCCCGTCTCGGCGCCCAAAGGCGCTTTGAGACGACGAGGTCGAAGACGCTAAACGTGCGATTTTGAGACGACCGCTCGATCGCGTGCGACGAATTTGAGTGAAACTTTGAAATAATTTGAAATTCACGCCTCAAGTGACGCTTGAGAGAGGTTTCTATACATTTCCAGAGATTTAACGGGATGGTACAGCGCGTCGCGGCGAATCGGCGCAAGTCTGGGTACCGCGTCAAAGTCAAAGGCCGGACGCCAGCGCATGTAAGCTACGTCGGGACCCAAATCACGGAACGAGAATGTGTCGGAATTCACCGTGAGGAAAGTTGGTAGGAATGCCTCGTGATGTCCGCTGCTTCTGGTAGAAGTGGAGAGGTGCGCCACCGCGGCGGCGGCAAAGTTTCGCGAGATCCGAAACGCGGGCAACAAGGCACTTTGCTTGCACCAATTCGGAAGGCCTCGACAGTACGTGCAAGATGGCCAGTGATTCCATGCCGTCTTGTTTGAGTACCGAAATGTTGTGTTGAAAGCGATGAGATCACTCGAATCTGATTCGTATTTCTCAAAAAGCGTTTGCCACGAGCCGGTGAAAACCACGTCGGGCTCGATGATCCAGCCGAAGTCGATCCACGCTTGATCTGGCTGCGTGAGCCATCTCAAGGCTCTTGGCTTCACTGAAGCACCGTATATTCCTGAGAACAACTCGAACGAATGACTTCCGTAACGCAATCGTTCCACCTCCCGAGAGGCTTGCACGACTGTCGCGTCGTCGGCAGTTGACGTGTTGAACCAAGGGCGAAACTTGCCTTCATAAACCAACACTTGGGCAGAGATTCGTGCAGAGCGAGTGTTCGAGAAAACCGTGTCGCGAGCGAGGCGGTGCAGATCGTCTAGTTTCCTGTCGTTACCAACCGTCAGAATTACGACTGTGTGTACGCTACTTTTTGTTTCTGGAAGGGGGTAGAGAAAGGCGAAGAGAAACGAACCACACACGAGCACAAGGAGCAGCCAACGCTTAGTCAGTTCACGAGCCCGGCGCTTGCGCATCTAAACGCACAGATTCAATAATCGACGCGGAGTTTTTTGTTTACATCAGCGTGCGCGCGCAGAGGTGCCGTTTTAGAAGTGCCGAGGCTCGAGGGCGCGTCGCGTCGCGTCGCGTCGTATCGCGTCGTGTACCGCGCATTCTACGTTTTCTATTTCACACATTCCCTTCTAAGTTATCTTAATCGAGCGCCAATGGAATATCCCCTTCTTGCAACAATCTTCCAATCTGTGCCATCCGATCCCTGTTTGCCTTCTTCTCCGTGGCCATATCTAAGAGTAAGCTTCGCATCTCGTGCTCGACGTCGTCGACTCGCTCGTACGCTTCGCGCACGATGGCATCGCTTTCCTCTCTGATGGCGATTGCCCGCGTCTCATACATACTGGCCTTATCCCTCGCGATCGCCAGTTGTTCACTCAGCTCCTCCAATTGGTGCTGCAATTCTTTACTCTTCGCTTTTTCGATACTATCACTCGTCTCCAGAGTCTGCGTCAACCGCTTGATCTGGGATTCCATGTGAACAATTATGCGGTCGCGTTCAGCCACGGCATTATTTGCTTTGCTGATCGCGTGCTCATACGATGCGTGATCGACCTCGGAGTCCGCGAGAGCATTTTCTAGCTCTGTGATGTTCATTTCCATCGACTCTACCTGTTGGACCAAAGATCGACACTCTTCCGACATCGCATTCATCCTTGCTTCCGCCTCCACCATTCTCGCGTCGTGCGTCCTCAACGATTCCGCTTTTTGTTCGCGTAATCGAACAGCTTCATCCTTCAGAGACTTAATGAGCTGATTCTGGTGCTGAAGCATATCGTTCTTGATCTTTGTGCTCTCATCTGCTGATTCGAGCTTCAATTGAAGAGCCTCGACGTCCCGGATGAGTCGCTCGGCGAGCTCTTCTCGCTCGCGAGCCTTCTCTTCTCGCGCCGCGGCGGACCTCTCAGCCTTCAACGCCGCGACTTTGGCGCTCTTGATCGTCGCATGCGTGCTTTCCCTATCTATCACCGCCCCACGGGCGCGCTCGAGCTCTTCTTCCATGAGAACAACCATCTCACGCGTCTTGGCGTAACCTTCGAGTTGATCGCGTTGACTTTCCACCACTTGCGCCAATTCCTCGTTGAGTGTCTCAGCCTCGGCGCGTTCGGCACACGCGACTCGAAGTAATTCTCGCATCTCACTGAGACCCGCTTCTTGGGCAGCAATTTTCTCGTTACTCGCGATCGCGGCTTCTTCGTGCGCATGCTGTTCGCGTTCCATCGACGAAATACGCTCCTTCAAGCGCGCGTTCTCCTCGATGGCTTGCGCGTACACCGTCGATTCCTTACGAGCTTCGTTCACGCGATCGTTTAGCAACGCGTTTTGCTCGTCCATGTACATGGCTTTCAGATTTGCGAGATTCTCCGCAGATTCCGTCCTGACTTCTTGCAATATCGTCTCCAACTCACTGACTCGCAGTTGTGCTGCTTCCTCGTTTCTCGACGCGCGCTCGATGGCTTGCGAGGCTTTGGTCAACTCTCGGCGGAGAGTTTCGACTTCTTCACGAAGGCGGCGCTCGCTCGCGTCGTCGATCGTCACGTTAGACATCGCACTCTTCTGCGTCTCTACGTCTTTCATCAAAGGTGCCTCCGTTTGACTCGACTCTTCCCGAACGCGCCTGACGACTTGCTGATCAAAATCGATGGCTCGCTTCGCCGCATCCCCGTTGACCTGCACGCCGCGCGATTTGACGCTCTCATCGGCGGCTTGGAAGGCTGTTTGTCGTTTTTCACCCGAACGGTCCCCGCGTTGAGGCGTTCTCGAAAACTGCTCTGCGTGGGGAGGCGTCATGCTGCTTCGTCCGGGAGCCGTCGTCGCAGACGCGTCGAGAGTCTTTGTCATCGCCTTTGTGCACGTTTCGACGCTTAAAACCACACCATCTAGGTGCGTGAGCCAAGGAACGAGCGATGCCATCGTAATTCTATATGACGGCACATCGCACATCCCGTTCGTTTCTTTCCCGATCACCGATCCTTCTTCCATTTTCAACCGAAGCGATTCCAAGCGCGTCAACTCGCTGAGCGCTCGCGCGGCTTGGAAACTTTCCAACGCGTTCCCTCGCGCGTCGAGCGCGCGAATGCCCCACTCCGCCCCGTCACTCCTCGCAAACCCACTCAAAGACTTGATTTTATTATTGGAAATGTTCACTCGCTCCAGCGTCGTCGACGCTCGTTCGAATCCCCTCGTCGACTCGAGCGCGTTGCTCGCCAGATTCAGCGTTCGCAGGCGAGTCAACTTTTCCAACCCTCTCGCCTCCGCGATGGCGTTCGACGACAGATCGAGTTCTTCCAACCGCGTCAACACCGCGAACGCTTCGCAATCCATGCTCGTTATCTCGCACGCGTGCGCTCGCAGCGCGCGTAAATTTACGAATCTCTCCAGCGATTCGATCCGCTCCGGCGTCCCGAGCGCCGTCCCGTACGTCGCCAGCTCTCGCACGTCCTCATCCGCCATCGTCGTCGACGGTCTCAGATCGATCGTCCCTCGACCTCCCGCACCGCGCGCGCCCGCGTCTTCTACCTCGCGCCCCGTCGTCCCTTCCCCCTCCCGCGCGCGCGTCCGCGTCCCGTCCCGCCCCTCGCGCGCGCGTCCCGATAACGAGGCGTCGTCGTCGCCATCGCTCGCGTCGTCGCCATCGCTCCCTCGGTCCTTCGCCCGCGTCCCGACCGCGACCGCGACCGCGCGCGCGGAGTCCTCTCGATCGAGCGTCGCGCCCTCGCTCGCGCGCGCCTCCCGCGCGCGCTCCATGCGCGCCGGCGCCCGAGCCGTCGCGAAGTCGCGGTCGACGGACAGACATCGCGCGCCGGAGACGCCGGGCGCGTGCCTTGATTTTCCGGGTGTGCGGACCCCTCGCGTCGACGGGTCGCGACCCGCGACGGGGGTTCACGGCGCGCGATCGATCGAGATCCGCGAAAAAGGCGACGCTCGGCGACGCTTGGCATGGCGCGTCCGAACGTCCGAACGTCCGAACGTCCGAACGTCCGAACGTCCGAACGTCCGAACGTCCGAACGTCGACGCGCGCGCGTCCGAACGTCGACGCGCGCGCGGCGCGATGCGGGCGCGACGGGCGGCGACGGCGGCGACGACGCGATCGAGGGCGAGACGAGACGAGGACGGACGACGCCTCGAACGGGCGTCGCGCGTCGCGACGACGACGACGACGACGACGATGGCGACGACGACGACGACGACGACGACGACGGCGACGACGGGAAGGCGACGGCGCGCGGAGGCGTCGGGCGGCGCGGTGACGACGGCGCGCGAGGGCGCGCGCGAGGGATGGGGCGCGAACGCGCGGGGGTTCGCGTGCGGCGCGCTGGTCGTCGGGGCGGCGACGGGGGAGGGGGGGTGCGAGCGGCGCGGGGCGGCGGCGGCGGAGGCGGCGCCGACGTCGAACAAGTCGACGGCGCAGTGGCGAATATACACGGATATAGGACGAGGATTGGTGCAAGAGGGAAAACTCGACGAAGCGCGACGGTATTTACAGCGCGCGCTGGTGGAGGCGAAGAAAGGGTTCGGCGAGGACGACGCGCACGTGGCGGCGGCGCTCAACAACCTCGCCGAGTTGAATAGAATCGAGGCGAGGTGGGAGGATTCGCAAGCGATGTTCGAGGAGGCGCTGGAGATATTGCGACGGAAATACGGAGAAAATCATCCAGCGGTGGGAACGGCGTTACACAATCTCGCGGGGTGTCGACTCGCGCAGGACGACGTCGACGGAGCGTACGATTTGTACGCCAAGTCGCTCGCTCGCAAAGAGGCGACGCTCGGGACGAATCATCCAGAGTACGCGACGACGCTCTATCACATGGCCGAGGTGCTGTGTCGAAGCGATCGTAAAGAAGATGCCATAGTGCTGCTCGAAAGATCGATCAAAGTGAGCGAAGAGATCGGTGCCGCGCACACGGACGCGTGCGCGCGGCGCATGAAGCGTCTCGCGCAACTGCTGTGGGAGTGCGAACGATTCGAGGACGCCGAACGCGTTCGGCGCCGTATTTTAAGCACTCTGGAGCACATGAATGGGATAGATCACGTGAAGATTGCTGGTGCTTGCGAATCGCTCGCTCTCGTGCTCATGAAGCTCGGTCGTCTGGCCGAAGCGACGTCGTTGCTCGAGCGCTCGGCGAAGATTCTCGCTCGAGTGCGAGGAGACGGCGGCGCGCTCGCGCTCGCCTCGACGCGTCTGCATCTCGCCGAGGCCGCGCAGGGGATGGGAAACGACGACAAAGCGCTTAAGTTCTGTCGTCTGGCTCTCGAAATACTCTCACCGAGCGCGCTCGACGCGGTTCGTCGAGATGGTTTGCGTCCCGAGATTCGCGTCGGCGTCGTCGTGCAGCACGCGCGCGCCGCCGCGCTCCTTTGTGAACTCGCCCCTGACGACGCGACGGGGGACGAGCACGCGAGAAACGCCGCTCAAAACTTAGTCGCGGTGAAAGCGGTGCCCGGAATCGATCGTCGAGTCCTCGACAGCATCGATCGCGCCGAGTTTAATTTAACGCGAGCGAGCCGTCGCGTTCGCCAGTGATTAGTTCTCTGGTCTCAGAGTTGTATTTCTAAGCGCGCTATTCTAGTCTCTCTATCCACGTCGCCCCATCCCTCACGCACTGGCCGCATCTTCGTCCAGTTCCGGCAAGTCTTCGGGGTCGTAAATCACCAACAACACCAACGAGCACGACGGGCAGTGCGCGACGTCCTCCCCCGCGCGCAATTCCTCGAGCGTGATTTGGAAAAAGTCCCCGCACGGGCACTGATACGTGTACGCCTTGAGGTCATCGCGCCACTCCATGTCCTCCAGATCGACTTCATCGTACGCCCCGCTCATCGCTCGCGCGCCGACGCGCGCGTCGTCGCGCGCTCGGTGGTCCGCCGCGTCGCGCACTGCGCCGCCGACGCGTCCTCGCGGCGCCGTTTCCCGGGGCGGGCTGGGGTTTAGCCAATATTTCGCGAGGAGGGCCACGAGACTCGTATTCGAACACGATTTAAGTCGATTCGAGACACGCATCACGAGACACAAAGCACGACGCACGCCCACCGTCCTCGAACGCGGTCGCTCGCGACGCGCGCGTCGTCGAGGCCGTCTCTTTCTGACGCGCGTCGTCGGTCGTGTAGTAGGTGCGTCCGTCGAGGCGACGCGAACGCGCGCGGAACGCATCGATGCCCGCGATCGCGCGTCGGCGCGCGGTCGAGCGCGACGGAGAACGACGGCGCGGACGTCGAGCGCGCGCATCGATCGCGGGCGTGACCCTAGGCGGCGTCGCGCGCGATTCGCGGGAAGGCATCGCGCGAGGCGTCGACGAGGGGATCGAGCGATCGATGCGTCGGATGCAGACGAAATGTTCGCGTCGTGCGCGCGTCGTGTCGCGCGCGCGCGCGGGATGCGCGCGATGAGGCGTCGTGACGCGTGTTCGATCGCGTTCGGAAGCCCTAAGGCGGGAGGACCGGGCGCGACGCGCGGGCGCGCGGACGAACGCGAGCGTCGCGGGGACGCACGGCGCGAGCGAACGTGGAAAATATAATCACTGTTTGCGTCCGGCGCGCGAACCTTGGACCTCGAACGATGAAACTGACCAGAACGCCTCCTTCCTACGCGCAGATAGATGGGTAACCAACGCGCCCGATCGCGCGGTTTGCGCCACGGCACCCGCAACTTGTTCTCCCGTGGTCACCGTGAGCATGGTACTTTGAACACGACGACGTACTTGCGTACGTTCCGTGTCGGTGATTACGTCGACATTAAGGTGAACTCGGCGCAACAAAAGGGTATGCCGTACTTGCAGTACCAAGGCAAGACGGGCATCGTGTGGAACGTGACGCCGCGAGCTGTGGGTGTGGAGATTAACAAGACCATCGGTGGTCGCATCGCTCGTAAGCGCATTCACGTGCGCGTTGAGCACGTGCAACACTCCCGATGCCGTGAGGATTTCATCGCCCGTCGTGCGGCGAACGACAAGGCGCACCACGAAGCGAAGTTGGCTGGAAAGAAGATCGTGACCAAGCGTCCGGTCACTGGCGCGCCGCGCACGGGGTTTGCGCTCGAGAACGTGAAGTCGGAACTCTTGACTCCGATCCCGTACGATATCTTGCGCGAAGGCATGAAGTACTAAATCTTAGCATACGAATCGGATTGGGTTTGTAAACTGTAGGTGAGACCTGCTTAAAAATTTCAAAGCTCCCGTCGCGTCGCTTGGCGTCCTCACTATCACGCTCTCGCGCGTCTCAACGCGTCACCATGTCGCTTCCTCCCGAATTGCTCGATTTCTGCGTGTGCAAAGGTCCGGGGGACACGATTTCTGAACAGCAGCTCGCCGACGCAGGGGTGAAGCGCGCCGTCATTCACGGAGACGCGGCGCTGGATACGAAGAATGCGCTCGCAGTCACGTCGTTGTGCAAAGTCAGGTTGAAATGGAAGTTCGACGATGAAGAGTGCTGGAAACAGGATGAATTCGTCGTGTACGATGGAACAGTACCGAGCGGTGTCGAACTGGCGATCATGAATCTTCACGAGGGCGAAAGTGTCGCCTTCAACGCGCGCGGCGAAGCGGCGCTGACTGATTTCGAGCCGCTGCCCAAGGCGGACATCTCACAGGTCTTTCGGTCAGGTCAAGCGGAGGTCTTGGATGTCAAACTCGAGCGTAAGGATAAGTTTGACATGAGCGCGAGCGACAAAATCGCATTCGGCGAAAAAATGAATGAGATTGGCAAGAAGTTGTTCGCGAACGGTCGACTGGCGCGCGCCGCTGAGGTTTGGAAACGAGCCGCCGAGGTTTTCGCAGTTTTAGAGCCCGAAGACGAGGACGTGAATCCGAACGGGATGAAAAATAACGAGGCATGTCACGAAGTAGCTCGAAAAGTCTACCTGAATATGGCTCTCGTCATGTACAAACTCGAAAACTTTACTGAATGTGAATTGTATTGCTGCGATGTATTGGACACTCGCGTCGATGAGCCGACGTACTCCCAAATCAAATCGAAGGCGCTGTTTCGACGAGGTTGCGCTCGACTGAAGCTCAGAAAAGTTTCGCTTGGATCTAGAATCACCGCTGACACGGCTGAGGCGGATTTCTTCCTCGCCAGCGAGCTCGATTCTAGCATCGACGTCGCCGCGCATTTCGACGCTTGCACGGAACTGCGAGAGCAACTCTTGGCGTCTGGAGTTGAAATCCCGTCCGACGACGTCGAAACGCCGAACGTCGAAGATGAGATGAATCATTACCCTACCGATATCGAACACGCTTTGCGCCAAATCCGACGCGAAAATTTACACGACGGGTTGGCGTTCGAACATCCGCAGAAGCGCGCGGCGATTCTTGAAGAGCGCATGCGCGTCTACAGGCGACTCATGGATGAAACGCCTTGGAGCGCGCTTCGAGGAACGATGTTCGATGCGGACTCTGAAGAGCTGCAAAAAACCGCCACCACTGCGCGCGAGGTTGATACATGATTTATAACAAACAACAACGACATTATTAACTGTTTCTCATTTTCGAAGCCGCGGCGTCGTCGACGATCCATCGCACGTCCCCGGTGACCAAGGCGGCGGGCACGGAGCCATCTTGCGGCGCCTCTTCCAATATTCGAGCCGTCATTTCGGCTTTTCCCGCACCGGAGGCGACAAAAACTTTCGCTCGAGCGGCGTTCACCAAGGGCAAGGAGAACGTCACGCGTTCCGGCGGCGGTTTCGGCGAGTCGGCGATTGGTAAAATCCATCCCTCGGTCTCGCGCAACAGCGCGTGGTTTGGAAACAGCGAGCAGATGTGACCGTCGGGCCCGAATCCGAGCAAGAGCATGTCGAACACCGGCAATCCATCTTCGTTCAACTCGATCACGTCCGGCGTCAGCGCGCGTAAATCTCTCTCGTACGCCTCCGCGCACGGCTTCGCCGCGCCCTCGTTGCGTTCGCACAGCGTCTCGTCGACGGCGTACAACCGTTCTCGCTTCACGCTCACGTCCCCGAACAGCGCCCGCATCGCGCCTCCAAAATTCGATTCCTCGTCGTCCCACTTCACGCATCGCTCGTCCACCCAAAACACTCGCCATTTATCCCACTCCACTCGCCGCGTCTCCTCCCGCAGCGCTCCGAGCGCCTTCGCGAGCGACCCCCCCGCGAGCGCCACCGCGAACGTCCCTCGCTTCTCGATCGCTTCTCTCGACGCCGTCTCCACCGCGTCCGCCAGCGCCTTCGCGCACGCGTCGTTATCGCGCACGCGTTCCATCGTCACCGAGGTCGCATCCATCGCGTCCCGACGACGATGTCCCGCGCGACGACGATGTCCCGCGCGACGTCCCGGTCGTCGCTCGAGCGGTCGACGCCGCGCCGCGATCGTCGCGCGCGAGTCCGACGCCCGCGCGCGTCGCATCGGATCGATCGCGCGCGAACCACCGCGTCGCGCGGTGCGCGCGTCGTCGCTCGCACGGCGCGCATCCATCGGTCGATGCGATTCGATTCGACGCGACGCGCGCGCGCGCCGCACTCGACGACGCGACGACGGCGGATGGCGACTCGACGCGCGCTCCGACCGCTCATGGACCGCGTGCTGGTGGAGCGCATCGCGCCCGCGACGAAATCCGTGGGGGGGGTGCTGCTGCCGGAGAGCATGACGGGGAACACGGTGCGTCGACGACGAGGACGAAGGCTCGCGAAGGATGGTCGGCGGCGACGCATGCGCGCACGCATGAATGAATGAATGAATGAATGAATGAATGCGCGCGCGCGCGCGGACATCGACGACGGTGGCGGACGAAAAAACAAAGGATGAAAGACTGACGCGGAGAATCGCGCGATGACGACGCGGACGCAGATGAACGAGGCGAAAGTGATCGCCGCGGGACCGGGACGAAGAACGATGAGCGGCGAGCTCGTGCCGTTGGGTGCGAGACGCGACGCGCGCGCGCGATGAAACGCGAAACGGACGCGAAACGGGACGAACAGACGACGGTGACGACGATGACGACGACGATGACTGACGAAGGAATCGATGACGGTTCGGACGAGGCGCAGAGATTAAGGTCGGGGACGTCGTCGCGCTTCCGGAATTCGGCGGCGCCGCGGTGAACGCGGGCGACGGCTCGGGGAAGGAGTACTTTATCTATCGCGAAGAAGAGATCGTGGGCGTCGTGGAGTGAGCGCACCGCGCGTGACGCGAATTTAGCATCGATCGACGCGCGCGACGCGTCGTTTAATCCGACATTACGGGCATTCATTCAAAGTCGACGCGCGCGCCTCGCCCCGGCGGGTTTCGACGCGAGCGACAATCGACGTCGCACAACGCGACTCGCGGGTCGACCGCGCGCGCGATCGCGCGTGATCGCGCGACGGATTCGTTTACACGTCACGTCGCGCGCGCGCGAAGCGCACGCGCTCGTACGCGCCGCGAACGCGCGAACGGTGTCGATTCGATTTGAACTCTCGACGCGACGGGATTTTGACTTTGAAACGCGCCGACGCGCGCGATGACGCGCGAGGAGCGAGGATCGTCGGCGAAGAAGAAGCGTCGAACGTCAACGTCGAGCGCGAAGGGCGAGAGCGGGGCGACGCTCGACGGACAACGCGAGGCGCGCGCGCTCGGGCCGTGGTCGACGACGGCGCGCGCGCGAGAGGAACGCGCGCGCGCGCGCGCGCACGCGAGCGCGAGCGCGAGTGGGAAACGAACGAGGGAGGAGGAGGAAAAGGGATCGTTTCGTGGATTATTCGTGGATTGTCGGACGGTGGACGATGACGCGGCGTTCGAGGCGTGGGAACGGGAGATGCGGGCGGTGGGCGAGGCGCTGCGCGAGTGCCCGTGTACCGAGAAAGACTGGGAGAGCGTGGGGGCGATGGAGAGTGCGCAAGGCGAAGGCGAAAGTGATGCGTGGGAAAGCGAGAAGATTTGGCTTCATAAGATGTCACGCATCGCGTTCTACGACTCGCAACCGCTGAGCGAGACGAACGCGTGGCCGTTCGCTTCGAGAACGAAGAAGGACGCTACAAAGTCGACGGTGGCGCTCTTCAAGGCGAGCGTCTCGGCTTTCATCGCAGCGAAAAATACGCAGCGACTTGCGGAAGTGGACTGGAAATTACAAGAAAATAAATTAATCAACAGTTGGAAAGAATTGCTTATGACCCACACGCCTCGTCCGGGAGGCTTGGCAGACGTGTCGTGCGAGTTCAACGTGCACGTCACAGCGCTCGAGCAAGAGTTGGCGAAGAGACAAAATGAAGGTGATAAATCGGATGAATTTGGACGGCGCATCAAACACATCAAAATCATGATACAGGTGTTGCAAAGCATAAAGGCGAGCTTCCAGTACTGCGCCACGGCGCTTTATGACACCGTGTTCGCGCCTCTGAGAGCTTTTTCTTCGGCGTCCATTACGAGTGAAAATTTCGAATCCGGCGTGGAGTTCGTCTCATGGGCCAGTCGCTCGGTGATGATCGCATCCGAACTGTGCCAAACGAAAGATTCATATCACGTTCGAATGACGCGATACACCAAACACGAGTTTTTGAATTGGTCACGAAAACTTTTGGACTTCTTCTACCACCACCTATCGTCCGTGAGAGGTTCGCACATTGTCGAAACACTCGGGTCAGGTAGTGATTGTGCAGAATTAATGCAGCTCATCAAGTGCTTACCCACCATGCGTCTGACGCTACCGTGCAAAGGGACTAGCCGGCGTGCCACCTATCTTTCGGACACAAGATTTTCGGACAAATTTCAACGAAAGCTGACACGATTCGCTCTCACGGTGATCGGTGCTGCAAAGTCTCAACTTTCGCAGCACACACAAACGCACAAATTAGGCAAATTTCTGTTCCCGGAGTGGATCGAGCATCTCGTCGATACCATCGAGCACAATAAGAGTTACACAGTGAAAGAGCTAGCCCGGGAGATTCTTCTCTCGTTGGATATTGCCAACTTGCTCGCAACTCGTGTAGAAGTGCTCAGCGTAAAATCTCTCATAAAATTGTCTGACGATGAATTGTCTGTCGACGACGAATTGTCTGTCGACTACGATGACGACGTAAAAGAGCTCAAAGAGTTGTTATCATGGCTTCGCTCAATATTAAGCGTGCATCCATCCAAGTTGAGGAACGTGGCTGACTTGGCGAAGGACTTGATTTCCGTCTTTGGATTCTGTCGCCTCCGACGCGAAACACATGGTGACAAAGTTCAAAAAAGTGGGCATGATCATAGTTTAGAGTCGGACATATGCAGTATCTTTGCGTGCCTCGCCGTCAGTCGCGATCACGACCTTGACGATGAAGAGAAGCTCAAATCTTGTCCGTGTGAGATGGTCAAGTTGAGATCTGAAGACGCGAGAAAAATGATTCAGCAATTGGTGATGCATGAAGATCATCTCGACGATGTCGAGGCGGTGATTTTGAATATGCTAACGCTGGATCGAACGAGCATGTCAGCGAGCGATACAACCATCCCTTCCGCTTTGGCCGCGCTGACTATGTTGGTCCGAAAAAATTGTGTCCTCAGGGAGCGATTTTTCAAATCGGGCGACACCACCAACACGTTGTTGGAGATTCTTGAGTGCAAGAATGCGAACGTAGCGCGCATCACCAGCGCTTGCATTCTGTCATTCGAAGAGCATCATCGGCTCGTGACTAGTTTGTACAAACCGAACGTGATCACCGATAAAAAAGGCGAGCAAGTGACTGAAATATCTGGTTGGGACGTTGACACGATTCGTCAGTCGCTCAGAGCCATCTCTGCGCTCGTCAAAGACTCTACCGTGTCTTCAATCGGTTTCGATAGCGCCATTTTGGAAGTCATCTGCACTGATAGGCGAATGCTTGTTCTTACGAACAAGATCAAGGCGACGATAGAAAAGAAGATTAACAAGAGTATGGATTATCCCAACTCCCGGCTCTGCTTCCCAGAAGCTCTGCTTGAAGAATGGGTGTTCGATCTACTCTGCATGAGAAGCGATCTTCTCACTCAAATGGCCACTGCGGTCACAAACGGCGGCGGTGACCCGTGGAAAAACTTCAAGCCTAAACATGAAGAGTTCGCGAGTTTCATCAGTCGTGAGTTTGAAGTCGCGAACACCGACGCGACGATACCACCGGAGGCGCACGCAGAATGGTTTCAAGAGGTCGTGACATTGGTGACAACTGTGCAAGAAAAACTCAAGAAAGACGAGGAAATCTCCGACGTCTGCAGTATTTTGATGGATGGAGACACCGATGGTCCATCTTCCCGTGTTGGTATCGTAGTCCCCATCTTAACTCTGTTACACAAATGTCGCATCTTGCAGGAGCACAATTTGATTTCCGAGCTAGAAGTCGAGGGCATCAGCGATATTGAAAAAGAAGCGTGTTACGTCATCGGCTTATTAGCGAGTAAGCAAGGAATTCAAGATCGTATCGCAAGCTCTTTCCTTATCGAAGGCAAGAACGGAATCGAGCAATTAATTCCGCTCTTGCAACGATACCAACCCAGTGCGAAAAACGCCGCGAATGCCAGTGTTGCGAGACGCGCATCGGATGCAATCACAAACTTAGCACACGAGAACAGTCGCATTAAAACGATGGTTCGAAATGCGAATGGCATCCCTCCTCTGGTCAATCTATTGGAATCGCAAGAGAAAAAAGTCCAGAAGGCTGCCGCTAGTGCGCTCAGAACTCTGGCTTTCAAAAATGGTGAAAATAAAAACCAAATTGTCGAGTGTGGCGCACTTCCGAAGCTCATTTTCATGGCTCGTTCAGAGGACGTAATGATTCACAAAGAAGCAATTGGTGTGATTGGAAACTTGGTTCACTCTTCGCCGCACATCAAACGACGCGCCCTCGACGAAGGAGCGCTGCAACCCGTGATTGAATTGCTCAAGTCTCAGTGTTCCGAAACGCAGCGTGAGGCGGCGTTATTGCTTGGTCAGTTTGCCGCGCGCCTTGAGCCTGCAGCGCCGGGTGATCCAGACTATCGGACAAAAATAGTCCAGCGTGGAGCTGTAGAGCCGTTGATTAAAATGCTCGGCGGTCAATTTGTCTATCGTGAACCTGGTCTTCGAGAGATGGCAGCCTTTGCCCTCGGTCGACTTGCGCAACACGGGGATAATCAAGTCGGAATCTGCCATTCGGATGGATTACGGCCGTTGTTGACGTTACTCGAATCAGAGATAGAAGATATCGCCGAAGGACTTCGTCATCATAGCGCTTCCGGGAAGTCTGATCACGAGATCGATCTAGACGCCAAGCGCTTTGCTGAAAATTTGCAGCACAACGCTGCGTTTGCACTCTATGGCCTAGCCGCGCATCAAGACAACGTGCCAAAGATGCTCAAAGAGAACGCCTTCATGCGGTTGAAATTTTCTCATCTCATCGCCGAACAGAGCAAACAATGTGTGAATAAAACGTTAAAGCGGCTCGAGGACGGAGTCAGCCGCAGAGATGTCTTGACTTATCTCGGTTTCGTCATAAGCACTGGCAAGCCAGTCGAACGTCAAAGAGTAACGCTCGCTCTGGCTTGGCTAATCAGGAAAGAAAACCAAGACTATCTGAAAGACATGCGCGCGGTTTTCATAGACAAAGGTGGTCTTGACGTCCTTTCTGGCGCTTTACTTGATACGCCGGCGGAGCCCATAGACTTTTCTGGGCATACGAGTGGTCTCGCCGGTGGCAAACGCATTGTAAACGTGATAATGGAGGCTCTGAGAGAGATTAAGGACAAGCTGGTGTCACAGGTTGTGGTGGAATCTCACATGATGCCGCCACCCTCGACGCCAACGGCCGAGGAGCATATGCCAGCGAACTTCAATGACCCCGAGCTTTCAGACGTGACGTTTATTGCTCGGGATGATGAAGGTGAAAAGCGAGAGTTCAATGCGCATAGAATCGCTTTTACGCACGCCTCTGATGCGTTCTTATCAACGCTCGAAGCGGGTAAAGCTGATGTCGACGTTTATCCCGCCACATACAAGGTTGACCTCGAAGACGTTTGTTGGAACGTGCTTGAGGCGATGATGGATTTCATTTACACGGGCACTGTCGGACCGATGTCCAGCCTCCGAGACCAGGCGTTTCTCCAGCATAGATGCGAGGACGTACTCTCCGCCACGACACGCTTCGACCTTCCCGGGCTCAAGTATTTGACCGAAAAACTTTTCATCGATAACGTGAAAATGGATACTTTCACATTCGCGAGAACGTGTGCATTGTATCGCGCCGCCGTGGAGCACGACGCCGTGGCGATCCAGGACCACGTGCTGGGCTATGTTCTCGACAACTACGACAAACCTTGGATTGACGACGATGTCACGATGAATTGTCTCACTTCATACAAAGCGCGCGTGAAAGACATCGTCGAATGCTTCGGGAAAGGCTTGGTGAAATACCTTGACAAACTGTTGCGCCGAGAGCGCGTCGCCGTCGTCGCGGACGCGCAAGACGAATGATGACAGCATTTGCACGCATCCTAACATTGTAAAACACACACGAACGATTCATAGTAGTGAATCTAGAACAACGAATTGAAGCAAATACTGCGTCTGATTACACAATTGGACTAAAATAATCTGCCGTCACCGCGCTACCTAAGGTTCGTCTCGTCCCGCTTAAGAAATGATCAGCGCCTTCTTGAGCAAAGCACCCACGGTCTCCGACGGTTGCGCACCCTTGGCGATCCAATCCTTGATCGCCGGCGCATCCAAAGAGGATTGCTTGCGGATCGGATCGTACCACCCCAACTGTTGGATTGGCAAACCGTCGCGGCGCGCGCGCGAGTCGATGGCGATGATGCGATAAAACGGTTCCTTCTTGCGACCCATGCGAGTGAATCGAATCTATATCGCGTCGTAATCGCGCAAACTCGTCAGTCTCCCGTTCACACTCCCGTTCACTCCTCGTTCTCGACTCTCCTTCGCGTCTTTCGCGTTCGAAATCCCCATCCTCGCGTTCGTCTCCCCGAGGTCAAGCCCTGAGGAAATAGGGTTCCTCCCTCCCTCGCATCTCGCGCGACGTACCGCAACTCTGTTCTCCACGCGCAGCGCCGCGCGAGCGCCCGTGATGGTTCTCTTTTCAACCTATCGTCGCGCGCATCCACCGTCCGTCGTCAGTCGTCGCGTTCGCGTCCTCGTCGTCCGCCGTCGCCGCGACCCCACCCATCGTCGACGGCGTCGCGCGATTCGGTCGTCCCGCGTCCCGCCGTCGCGCTTCGCGCGCCGCCGCGTCGTCGTCGTCGTCTCGACGATTCAATTTTACGCGACGCTCGCGCACCTTGCTCTGCACGCGCGCGCCGCCGACGAGGGCGGCGCTGAACGTGAACGTGCTCGCGCTCATGACGGACGCGGTGTGCCGCGACGACGCGCGCGGGGGCGCTCGACGCGCGACGGGCTGTTGGTGGCGTGCGATCGCATCGCGCCCGATGCGCGTCCGTCATGGGATCTCTCGCGCGCGGAATACGCGATCCCGACGCCTGCGCTCAAAAAATGCGAAAACGAGACGTCACACGGACCGCGAACCCTCGCGCTCGAGGTCGCGCGATCGCGCTCGACGCGGCCTCTTTCGTCGACGCGCGCGCGACTCACGATGATCAACGCCGACGGTGAAAATGTGGACCTGTACATCCCGAGAAAGTGCTCGTGGACGAACCGCCTGATCACGGCGAAGGATAAGGCGTCGGTGCAGCTGAACGTCGGGCATCTCGACGCGAACGGGGTGTACGACGGACGGTACACGACGGTCGCGCTCGCGGGTTACGTGCGAAGCAAGGTGCGTGCGCGCGCTCGATGCGATGGGGAAGAAATGTTTGCGTCGCCCGGGCGCGGGCGGCGGCGATGGGGGTCGACGATGCGCGCGCGACGCGGCGATCGCGCGGTGGTCGAGCGAGGCTAGGGCTTTTGAGCGCGCGCGCGGGCGACGAGGCGGGGCGCAGGACGTCGAGTGGGGGCGACGAGGCGCGTTTGGGATGGTTAAGGCGCGAAGCGGAGAGATCGCGCGCGTGGTGCGCGTGATGCGTCGTGCGAACGCGTGTACTGACGAATCGACGCTCGTTTGTTTCCCGCGAATAGGGCGAATCCGACTCCGCCATCGACTTGCTCTGGCAAAAGAAGAAGGCGGCCATCAACCAAGCGTAAGCGTTCCTGAATGCGTGCTTCATTCGATGGTTAGCGGAGGGTGTGGCGACGATGATAGACGAGACCAGACCGGCGACGAGCTGGATATAGACTTTGCAAACCAATCACAGGTTTCTTACATTTGAGCGCGGAGACGGCTCCTCGCATCGCGACGAACGCGCCTCCTCGCGACGAACGCGCTTCGCTTCGCTCGTCGTCATCGTTGTTCGCATCACGCGTGCGTTATTTTTCTGTTCCCACGTCATTATTACAAGTTTTATTTGCCCCCATTCTCGTCCCGAGCCTCGTTTCGAGCGCGCGCGCCGCTCCGCGCGCGCTCGCGTCCGTCGTCGCCTCGACGTCGACGCACGGTCGTCGTCGTCGATCGAAGTCGTCGATGTCTGTCATCCCTCGACTCAGTCTCGCTTCAACATGTTCTTCAATCCCCCGGTCGTGCTCGTGCCCCAGAGCAACAGCGCGACGTTCACGGCGACTTGCAGCTTCCAGGTCTGCGCCACGAATTCCACCGTCTGCCGCCTCGCGTACGTGACGCGCGCGCAGTCGTAGAACATTTTCAGCGTGAAGGCGTGGAACGCGTTGCACTGCTTGGCGAACACGGCGTTGGACGTGCCCAAACGCTTGCCCAGGACGAGGATTAAAAATCCGAGTCCAGTCATGCGGGCGAAGAACCCGCTCTGCGTCGTCGCCGCGCCGACGGCGTTGAAGTAACGCAACGGCATGACGCCCGCGGTGGCGCTCCAGAATTTGTCCGGGTTGAGAAACAGCGTCACGCCGAACAGCGTGAAGTAGTGCTGCATCGCGGTCGCGTACTGATCGACGTTACGGAAATTCATCGTTGTTGTTCGTGTCGGTTCCGAGAGCAAGGGTGCGACGGTGCGTTGTCGCGCGACGTGGAATGGCGACGCGGGAATCGAATCGAATCGCGACGTTTCGTTTTCGCGGATCGAGATTATAAACTTTTTTTGATGGGTGTTTCATGATGTATTATGCGCGTTTGTAATCACTTTTCGTGTAAAGCTCGCACGAGGGGAAAGACGACGACGTGGCGCCGAATGCCAGCTGGCACCGGGCCGCGGGTCGAAAGGTTCGTGTTTGAATCGTGTCTGAATGTTCCGACGCGTCCATCGCGTCGCCCGTTCGTCACGGCGAAGGGCGCGCTTTTTTCGCGCGACCAGGCGAGAACATGCTCGAGAGGAAATTCTTCCTTCGCGGCGGCGTCGTTCGGGCGAAGACGTCGGTTTTCGCCGCGTCTGCGTCGATGGGTTTCAACGCGACGTCGTCGTCATCGATTAAATCGATCGTCAGCACATCACGACTGTCGACGGCGTTTTCGACGGCATTTGAGATGGGGACGGCGTCGACGTTGACGGCGGCCAACGCGTCGTCGTCCAATTCGTCATCTTCAAACGTCGGTGCTTCAAAGACTGGTTTTTTTTTGGGTGAAACAACTTTCGTCAAGAAGTTCATCATGAACGAACGCTGCGCCGAGGTACCTTGAGCTGCCTTGCCTCGCCTGTCGCCAATTTTCAGCGTCGTCTTCTTCGCCGCTCGCCGTGGCGATTCAATCTTAAATTTCTGGCGGGTGATAGGGTTTAATTCACCTTCCGCTATGCGCCTCGCTTCATCGTCATCGAATTTCGGCCCGAGAAAACTCAAATCGTTCGCGAACTCGCAATGCTCGGGAACCGGCGTGAGGTGTCGAAGCGCGCCGGCGTGGGGGTCCCACACCAACGCGTGCTTGAAAATCATTCGTGCCTTTCTCCACTCCACTTCGTACCCTTCCGCGATCAAATCCTTAATTTTTTCATTCGCCCTCAATTCGGCGAACACCGCGTCGACACATCGATGTTTGTTCAAAATATTGTACATTTTTTTGATACCCAAGCCGCGAATGTTGTCCAAGAAATCGCACCCCGACAACACGCACAAGCTTAGAAATAATTCGTAGTCCCACCCAGTGAAATCCAGCGGCGGCGGACCTTTGCTTTTCGGTTTATTCGCTCGCCCGATCGCGTTGTCGTCGACGTTTTCATCGCTCGGCGTTTCCGTAGTCGTCGTCGTCGTCGCGCGCGCGGCGCCTTCAAACAAACTCGCCAACCTCAGCTCCTTCGCATCGCCGGATTTTTCCAACTTAAACACTACGCGCGGACACCCGTACGCCACGAGATCGGAATCTTCCGTGAACACTAAATCTACCCCCCCCCGTTCCTTCGCCGTGAGAGCGAGCGACGCAATCGTCGCGTCAGCCTCGTACGGCGCGACGACGAACTCGAATTTCTCCCTCTTCAGCGCCACGATCAGCTCCCTCGCCATCTCCGGCGTCACATCGATCGCCCCCGAAAACGCCCGAAACGCTCCCTCCTTATCGCCCGCCGCGCGCGCCCGCTCTCCTCGCTCCAACAGCGCCGCCCGTCGCTCGCGTCTCGCGCGTTCCTCGCCTCGCTTCGCCGGCGCTCTGTCGCCGTCGAACACGATCACCGGTTCGATCCCGTGATGCCTCAGCATGTTCGCTCGGTGCACGGCGTATTTCACGTACGGCGCCGTCGCGCCCGGTCGTCGCTCCCACGCGCGATCGCCTCCGGGCGCGAGCGCGTCGACGCACCCGAACGCGCCCTTGTGCAGCCAGCTGTAGGCGTCCACCGCGCATCGCGTGCCGGGCGCGTATTCACCGACGTGCACGCGCTCGCAGTACGGCTCGAGGACGGCGGGCAGGCCCTTGATGCCCATGCGGCGCGTTCGAACGCGCGCGTCGCGCGGTGCCGACGACCGGCGTCGCGACAGCCGGGACGCGCGTTCGAACGCGCGACGCGCGAGAGATATTTCGCGTCGGACTGTTTGCGCGTACGTGCGGTCGGTCGCCACGAATCCGTCTCACGTCGCGCAAAATATACACACGGACGCAAACGCGATTCCGCCGGCGGCGGCGCCGCGCGCCTCGCGACGACGCGCGACGGACGCGCGCGCGCGCGAACGCGGCGCGGATCGCTCGATACGCGAATTCCGCGACGTCGATAACGCGGCGAGGCGCGAAACATGGCGAAGACGCGACGGAGAAAGCGACGAACGCACGTGGACGCGGACGCGGGCGGCGGGAGCAAAGGCAAAGACGCGGACGCGCCGCGGACGTTCGTGTTCACGCGAGGACGCATGGCGGACGCGGTGAAGGATCTGAGCGAGGATTTGCGAAAGGTGCGGGAAATCGGGGCGAGAGGAGAGGACGCGATCGGGGGAGATGGGGACGCGAGCGCGGCGAGCGAGGAGGAACGCGCGGACTGACGAGCGACGACGCGCGACGCAGGTGATGGAACCGCACACGGCGCGGAATTTGAAGGAATCGAAGAGCAATAAGTTGAAAGATTTCGTGCAAGTATCCGGACCGCTGGGGATTTCGCACTTTTTGATGCTCAGTTCGTCGGACGCGTCCAAGTATTTCAAGATTTGTCGAACGCCGAGAGGGCCGACGTTGACGTTTAAGATTCATTCGTTTTCCCTGTCGAACGAGGTCGCAGCGACGCAAAAGAACCCGAGGAATCCAGCGAAGGCGTTTTTGTCGCCTCCGCTCGTGATTTTAAATAACTTTGGCGATGAAGCGCATCAAAAGTTGGCGACGATTACGTTTCAGAATATGTTTCCGCCTATCAACGTGCGCAAGGTGAAGCTTTCAACGTGTCAGCGCGCCGTGCTCGTGGATTACGACGCCAAGACGAAAAGATTTCAGTTTCGTCACTACAGCATCAACGCCGCGCCCGTGGGGGCGAATAAAAAATTGAAGAAGCTCTTACAGTCGAGAAACGCGCCCGATTTGGGGGACACGCAAGACGTGAGCGAATTTTTCGACAAGAGAGTCGGCGACGCGAGCGATAGCGAAGGCTCCGACGACGAAAGTCGACGAGTGCACTTGACGCAGGACTTCAATCGCGTCGCTCACGCCGACAGCACGTCCAAGATTATCCTCAACGAAATCGGTCCTCGCATGGAACTCGAGCTCGTCAAGGTCGAGGAAGGCATGTGCGACGGCCGCGTGTTATACCACGCCTACGTCAAGAAAACCGCGGAAGAGGTCAAAACTCTCGAGCAGAAAAAGGTCGAGCGCGAAAAGTTACGAAAACGCCGACGAGTAGAGCAAGAAGCGAACGTCAAGCGCAAGGCGCGCGAGAAGGAAATCAAAGCGGACGCCGAGCGCGCCCGTCAAGGCAAATCCAAAAAGAAATCCTCCGCCGTGGACGAGTTCGGGAACGTCCGCGACGTCGAGGGTGAGGCAGAAGACGACGCCAAGTGGGCCGCCGCGTTCGAACGCGAAGAAAAAGAATGGCGAGAGGGCGACGTGTACGACGAGCGTTCCGGAAAGACAAAGCGTAAACGCCACGGCGACTAGCGCCGCGACGCCGCCTCACCGTCACCAGTGTGTTGTAAACGTATCCATTAGCACATCGTTCCATTTCCCAATTCACCATCTTTAACGATTGCGTCGTCGTCGTTTCGCCGTCCATCTGACCGCCCTCGTTTCGCTTTCAATGCTTAGGGTTTGAGCTGGAGTTTTCCTACGAGAGCGCCCGCGCGCGGTGCGATCGACCTCTTTCGTCGGCTCGATACGCTAAGGCGCGAACACACGCGCGGCTACGAAACAAGCACACACAAGTAAACAAAACGTACGTTCACGCGCCCGCACGTGCGTCGCGCTGCACGCGTCGCACGCGCGACGCCGAGGCGAAGATCGCGCGCGCGTTGAAAACCCCAAAACGCATCGACGAACGATCTTCGTCGCGCGCTGGCTCAACGTTCGCGCCCTTCGACGGCGTCGAGCGATGACGATCGTGACGATATATTTCGTTCGCGTTCGTTCGCGCGCGGTGTCGGCGATCGCGCGTCGCACGGCATAGAAAGCGAGGACGCCGCGACGTCGCTATGGGTGTTCGAACCGCGACGTCGAGGGGGTCATCGAGGTCGACGCGCGAAGGCGGCGCGCGAGCGATGGGCTTGAGAGAACGAAAGACTGACGAAAGAATGTGTTTCGCTGGAACAGAAATAAAATGTCTGGTGATCTCGCGTGCACGTACGCGGCTCTCATCCTCCACGATGACGGTCAAGAGGTGACGGCTGACAAGATCAGCGCTGTCGTCTCTGCGAGCGGGTTGGAGCTCGAACCGTACTGGTCCGGTTTGTTCGCCAAGTTCCTCGAGCAAAAGTCCGTGGGTGACCTCATCTCCAACGTCGGCGCTGGTGGCGGCGGCGGTGGCGGCGGCGGCGCGGCTGCGGGCGGCGACGCCGGCGGCGACGCGGCTGCTGCTGCTCCGGAAGAAGAAGAAGAAGAAGAAGCCGAAATGGACTTCGACTTGTTCGATTAATCTTCTGAAACGTCACACGGCGATGAAGCGACCGGCTTCGCTGATGAACGATTTTAGGCTTAGCTCTATAAAGGCTTTCACGCTTTCCGCGACGCGTTTCGTTGTAACGGCGTGAAATCTCAAATCGTTTTAACCTCTTTGCGCCACACGTTGAGTAAAATACTATTACAATCGCTGAAAAGATGCGTGGGTGGCGCGGTACTAGTGTACAAAACCATCTATTCCTCGCACGTGTCCGAGCACTTGTCGGACGAGCCAACACACGTGCCCACGCTGCAACCGCGAAGCGCGTTGACGATGTTGCCGTCGTGCGCGATGTTAAATACGACGACTGGGATATCGTTCTCTTCGCAAAGCGTGATGGCAGTTTGATCCATGACGCCCAAGCCGAGACGACGGACGGTTTCGTACGTCAGCGTCTTGTAGAGTTTGGCGTTGGCGTTCTTCTTGGGATCGCTGTCAAACACGCCGTCCACCTTGGTCGCCTTCAAGACGCACTGCGCGTTAATTTCCGCCGCACGAAGCGCGGCGCCGGTATCGGTGGTAAAGAAAGGGTTCCCCGTGCCCGCACCGAAGATGACCACTCGACCCTTTTCCAAGTGTCGAATCGCGCGACGGCGAATGTACGGCTCCGCCACTTCCTTAATTTCGAGCGCGCTCATCACTCGCGTCGGCACCCCTTTGGACTCGATCGCCGCCTGCAAGTTTAACGAGTTCATCACCGTCGCGAGCATCCCCATGTAGTCCGCGCTCGCGCGATCCAACCCGTTTCCTTCCTTTTCGGCGCCTCGAAAAAAGTTGCCTCCGCCGACGACCACCGCCACCTCGATCCCCGACATCGCCGCCTGCGCCACCTCGCTCGCGATCGACTTCACCACGTCCGGCGAGATCCCAAATCCATCCTCTCCCGCCAGCGCTTCCCCCGACACCTTCAGCATCACTCGACGCCACTTCCACCGTTCGAACCCGTCCTCGTCCTCGTCGTTCGCGCTCGCCTTCTCCCCCTTCCCCTTCTTCCGTCCCTCGCTCCTCATCGCCGATATCTCCAGTCCCTCCATCGCCGACTTCGCGTCCTCGTCCTCGCGGTCCACGATCGCGCGCGCTGTCGTCGTTCCTCCCCGTCCCCTCGCGTTCGTTCGCGCCGCCGCAATTCTTCCCCTCGGCGCGTTCGCGCGCGCCCTCGTTCGCGTCGTCGCGCCCGCGCGCGCGAATCCGCGCGCCGCGGCGTTCGCTCGCGTCATCGCTCGCGTTCGCGCGCGCGCGCGTCGTCGGCGTCGGCGTGTGCGACGCGCACGACGCGCGACGCGTTCGACACCGTCGGCGCGACGCCGCGCGTATGCGCAAACAGTGAGAGACCGCGCACCACCGCGCGCGCCGGCATTCCGCGGTCGCCCGATCGCGCGCGTCGCGCCGCGCCGACGGACGAGCGCTCGAGCGCCCGCGCGATGCGCGCCTCCGCGTTCGATCGACGCCGCGCGTTCGCGCGCGCGCGCGCGCGCGAGGACGCGCGACGAGACGCGCGCGCGTTCACGGTGCGCGGCGGTTGCGCGGCGCCGGCGGCGCTGACGCTGACGACGCGCGCGACGCGCGGGCGCGCGCGCGACGGCGCGCGCGCGGAGGGGAGACGGGCGAGTAATCGCGCGGTGCCGGACGTCGCGGCGAAAGCGAACGACGCGGGACGAAAGTCGCGGAAGAGGGCGATGACGTGCTACAGGCTCGCGGCGGAGCGCGATAACCCTATAGCGTGCGCGACGCACCTGGTGAAGCCGGCGGTGGCGATGTTCCTCGCGGGCGGCGTCGCCGGTGCGCTGGCGAAGACGTGCACGGCGCCGCTGGATCGGCTGAAGATCATCATGCAGACGTCGGGGGCGTCGAGGGCGAGCGCGGCGAGCGTGGCGGCGGCGGACAAGGGGTTGTTGGCGGCGTTCGTGGCGATCGGAAAGACGGAGGGCGTGGCGGGATATTGGCGAGGAAACGTGCCGCAAGTGGTGCGAATTTTGCCGTATTCGAGCGCGATGCTGTACTCGTACGAAGCGTACAAGAAAAAGTTGACGAATAAGGAAACCGGGGAGTTGGCGGTGCCGGCGCGTTTGCTCGCGGGCGCGGGCGCGGCGTGCACGGCGACCATCGTGACGTACCCTCTCGATATCATTCGCCTTCGATTGAGCGTGGACACGAGTGCGAAGAGCATGGGCGACGTCGCCCGCACCATCTTGGCCAACGAAGGGCCGCTCGGGTTCTTCAAGGGTTTGCGAGCGACGTGCATTTCCATCGCGCCGTACAGCGCGCTCAACTTTTGCGCGTTTGATTTATTCAAAAAGGCGCTCCCGGAAGAAATTCGCAACGAAGCGCAAGGGATCGCCACGGCATCGCTTATGGCGACCGCGTTGGCCACGGGTTCGATGTATCCGCTGGATACTATTCGTCGTCAAATGCAGCTTCAAGGGAGCACGTACGCGAACATGCTCGACGCCGGTCGCGGCATCGTCGCCGCCAACGGCGTCGGTGGTCTCTTCCGCGGTTTCATCCCGAACGCGATGAAAAACATGCCGAACAAGTCCATCCAGCTCACCACGTTCGACGTCCTGAAGAAGGGCATCAGGCGTTCAGAGGTGGAGTACGCCAAAGAGGTCGCTATTTTAGCCGCCGAAAACAAAAAAATCAAGTGATCGTTCGATCGCATCTTTTTCCATTGACCCCCCGACACCGACACCGACTTCTTCACATCGCGTCTTCGCTCTGGCACTCCCATACGCGAGCTGCTCCCGATTCTCGTTCGGTTGTAACACTACGAGAATCCGACGGATTTCTGGAACGCGAGCGCGTCGCGTCGCGTCGAATCGCCTTCGAACGTTCCATCTTCGCTCACCGTCGCACTACAAAATTACACGCGCTCTCGCGCTCTACTACTTACAATCATCCCTGTACTCAAACAACCCGCAATCTCCTCCCCAGGGAAACTGCTCGCGATTGCGAATTCTCAGGTACGAGTACGCCGGGTTCTCGTGCCCGTGTCCGTGCGCCGCGTTGGACAGCGTGTACACCCCGAACCCAGCGCACGCGGGTATGACGAGCATGGAGACGGCGCGCCATTTATTCATCTCCGCTGTTTCATCGCGTCGATCGCGTTTCAGCGCGTCAGTCGCGCGCGCTCGTCGTTTTCGCGCGCGCATCGTCGTCGCGTCGCGATCGTTCGGTTCGCGCGTTCGTTCGTTCGCGCGCGCGACGCACCGATCTCTTCCTCGACGCTCGCGCCGGAGCTCATCGAGCGGGCGCGGGAAATTTGTTCGACGCGTTTGGGCGATCGCGCGGCGCGCGCGACGAGTCGGGCGAGCATGGCGAGCGCGCGTGTGTGCGGGCTGGGGTCGCGCGCGCGCGCGCGGATCCCCGGGTGGGAATCCGAGGTGGGGTGATGGTACAAACCTATGACGAGCTATGGGATCTAATGACGACGCGATCGCGACGATCGCGCGAGGGTGAGAGGGAAAGGACACGACGCGTGACCGGGGACGACGGCGTGGGGCTACTTTTGGACGAGCGACGCGCGCTCGGCGACGTCGACGTCGTCGCCGCGCACGCGAGCGATGACAAAGGGACCGGCGGCGCGCACGTGCGCGGCGGTGCGATATCCCTTGTGCTGGTGGAACTTGAGACAGACGAAGAAAATCAACGTCGTGGCGAAGAAGACGAGGTTGTGCCAAGCCAAACTTTCGAAACTTTTGGCGAAATCAAACATGACGTACACGGCTTTGCCCGTGGCGTAGAATCGATACCAGCAAAAGAAGACGTACGCCTGAACGAAGAGGATGGACCAACCGAAGTCTCGTCGACGCATGGGTAAGGCGCCGAGTAAAAACTCAAGGAGTAAAACGACCATATTCCCGGCGTGTTCGACCAGGCGGTACCACTCGAGGTAGCAATCGGGATAGTTGTCCACGCCCTCGAGCGCCCGACACATCGGAAACGCGAAGAACGAGTACCACGCTCCAGCGCTCGATAACACGTTCGTCGTCCACGCAACGCCGTACGCGATCACTAAAACATTTGTCAAACCGTCTAATTCCCCCTCTTCTCGCTCAGTTCTATACATGTTCATCCCCAGCGCTCCCTCTAAGACGAACAACAATAAAATCGTCCAGTCGCTCAGGTAGTCGAACCCATCCGTCTTTCGAACCTGCATCGAGTGCTCGTAAACCATGTGATAGCAGAAGAAAAACACCCCGAACGCGAACGTCCCCATTCGTAACGCGAACAGCGCGGCCCTGGTGCGGAGGAAACGCGCGCGAGTCCGTCAGTCAATGTCAATCTTCAAACCGCGCGCTTCGCCGCGGAGGCCAACACCAAACGCGCGAGGCGAATCCGAATTCATCTTCCACGAGGCAACGCGCTCGCTCGCGCGCTCGCTCGAGAAAATGCACTTCACGACGTACTTTGGAACGAATCGCGACGACGAGGAGACGCGCTCGAAGCTCACGTTGGCGACGCCGTCGATTTTCGGCATGGCGATCACGTTGTGCGCAGCCAGGGCGCCCCAAGCGACGACGCTCGTGATGGTCGCCGTCGTCGTCCACTGCGGTGGAGGCTTGCGTATGCGCAGATCATCGAAATCTATGTCATCTTCCTCGAGCTCGGCGCGATCGGGCGCCGCGCGAGGCATTGGAGCGCGGACGCGAGTCGCGCACTGCGGCGCGCGGCGCAGCCGGGAAGGCGGTTGAGGCGTAGGACGTCTACGAAGGCGGTGCGTTCGTTCGCTCGCGTGCTGTGCGTGCTGCGCTAGATAATTAATGATGATGCTACGTCGAAATTATGGTCATCGATCACGCGCGTAAGACCTTGAGCCAGCGGTCGACGACGGCGTCGCTTCCGTACCAGTGAAACTTTGACGGTTCGTCAAACGTGCCGACGGTGGACATCGAGTGCCAGCAGGCGTCGATGACGATCATTTCGGCGCCCTCTAACGCAAGTGCGGCGCAGTTTGGTACGACAGCGTCGCCTTCGACGCCGTCTCCGTCGCCACCGGCGACGACGGCGTAGGAACCGGCTGCATATTTGCCGATGGTTTTCGGCTCCGCCGACGCGTTTCCGACGACGGCGCGTCCCGTGACGCAGACGTACTGAACATCCGGTTCAAAGTACGCGCCGGGCCAAGTATCGTTTACCCATTTAGATGCCCCGCGCGTTGGATCTGACTTCGCATCCTGCGCGTGTGGCGTCCCTAAGCATATCAAACGTCGCACACGCTCGTCCCGCTTCAAGAAATCTCCGGAGCACTCTACCTCGCTCGCATTCATCGCCAGTGCGCCGCCGATGAACGCCCGCGCGAGCCACCCACCGGCAGAGTGCGCGACAATGTCAACGCTCGTCGCTTCAGGGTTCGCTCGCAACGCCTCTTTCACGCACGCGTCGACGCGTTCTAAATACCACCCGTAGCTCTCTCGCGTCGTGCACGCGTTCATCCAAAACCCCTTCGTGAAGATCCCTCGCAAAATCCCCACGAACCAATCTTTTCGCTCGACCTCAGCGACGTGCACGCTGAACCCTCTCGAGCGCAGTGACTTCGCCAGGCTCGCCTCGTCGTTCCCAAGCGCGTCCTCGTAGTCGCTCGAGCAGTTCCCGAACCCGCTCAGCACGACGATCGGATTCGCCGACGCCGACGCTCGCACGCGCGTGTCGTCGCTCGATGCATCACTGACGTCGATGACGTCCGCCGATGCGCGCGTGAGCGTGAGAAACGCGTCCGAACGCGACGCTTTCGCGGCATCCAGACTTTGTCCCAGTCCCAGCGGCGCGAGCCTCGCGAGGGGCGGTTTGCTCGACGCGCGCGCTCGTAACGGCGAGAAAGCGGTGCGCGCGGTCGAGGACAACGCGTCTGACGCGCGCATCGCGGTCGATGGACGCTCGCGCGCGGTGGCGTCGAGCGTCGGCGAGTGAGGTCGGAGTGAAATATCTAAGACTATTTTAAGACTGCGCGTTCAACTGGGCCAATAATTTCGCTTTCTTCTCCGCCAATAGCCGCTCAAGGTCGATGACTTCCTCCTGATCCTCGATGGATTCCTTCTGCTTCTTAGTCGCCGGTTCGTCAGCCTCGGACGCTTCCGGTTCCTCCGCTTCTTCTACGTCTTCATCTGACTCGACAGCTTCGGGCGTCTGTTCGCGTTCGACTTCCACGCGCACGATGTGATTACCGATCTTTTTCCCGTCCTTGATCCCCTTCCCGTCGAGCGTCTTCGTATCCCCACTCTTCGTTTCTTCGTCGAAATACATCGTTTCCACTCCGTGCACGGTCTCGACCTCGAAAAATCCGCCCTCGAGCGCGTCCTTTGCGCTCAGCCTCAGCGTCGACGTCACGTTCAAACCATCTCTCGAGAACACTTTACTAGGCAAAATCCGCACCCTCACGTGTTGCGTGCGACCACTAATGGGTAATCTACTCCCATCCAACACTCCCGCCGGCACATGCACGCGTCCATGAAAGAAATCATCCTTGACGCCGTCGCCGCCGCATTTTCGGCACGTCTCGGGCTTCCCGAATCCCCGTCCATCGCACGTTCCACACGTCCCTTGGCTCCCCACCGCTGTTCCTCCCCGATTTGCACACCCCTCGCACTTCAAACACGCCATCCCCACGCCTTGACAGCTCGAGCACAGCAGCTTAAACGGTATCATCGCCAACTTTGTCGTCCCCGTCACGCTCTCCTTAAAGCTCACATTCACCAGCACGTCGTCCCTCTTCGCTCCGTTCAGCTCGCACTTTTGATCGTACGCCGCGCGTGAGACTTCATCCTTGAGCACTTCGTACGCGTTCGCGACGTTTCGAAACCGCACGCGCGCCTCGTCGCGTTCGGCATCCGTTTTCGTCGTTCGGGACACTTTGTCCGGGTGCAATTGCAGCGCGAGTTTCTTATACGCACGCTTGATCTCATCCGTCGTCGCCGCGCTTTGCACGCCCAATATTTCATACGCGTTCATCCCGCTCGCGCCCGCGCTCGTCGACGCCATCGCGCGCTTCGGTGCGTCGATCTCTGCCGACTCGAACGAAAAGCGCGGTCCCGCACACGACGACGCGCGGCATGGCGCAACCGAGCGCGCTTCCGATCGCGAGCGCGGACGTCAAGCGAGAACTCGCGTCGAGCGATGATCGCGTCGTCACCGCCGCGGCGTCCGCGCTCGGTGCGCTCGCCGTGCGCGTGCAGTTGCCGACAGATTTCGCAGCCCTGGTGGATGATTTAATGGACGCGCTCGAACGCGATGGCGCGAAAACGGGGAAGAAAGACGCTAGAAAACTTGCGAGCGTGCTAGCGGCGCTGAGTGGACTGTGCGCGAGCGTAGATGGGGCGCGGGGAAGGGCGCTGGATCGAGGGGCGGCGGCGACGGTGACGCGAGAGGCGCTCGGCGCGAACGAGGACGGTGCGAATGATGAAGAGACGGACGCCGTGCGCGTGAACGCGCTGGATTTCTTTCGATTCTTGCAGCATGATGACGACAGGCGAGGTTTTGAGGCGGTGCGAGGGGATTCGAGATGCATGGCGTTCGTATTGGCGTCGGCGCGCGAGCGAGGGTCGCGCGAGATGGATTTTATGAAGCGCGTCGGCGGCGTGGATTTAGTGGTGAATTTTGCACAGCAAGTGGCGGCAGACGACGAGAAATTTGATGCACTTATTCGTGAGGGCGCGTTTGAGGTGTTCACGCACGCGTTGCTCGCAGATGAGGACGAGGTCACCGTTCGCGGGCTCATCGGACTCGCTTGCGCGCTGCCGAGACGACGGGCGCTGCGCGTCAAACTCGCTGAAGACGGCGAGTGCGTGCGACGGCTCGCGACCCTGATGGGATCATCCACGGATGAAAGTCTCAAGGGCTTCGCCGGGGGTTTGTTCCGAGCCTTAGCGCTCGATCCCGAGACGAAAGGTTTAGTCGAGAAGGCGCTGCGAGAAGGCGGTGCCGGCGTGCTGCAAACAGCTTGATAAACATCGATCCCGGCTCGCCGCCGCCCGATACCGCTCGTATTTGATGTAGTATTCATTTGCCATTGTCTAGGATGTTTCCCGTCGTCGCGCGCGCGTCATCGCCTCACTTCGTCTCTCTCTCGCGGCTTCACTTCACTTCGCGCCTCGCGCTCCGCGCTCGATGCCTCCTCGACGATCGACCCGATCGCGATCGCCCTCGAAAGAGGCGCGAGACGCGATCAACAACGCCGCCGTCGCGTCATCCGCGCGCGCGCCCGCGGAAATGCGTCAAGACGACGCGCAGAATGAAAAAGAAGGCGGCGGCGCGGTGGAATCCATGTCAATCGAAGCGACGAATGCGATGCGTTTAAAGCTCGGTTTAGCGCCCTTGCGCGAAGGAGCGTCGAAGAAAACCCATGACGCGGACGCTTTACGTCGTGATGAGGCGAAAGCGGCGGAAACGGCGGCGCTGGCGGAGAAGATTGCTGCGAGGAAGCGTCAGAGGGAGATTGAAAAGTTGAACGCGGCGACTACAAAGCTCGGCGACGCGGACGATGAGGAGGAAGACGCGGGAGCTTGGTTGGCGAAGAGCAAAACGAAGATGGCGACGAAAGCGCAGGAGTTGGAACGCGCGAAAGCGGCCAAAGTTGCGGCGATGTTCGCGGAGAGGGATGAGGACGCGGAGGCGAGCGCGTCGGAGGAGGAGGACGAGGGGGCGAAGAAATCAAAGTCGGCGGCGTACACGTCGAAGGATTTGCGCGGACTCAAGGTGAGGCACACCGCGGATGAAATTAATGAAGGTCAAGAGGTGGTGTTGACGCTGAAGGATACGAGCGTGTTGGATGATGAGGATGATGAATTAGAAAACGTCTTAATCGCCGAGCGCAAGTCGCGTAAAAAGGCGAGAAAGGAGTCAACGAAGAAGAGTGACGACCCTTTCGGGGAGGGCAAGGATGTGGAGGCCAAGAAAACGGTGTTAGGAAAGTACGACGCTCATGATGAGGATGCGGCAATGGAACTCGACGGTGAGGGTGGCCTCGACGCGGCTGAGGAGAAGCGAAAGGCAGAAATCAAGGCGCGACTCGCCGCCGAACTCTCGGGATTGAAGGGTAAAGCGGAAACCGCGGAAGTTGTCAAGGGTGAGCAAGCTGATTTTCACACCCAAGAAGAGATGCAAGCTAAGTTTGTGAAGCGCGAAAAGAAGAAGAAGATGCGCAAAAAATTGAGAAAGAAGCATATCGATGCTGCGGAGCTCGAGCAAGACGCGCTGGCGCCAGAGTCGAGCGATCTCGGTTCACGACGCTCGCGCGGCGAGTCTAGTGCCGAAGCTAAGGCCACGACTAATGAGAAAGACGCGAAGTTCGCGAATGCGTTGCAAAAAGCTCGTGAAGTGACCGATAAGAAGATTCTCGCTGAACTCGCCGGCGAAGCAGAGGAAGAGGAAGACGACGAGCTCGCTCGTGCGCTCGCAAGGAGCCGGAAGATGGCAAATATTTCGAACAAAGCAGCGCGCTCGGCGCCGGCAGACGTGGTCGCGCAAGTGGCGGCGCGTCGTCAAGCAGATGAGGCGAAGGCTCGAGAGAACGCCGCGAATGTCGCCGACGAATCTCTAGTTTTTACAGACATGTCTGAGTTTGTTCAAGGCATCAACACTCAAGACGGCGCGCTCGATGAGGTCTACGACGAAGACGCAGACACTGAGGAAATGCCAGACGTACCGCCGCCGCCACCACCGGGCGGTGAAGACGAGCCGATGGACGATGAAATGCCAGATGTGCCGCCACCGCCACCGCAAGAGGAAGTCGACGCGCACGTTAACATGCCCGTACTCGCGGAAAAGCACGTCGTGCAAAAAGGGTTGGCGAGCACACTCGCTCTTCTCAAAGACAAGGCTCAACTCGATGATGCGCAAAACACGCGCTGGAGTGGGCGCGCCAACGACATGAAGGATCGATTCGACAGACAGCACGTGCTCGAGGCGCACGCCATAGAAGAAAAAGCCGTCGACGGCTACAAGTTCGGTTTCAAGCTCGATAAGTTGGACGAGTTCGGACGGAAGCTCACCCCGAAAGAGGCGTTTAGAGAGCTTTGCCATCGTTTCCACGGCATCGAGCCTGGCAAAATGAAGCGCGAAAAGCGCCTGCGACAATTCCAGGAGGAGCAACAGCGTCTCAAGGCGTCAAGCGTCATGGACGACCGCATCAAGGACGTACAGCGCGATCAAGCGACGCCTTACGTCGTACTTAGCGGTCACGTGAGGGCTGGACAGGCGAGAAACGCTGATCCGGTGGCGACGATGAAGCGCGAACAGGAATCCGCGCGCGCCACCCCCGCCGCCGCGTCGCGCGGTCCATCATCGGCATCCGGTCTGAAGGCTTCCAACGCGACAAAAGTCTCGTTTGCGATGAAACCATCGAAGAAGTAATCCGTAGCACGCGTCATTAGAATATCACGTGTAGAGCAATTAGTTTGACGTCGCCGCGCGCGCGCCGAGATCGACGCTTCACTCTTCGCCTCGCTCCGATGCCCGCGAAACCGAAATCGCGCGCCAAAGAGCTCGCCGCGCGCGACGACGCAGACGATGGCACCGTCGACGCCGTCGACGCCGGCGCCCTCGATCGCGCGTGCGCTACAATCGCAGAAAAGGTACAACACGCGCGCGGTGCCGACTTTCAACATTCTCACGACGCCGTAGGTCCCGAACGCGCTCGCGAAAGCGCACGATGCCGTCGAAACGCGCGTGGCGACGTCGCTACAAACAGCCGAGGCGGAAGAAACGGAGGCGACGCGCGCGTTGAAGCGAGCGAAGAAGGCTTTGGAACTCTCTCGTCGCGTGTCTGGGAAACTGCGACGAGACGACGGCGTCGAATCGACGGCGACGACTGTGTCAAATGAAATCATAAGAGATCGCTTTGGACACTTGGTGAGCGATTTAAAGGAGAGAATTGAGAAGCAGGTGCGCGCGATCGAGGTTCGCGTGAAGGAATTAGATGATGATTAATGTAGAGCCGCGTCGCGGCGTCACGATCGATGCGTGTGCTGTACGATGGAACCAACAACTAAATTGAAACGCTAGCAAGAACTCGCCGCTATTGTCGTGATCTAAATACTATTGTGCATGCACCTTTGTCGCGAGAGGCTCGTACCACACCGGCGTGAAGCCAGCCTTGGCTCTGGCCTCGTCGTTGAACGGCGGTTTGAGCGCGCCGTGAAAATACTCACGGACAATCTCATGGAACGCCTTCACCACGCCGCTCTCCTCTGTTTCTTCACCGACATCACCGCCGTCGACTTCCCGGGCGTGCAAATATTTAAACCAGCGCAGCCCCGAAGCGCAGTGCGTGATCTCCTCTGGATAAATGACGGTTTCCAACAACGTCGCCGACGCCTCGTCCCCGTTCCGACGAAACTTCCCGATCGTCTGCGGCAAAACATCCAAACCCCGCGCTTCGTGCACGCAGTGCTCCACCGCGAGCCTCGCCTCGAGCGAATGCGCCGTCTCTTTCGCCGTCCGCCACAGCCCGTCGTGCGCCTCCAGCTCGCCGAATCGCACGACGCCGCACTCGTCCAATCTTCGCGACAACAGCGCGAAATGCCGCCCTTCATCCGCCGCGAGCTCGACGAAATCATCATAAAACTCTTTCGGCATATTTCGAGCCACACCGAACCGCTGAATCGCGTCCCAGGCCAAGAGCATCGCCCAGCTCTCTATGCTCGCGAGCGAGTGCAAAATCGCCGAGCGCGACTGCGCCGTCCCGCCGTTCCCGATCCGTCGCGTCTGCCCTGGATCCACCACGCGCGATATCTCTCGCACGGGATCATCGACGACGTTCTGCGTGTCCTCACGCGCGTACGACGTCGTCGTCGTCGCGTCGTCGTCGTCACCGAACCACCACCGGTGCGTTTCCGCCGTCATCACCGCCTTCTTCGCGCACGACGGCTCGAGCATCACGCACCGCGCGCGATGCACGAGCTCGCGCACTCTGCGCGCTTCGTCCTCCGTCATCGCGCGCGCGGTCGGCGCGCGGTCGGCGCGCGGTCGGCGCGCGTCGTCCAATGGCGAACCCGTCGGCGCCGCTTCAAATCGCGACGCGTCGACGCGCGCGACCCGAAATGCCGCCGCGCGTGAAGAAAATCAAGCGCGAGTACGCCGACGCCGATGCCGGCGACGCGGACTACGACGCGGTGTCCTCGGGCGAGGACGACGCGGCGGAGATCACGATGAAGATTACGAAGAAGAAGCGGGCGCCCAAAAAAGTTAAAACGGACGACGGCGACGCCGAGGGCGGCGCGCGGGTCAAGGCGAAGGACGAGAACGCGCCGCAGAAGATCGGTTTCGACATCACCGCCGGACCGATTCAGGACGAGGGCTTGCACGCGAAGTATAACGCGATGAATCTGGACGAGCTGAAGCAGTACATGAAGATGAATCGAATGCCGAGCAGCGAGGTGGGACAGAAGAATAAACGAATCGTGTATAAAAAGGCGGATCTCGTGGCGCACTGCGTGGATGGGGAGAAGTGGGGACGGTATCCGTTGTGTCCGAATTGTGGGAAACGAGGGACGACGACGCTGCGGGTGACGTATGCGGATGAGAATCACGGAGGTCAGGGAACGTGGAAGTGCGTCGGGTACTACGATACGGTTTTGCAGAGCGTGACGCGGTGCTCGTTTAATTACAAGGAAGATAAGGATGCACCGCGGGAGCGATTGCCGTGGCGTAAGCCCGGAGATGAGATGTCGGACGACGAGCAAGATGACGTGCAGGCGGGGATGGACAAGCCCGTGGTGTTTCCGGACGACATGCACGCGATGGCGCCGATGGAGATGTCGAAGAAGATGGTGGAGATTTGCCGCGAGCACGGGTTGCAGTTACCCAAGGCGGAGAACGAAGCTTTACGAGAGTGCTACACTAAGCTCCAGGCGTCGATGAATTACGACGACGAATACGACATCAAAACTGCGTTCAATTTGCTTAAGGAGGCGTACCCGCCGTTGACCAAGGAGCAACAAGCCGGCGGCGCCGACGCGAAGAATCCCGCGAATACGAAGCTATGCCAAGCGCTCGAAGCCATCTTCCAAGCCGCGAAGACCTCACCCGAAGAACCGATGAAGTCGGCCTCGTATCGCAAAGCCGCACAGTCCATCCGTGAGATTGATTTCGAAGTCACGAGTGGCATCGCGATTAGCAAAGGCAAACTCAAGGTGCCAAACGTCGGCCCGTCGCTCGGCGCGCAAATCGAGTTTTGGATCAAGAATGGCTACTTCGAGCGCATGGAATACTACGAACGAGGAGAAATCCCGCCGTCGTCGAAGAAATGAACACGAACATGACGCAAAGCGCGCGCTTTACTCTACAATACGGTACAACAAAAATCTCCTAGCGATGAAACGAAACGAAACGAGTCCTCGACCATCAAGCGCCTCCATCGAAACTCTTCGCCGCGTGCGTCCTCAACATCTCCAATCGATATTGGGACAAATCGACGAGCAACGACTTTTTCATCTCATCCCAATCGAATTCGTCGCCAAACTCTCGTCGCACCTCGATGACTCTCGTCGCCGCCAGTCGCACGTCCGCGTCCTCGCTTCGCATCAAACTTTCGATAAACTCGCTTCCCGTCCCCACCAGCGGCGTCGTTTCCATCTGCTTCAGCATCGCCGCCGTGACGGAGCTCTGATTGACGTCCTCCGAGCACTCGTTGCCCTGTCCGTCGAGCTGCGCCATGACGATTCTGACGCCCACGAGCGTGTGCAGCCTGGAAATCATCTCCTTCGCCTTGTCCCGCGGGTCGTACCCGCACGCCGTCGCGTACTCGTCCGCGCTCGAAGACGCTCGCGCGCGGCGACGCCTTCGCGCGCCGCGCGGCGCGACGACGACGCGCGCGGCGGCGGTGGACGCCATTCGCGCGCGCGTCGAAGAGTGTCGTCGCGCGCATGTCCCGCGCGTGCGCGTCGTCGCGCGTCGCGCTCGCGCGCGCGTCGCGCGCACCGACGCGCAAACGCGCGCTCGACCGCTCGACGCGGTCGCGCGCCGTCGCGACGCGCGACGACGCGCGCGCGGACGTCGAGAGCGACGCGTCGGCGTTGTCCCGCGCGCTGGAATCGATTCGCGACGCCGACGTCAACGTCGTCGTCGTCGAGCGCGACGACGCGCGGAAGCGGTTCGTCGAGCGCGAGTCGCTGGTCGAGGCGCTGCGCGCGTCGGCGGCGTTCGAGCGCGCGGTGACGTTTCGAAAAGCGCCGACGGTGGAGGAGACGGCGCGCGCGCTCGCCGTCGCGGATAACGCGCTGGCGAGGGACATCGCGACGTGCGTGAGAGCGTTCGTGAACGTGGTGCCGGGCGCGGATCGGGGGGTGAAGGTGACACTGAGTCTGTTGCGCTCGACGCTGTGCTCGCGATTACACGTCGACCACACGAGCGCTCGAATGATGGTGACGTTTTACGGCCGAGGGACGGAAATTTGCGACGCGCGAACGAGCGCCGCGATCGCGAAGGCGAACGCGGATGGTGGAAATTTTGTGACCGATGCGTTGAAGACGTTGGCGGAGAAGTTTGCACCTCCGAGAGAGATAAGTACTTGCGACGTGGCGCTGTTGAAGGGCGAGCGATGGACGTACGCAGACGGCTCGACGTCAAAAGGTAAAGCCATCGTGCATCGTTCGCCGCTCATCGACGAGAACGAGTGGCGATTGACTTTGAAAGTTGACGTGGTAAACTTTGGATGTGAATGCGAAGAGGAGCACTAGAATAGGACTAGAAAGAATTTGATGTACAACAAACGCGGAGAGCTTCAGAAGAATTGCGGCGCCGTGAATCGCAACGCGGCGCTTCGAAACACGTCGACGTGCGCGTCTAGACTCGGCTCGATGGGCTTAGAGTACCCACCTCCCATGGTGATCACGAGAGGGACCTCACGGGCGATGCACATCGAATACACGGCGTTGTTTCGTCGTAGTAACCCTTCGCGGCTCATCGCGAGTCGCCCGAACGAATCCTCCTTCAAAGCGTCGATACCAGCTTGGAAAAACACGATCGCTGGGTCGTAATCATCGAATAACTTCGGCAGCCACTGCTCGAGAAGGCTTAAATATTCCTCATCCTCGCAATCGTCCGGCAATTCGACGTCGTGCGTCGATTTCTCCCGCGTCTTGATGGGGTAGTTCTTTTCGCCGTGCATGGAAAACGTCACCACCTGCGCGTCGCCCTCGAAAATTTTTGCCGTGCCGTTCCCTTGATGCACGTCAAGATCGATGACTAATATTTTACGATCTCGCAGCGAGTCCGCGAACTCGCGTCTGGCGACGTTGATGGCGACCGCGACGTCGTTGAACACGCAAAAGCCTTCGCCTCTGTCCCTGTACGCGTGGTGCGTCCCCCCCGCGATCTGCGCGCTCGCTCGCGCACCGCTCATCACCTCTCGCATGCACGCCACCGTTCCTCCGGTGCTCGCCAACGAGCGTTCGACGTTCTGCTGAGCCATGGGGAAGCCAATCTTTCGCACCTCGTCCTCTCGCAGCGTGAGCGTCAGCACCCGCTGCACGTACTCCGGGCAGTGCGTCAACAGCAGCTCGCTCTCGATGTCCACTTTCGGAGACTCCAGAAGTGTGATCTTGTTCACCAACGCCGCGTCGCGGCGCAGAGCTTCGCGCGTGCGCGCGTACTTGTCCATCGGAAAGCGATGTCCGTCTGGGAGGTCCACCCGCGCCCAGTCCGCGAAAAACACCGAGAGCGGTCTGGGCGGCGACGCGCGCGTCGACGGAGACGCGGAAGCCGCGGTAGACACCGCGCGGTGCAGGCTCGCCGCCAGCGCTTGACCGCGCGGGAAAAGAGGGGCGGGACGCATGCCGCGAGGCGGCGTGTGCGGCGCGACGACTCCGAGTCTTGGATTTCAATCCACGTCGGTGACGTGACTCGCGTGTAATAAATCCGGTAAATTCGTGAGTGAGTGCTTTTTGGCGTATTCCCGGCGTACGGCGTCGATCGCGGCTCGGGCTGATGGGGAATCCTCGCCGAGGACGCACACGACGCCGCCGGAACCGCCGCCGGTGATTTTGGCGCCGAATAACGCGTTTCTTTCCACGTCGACTTCGCGAACGAGTCGCACTAAATCATCAGTAGCGGTTGAACCTAAGCCGACGGAGCTGTAGGAGCTGTGGCTGGCGAACATGAGATCCCCGAGTCGTCGGCCAAGTTGTCGAACGTCGTCGTCGGCGCAAACGTCGTCGCTCGGCCAATCTTCTAAAATACTCAAAAATTCGCGCACGCGTGCGTGCTCGCGTACAGCGTGACTCACGGTTGCACGCAAGGTATACGTTGAGTCGGCGTCGATGGTGGTGTTCGGCTCGTCGTCGTGGCTGATGTATCGCGCGAGGAACGATTTGCCCGTCATTTCCTCGTCTACGTGCTGCGACCACGACATCGGACTTCCAGCGCTGCCCTCGTCCCACTGCCGAGCTGTGATGACACCACACAGATCCACTTTACTCGGCACGACGTCTCTGTTCAATCGCGCGTTCATTTCGTTGATGAGGATCTTTTTGCCCATGAACGTGCCGCATCGCACGCGCGCGTAATCTGAACCGCCCGAGTTCGAGTGTCGCACGCCAGAATCGATGCCCCACACCCGCAGCTTTCGCGGCAATGGCACCAGTCGATATATGTCTTCAGCCCCGTCGTGTGACGTGTTGGCCAAATCGCAATCGATGGCGATGAAATTTCCGCGCGACGCCGAATCGACGGAGTGAAAGCACGCGTACTGATCCATGAATCCGCAAGGCGCCCCGACGACGTCATTTTCCGCGGTTTGACAATACAGAGGAATCATCGCCACATGCGCGCTAAACCTTCGAGCGGCGTCGTCTTCGGAAACCACGCCAGCGCGCAGCGCGCTCGCCGCCACGGCTCTCGCCACGGCGATTTCCACCGCCGCCGAACTCGCCACGCCTTTCCCTTGCGGCACGTCCGAGCGAATCTCAATCTCGCAATCGCATCGCGCGAGCTTCTTCACCCACGCTCGCGCGCGTTTATTCGACGCGTCCGCATCGCTCGATATCGCTCGCAAAAACTCCCCCATCGCGCCGGCGACGTACGCCGCCCATCGCTCGTTCGCCGCGCTCGGCGTCCTCTCAAAATATTCCCTCGTCTTCCCCGCATCGAACGTCTCCGCGTCGAACACCTCATCGAATCGCGCTTCAAAACATCGCGCGTCCTCTTCCTCCGCGCCGCGCGTCCCGATCGTCACCGTTCGCGCTCGAAACGTCCCGCTCGTCCCGCTCGCCGCGTCTCGAAACCGCGCGCGACACTCCGTTCGCCGCCCTCCGAGCCCCAACTGCGCGACCGTCGCGCCGGAGTAATCCGCGATCCCTCCCATGACGTCCACGCGTCCGCGTCCGACGCCGACGCCCGCGCTCGCGCCGTCGTCGTCGCCACCGTCCTCGAAAAATCGCGCGATGTCCCCGTCACCAACGAACTCGCGCGACGTTTTCGTCGTCGTCCGCGTCGACGCGCGCGCGAGCGCCGCTCGAAGCGCTCGCGCGATCGCGTCGCTACGCATCGCGTCACCGGCCGTCGCGCGCGTCGTCGTCGTCGTCGTCTGACGCGCTCGACGTCGCGATTCGCGTCGCGAGCGCGCCTTTGCGGTGCACTTTTTGAGCGCTCGATCGGCATCTTATCCGTCGCCCGCACACGCGCGCGCGTCGCCACGGCGCCCGAATCGCGCTCGATCGACGCCCGAGATGTCGACGCGCGTCCGCGACGCGCCGCGCGTCGCGACGCGCGCGCACGCGCGGCGCGTCGGGCGTAAAACTCGAAAGAGTGGGACGTCATCGTCCGCGGGACGGCGACGTCGCGACGGCGTCGCGCGGTCGACGGCGGACGACGGCGAACGATCGACGGCGCGCGAGGCGCGCGGCGCGCAGTCGCGTCGCGAGGCGCTGCTGCGCGCGGCGAGCGCGACGGTGATGGCGACGACGACGACGACGGCGGACGCGGCGCGCGCGGCGGCGGGCGCGGCGCGGCGACTGCAGGAGACGTACTTCGCGGCGACGTCGAAAGCGATCGCGCCCGAGCGGTGGTACCCGTACTGGTGGGCGCTGCCGCTCGCGCCGTACGGGAGCAAAGCGACGGCGCTCGCGGAGGCGGTGCCGGGGGAGGTGTGGACGTTCGATCAGTTGCAAGGATTGCTCGACGTGCTCGTCAACGTGCGAATGACGGTGGCGCGACTGGAGGGGGGGGGGTTGTGGGTGCACAACCCGGTGGCGCCGACGAAGGAGCTGGTGGGGATGGTGAAGGAGCTGGAGAAACGATACGGCGCCGTGAAACACATCGTCGTCGGGAGCGCGGCGATCGAGCATAAGATTTACAGCGGGCCGTTCAGCAAGGCGTTTCCGAACGCCGACGTGTGGTTGCCGCCGAAGAATTGGACGTTTCCGGTGGACGTGCCTCTGGAGACGTACGTGCCGTTTTACCCGCAAGGGTCGCCGAAGACGCTTCCGATGCAATCGATCGGAGGCGAACAAAACGTGCCGTGGGCGAACGAGATTGAACACGCCGTGCTGCAAGTCGGCGGCTCGTCCCTGCGCGGATTCAAGGATCCTTGGTTCGTCGACACCGCGTTTTATTTGAAGCGCACGAAAACGGTCGTGCTCACGGATGTCATGGAAAAGGTGAGCCAACAAGCGCCGCCGGTGTGTCAAATCAACCCGCAGCCGCTCTTGGTGCGCGCGATGGATGAGCCGGACAAGGTGCCGGCGAACACATCGCAGGCGAGAAGCGACGGGTGGGGGAAAACCGTCTTGTTTGGTTTGCTCTTCAACCCGAACGCGGTGGAGTTTGAATTTAGCGGAGACATCGCCAACGATTTGCTCGATGGGTTCAAGTGGGATCCGAGCTGGCGCGCCGATTTCGACGCCCTCGTCGCCAAGCCGATGTTTGTGCCGCCCATTTTAGCCGTCTTGGCGTTCCCGCGTCGCCGCGACGAAGTCAAGCGTTGGTCGAACATCGTCACCTCGTGGGATTTCACGTCCATCATCCCGAGCCACCTCGACGGTCCCTTCAACGCGACGCCGGATGAATTCACCGCCGCCATGGACTTTGCCTTGACGGCGACGCCGTACGAGCAATTCGGCGCCAACGCGCAGAGCTTAATCGACGTCGACAAATTGAGCGTCGATCTCAAGTCTCTCGAAGTGCCCAAGCCGTTGAGTCCGGAGCTCATCACTCCTCCCAAACCAGCGCAGGAAGCGGTGGAAATCGTCCTCGACGCCGCGTCGGAGCAATAACTAGCGAGTCTCGCGTTTTAATCAAACCGTCGCGAACTACGGATAAGACCTCAAACCTCACCGCGCGCTCCCATCGACGCGATGCTCGCCCTCGCGAGCGCATCGCGCGCGAGCGCGTCACACGCGATGTCGCGCACCGCGCGCGCGCCGCTCGACCGCTCTCGCGCGCGAGCGCCGTCGTCGTCGTCGGTTTTCACGCGTCGATCGAGCGCGTCCCGCTCGACCACGCACGTCGTCCGCGCCGCGTCGGACGAGCGCGTGGAGACGCACGCGTTCTTCTCCCCGTCCAAAATCAACCTGTTCTTACGAATCACCGCGCGAAGACCCGATGGATTCCACGACCTCGCGTCGCTGTTCCACGTCATCGACCTCGGGGACGACATGACGTTTGCGAAGTCGTCGAGCGAGACGAAGGACACGCTGATCTGTAACGACCCCACGATCCCGACGGATTCGTCGAATTTAGTGATCAAGGCGTTGGATTTGTTCCGCGCGAAGACGGGCGTGCGACAGTACTTTTGGATCGAGCTGGATAAAAAGGTGCCGCACGGCGCCGGACTCGGCGGCGGGAGCGGAAACGCGGCGACGACGCTCTTCGCCGCGAATAAGTTGTGTGGATCGCCGGCGACGGAGGCGGAACTGTTGGAGTGGAGTGGGGAAATAGGAAGCGATATTTCGGTGTTCTTTTCTAAGGGCGCGGCGTATTGCACGGGGAGAGGGGAGATTGTGGAGGACGTGGAGCCGCCGTTGGATTTAGCCACGAAGATGTTGCTCGTGAAGCCGCCGATGGGGTGCTCGACGCCGGCTATATTTAAGGCGCTCGATCTCGATGGACGCTCGAAGGCGGACCCGTTAGAGTTGTTGAAACGCATCGGCGTCGATGGATGCTCGGAGACGGTGTGCATCAACGATCTCGAGGCGCCCGCGTTTACGGTGTTGCCCGAACTCGCCGAGCTCAAGGAACGGCTCAAGGCGGCGACGGCGGATAAAAAGACGGTGGTTTTCATGTCTGGTAGCGGTAGCACGATCGTCATCGTCGGCGACGATGACGTTCCCGCGTTCGTGGCGCGAGACGACGCCCTGTTCAAGGCGCCCACGCGATTAATCACGAGAAAGCCCGGCGAGTGGTACGCGCCGACGCTTCGCCGAGCGTAAACGTGAATGGTAATAAAATCTCTACGGCATAGCGACAACTACTGAACGACTACTGGCCGATTCTCAGCCCGATATAACTGCTCACACTCGGCGTATCCGCTTCGAACTGCCTGAACGAATCCACCATGACGTCGAATATCTTGGAATTCTTTTCGTACGAAGCCGTCGGCGACTGCAACCGCAATTCGTACAGCTTCCCGTTCTCCGTCCCGAGCGCGCTTCGCAGCGTCCGATCCCACTCCAACGTCTGCGGTCGATCCTCCGCCGTCAACCCGTACTGATTCCTCGCGCTATAACTCGAAATCCTCACCTCCACGTCGTAATACACTTTCCCATCGCTCTTCGTCCTTCGCCTCGCGTTTAAAATCTCCTTCTCTCGCCGCACCCCCAGCCGCGTCGACATCAGCTCGCCGACGTACTGTTCCAGCACCCTCTTCGCCGCGTCCTCCGCCGTTCCCAGATCTTCCACGCTCTCGTACGCGCTGCTCGACGGCGAGCTCACCGCGACGAACGCGTTCGTCTCGACCTCGCTCGCGTCTCGAAAAAACACGTCGTTCCCGCTCCCCCTGACCTCGACCCACGCGCTCGGTCGATCGAATCCGTACCCATCGATCGCGTCCGTGTACCGCGCGAATCCGATCGGCGGTCGTTCGAACGCGCGCGCGGGCGTCGCGATCGCGACGCGCGCCAGCGCCACCGCGCTCAGCGCCGCGCGCATCGCGTCGCGCCGCGTCGTCGTCGTCGTCGTCGTCGATCGCGATCGCGCGTCGCATCGCGCGACGACGGCGCGTTGGATCGCCGGCGCGCGTCGCGGCGTCGACGCGGGCGTCGCGCGATGCGTCGCGATCGACGACGCGCGCGCCATGGCGCGCGAACGACGACGACGATCGTTCGCGCGTCGAGGATTGCCGACGACGATCGATGCGTCGATCGCGCGCGACGCGCGCGCGACACTCGCGCGCGCTCGATCGCGCGATCGCGCGACGCGCGCGCATGTCGCGCGCCGGCGCGGACGCCGCGCGCGCGTCGCCGACGCGCGGGACGCACCGCGGCGACGCGATGGCGGTCGGTGACGACGCCGCGCGCGCGCTCTTCGCGTGGGGGTGCGGCGAGGACGGGCAGCTCGGGCTCGACGACGCGCGGTCGACGGCGCGCGAACGATGCGCGGCGTCGCCGCGGCGCGTGGCGCTGGAGGCGACGACGCCGGCGTCGGCGTCGCGGCGGGGCGAGGCGACGCCGCGCGCGCCGGCGTGCGGGTCGAGAAACTCGATGTGCGCGACGACGACGGGGGAGCTGTACGCGTGGGGGTGGAATTCGCACCGAGCGCTGTCGTTCGGGTGGCAGGAGTGCGACGCGCTGTTCGTGGACGCGCCGAGGCGAAGTCGACTCGAGGTGGGCGAGGGGGGGAGGCGGTTGGAGGTCGCGGCGGCGGCGAGCGGCGGATGGCACGCGCTGTGCGTGGACGCGGACGGCGCGGTTTGGGGGTGGGGTGGGAATGAGTACGCGCAAGCGGGGCGCGCGGACGCGGAGGCGGAGGCGCGGAGCGCGGCGATTCCGGATCGAGACTGGGCGCCGGCGCGGGCGTTGATTTCGCCGGCGCGGATGATTCCGCTCCCGTTCGCGGTGTCCGCGGTGTCGTGCGGAGGGATGAGCTCGTTCGCGCTCTTGCGCGACGGAAGGGTGTTCGAGTGGGGTCTGACGAGCGAAGAGGAGGAACCGCGAGAGGAACCCGCGCACTTGCCGACGCTCGATAAACACGTCGTGGAGATCGCGGCGGGGAGCTTTCATTTGCTCATGCGCACGCGTAACGGCGAGGTACTGTCGTACGGGAACGGAATGTACGGTCAGCTCGGACTCGGGGCGTTCAGCGCCGCGGATAAGCCTCGCGTGATTGAGACTTTCGGCCGCGTCGGCGTGGCGAAAATCGCGGCCGGCGGTTGGCACTCCGCCGCCGTCACCGCCGGCGGCTTACTGTACACTTGGGGACGCGGTGAGTACGGTCGACTCGGGCACGGCGACGACTGCAAGGACAAGGTCGTCCCGCAACTCGTCGACTTGGGCGAAGACGAATCAAACTTCATCGCCGACGTCGCCCTCGGCGGTTCGCACTCCTGCGCAATCACGTGCGAAGGTCACGTCCTCAGTTGGGGGCGCAACACCTTAGGACGTCTCGGTCGAGTCGTTTCCGATCCATCCCCATCGTGCGGCCACCCCGGTCGCGTCGTTTTCCCGCCCCTCCCCGGCGGTAGATTTTGGCGCGTCGACAAAATTTCCTGCGGCGGCAGGCACACCCTCGCCGTCGCCGTCGCCGAAAACCTCCCATCCGCCGCCGCGTGATCGCGCGCGCTTCTCTTCTCCGTGTAATCACACGCGCGCGCACAATTTAGCCCTCTTTTTTGCTCGCCGTCGCGCTTCTCCGCGCCGCGAGCGTCCCGCGCCCTCCGTCGCGTCGGCGTCGCCGTCTCCGGCGCGATCCACCGCCTCACCTAAGAAGGTCGACGTCACGGCGTCAAAAAGCGCCGCCTTCGTCGCCCCTTCGTCGCGCGACGCGCGCGATCGCGGTCGAAACGCTCGAATCGAGCGAAACGCGCGCGATGGCGTTCGACGACGCGTCGCGCGTCGCGCCGCAGCCGCAGCGCGCCGAGCGCGACGGCGACGACGCTTCGGTCGTCGGTCCGGGACGAAAAGCGCAATCGCTCCAAACGAAGGATTCGTCGAGCGAACGGACGCGAACGGGCGTCGCGAACCGAGTGAATGGGTACTTTGGCGCGAAGTTTCATCGCCTCGGGCGATTGAGCGCGTCGAGACCTTGGACGGTGATGCTGTGCTCGATGTTGTTTTGCATCTTGTGCGCCGTCGGCTTGGGGGCGCCGGGATTGAAGAATGAAAAGCGCGGCGATAAGCTTTGGGTGCCGACCGATACGCCGGCGCAGGGGGATAAGAATTACGTCGATGCGAATTTTGGCTCGGAGACGCGCTTCGCGCAGGTGATTTTACGATCGACGACGAACGGGGCGAACGTGCTCACGCCGACGGGGTTGGCGGCGCTGGAGAACGTCGCGGCGCGAGTGCGGAACGCGAATATCGCGTGGGAAGGTGCGACGTATACTTATGCGCAACACTGTTACAAAATGGGGGCGACGTGCTACGAAAAGAGCGTGCTGAACGCGTTTGCGAACGCCACGGCGTACGGGTCGCAGTCGCTAATCGACGCGGCGCTGAGCGCGTCCCCGTTGACCAGCGAGAACCCCAACGATGGATCTACGGTGTTGTTGAAGAACGTCGCCGGTGGAATAACCATGACTGGTGCCGTGCCGAGCGCCTCGGCGATTTCTCTGACGTACTTGTTCAAGAATAACGACGTGCTGAGGAACGGAGATTACGTCGATGAAAAGGGCGACGCGTTTGATAGCGTCGTGCTCGATATTTTCGCCAATCCTCCGTCCGGTTTCAGCGCTTCATACGTCACCGAACGATCATTTTCCGACGAATTTGGCAGCACAATTCAAAGTGATTTGCAAAAGCTTCAAATCGCGCTGTTTTTGATTCTCGCCTACGCCGCGCTCACGCTCAGCAAATGGAACATGGGATGCGTCGGCTCTCGAGTGGGCGTCACTCTCGCGGGTATCGTCTCCATCGGCATGGCCATCGCATCTGCGTACGGCATCGGTGCTTATTGTGGTCTCTTCTTCTCGCCGTTGATGAATGTTCTGCCGTTCTTATTGCTCGGCATCGGCGTCGACGACATGTTTGTCATCGTAAACTCGTACGACAACACGGAGGCGCGCGTCGACCCGGTCGAACGCATGGGGCGGTCTTTGCGAGTCGCCGGGATGAGCATCACGGTCACATCGGCCACGGATGTCATCGCCTTTCTCATCGGTTCGTCCACGTCGTTGCCAGCGTTGAAGAACTTTTGCTTCTACGCGGCGCTCGGCATCTTCTTTGACTATCTCTACCAAATCACCTTCTTCACCGCTTTCTTGTCCATCGACGAGCGAAGAAAGAGCGAAAACAAAGCCGACTGCTTCTTTTGCTTGGACTGCCCTCCCGAGGCGTGCTGCGTGTGCTGTACGCCGAAAAAAATGCCGAAGTCATTGCTGCAAATCGCTTTGGGCGATGGTCTCGGTAAGCAACTCGGAAAGAAGCCCGTCAAAATTTTTGTCCTCGCGTTCTTCTCCGCCATCACCGTCGGCGGCATCATCGGTTCGACGAAGATGCAAGTCGATGCGGACGTGAACAATTTCATCCCAGATGGATCATACTTGAAGAACTGGTTCGCCGACACAGACGCGTACTTTACCGAGTACGGTGACGCGGTCGAGATCTACTCCAAGAGCACGCTCGATTTGACGACGGAAGATTCCATCTTGCGCGCCGCCACGGCGGCGTTTACGGCGAATCCGTACGTCATCAACGAATCCGTTCGTTCTTGGGTTGACGACTTTTACACATATCACACCACTACCAATGGCGTGACCGTGACGTCGCTCAACTATATCCCATCGCTCAAGACCTGGCTCAGCACCGCTGCTGGGTCTCAGTACAAAAACGACGTCGTGTTTGACGACGAGACGTCGCCGACGGCCATCGTCAGCACGCGAATTCACGGCAACCACATAAAGACGGACAAGTCGAACGTCAACGTGCAGGCGATGGATACGTTGCGCGCCGCGATTAACGCTGTCAGTGGTAACAACGGTCGAATTTTCGCCTTTGGTAGTCAGTGGTTGAATTACGAGCAGTACAAGTCGATCACGAGCGAAGCCATCAGGAATATTTCCATCACTCTCGCGGCGTGCTTCGTCATCATCGCCATGCTCGTCATCGAGATTAAAACCGTCGTGAGCGTGTCCTTGGCGCTGACGATGATTTTTGTCAACATCGTCGGTTACATGCACTTCTGGGGTCTCACCATCGATTCCGTGACCGTCATCATGCTCGTCATCGCTCTCGGACTCGCCGTCGATTACTCGGCGCACATCGGTCGCGCGTACTTGGAAAAGACTGGCACCCCGGACGAACGCATCGTTCGCACGCTCCAGGACATGGGTGTCGCCGTCTGGAACGGTGCGATGTCCACCTTCATGGCTGTTCTCATCCTCGGCTCCTCCGATTCGTACGTCTTCCAAACCTTTTTCAAGCAGCTCTTCCTGTGCATCGTCCTCGGCTTGATGCACGGCTTGATCTTCCTTCCGGTGGTGCTCTCCATGTTGCGTCCCGCCGCGTACGCCGAGGCCACGTGACCGAGCTCACCGAAATAATCTTATTCTTTCGCATGCTTTCGTGCAATTTGTTCCGTTATCTCCGTGTAAAATCACTCCGACATATAGAACGACCTCACCACTCGCGCTCGCTCGACGACCGACCGACCGACCGACCGACCGACCGACCGCGTCACTTCGCGCCCCACGGCGTCGGCTTCGTCGCCGGCGCGCGCGATGCGCACGGCTTCGTCGACTTCGTCGGCGTCGCGCCGCGCGTCCCTGTCTCTCTCGCGCGCGTCGTCGGCGACGGTTCGCGCGGCGAACCGACGTTGCGATCGTCATAACGGTGTCGTTCGTTCGCTCGAACGCGCGCGCGGAAGCGCGCACGCGACGCGCGCGACGCCGCGATCGGGCGATCGGGCGACGTTTACGGATGCGTACGCGGTGGACGCGAGCTTCGGTGGCTCGCTGGACGCGTCGTCGGATCGATGGGACGGAACGGCGCTGTCGTGGAGCTCTGAGATGGATTACGACGAGGAGTTCGGCGCGCCGTGGTGGACGCCCGAACGCGTCGCGCGCGTGGGACGAACGATAGAAAGCGCGGTGAATGACACGATGCGAGAGTGGCCGGACGAAGGGTTGACGGTCGAGAGATTGGTGGAGACGCTCGTGTCGAGAGGGGCGCTTCGCGCGGATGAGCGCGCGGCGCTCAGGCAGCGCGCGAAACGCGTCGGCGAGGATTGGACGCGGTATGCGCAAGCCGAGGATCGCGCGGTCTTAAAGCTACGAAGGAAGTTGGTAAAGGGCGAGGACATTCGCGCGAATGCGTTGAAGCTGCCGAAAATCGACTCGACGTCGATAAAAGATTGGACCAAGTCGGATTGGGAACGCTTCTTCAAGGTGGTTTTGGCGTCCGTCATCGGCGGTGCCGCGTTATTTGCGAGCGGAGGGACCGCGACACCGGCGCTAGTGGCGGCAATGCACGGACTCGGGCTCGGTGCTGAAGCGTTTTCAGCGTTCGGTGGTTTGCAATGTATGCTCGGCGTCACCGGCGCGTCGCTGTGCGCGCAAAAGATGGCGAATCGCACCAAGACTGAGCTTGAAAACTTCGACCTCATACCGCTTCGCGGCGCGCATAAATCGTATGCCATGCATATATTCGTTCCTGGGTTTACGCGCGACGACCATGACTTATTAGGCGCTTGGGGTGCGACGAACAACCAATACGTCTCCGTCGTGCCGGAATCCCGTTCCGTCGTCCCCGACCTGGGCATCGAGTTCACGAGTGGCGCAGATGGATCGATCATCGTACAGGCGAAAGACGATTCAATCGCCAAGCGTCATGGTGTTGTTTCTGGAAGCACTCTGCTGTCTTATCGATCGGTTAAAAAACCTGGCGAGCCGAGTGTCGTGCTCTCCGAACTCGTCGACATGCCGACGTCTGACGAATTGTCGCGAGTGCCGCGCCCAATCGAGATTCGACTGCAGCTCCCCGATCGCGATGATGAGCTGAAGAAAGAAATGAGCGAGCTCGCGAACGAAATCAAGTCTCAAGTCGGTAATCATAGCAAGGAAGAACACTTGCCGACCGCTGAAGCGGCTATTCGACCCGAGCAACGGCGCTGGGGCAATCGCACGGGCGAGCAACTCGTGTTGAATTGGGAGCCGTCTACACTCAATGAACTCGGCGCGTGCATGACATCCTGGAACGAGACGTGCACCGTCAACTTTTACTTAACGCCCGCAGCGTTGGCTAAGACTGCGCTCGGAGGGATCGCTGACGCTATCGCTTGGCCGGCGACGCTTCTCTCGAGCGCGGGTTTCATCGACGATCCTTGGGCTTTGGTCAAACTGCGCGGAAAAATCGCGGGCGAAGAACTCGCGCAGAGCTTGTTAGATGGCCAGCATGGTCATCGACCGGTGACGTTCGTCGCGTACAGCGCCGGTGCTTACGTCGTTCAGAGCTGCTTGCAAAAGTTGTACGAAGCCGGCGACAGAGGCAAGAACATCGTCGACCGCGCAATCTTCATCTCGGCGCCGATTTCTACGTCCAAGGACGTTTGGCAGCCGATGCGTGAGGTCGTCTCCGGTCGTCTCGTTAACGTCCACTGCCACACGGATTGGATTTTGCTTCTCATGTGGCGCTTCAACATGCTCGATCCCATGACCAGACTCGCGGGCTTGTCCATCGTCAAGCGCGTGCCGAGCGTGGAAAACTACAACATTAAAAATCTCCGTCACGCGCATCTCCCCGACGAAATCTCGCGCGTGCTCGAGGAAATCGACCTTCAAGAGTAAATATTCCTGTAATTCCTGTAATAACGATGCACTGACCCTCGCCGCCGCGCGTTTCGCTTTGCCTCGAGTCGGCGTCCGCGGCGAGCCCACACTTCGTGCGGCGTCCCCACACTTCGTGCCGTCGCGCCATGCCGCGAATCGTCGGGCTCGGCGACCCCGTGACTGATGTGGTGTATCACGCATCTCGCGACGCGATCGTCGCGCTGTTGCGCGACGCGCACGACGCACACGACGCGGATGAAGTTGAAATCGGCGGCTGCGTCCCAGTGTCCGCGCGCGAGCTGCGCGCGCTCGTGCGCGCGATTCCCGAGCGCGACGCCGTCGTGAGCCCCGGCGGAAGCGCGGCGAACGTTCTCAAAGGCATCGCACAGTGCGCGGCCGACGATGCGAGCTCGACGACGTCGTGCGTGTTCGTAGGGACCGTGGACGGGCGGGACGACGTCGGCGCGGCGTACGGGGACGCGCTGCGACGCGCGAGAGTTGAATCGGCGCTCATGGCGTACGAAGGCGATGATGCGAGCGATGCAGAGGGAGAAAATGGAATAATTGGAAGCGCGCGATGCGTGTGCTTGGTGGACGATCGAGGGCAGAGAACGATGCGGACGTATTTGGGGGCGTCGGCGAAGACGCGAGCGGACGATTTGCCGAGCGAGGCGTTGCGCTCGGCGGATGTGTTGCACGCGGAGGGGTACGCGCTGTATAAACCGGATGTTTTAGCGCGCGCGTGCGCGCTGGCCAAGGAAAACGGCGCGCTCGTGAGCTTAGATTTGGCGTCGTTTGAGGTTGTGAGGCACTGTCGAGACGCGCTGCGCGAGACGCTCGAGTCGGGCGTCGTCGACGTGATATTTTGCAACGAAGACGAGGCGCGCGAACTCGTGCGTGGAATCGACGACGACGGCTGCGCGCGCGCGCAGGAGTCGCATCCGCAGTTGAACGGGCGCGACGTCGAGCGACCGAGCGAGGAAACCGAGTTGGCGGCTTTGGCGTATTTATTGCGTTACGTCAAACTGGCCGTGTGTTCTCGCGGCAAGCGCGGGTGCGTCGCGATGAACGCTGAAGGCGAGCGAAGCGAATCTCGCGCCGAAGGCGTGGAAGCGATCGACACCACGGGCGCGGGAGACACGTTCACGAGCGGGTTCTTGCACGCCTATCTCGCCGGTGGATCGTTGCGACAGTGCGGCGACGCCGGTTGCGCCGCGGGGGCAGAGGTCGTTCAAGTTCGCGGCGCGGAGATGGACGACGATCGCTGGCGTCGCGTGCGCGAAAAGATTGCGATAATTTTAGGCAAGGAGCGCTCACCGAGCGCGACGATGTAGCGTTAGCGATAAAAATCTGGTTGTCGTGTTGTTATTGATTCATCATCACGAAATTCGGCCCCAAAGTACTTCACGCGTTCTCTCGTTCAGATCGCGAAGGTGCCGACGGGTTCTCGTTGTCGATATTTGCGCGCTCGAAGGTGCCTCTGGTAGCACGCCGTGCACACGGTGTGTTCGCCAGACTTGCGCCACTGCGATGATTGCTTCGTGCGGTCGCACGACGGACAGTGCCGCGGCGGCGCGGAGCTCGGCTTTTGCGCCTTTTTCCCGCCGTTTTTGTGCGGCGGCATGCGCTTGCGAGGCGCGCCGGCGGCGTTCAAATCCGGGTGATTCGCGCGGTCGCTGAAACACTGGTGACACGTCCACACGGGTTCGCCCTCGGGCCCGGTTTCTTTCGATCGGTACCATCGCACGTCGGGCTCGGTGCGCTTCGCCTTTCGGCAATCCGCGCACGTTCGTTCGTCGCGCAGTTTCCGCATGCGATTCTTCGTTCGGTGATAGCACTTGTGGCAGCACTTCCCCCCCGCCGCCGCGTCCTCCGACGGGTCGCTCACCAACAGCATCCCGTTCGCGGAATTCCCGCACTTTTCGCACCGCGTCAGCGCGCCCTCGTTCTTTCTCCGCTCCTTCCGCGCGCGCTCGTAGCACTTCGCGCACCGCGTCCCGAGCGCGCCGCCCTCGCGCCCCGTCGCCGCGGTCCCCCGCGCGGGATCGTCCGCCGCCACGCGCACCCACTCCCCCCTGCACTTCGTCTCCCCGCACTCCACGCACGCCCGCACGACGCCGTCGACGACGTGCTCCGTCGTCGCGTTCCTCTTTCTCCGCTCTCTCTGAAAGCACGCCTTGCACCGAAACCGCGTCGCGTCGCCCCCCCCGTCATCCATCCTTCGCCATCTCGACGTCTTCTCCGCCCCGCACGTCTCGCACGCCCGCCCATCCGTCGCCGGTGGTGCGCGCTTCTCCGTCCTCTGCCCCGGCGTCCCTCGCGCGCCCTCCGCGGTCGCCGCCGGTCGTTTCCGCGGCGTCCCGGTCGCGCGTCCCGGTCGCGCGTCGAGCGACCCGAGTCTCGCCGTCGTCTCGCGCGTCGTCGCCTGCACGCGCGCGCGATCGTCGCTCGGCGCGCGCACCGAAGCGACGAGCGAGCGCTCGCGCGTCGCGCGGCGCGACATCGTTGTCGACGGATCGCGCGCCGGGGCGTCGAGAGTCGCGCGCGTCCGTGTGTGGATCGCGCAACGGTCGAATGCGATCGATGGATGCGATCGATGCGATCGATCGATCGATCGACGCGAGGCGACGGCGCGATGCGGATGATTCGGACGCGCGAATCCCATCGTTCGCGCGCGCGCGCGTTCGCGCGTTCGCGCGTTCGCGCATTCGCGCGCATGCACTCGCATTCATCCGAGGGGGACGACGACGGACGACTGTGTCGTTGTATCATCGGGTACGAAGCCCTTGGTATATGACCCAGTGCGTCGTATACGGTCACGGTTTTCGCTATGTATCGAAAATCAGGGTTACGAAGCCCTCGGTATGTGACCCAGTGCGTCGTATACGGGCACGAATATCGCTGTGTATACGGACACGAAAATCAGGGTTTAGGGTTTAGAAGATGCCGCCGACGCGCGACCGCGGCGACGCCGACCGTCGCGCGCATCGCGACGCGCGACGCGCGACGATCGCGCCGTCGCGCGACGCGCGATGGCGCGGGCGTCGACGCGCGACGCGCGCGACGCGCGCGACGCGCGACGGCGCGACGGCGCGGTGCGTCGACGCGGGAGACGCGCGGTGACGGCGATGACGACGCTCGCGATGATGACGCTCGCGGTGACGCGCGCGCGCGCGGACGGCGCGACGACGACGACGACGACGACGACGACGGATCGCGCGAGTCGCGAGAGCGCGATGGGCGACGCGGGAGGGCCGAGGGATGGGATTCCGCACCCGGCGGCGGCGGCGGCGCGCGAACGCGAACGCGAACGCGAGGACGAGGACGCGGCGCGGACGACGGGCGCGAAAACATCGCGAGTGGACGACGAACGGAAAAAGTACGTCGATGATTTGCTCGAGGAGGAGTCGGTGGACGATCGAAGGCGGGCGCGGTCGGCGAGCGCGTCGAGGGCGTCGAGGGCGCGAGCGAGACGCGCGGCGGCGGAGTGGATCGAGGCGTACGTCGAGGGCACGGCGACGAGAGACGCGAGCGGGTGGGACGACGGCGAGGCGTGGTTCGCGCTCGGGCACGCGCGCAGGTACGGGTTGATCGAGGGACGGGAGATGGACGAGGGGGGGGCGATGGAGTGCTTGCGGCGCGCGGCGGAGCTGGGGGACGCGGCGGCGCACGACGAGTTGGGGTTCACGTACGCGAGTGGATGGGACGGCACGCCGCGCGATGGCGCGAAGAGCGTGCTGCACTATTACTTCGCCGCGAACGCGGGGAGCGTGCGAGCGATGATGGCGCTGGGGTATCGACACAAGCACGGCATCGACGTTCCCGAGTCGTGCGAGACGGCGGTGTTGTACTATCACGAGGCGGCGAAAATCGTCGTGGAAGAGGCGGCCAAACGCACGCCGGGGGTGCTGCCGTTTCAGATTGAAAAACACCGTCTCAGCGCGGAGATGAGCGGGAGTAATCTCGCGGCGAGGCGCGAGCGGGATTTGGTGCAGTATTATCGTTACAGCGCCGACATGGGCAACGTGGACGCGCAGGTGACGATGGGTCGGTTGTACTCGCTCGGCGCCCGCGGGTTGCGCAAAGACGTCGGCGCCGCGCGTAAATACTTGACGGACGCCGCGAACGCGGGAGACGCGACGGCGATGGCAAATTTAGGAAACATGTACGCCAACGGGTTCGGCGTCGACGTCGACAACGCCACGGCGTTGCACTGGTTTCGCAAGGCGGCGAAGAAAGGCAACGCCATGGGGCGGTACGGGCTCGGGTACATGACGCTCGCCGGTCACGGCGTGGCTCAAGATCACGCGTTGGCGGTGCAGTACCTGAACCAAGCCGCTGAGCAAGGGCTTTCCGACGCGCGATACTTTCTCGGCGTCTTGCACTTGCGAGGCATCGGCGTCAAGCAAGATTTCACAAAGGCGTATCATCACTTCAACATCGCTTCGCACGTCGGGCACGAGGTTGCGACGTATAATTTGGCGATGATGCAGTTGAACGGCATGGGGTTTCCGTCGTCGTGCGCGTCCGCGAGCGCGTTACTGAAACAACTCGCCGAACGAGGACACTGGGCGACGCCGATGGAGCACGCGTACGCGGCGTACATGCGTCGTGACTACCGCGGCGCGCTCTTGCGTTACATGAAAATGGCAGAGATGGGAATCGAGATCGCTCAAGCCAACGCCGCGTTCTTGCTCGAACAAAGACTCGGTGACGAAGGTCGATTCCGCGAGGACACTCAGGTGAACCCAGAGGCGCCGAGCACGGCGACGCGCGCGCTCCACTACCATCGACTCGCGGCGACGCAAGGTAACGTCAAGTCGCTTCTTCGCATCGGTGACGCGTATTACTGCGGCAAAGGCGCGAACGTCTCGCTCACGAAATCTATCGCCGCCTATCGCCAAGCGAGCGAACAGAGAAATCCGCACGCGATGTTCAATCTCGCGCACATGCACGAGCACGGCATCGGCATGCAAAAAGACTTGCACCTCGCCAAGCGTTACTACGACATGATCCTCAACAACGCCCCAGACGCCACCATCATCGTGCACCTGGCCCTCAAAAAGCTCGTGCTCCATCAGTGGATCATCGACAACAAGGACACCATCTTGCGCGTCGCCAAAGAAATCCACGCGAGTCCGACGGCGCAATTCGTCGACTTCGTCGTCGTCGTCGGCGCCGCGGCGTTGCTTTGTTTCGTCCTTCTCCTTCGCGTCGGACTCGCTCGCGGGTGAAAACGACCGTCGCTCGCTTTGTAAACCATTCGTACGACTAGCCATTCCGCCTTCGCCTCGCCTTCGCCTTCGCCTTCGCCGTTCGCGCCGTCCCCACACCGAGTCGCGACCGATCGCGCGCGCGCTCGTCCGCGGCCGATCGTTCGATGTCCGCGCTCTTCGACTTCAAGTCCTTCCTCACCACGCTCCTGCTCTTCATCTGCGCGTGCACGTACGTCAAACTTCGCGCGCCCGGGTTGTTGGATTCTCACCGCACCGGGTTTCGAGGTGTTTTCTGGAAAGCCGCGCGCGTGGGCGAGCGTCTATCGCCGTGGGTCAGCGTCGCGTGCGCGTACATGTCAGTGCAAACGCTGTTCGGGTGGTAGTCGTCGAGAGAGGCGGCGCTGAGGCACGCGGGACGGTTGAGCGGGGACGAGCGGGACGGACGAGCGCGCGCGGAACGACGCGCGGCGAGGCGAAGGACGATGAGCGCCAAGGCGAGCTTGATGAAGACGCTCAAGGCGGCGAACGAGGCGTTGAAAGCCGGGGACGCCGCGAGCGCGCGAGGTTTGGCGAAGGAGGCGATCGAGGCGGACGGGGACGCGTACGAAGCGTGGGTCATGGATGGAAAGGCGGCGAACGCGCTCGGGGCGCTCGATGACGCGGTGAAATCGTACGAGCGTGCGATTGAGATCAGAAGCGAGCATCCAGCGGCGTATCAAGGGTTGAATGAGACGTTCGCGGCGAAAGGTGATGTCGTGGGGCGGTTGCGCGCGTTGCGAGCGCTCGTCGACGCGCATCGAGCGAGCGGGAAGGTGGACAAACTCGTCGAGTTTTTGAAACAAGCGTGCGCGTGCGCGTGGGAAAACGCGCAATGGTCGCGCGTGATTGAGTTCTGCGGTGAGATGGGCGAGTTTCGCACGGGAGAGGTGGACGAAGTGACGCGCGTTGAGTCGGTCAAACGCGCGTGCGACGGCGCGTTGGCTTTGCGCGACGCGCGCGCCGCCGAGGCGGGAGAGGCGGCGGTGCAAATGCTTCGTTCGAAGACTATTGCGAGTAAGGCTGAAGAAGAAGCTGTGCGCAAGTTGGGTGCGCGAGCGTCGCACGCCGTGGACGACGAAGACTTGGCGACGACCCTGCGAGCTTGGCTGAGCGAAGACGTCGCCAACGCGTCGTACGATTCACGGACGCACGCCGCGGAATTGGATCGACTCGACGCCCGTCTGGCTGCTGCGCTTTCGGGATCGGTCGACTGCGACTTCGATGTCAGAGCGTGCGCACGTGAGGCGCTGACTGAGGCTACTGTACTCATCGATCGATGGGGCGAAGTCGTCATTGATCTCGTCGAGCCGCTGTGCGTGGAAATCGTCGCCGCGCTCGAACTCGGTTTAGATTGCGAAGAAGAGGGATGGGATGATAACGAGGTCGAGGATGAAGATGAGGCGAAAGTCATACGTTTGCTCGAGCGCGTGCTCGCTTTACGGGCGAACACGATCGCGTCAGGCTGGCTCGCGCTCAGGGACTCGCGTCGAAGCGGCGCATTTACGCATTCATGCCGTCCCGCGACTCCTCCTCGAGAAGACGCCAGAGGTTTGCTGACGCCGGAGCTTCGGGACGAAATTGTAACCACGCTCAATCGCGATGACGAGTCGAAAGTGAGCCATGCGTCCGCCGCAATCGGCTGGCTTGCGTTGGCGGAGTCCATGCTCGTCGGCGGCGAGCGTGCGGACGTGCACGCGCTTCAGGCCGCGACCACGGCGATGAAAATCATGCGCGAAGACATCACAACAGATGCATTACCGAAAATGTCCCGACGGGTTTTGATGGTGCACGCTGAGGCTATGCTTCGCGTAGGGATGTTTCAAGAGGCGAGGGCTGCGTTTGTCGTGCTTGAAGGTCCGCGAGCGGCGCGAGGATTGGCGACGTACGCGTTCAACGCGCACCCTCCCGATTACGAGCGCGCTTTGCAGTTACTCTCCGACGCCGCCGAGACTTACCCTAACGTGCGACGCGTGGGCGTTGAGCTCGGATGGCTCATGACCATTGCTGGATCTTCAGAGCGTCGAGCCGAGGGGTTGGAGACGCTCGAGCGAGCGTGCGGCGTAAAGTCAGGTGAGCCGTTGTCGACGACGACGCCCGCTGATGCAAGTGCGCGACTCGGAATCGCTAGATGGCGCGCTCAAGTCTCAGCGGCGAAGGGGCCAGGGAGCGCGCACGAGGCGTTACTCATCGGCGCCGCGGGCGATTCGGCGCATCGCGCGGCGGCTTTCGCGCATCTCGGTCTTTCGTGCGGTGCAAGCGGCGATGACGCGCGCGCGCAAAAGTGTCACGCGCGTGCGCTGGCACTCGACGCTGCGGACCCGACATCTGGGCCTGTGGCGTTTACGAACGCGTTGGACGCGAACGACGACGCCAAGGCGACGTCCATTTGCCGCGCTGCGCTCGCCGTGGATTCGCGGTGCTCCTGGGCGGCGAACAGACTCGCGCCAATGTGCGCTCGTATCGGTGATCACAGCGGTGCCATTGGCGCCTTACAAGTAGTCTTGCGTGTTTCTCCTCGAAACGCCAGCGCCTGGGAAGCTTTAGGTGCGTCGTACAACAGTCTCGGTAGGCATTCCGCCGCGCTCAAAGCATTCGAGCGAGCGATGGAGTTGAGCGATGAAGCGGGCGAGGGAGTTCGCTCATACGCGGCTTCGCAAACAGGACACATTTATTTGGCGCTAGGATCCTCCGCAGACGCTATTGAGGCTTACGACAAAGCACTAAGCGATGGCGTCGATCATTTAGCCGCCTTGTTTGGTTCGGCGAGCGCTCACTCGTATTACGCCAAAGGCGCGTTGCGCTGGGGCGCTCCGGGACGCGCCGCGGTATCACTAAAAGCCGCAACAAAAGCAGGGAAACGCGCGGTAGAAATCATGGGCGACGGCGCCACCGCAACGGTTTGGAAGTTGCTAGGGGACATTCATCACCTCGCAGCGCAAGTCAATGATCCAGCGCTCGGGAAGGACTTCACATCCATGCTTGCCGCGCGAACGACCGAAGCTCGCAGCGCGGTCGAGGCGTACGGAAAGGCATTGAACCTAAAACCCGACCGTCCCGGTCGATGGCGTGACGTCGTTGCTGCGCTGCGATTGCAAACCGAGATTCACAAACTTTCAGGCGACGTCGCAGCTGCGGAGGCGAGCGCGGCAAAGGCGTGGGAACGCGCCGCGGGCTACCTTCGAGTCGCCCCAGGCGACCCGTTCGCCTGGTTCGCCGCGGCAGCGATCGATGATCCTGCCGTAATTTCAGACGCTGTGCGCACTGAGCGAAAAATCACCGCTTTATCTCGCGCCGTCGCACTCAATCCCACGTTTGCTCAAGCGTGGTGCGCGCTGGGCCGTTTGTATCTATCATCGGGCGACGTCGGCGAGGCGACTTTATCGCTTGACAGCGCGCGTATCGCCGACCCAAGCAGTGGTGATGCGTGGACAGCGACTGCAGCTTTGCACATAGCCACTGGTAAATTAGCTGAAGGACGCGGCGCGTTCCGTATGGCGGCGGCGCTTGGCGCCGGCGCGGAGGCAGATTTGGGATGTGCGCTCACGGCGTGCGCTTCTGGGTTGACTTATGCCAAAGATGCTTACGCGGCTGCTCGTCGGGCGAGTGAAAGTTTACCCGTTGATTCTACAGCGGCGATCGCACTCGCCCTTTGCGCCGAATGCCGAGGGTTGTTTGAGGAAGCCGAAGATGCAGCGGCGCACGCAGTGGCGTCGCTCGAAAACGTCCCTGCGCTGGGCGGCGATCCAAACGTCATACGAACCGTCGCAGAAGAATGCCGCGCTCGAGTGTCGCAAAGACGGTTGGACGATTCCGACTCAACCGCATCCACGAGTGTTGATGGAGACTTTGAGAACACGCTTGAACGCGCCAAACTTTTGGTGCATGCGCGACCCGGAGATTTGAAGATGCAGGACGCTTTGACGCGCGTGGCGTCGTGCGCCCCAGATCACCAAACAGTCGTTTCGGCCCTCTCTGCATGCCCACCATCTTCACCAAACGGTGACTATCGCGTTCAATCTTCGCTCGCGCGCGCTGCGGCGGCGTGCGCCTTGAACGCGTCGACCGTTGTCGGCGACGCCGAGGGCTCGGCTCGAGCCAATCGATTCGTTGCGCGCGCGACGATGCTCGATCCATCCTCTACAGAGTCCCTCGAACTGCTCAACATCGTTCTCGATCGACGTAAGGGCATCGTTCGAGAAGCCACGCAATCGGAAGCACACGAGCTCCACGCCGCGCTCAAGTCTGCCTTGACGCAGAGCGCCGCCGGCGATTCAGCCTCCGCCGAAGCCGCCGCGCGCGCCGTCGTCAATCGCGAGCCCATCACCGACGCCGCGCAAGCCGCCGCTCGTCTCATCCTCGCTTCGTTTCTCATCGAACGCTCTCGACGCGACGGCGACGCCAAACCGGCGAAGGAGGCGATCAAGGTATTGGCGAAGATTCCATCCGAAGCCGGCGCTCGAGTCGCCGATCTCGCGGCGGCGCTGGCCGACGCCGTGTCGGGATGATGCTGCGTCACCGTCGCACTTCCGCGCGCGCGTTCGTCAGATGTCGAGAACGACGCACGTATGTCTCGCGCTCTCACCGCTCGCGGTGCGATCGCACGGTCGACACCGCGTGCCGACGGTGCATACCGCGCGCTCGCGCGTCGGGACGCCGCGGCTTTGGCTTCGGGACGCGCGACGTCTCGCCTCGCTCGCATCGCGCGATGAAGACGACGTCGTTCTCATTGAGTCACAGAACGTGAATGATGAACGTGACGAGAGCGCCGCGCGCGTCGCGGCGACGCCGGTACCGCCGCGGTGGGATGTCGCCGTCAACGCGGAGACGCTCAAAGAAATCGTAAACTTTGGCTTTGAGCGATTTGGATTTGAAGATGACTCGGATGCGTTGAACGCTTTGGCGCGGGCGTTGAACTCCAACTGCGACCGCGGTTTAGAAACGATGGGTGACGTGGAAACGAACCGACGCGTATGGGGCGCGAACACGACGCGACCATACCCGACAAAGTCGATTTGGGATTTTGCGTTCGAGGCGCTCGAGGACGTCACGTTGCGCGTACTCGTAATCAGCGGTGCGTTGTCGCTCGTGTTGGAAACGTCCATCGGGGGCGATGATTCAGAGTATAGTTGGGCGAATGGAGCTGCGATACTTCTCGCGGTGTGCATCATCGTCGTCGTGGAGTGCGTGAACAACAACGAAAAACAGAGATCGTTTGTCAATCTCAACGCACGAAGCGAACAGACAAACGTCGCGAGCATTTTACGCGGTGGGAATCGTGAGCTTTTGAGGAAGAGTGAAGTCGTCGTTGGAGACGTCGTGGAGCTGCAAGCGGGAGACGTTGCACCGTGTGATGGCTTAGTGATCGAGAGTGCGGCGTTTTTGGTCGATCAAAGTCACATTACCGGCGAGAGCGATGATATTGAAAAGAATCGTCAATCGATAATTTTCGCTGGAAGCAAAGTCACGTCTGGACGCGGATCGATCCTGTCGATCGGCGTCGGTGAGAATTCGTCTAGTGGACAAATTGCAGAGATGATCAATGTCGGTGCCGAAGAGTTCACGCCGCTGCAGTTGCAACTGCAGGCGCTTGCCGTCAAAATTGGTCGCTGGGGCATCAGCGCCGCATTGGTCGTCGGTTTCATTTTAAGCTTTACGCTCGTATTTGACGCAATTCAAGGGACTGGTCCGCCCATCGAGGCGCTCGGTTTGGATTTCTTGCATATCGTCATCATCGCCATCACCATCGTCGTCGTATCGGTGCCCGAGGTGCGTGGGAAAGCGTTTTTCTTTTTTTCGTGCTCGAGCGCCGGTGGTGTTCTGTGATGATTGAGTAAATTTCTCTGAATTCGTTGACGAAACTACTCTGTCTGCCGACTTCCCTCTGAGAACGCCACCGAAAAGCTTTGAGCGCGCGACTTCCATTCATTTCTGTGATGATTGAGTAAAGTTCTCTGAATTCATTGACGAAACTACTCTGTCTGCCGACTTCCCTCTGAGATTTGAATGGTCGTGACGCGGATTGACTTTTTCACGCGCAACCTCGACTGACAATACCTCGTTTCCTTTCGCAACACAGGGCTTACCACTCGCCGTGACGCTCGCTCTGGCATTTTCCGTCAGGCGCATGCTCGAGTTGTCCATGCTCGTCCGCGTCCTAGGCTCCGCCGAAACCACAGGCGAAGTCACGGCTTTGCTCATCGACAAGACTGGGACGGTGACTGAAAACGACCAACGCGTTAATCGCGCGTGGATCGCGGGTGTAGATATCGGACCTCTAACGAGCAAAAGCGTGACGTGGGCGAGTGAAATTGCAAACAAGACGCGAAACGAGCCAACGCTCGATCCTCGCGTGGTGAAACTCCTGTCGATTTTGCTCGCAATGAACTCGACCATAACCTACGATGCCAAAGGGCAAATTTTGCGAGGAGCAAAGGCGGAAATCGCGCTGTTACGATTCGTTAACTCAATGAACAACGACGAATTGTTCGTCGCTACGATTCGTAAGTACTTCCCTTTGGTCAAGCTCTTTCCATTCAACACTTCCAGAAAGCGCATGTGCACGCTCTTCACACTTCGCGACGGCATCAACGACGACGAAATGGGAGACGTGATCGTTCGTGCGGTCACGAAGGGCGCATCTCAAGACATGTTGAACTTGTGTTCATCTGTCATGGACGAAAACGGCGCCCATCATCCACTCGACGCCGCTACGAAGGATCAGCTGTCGAAAAAGTTTCTCGAATGGCAAGATGACGCGGAAAGGGTATTACTCGTCGCGTATAAGGACATCGAACGCGATCTCATCACAACGCATGAAGCGACGAATATTTGCAGTCGAATGAGCGCCAGCGACGCTGAATCCGACCTCACGCTCGTCGCAGCAATCGGGATGTGCGACCCTTTGAGGCCAGAATCCACGAAGAGCGTGCGTTTATGTCGCCGCTCTGGCGTCGCAGTGAAGATGGTCACTGGGGATTCGTTGTCCACCGCTACCGCGGTGGCAAGGAGATGCGGAATACTCGATGAAAAAGACATGAGCACCGAAGCAACGATGACGGGTGAAGCGTTTCGAGAAGCAATTCGTGGAGAAGAGGGTCAAGAAATCGATCAATCGAAACTCGATGCCATTTGGCCGAATTTGCGAGTGCTCGCTCGCGCGTCGCCACAAGACAAATTCATCCTTACCGATGGTATACGCAACACAAAGCTATCGGGACGAAAAGAAGTTGTAGGGGTTGTAGGCGACGGCACAAACGACGCGCCCGCACTTCGACGCGCCAATGTCGGTTTCGCTTTAGGCTCGGGGACGGAGTGCGCCAGAGATGCAAGCGATATTGTTCTTCTGCAGGACGATTTTTCTTCCGTCGTCGACGCCATTCGTTACGGCAGGAACGTGTTTGAATCAATCGAAAAGTTTATCACGTTCCAACTGACGGCGAATTGTACGACAATCATTCTGTCCACCGGCTGCGCACTTGTGTATGCGAAGAGCCCGCTGAACGCCATCGAGCTATTGTTTGTCAATCTTGTCATCGATTCGTTGGCAAGCTTAGCGCTCGCGACGGATGAGCCGAGCGACGACGTGATGCGACAGCCTCCGTCAGATGCGAGCAACCTCATCACGTCAACCATGCGGCTCAATATCTTCACCCAAGTTTCGTATCAGCTCGCCGTCATGGCGTACTTGCTCAACGAATTCGGCCCGGAAGACACCCAAATCTACTGTTGCTTCGTCTTGCTTCAGCTCGCGAATCAAATCAACTGTCGCAAAGTTACCACGGAGGTCAACGTTTTCAAGGGTGCGACGAAGAACAAGCTCTTCGTGAGCCTCTTGACGAGCGAGATTTTGCTCCATGTCGCCATCGTGCAAGCGGGCGGCGCGGTGTTTCACACCTCTCCGCTCAATGCGGGAGAGTGGCTGCGATGCACCGCGTTCGCGCTCGGGGCGATTCCTCTGCGCGCATTGTTCGTGACATTTTTTGTTTCACTCTTCGCCGCGTTTCGGGAAGAGGACGCGTTGCACCATCACTAGAATTTTTAGATTACATCAGAACTTTCACGCCGCGTCGGCGAACACAGGTAACGCACAGCGCTTCCAATGATCGTCCCACGTTTGCTCTCCCCATTTCGCCGCGCCGTGTTTCAACGCTCTGAGCGTGAGGCGTTCGTCGCCACGGAGAAGTTTCGCGAACATCGCCGCGAGTTCGGTGGCGTCGGCAAAGAGCACGCCGTTGACGCCCTCTTGCACGAGCTCTCCGATGACAGCGTACCGCATCGCGGCGACGGGTAACGATGCCCCAAACATATCCACAATTTTCATCGGTAAATCTAAACCGCTGCTCGAGGTGTGCAGGGAGACGCCCAGGTGCGCGTTCGCGAGCGCGCGCGGATAGTCAGCGGCGTCGAGCCAGACGGTTCGAAACGCCACGTGCTCGAGCGCGAGTTCGTTAATCTTCTTCTCGTACATCGTCTTTCGTGGGCCTTGACCGGTGATAATTATGACGATGTCAGGGTACGACTTTGACGCATGATCGCCCTTCGCGCGCTTGCGCGCGTCGTACGCGACGGCGGCGTCAAGCAAAACGCCAAAGTCTTCATCCGGCGTCCACGACGTCGAACTCACGATGAACCTCGGCTTATTCTTCGTCATATTCTCGTGCGTGCCCCGCAAAAACCGATCGAGCGCGTCCTCACTCCGCGCGACGGGCGAAGCCTCCAGCGCCGAGCGCGCGGGTTCGCTTCTCCAAAATTCCAACGGCGTCGTCGCCTCGCGCGCCGCCTCTCGAAATCGCTCCGCCGCGCGGTCTTCCACGACGCGCGCGCCCTCAATCTTCCATTCTTTCTCCAAAAAGTTTCCCATCGCCTTCGTCACGCACACGTGCGCGTCTCCCCACATCTTTCCCTGCGTCCGTTCGTACCATTTCAACATTCGCGTCGTCGCGCTCGCGTCGCCGCGCTTCATCCCGAACAGCGTGTACGCGAAATTATGCCAGTCCACCACCAACCGCGTCCGTCGCGCGCGACACACGATTCCGCACACCAAAAACGTCGGCACGCACGGCGGGTTCTGTATCAGCATCTCTTCGCACCGCTGCATCGTCATCAGGATCCAAAACAAGTGCGCGCACTGCGCCGCGACGCGCGTCCCGAGCGCGAGCGCGAGCGGGACGCGCGTCAACCACCGCCACCGACATCCCACGACGTAACGCATCGTCACCGCGTCTTCGCGAGACAGCGCATCGATCGGAGGCGTGCCCGAGTAACACACGACGTCGACGGCGCGATCCGCGTCGCGCGCGAGCGACAGCGCGTGGTATTGCATTCGAGGCGAACGACCAAAGTCGCCCAAAACCACGAGCGCGGTGCGTCGTTTCGTCATCGCGGCGCGCGCGCGGGCGCGAGCGGGCGCGTCGAGGTCGCGCGCGCGCGCGGGCCGCGTCGGGACGCGGCGAAGACGCGCGGTCGCGCGCGGCGAGAAGTGCGGCGCCGCGCTCGCCAGTGGGCGAGATATTATTGATAATCTTTCGCATCGTCGCGCGCTCTGGTCATCGACGGGCGAACTTACCCTTACCGCGTCCGCCGCCGCGTCCGCCGCCGCGTCCGCCGCCGCGTCCGCCGCGACGGGCGTCTCGCGCGTCTTCAAATTTGGCCTCCTTGGCGTTCGCCTTGCGCTTGGACCCTGGCAACGCGTCGCTGTCGTCGCTGCTGTCGTCGCTGCTATCGTCGTCCGACGCATCGTCGGATTCAGATTCTTCTTCGTCTGAATCGTCCTGTTCGGAATCCTCGCTCTCGCTCTCGCTCTCGCTCTCGCTCTCGTCTTCGCCTTCGTCTTCGTCTTCGTCGCTCGCCTCGGCTCGTCTCGCCGCCGCCGCCGCCTTCGCCATCGCCTTCGCCTTCACCATCATGTCCTCCTCACCGTCGCTCTCACTCTCGCTATCATCGCTCTCGCCGTCTTCTTCGCCGTTACTTTCGCTGTTCTCTTCGCTCTCATCGCTCGAATCGTCGCCGCCGAGCGACGCCGTCGTCGCCTCGACCCGCCCCGTGAGGCACACCTCCGCCTCGCGTCCGTTGTGCGACACCACCACTCGTTCGCCGTCGCCGAAGCACAGCCCGGAGCCTCCGATGGCGAACTGTTCGCGTCCGGGCGCGTCGCTCACGCTGCCGAGCGCGATGGCGTCGGTTTTCCCGTCGCCGCCGCCACCTCTGGTCGCGACTTGGACGGTGATTCTTTCGTCTTTACTCGCGCGTTTCGGGCCCTCGCACGTCAGGGCGACGTGGGTGAGGACGACCATGGACCCGCGCGACGGGGTGAAGGCGCGGCCGGCGCCGGCGGGGACGCGGAGTTGGAAGAGTTCCATCGCGGCGGCGTGTGCGGCGCGAGGGCGAGCGCGAGGCGGAGACGCGCGTTACATAATTATGCAAATTTAGTGCGCGCGACGGCGCCGGCGAGGAAGGCGGCGACGACGGTGGCGATGCGCTTGATTTTATCGTCTTTGCCCGCGCGTTTGGACGATGAGGCGTCGATGGCGTAACGCATGGACCATTGGACGCCGTACGCGTCGAGCATGACGGCTTGCGTGAGACGAAACAAGTCGCGGGCGGCTTCTTTTTCGTTTTTGAAGATGCTCACCGACTCCACGGAGACGCCGAGGGGAACTTTGGATTGTTTCGTTTCGGCGATGATGCGCTCGCACATGGCGACGAGGATTTCCACGGACTTTTGCGCCGGGTTGTCGGCGCCGAGAATTTCGGCTTCGACGGCTTCCGGGACGGAGCACCCGAGCCACTTGATGAATTTCATCGTTTTTTCGCGCCCACACGGGGCAAACGTGAGCACGATGCGCTTGGGTTGGATCCCCCGCCTCTCACACTCCGCACCGTAATCGTTCACGAGCTTGATCGTCATATCAGCGTCGTAAATGGCTTGAGAAATAAACCACTCCGCGCCCGCATCCGTCTTGGCGCACAGCGTCTCGTGCTCGTTTCCCTTCTTCGCGTGTCTCTCCGCGATCGTCACCCCACCGAACGCGCATCCCCTCTTAGTCTTCCTCAACATTTCCGCCGCGCGCTGAATCGTCGGTCCGGCGTACTCCTGACTCGAACTCGCGCCTCCGACGAGATTATACGCGCTCGTCTCTCGCGTGGCTTCGTCGAGCCACGACTGAAATTCGCCCTCGCTCTTCGTCTCCGCCACGCACTTGTACACCACGCTCTCCGTCCCACCGCTCGCCTTTCGCAGCGCCGCGGCGAACGCGCCCGGATCATCGAGCTTTCGAAACGGAAACGGTCTCGCGTCCGCCGTGCGTCCGGCTTCTTCTTGAATATCGTACACGATGTACCCGTCGCACGCCAACCCGCGCGACTTTTGCACAAAGTTATCCGCCGCGTCCGCGATGGCGTCCGCGGACGATCCTTCCAGCGGCGGCGTCACCCCTGACGGCGCGAGCGCGCGTGGCGATGCGCGTCAGTCGCCGCGACGCGCGTTTCGCGTTTCGCGGTCGATCGCGCCGATGTCGAACGTCGACGCGCGTCCCGCGCGCGGTTGAAAAAGTGATCATCCACGGCGGCGACGCGAATCGCGTCGCGCTTCGCGAGCGGCGCGACGCGACGGCGAGCGCGACGCACCGAACAGGAACACGGGTCGCGAGGTGTCTTTTAAGGCGTCGACGAGGGTCATGGTGCGGGAAGGCGCGAGTGGGGCGGTGGACGGCGCGTCCCAGTGTGAGGTTTGGCTTCGGGACGGGACGAGGCGACGCGCGGCGAGCGAGCGAGCGAGCGAGCGAGCGAAAGGAAGAAATGCGTCATTTGATTGAAATGCGATGCGATGCGATGCGATGTACGAATTATGCGGGCGCGAGAGGAGGGAAGGCGTCGTCGTCGGCGCGCGCGGGTCGGCGGGTGAAGGTGGCGGCGAACCTGGCGCGGAGGGCGTCGAGGGCGCCGGCGAGCGCGGCCCAGGCGAGCAAGCCGACGATGGAGAGGAAACCGAAGACGCCGCTGGGGGCGGAGAGCTTGGATCGGAGGAGTAAAACGGCGATGCGTCGTCGTCGACGGTCCATTTGGGCGTTGCAAGCGGCACGCTCGGATCCTTCGTAGATCTCGCACGCCACGTTCTCGGGGCCGGCGCCGCTGAGCGCGGCGCGAGCGAAGGCGAACGAGGCGGCGAAGAAAGCTCGGAAGGAAAAGTTTGCCATAGAGCGGGCGAAAGATGCTCGAGCGACCTTGACGAGCTGTGTGCGAATGCTCGGCGGAGGCAGCATACCTTCCGGACGCGCCTTCATCGCCAAACGTCGCAACGCGCTCCCGGCGGACGAGTCCACTAAGTCGTTCATCAAGCGATTGATGGCGTCCTTGGCGTGTTCGTCGGCCGTGGACGCCGCGGCGCCGCTTTCACCTTGCTCCGCCGCCGTGTTGGCCTGCGCGCTCAACGCCACAAGCTTGGACCAATTCACGTCCCCATCTTTATCCAATAGCATTTGTTCCAACGCCTTCTTACCGCGATCCGTTCGCGGCGACAAGGCGCGGAAAATAGCCGTCGGCGCGGCGACTTCGTACATGTTACAGTTGGTGCGCGCGGCGGCGAAATCCAACGTCGTGAGCGATCGAATGACGAAAACCATGTACGGCGGAAGATTGAACCGATAGGCCGTGGAAATCTTCGTCAAATCCAACACGAGCTCGGTGAAGTTGGCTCGCACTTTCGGGTTACCCTCTTCGCCGTCCATGCACACTTCAAACGCGCGCCGGAACTCGTCGTCGGAGATGACTTTCCACGACCCCGGACCGCCTTGCGTGTAATCCGCCTGGTTGCCGTTTTCATCTATCCACATCTGCGGTTCTTGAGGTAACATATCCATTATTCTCAAGTTATCGATCAACTCCCCCCACTGACTGTTCAAAATGTTCAAAATACAATTCGCCATGGCCTCTTGCTGGTCGTCGTCGACGCGGCAAATGAGGCCAAAGTCGAGCAACGCGAGCTTACCGTCGTCGGTGAACAACATGTTCCCTTCGTGCGGGTCAGCGTGCACGAGTCCGGTGCGAAACAACTGCGCGGAAGAACACTCCACTCCCATCTGCACCATGAGCTTTTGCTCTTCCAAGCTGAGCGACTTCATCGGTCGACCTTGAATCCACTGTTGCGTGAGCACCTTCTTCGTCGTCATGTTCGCGTGGTGCCTCGGGACGAAGAGGTAGTCCAAAAATCGCAAAGACTTTCTAAACTCATCCGCGTTGCGCGCCTCGATTGTGTAATCGAGCTCCTGAAAGATCCCGGCGCCTACTTGGTCGACAATCTTGTCCAAATCCTCCGAGCCGTTGAGCCCGGATTCCTCCACCCAACCGAACCCGAGGCGAATGATGTGCAAATCCAACGCGATCCTCCTCGCCATCCCCGGTCGCTGCACCTTCACCGCCACCTTACTACCATCATGCAACCGTCCAGCGTACACTTGCCCGATGCTCGCCGCCGCGATGGGCTCCGGGCTCAATTCCTTGTACAAACTATACGCCGGTCCCGGCTTGCTCGCGTCTCGCTCGCAAACCGCGCCGTCCCAACTCAACTCTCTCTTAATGATCGCGTGCGCCTCTTCCGTAGAAAACGGCCCGACTTGATCTTGCAACACCATTAAATTATCCGCCGCCTCCTCACCGATTATATCCGGTCTCGTGCTCAGCGTCTGCGCCATCTTTATAAACACCGGTCCCAACCGCGCGATGCCGTCCCGCAGCTTCTTCCCTCGCGTTCGCCGCTCCAAAGGAATCCCCATCCGTTCCTCGTACTGCCACGTCGCGTACACCCTTCCGATCACCGACAACACCTCCGCCATGCGTCCCGCGAGTTCGGTCGGGCTCTTCGAAAAGTACGCTCCGATATCCAGCATCTTTCGCGTGAACGAGTAGTCGCCGCGAAAGTCGAGCACGACGCGCTCCAGCTCGTCTCGCCCCTTCGCGCTCGTCGCCTCCACCGCCGCTCGCGCCTCGCGCTCGAGCGGTAACAGGGCATCGTTCGCGGCGTCTTCCGACTCCGCGCGCGGGTCCGCGATCGTCCGCGCGCGCGTTTTATCGCCGCGTTTCGTCGCGAACGACGGGCTCGAGGTTATCCTCTTCGGCGCGCGCGTTCGAGGCGCGCGCGCGCTGACGCGGACGTCTCGAGGGCGCGACGCGGGCGCGCGGGCGCGCGCGTGACGCGCGCCGGGCTGGGGCGGCGCGCGCGCGCGCGCCGGAGGGACGTGCGCGCGCATCCGTCGCGGTCTGACGAAATGTGCAACGTCACGCGCGGTGCGAGGACGAATTGGAGGCGAAATCGACGCGAGCGCCGACGGCGGGCGCGATCGATGCGATGCGACGATACAACGGCTAAGGATCGATCTTAAGTTTTTTTGGGGTGTCGAAGACGGCGTCTGATTCGGCGTCGACGCCGGCGGCGGCTTCGCGGGCGGTTTTGGAAGACGGCTTCGACGCGTTTGGTTTCGATTTCGGCGTCGAGCGAGGGGTGGCGACGCGCTTTGGCGTGCGGAGCTCTGCGGGCAGGGCGTCTCTGACGTGCTTGAGCTCGGCGATGAAGAGAGCGTTGTGGGCCCAGCCGCAGTAAGGGCCGAAAATTTCCTTCATCTTGACCTCGATCGAGCGCATGACGCGAGGGGTGACGGATTTGGCGTCGCGTAATTCTGGCATGTAGTGCTCGACGGCGAATTGCCACACGTGCGTGTCCACTGGGATCGCCTCGTGCTTGTTCAGGGAGAACAAGCACACGCAAGCGGATACTTTGGGACCGATCCCCGGGAGCGTCATCAGCGCGGCGTGGGCGTCGACGTACGGCGTTTCGTCGCGAAGCGCGCGCAAGAATTCGTCTGGAGAAGAGCCGACGGCGTCGCCCGCCTCCCCCAAAGCCGCCGCGGAGCCGACGATGAATTTGGCGCGATAACCAAAACCCAACGCTCGTAATTCCTCCTCCGTCGCGCCGTCAAGAATCTGCGCAACGCTCGGAAACGCATAAAATTTCTCCGCCTCGGCCGCCGCCGCGGTCTCTTCGCCGCCGTTCTCGTCTCCATCATCATCATCCTCTTCTAAATCCCGCGTCGTCACCGGCAACGCGTCTCCGTAGTGTACACACATCTTATTCACCATCCCGTGTATCCTCGAGATGTGATTATTGCTCGAACAAATAAAACTAAACAAGCACTCGCTCGGATCCTGCCTTAACATCCGAGCGCCGTCCACGTGCGCCGCGAGCGCTCGAAACCTCCCATCCTTCGCCGCAAACTCCTCGTACAGCCTCTCCAGCGACACGTCCGCGTTAAAATATTCCCTCATCACCCTTCGATCGTCCGTCGCGCTCTCCCATCGCGGTCGACAGTACACTTTATATTCCACCTCGCCTCGCTCGCCGTCGTCGACTTCCCGCACTCGCACCACGCGTCGTCCGACGACGCCGACGTACTCTCGTCCGTCCTCGCGACCTCGCGCGCGCCAACGGAAGCTCTGTCCCGTGGGCAGCGTGTGCTTCAGCCGAAGTTCGCGCGTCGCGAGTCCGAGCGGCGTCCAGGTCGCGTCGAGGCACTTCGCCACGTCGCCGCCGCCGTCGCCGTCGCGCGCGTCCATCGTCGTCGCGCGCTCGGTCGCGCGCGACGCCGCGCGGCGACGCGCGCTCGGTCGCGCGCGCGCGATCGACCGGGCGAGCGCGAGCGGCCGCGCGCGCATGCGCGTCGGCGTGTGCGACGCACCGCGGTCGCGCGATGAATCGGCAACGGAATCAGCCCGTCGCGACGATCGCGCGCGCGCGTCGTCGTCGTCGCGCCGACGCGATTCGGAACCGACCGAGACCGCGAACACAAATTTTCGCGAGCCCGACCGCGCGCGCGCGCGCCGACGCGACGCGAGGGCGGTGTTAACGCGCGCGCTTTCGCGAGCCTCGCGAAAAGATGGGAAAAACGCACGAAACGGCGCGCTCGAGACGACACACGGCGACGCGCGGTGCGCGACGACGACGAGAGACGATGCCGGTGGCGCAAATAAAGGTGCGCGCGCGTCGTCGAGCGCGCGTCGTCGAGTGCGCGCGCGTCGTCGTCGACTCGGTGGATTGAACGCGCGTCGTCTCTGTGCGCCTCGAGACTGACGATTCGTTTCTCGCGAAAATATCGCAGATGATTCACGCCGGACCGTGGGGCAAGAGCGGGTCGATCATTCACGTGAACGTGGAACACGACGATTTTAAGTCGGACATCAAGCGCAGGGTGTCGAACGCGACGGGGATTCCGGTGCCGGAGTTGAAATTAATCATGGCTTCTCCCACGCAGATCGCGGCGGGGAGCAAGAGATGTCCGGGGTTGGCGTACGGAAACTGCGGCGTCGTCGATAAGGTTGGCTTAGCCGTGGTGCAGGCAGAAAGCGGGGAGAACCCGTTCGTCCCGAAGTTGTCGCCGAACCGCGTGGACAATAAAGGGAACTGGACGAGCGTTGATTGAACCGAGGCGTCTTATTCGAAAGTAGATTACATCTCGTCCGTTTGCGTTCGTTCGTTCATCGTCTATTCGTGATCGTACTGGTAATCTTCAAAGTCATTGTACATCAGCTTCCCATCCACGTCGCAATGCACGGCGTCGAAGCAAAGCTTGCAGAAAAAGCTCGGGCTCTCCGCCGCGAGTTTGTCGCCGTACGTGACGTGAGAGCTATCGAACACGCCGCACACGGAGCATCCTCGTCTATACACGCGCCCTTCGCGAATGACTAAAGGAAACATTTCGTTCCGCGTTTCGTCGTCCGAATGCGGCATGCGCACGTCTCGAACGCGCCATTTGTGCTCGCATTTGCCTTGATGCGTCATCACGTACGGGCGCCCAATCGTCAGCGGCACTTGGCTGAACTTCACCCCTTCCATGTCTCGCGCGGTGAACCCCTTGCCCTCGTTGTTCATCTTAACCGGCGCTCCCGGCGCCATGAGCGCGTTTTTCTTTTGAAATTCTATGAGATGCTCGGAGTAATCAGTCGCGCCCGGCGTCCGCATGTCGTTGTAAAACACGCCTTCGATGAAGAGAAATCCATTCTTCGACGGCGGATGCCCCTCGCGCGCGGCTTGGACGTCTCTGAGGCAGTATATCATATCCTTGAACGCCGCCAACGGCGTGGACCCGCGCACGATGACGTCCATCAGCAAGTATCCCTGTTTGACCGGGTGATACAGTTCGATCCAAATCATCGCCTCCTCCCCCGTCGGCGTCGCCGCGGCGTCGTGGCGAACACCGCCAACCTCGCAATCAAACAGCTCGCGCGCCTTCCACATCACCTGCGTCACGTCCACTTCTTTTCGCAACAGCGCCCGTTTGTAATCTCTCGCCTCCAATTGCTTATGTTCCAACTCAACCTCCCGCATCGACGCCAACGGTGCCATGGCCGTCTGCTCGCTCAGATGCTTCGTCATCAACCGCGCTTTCTCCGCCTTCTGCGCCTCCTCCTGAAACGTCAACTGATGATTCTTCGCCCCCGTCCCTCGATGATTCCGCGCGCGGCCCGCGTCCTCCTCCACCGACGGCACGCTCGGCATCAACGACTCGATCGCCCGCTCCAGCGTCACCGCGCGATGCGTTTCCATCTCGATATCATCCTCCTCGATCGCCGTTCGACGCTTCCGTCCCTTTCCCGCCTTTTTCGTCCTCGCGCTCGCCTCGCGCGCCGCGCTCGACGCCTCCGCCGCGTCCCGCAACCGTTTCACCGCCCGATGCGCCTCCTCGCAGAACCGTTTCGCGTCCTTCGTCCGCTCGGCCGCTCGCCCGATCGTCAGTCTTCGCTCGCGTCGCCTCTCCGCGTCGCTCTCGCGCCCTCGCGCGTCCGCGAGCCGCGTCGAAAGATTCGAATTCGCCGTTCGGTCGTCGCACCTCAATCTCCTCTCCCGGCTTCGCGTGCGGCGCCTCGGGCGGGCAGTGCCGCGCCAGCCGCGCGCGCGACTCCGCGTGGTGTCGCAGCGCGTCGCTCGGGGTGACGATGGTCGTGTCCGCGATCGCGCGCGACATCGAGCGCGTCGAGGCGTGACGATCGATGGTCGACGCGGCGCCGATCGTCACCTCGCGACGCGAACTCCCGTCGACGACGCGCGAGCGACGCGCGACGCGACGCGCGACGACGGCGCGGATGGACGCGAGCGTCGTGCGCCTGGACGCGGCGATCCGCGCGTGGGTGCTGCTGCCGATCACGCTCGCGATGTTCCTCGTCGGCGCGCTGCGACACCACGCGATGCGACTGACGCGCGACGGCGGCGCGGCGGACGTCGTCGCGCTTCGCGAGGCGAACGTCGCGCGACGCGCGGAGCGGTGCCGGCAGTTCGCGGGATACCTGCGACCGGGGGCGTTCGCGGCGAGGCGGACGTTTTACTGCGCGGCGGACGGCGGCGCGCTGCGAAAGAAGAGCGAAAAAGCGTCGCCGCACGCGGCGATGCTGAGCGATCCGACGGTGATGACGAAAATGATGACGAAGAATGCGATGATGATGGCGCCGAACATGCTGACGGCGGCGTGGGTGAATTTTTTCTTCGCGGGATTCGTGGTGGGGCGGACGCCGTTTCCGCTGACGCAGCGGTTTCGGGGGATGCTGCAGCGAGGGGTGGCGCTGCAGAGCCTGGACGTGACGTACGTGTCGAGCTTGTCGTGGTATTTCTTGAATTTTTTTGGGTTGGGGGGGGTGTTTCAGTTGGTTTTGGGGGATAACGAGTTGGACGACGCGGCGGCGATGCAAAACGCGTTCGCGAGCGGGCTCAACGCGGACAAGGCGTTCGCGCACGCGTTGGAGGGGTTGGAGGCGTTGAAACACGAGTACATGATGCACATCGCCGACGCGCGCGCGACGGCGATGCTGCGCGCGCTGAACGAGGGTAAGAGTCCGCGCGAGGCGAGACTGGCGGCGGCGGCGGCGCGATGAAAATCCCAAAGGCTACACTCGCGTCTCCGACGCGCGCGCGCGGCGCGATCGCGAGTAATCGATGTAACTTAGTTTAACTCCATCCATCGCGCGTCCGTCGATCGTTCGTTTGGAATCTGTCGCGTCGCGCTCCGCGTCCGCGCCTCGCGCCGTCGCTCGCGCCGCAGTCATCGACGCGCGGCGTCCGCGCGCGCGCGACGGTCGTCCGCCGTCGTCCGGCGACGCACCGTCGCGGCGTCGATGTCCGACAACCCCGACGGCGCGTCCGACGACGAGAGCGCGCGCTGTCCGCACTTTTCTTACGCCAGAGCCAATCCATCGCTCGCGCAACAATCCGCGTCGACGAGCGCGAAAGACGCGTCCGTGACGCTCGTCGTCGCGCGAAACGATCGCTGCGTCATCGCGTACGACGATGGGTGCGTGCTCGTCGCGAGCGCGCGAGACGCGCGACGGGTGATCTGGAGGACGCGAACGCGGCGCGCGGCGTCGGCGTTGGCGACGGACGGCGCGAGCGCGCACGTGCTCGTCGCCGACGCTCGAGGCGAGATCGCGGTGCACGAGCTGCCGATAGACGATGGAATGGACGCGAGCGAACGCGCGGGCGGGGCGCGCGGGCTGGGGGACGGGTGCGAGGTGATGCGGACGACGCACGCGCGCGGCGTGACATGCGCGGCGCTCGAGCGCGACTACGGCGCGCGCGGACGCGGAAGAGGCGGCGTGGCGTACGGAGACGATCGCGGTGGGGTGTACGTGCGCGTGAGCACGCTCTTGGGACATAAAACGTTGACGCTGAGCGCGGCCGGAGGGAGCGATCGCGGGGCGGCGCGCGCGATGGAATGGAGCTCGCGCGGCGTCTTGGCGTGGGCGTGCGACGAAGGCGTGAAGCTGTACGACGTGGGACGGGATGAAAAGGTGGCGCTCGTCGAGCGACCGCGAGGAAGTCCGGCGGCGGGGATGTACGCGCCGCACTTGACGTGGAACGAGACGTCGGACATGGGGAAGACGTTGCTCGTGGGATGGGCGGATTGCGTCAAGGTTGTTAGGATTCAGAAGCAGGACGCGCCGGATTCGAGCGTCGCGGCGAAACTTTTGCGAGATAAGCCGACTCGCGGCGCAACGCGCGAAATTACTCGGGCGGATTCGTTTGCGAATGGGGGCTCGAGCGAGGGAGATAACGCGTCGGCGAGCGAGGCGTCGTCGGCGAGAGTTTACGTCGCGCGCGTGACGTCGATGTTTCAGACGGAGTATTACGTCGCGGGCATTCAACCGTTCGGGGATTTATTGGCGATTTTAGGTTGGTCCACGGATGGCGATCGCAAAACCGGGGCGCATCCGGAGTTGCACCTCGTCACGCACGCGAATGTCACGCAAAATATCGACGTCATCGCGACGCGAGACGATCCGACAACGCTCGGATGCAACGCGTACGGGTTGGCGTGCGCGCAACCTATGCTCGATAACGGGAGCTTTGATCGATGTAAACACGTCGGCGATCATAGATGGTGGAAGATCGGACTCGAGCCACGATTTTACGTGTACTCTCCGAAAGATCTCATCGTGGCCAAGGCGACGGGCGCGAGAGAGTCCATCGATTGGTTGTCGAAACAGGAAGACTACGTCAAGCTGCTCGACGTGTGCGAGTTGGCGTCGCGATACGGCCACATCGATGGGAGTGTGCGGGATATTGGACATAGTGTTTTGCAGCGCACGTTTGACGAGCGAGATTACGCGCAAACGGCAGCTTTGTGCTCGAAATTGTTGCGCAAAGACGCCGCCGCGTGGGAAACGTGGATTGAAAAGTTCATGCTGGCTCGCAAGCTCGCGGAGTTACAGCCGTATATTCCCACGGATGACCCGACGCTGAGCGTGCACACGTACGAAGTGGTGTTGAACGCGTTTCTAGCGGAAGCAGAGCATCATTCGCGCTTTCTCGCCTCCGTCAAGGCGTGGCCGGCGCGTTTGTATTCGCCTCAGTTTCTCATACCCGTCGTTAAGAGCAAGCTCGCGTCGTTGAACACCAACGCGGGAAGCCCGTCGGTGGCGTCATCGGTGTCATCGGTGGTACTGAAAGAAGCGCTCGCGGAGCTGTATCTCAACGATGGTCAACGCGAACGGGCGTTGAACTTGTACCTGGACATCGGTCGGCCGTCTGTGTTGAGCTTCATCGCTCGTCACGACTTGCTCTCTTTCGTCGCTCGCAACAAGCTTTCTCTCTTGGCGCAACTCGATATTGACGCGGCGATGTCGCTTTTCGTGCAGAAGCGAGAAAGCTTGCCGCCGCGAGTCGTGATTCCCGAGCTTTTGGGTCAAGGCGGCTTCGGCGCTCGAGAGTTGACGCACGCGTACATGTCGGCTCTCTTCGACGAAGACCCGACGTGCTTCGAAGAGTTCCACGACAAACTGTACGAGTTACACCTGGAGTTCAACCCAAAGGCACTGATGAACTTTTTGAAGAAGAGCGCGTCGTATGACGTCGCGCGCGCGTGCGCCTTACTCACGGGCAACAAAGCGCTCATCTTCGAGCGCGTGTTTCTGCTCTCCAAACTTGGTTCGCACGAAGAAGCCGTGCGCGTGCTCGTGACGGACGCCAAGGACCTATCGGGCGCCATAAAGCTTGCGAGTGAGCTGGACAACCCCGTCGAGCTCTGGAACGTCATCATCAAAGTCTCAACCGACTCGAAGGATTTCATGGCGACGCTTCTCGCGCACGCCAAAAATCTCGCCGGCGACCCCAACGCCATCGCCCTCATCCACGCCCTGCGCGAAGGCGTCTCCATCGACAACCTCAAATCTCGCCTCGTCGATCTCATGGACGAAAACATCGCCCTCACGCGTTCGCTGCGAACGTCGTACGCATCTGAATCCAAGCGCGCTCGGGAATCGTACGAGCGCAAAACCAAAGTCGAAACGCGCGCGCTCCGCCGCCATCAAATCCACGTCAGCCGCAAGCGATGAGCGCGCGCGTCGAGTCAAATCCATCGTTCGTGTCTTTCAATAGCCGTAGCCATAGTTTCTAGCCGTAGCGTGTAGATCGAATTCCGAATTCGAGAACGCGTCTCGCCGCGCGTCTCTCGGTCGCCTCTCGACCTCCAGTCACGTCGCTTTCACCACTCGCCCGCGCGTCGCGCGCGCGTCACGCTCGCGCCGACCCGCGCGCGCGACGCACCGTCGAACTCCGCGCCCCTGGCCGCGTTCTCACGCGCGCGCACCCTCACCGCGCGCGAAAATCCGCCGTTCGTTCGAGTCCAATTCGCGCGGTCGAATCGAGTTTCAAAATGGTTGATAACGGCGCGATAAAAACCATCGGCGACGTCGAGACGGTCGTCCTGAGCGCGCTGGAACTCATGGAAGATAAAGTCACGCGATCGTAGCGCGCGCTGGAGAAAAAACTGGAGGAATTAGAGCGGGAATGCGCGAGGAGACACGAGGAGTTGAAGCAGTTGTTGACGGGGAAGCGCGCGAACGACGCGACGGCGACGAAGAGCGCGAAGAGAACGTCGAGAGACGACGACGCGGTGGCGACGATAATATCGATGGATTTATCGCGACCGACGCCGGCGACGGCGGAGAAGCAGGCGACGCGTGAGGGGGTACGTGAGATGAACGCGCGCGCGCCGCAAAAGAAACTAAAGGCGAGCCCGTTGGCGACGGCGTCGATGAACGCGAGCCTGCAAAAGTCGGTGAAGAAGAAACCGTCCGCGGCGTCGCCGGAAAAATCGAAGCGGAGTAAGAATAGCGCGGATCTCTGCGCGCACATCACGGATTTGACCGCGGACGAACGGTTGCTCGTGGAGACGGGCAAGGGGCGGCGAGGCGAGCCCATGCCCACGCCTCTCGGCTGGGCGTATTGGACGGCGACGAGCCACGAGACGCTGCGCACGATCGGCAACAAAATTGGCCTCGAACCGTTGACGTTATACAGCATGAATCGTTGGCACCATAAGCTCAAGAATTACGACATCGATCAAGAGTTCACCGCGAACTCCAAGCTCAGTCTCCCGGTGCCGCCGTTTGAGGACTGGGAGACGGAGTACATCGCGGCCGACCGCACAAAGATTTTCACGCGCCTGCTCGACCGCATCGACGAAGTCTGGCCCGAGGTTTTGAGAAACGCCGAACCTCTGCGTTCGCTGAAGAGGGAGCAGTTGAAAACGTACCCCGACTCGGGCACGTTGTATCGCCAGTTGCGCGAGACGTTGGACAACGCCGAAGCCGCCGCGAAAAAATTCAACGACGGCGACGAGACTCTCCGGGACGTCCAGCAGTGTCGAAAGCAGCTCGTAACGCGTTGGCATCGCGACGGGTTCTTGCTCCCGGACGAGATCGCGTTCAAAGCCGACGACCAGTAGCCGGATGTAAACGCAACGAGCGAACGCGACGACGGTCGTCGCGCGACGCGACCCCCAACCGTCCCGCACACTCGGACGCATGCTCGCCGCCGCCCTCCGCGCGTCGTCCCGCCGCGCGCGCGTCCCGTCAACGTCGACGTCGACGTCGCTCGCGCGCGCGCTCTCGTCCGCGTCCGAGGCGTCGGACGCGAGAAAACCAAAGACGAATGCAGAAATCGCCGTGCTCGCCGTCGGTTTCGCCGGTCTCGCGCTCGGCGCGTACACCGCGGACGACGCCCTGCGCGCGCGCGGCGGCGAAGCGCGCGCGCGAGATCCCGCCGCGGACGCGTGCGCGCGGGACGACGCGAACGCGCGCGGGAGACGGTTGCGGCGGTGGGCGGAGACGCACGGCGCGACGTTCGCGAGGAGCGACGTTCGGGACGGCGGCGCGCGCGAGGGCGCGGGCGCGTTCCACAGGGAAAACGATGGCGAGAGCATCGCGCCGAGAGGATTGCGATTGCGAAAGCGCGAGAGGGCGCTGATGACGATACCGGACGCGGCGGTGGTGAACTGGAACACGGCGGCGGCGCACCCGACGCTCGGATCGACGTTCGAGTCGCTGTTGCGGCGAGGCGTCGTCGACGAAAGGTTGGCGGTGATGTGTTTCTTCATGATTGAGCGGAGACGCGGGGAGGAGAGCGCGTGGAAAGAGTACATAGACTCGTTGCCGCGCGCGTACGACGCGCCGCTGAGCTTTAGCGATGAAGAGTTGGAGAGGGAGTTGTCGGGGACGACGGTGTACGCGCCGGTGAAGGCGCAAAAGGCACACGTGAAGAAGATGTTTGAAGAGTGCGTGCGTCCGGCGATGCGAGAGTTGACGCAGGCGGATAACGCCGCGGGATCGTCGTTGCACATGCTGCCGGACGTGAGCGAGAAGGAGTTTGCGTGGGCGTTTCAGACGTTTTGGTCTCGCGCGCTGGCGATTCCGGTCGGCGCCGGCGGTTCTGTGACCGTCGATAGCGTGGTGCCGGGCGTGGACATGGTCAATCATGCGCCGCGCGCGCGTGCGAACGCGAGATGGGAACACGTGGAAGATTCATCGCGTCCGGATGGTGGTTACGTCGCGCTCGTGTCGGCGCCGCCGAATCGCACTATGAAAGATGGCGAAGAAATTTTCATCAATTACGGCGACAAGTCCAACGAGGAGCTGTTGTTCACCTACGGCTTCGCGTTGAAAGATAACGCCGTTGAAGAACGAATGGTATTCTTTCCGCCCTGGGCGGGCGACGCAGAGCATTCGGAAGACGTCACGCGCCGGATCGAACTCCTTCGTGCGAAGGGACTGCCGCAGCACGTCGTCTTGCCCACGACACCACCGAAGCGGGGCTTCAGAGACATGGATGCTACGGTCCAAGAAACGTTACGAATTTGGTGCGCAGACGTTAAAGATTTAGACTCTCGTCGCCGCGTCGACGACGCGACGCGACGAAAGATTCACAACGTCTTACGCGCGTCCATCGGCGCGCAATCGCACGCACTACGCGATGTCGAACGCGAGGTTGATCACTCCATCGCGAGCGCGAGAGAGATCGCGTGCGATGTCTACCGACGAGACATTCGCCGTTTGTACGACAATTACATCGAAGCCGCCGCGCGCTGGGAGTCGTGAACGTCAGCTAGCAACTTGTATTATATACATCGTCGAGCAATCGACGAGCGAGACTAAATTTGATCGTAAATTTTATCGCGGTGGTATTAAAATAACTCTACACTGGCGGATTACCCCTTTAAATACGTTATGATCCACGCACTAAATATACGATATAGTGCTAAAGTACCCTAGAATATGATAAATTATAAAACCCTAGGAACAAAAACAGCCTGGCGAAAGCCCTGGCTGGCGACGCGACCGACGTCACTCGCGCGCGCACGCGTGCGGCGCGCGCCTCACTCGCACGCGCATCGCACGCGACGCGACGCTCAGACGCCCACGATGCGACGCACCGCCGTCGCGAGCGCGCCCGCGCGCGCCCCCGCGTCGCGCGCGGCGCCGCGGACACACGCCGCCAATCGCAGCGCCGCGTCGACGAAATTCGCGCGCGCGCGCCGCGCGCCGCGCGCGGTTCGCCAGCCCGACGCGTCGGAGTACGTCGATCCGTCGCAGTTCACCGAACTCGAGCTGTCCACGGCGCAGATGACGGCGTACGCGAGCAAACGACCGAGAGGGCAGTTCGCGTCGAGGTTCGCGGACGACGAGCCGCGCAAGGGGTCGGACATCCTGGTCGAGGCGCTCGAGCGCGAGGGCGTGGACTGCGTGTTCGCGTACCCGGGAGGGGCGTCGATGGAGATTCATCAAAGCCTGACGAAGAGCGCGACGGGGATACGGAACGTGCTGTGCCGACACGAACAAGGGGAGGTTTTCGCGGCGGAGGGATACGCGAAGGCGACGGGTAAGGTGGGCGTGTGCATCGCGACCAGCGGACCGGGGGCGACGAATTTGGTCACGGGGTTGGCAGATGCGCTGTTGGACTCGGTGCCGATGGTGGCGATCACGGGACAGGTGCCGCGACCGATGATCGGGACGGACGCGTTTCAAGAGACGCCCATCGTGGAGATCACGAGACAGATCACGAAGCACAACTATTTGGTGATGAACGTCGAGGAAATTCCGCGAATCGTGCGCGAAGCGTTCTTTTTGGCCGCTTCAGGACGTCCGGGCCCGGTTTTGATCGATATTCCAAAGGATGTGCAGCAGCAGTTGGCGGTTCCGTATTGGGAGCCCAAGGTTTCGCTCAACGGTTACTTGAGCCGTCTGCCCGCGCCGCCGACGTCGCCGCAGCTCCAACAAGTTTTGGATTTGATTAAGGACTCAAAGCGTCCGGTGGTGTACGCCGGCGGTGGATGCTTGGACGCCGACTTAGAGCTGGTTGAATTCTGCCGCGCGACGGGGATTCCCGTGACGAACACGCTCATGGGTCTCGGTACGTTCCCGCAGAGCGACGATTTGAGCCTGAGCATGCTTGGCATGCACGGTGCGGTGTATGCCAACTATGCGATCGACAGCGCTGATTTGTTGCTCGCTTTTGGCGTGCGATTCGACGATCGTGTGACCGGTAAGTTGGCGGAATTCGCCAAGCGCGCCGCCATTGTGCACATCGACATTGATCCGGCGGAGCTCGGTAAGAACAAGAAGCCGTTCTGCTCCATCTTTAGCAACATCAAGCCCGCGTTGAAGACTTTGAACAAGTTGATCGCGCTCGAGAAGGATATGCCCGATTTCTCGGAGTGGCGCGCGGCTATTGACGTGCAGCGCAAAAAGTTCCCGTTTCCGATTCCCGAGCAAGTCGGCGACGTCATCGCTCCGCAGGCGGCGATCGAGCTGTTGTGCAAGATGACCGAAGGTAAGGCGATCATCTCCACTGGTGTCGGTCAGCACCAAATGTGGGCGGCTCAGCACTACAAGTTTGACGAGCCTCGCAACTGGCTCACGTCTGGTGGTTTGGGTTCGATGGGCTTCGGCTTGCCCGCCGCCATCGGCGCCGCCGCGGCGCGTCCTGGCGATCTGGTCGTCGACATCGACGGCGATGGCTCGTTCGTCATGAATATTCAAGAACTCGCGACCTTGCACGCGGAAAACTTGCCGGTGAAGTGCTTCATCTTGAACAACCAGTACCTCGGCATGGTCGTGCAGTGGGAGGATCGATTTTACAAGGCGAATCGCGGTCACACGTACCTCGGCTCCCCGAATGACGATTTCCAAGTCTCCAAGGAAGAGGCGCACATTTTCCCCGATTTTGTCACCATCTCACAGGGCTTCCGCGTCCCCGCCGAACGCGTGATGCGCATGAGCGATCTCGAAGGCGCGATCAAGCGCATGATTGAAGCCGACGGTCCGTACTTGCTCGACGTCATGGTGCCGCACGTCGAGCACGTGTTGCCCATGGTCCCCGGCGGCGGTACGTTCGCCGACACCATCACCACGGGTGACGGGAGAAGCCCGGAAGAGAAGGACATGAAAACCTTGTAAGATGTTTATGTTACGACGTATTAGCAACGGGCGCAAATATTTTAATGGATGGCTAAATTCTCAACAACAAAATTCTGAACAACGCGCGAAAACTTAACCAAAGAAGACAACTAAAGATTCATCAAACACAAACATCAAGGAGCGGTTTCTTCTCCTCGCTCGATCACCTCCTCGTCGACCACCTTCCGCTTCGCCGCCTCGGCCGCCGCGTACCGACCCGTCATCCACGACAGGACGCCGTTCCAGGCGATGCCGATGGCGTTCATCCACGGAATGGTCAAATGCTTCGGTACTACGGCAAAGTTGATCGCCTGCGCGGGCACCCACACCAACCAAAGCGCAGTCATCGTTTCCGGCCCAGTTTGTTTCCACTTGGCGAATATTTCGCTCGGAAGATCTAACAGACGCGTCCCGCCTTCGCTCACGACGCGAATGCCGAGAAACGTGGGCAGGTAGAGAAACGGCTGCACGAAGGCTTGGTCGATGGCGACGACGGCGCCCGTGGAGAGCGCCAAGCCGTATTTTGGCCGCCAAACATCATTCAACGGTTTCAACCAATGATTATACAAACGATATTGAAACGCCCCCACGTACGTTACGCCGAGGACGAAGAAGGACGCCACGCGATTCCAATCCAACTCAAAGAAACTCTTCTCCTCCAGCACCATCTGGACGAAAATATCCGAGCTCACGCACTTGGTGACGGACGAAAACATCGCCGTCGAGAACGGATGCCGCACCACCGTGCGCACGTACGCGGCAACGACGCGCGCCCAGTAATACTCGCGCACCTTTTCGTGCGTCAACGCCGCGAATCGACTCGCCCCCGCGTGTCGCAGCGACCCAAACGGATCGATGACGTCCCTCGCCTTCGCCTTCGCTCTCGCCTCCGCCGCATCGATCGCGCCTTGCCTCAACCACACCGGCTGAAACGGCCTCGCCAGCGTCTTCCCGAGCTGCGTCTTAAACTCCGGATGCGTCAACACGTCCAACCACGACCCTCCGGCGTGTCGCAGCGCCGCGCTCGGCGTCACCGGCGCCTCTCGCCGCCACCGCTTCAGCGTCGCCCACGCCCGTCGCGCCGCCCGTCCCGGCGCCCGAGGAAACCGCGTTCCTATCTTCGCGCCCGCCACGAACGCGCTCGCGATCTCGTCTCGCGCCTCGCGCTGTTTAAACACCTCGTACCACGTCGCGCCCGCGTGTCGAAGCGCGTCCACCCTCGACACCCCGCGCGGCGCCTCCTCCCGCGCCGTCCCGCCCTCTCGCGCGCGCGCCTGTCGTCGACACGCGCCGAGGGGTTTTTGCCGCGCGTACGACCGCGCGTGTCGCGCCACGGCGCCCGTCGCGCTCCCGCGGCGTCGCATTTCTCGTCGAATCGCGCGTCCCGTCGCGGCGACCCACATCGCCGCGCGTCGCGTCTCGGTCGCGCGCGCGTCGACGCTCACCGCGCGCGCGCGTCTCGCATCGTCGTCGCGCCTCGGTCGCGTCGGGATGTGCGCGCAACGATTCGTGGGTGTTACAGTGTAGTCGTACTTTGGAGGAGCGAGAAAATTCGAAAGACGCGCGCGGACTCAAGCGGCGACGCACGTGCGACCGGTGAACCAATTCCTCTCCGTTTTGACCGCGCCGCTTATTTCGGACGCCACCGCGCCGCCTTCCGCCCAGCCGCCGGTTTTAGAGACTTGGAGCGCTTTGAAGCGTCCCATGTTCGCGCCTTCGACGCCGAAAGCCGCGGGGAGATTACCGGTGAAATCGGCGGCGCGAGTGGGCTCGCCGTGCGTTTTCAAGGAGTGACCGATCCATAACGATGTGTCGCCGGTTCGCCTGACGCGAAGGGTGAAGGTGACGTTGCGCCAAGCGTATCGTCCGTACGGCGATCCAGCGCTACCGAGCCACGAGTTGGCGTTCATCCACTGCCCGTTCGCGCTTCTGTAGCCAACTTGTGTTCTGAACCCCGCATTAGCGACGAGATCCGCCGCTTCGGGGCTACTGCTGTCTTCCACGACGATGGAAATATACACCGTTTTACCGTAGGCCGTGCAACAGCTACCGGCGCCATCCCCATTCACACGGTCGAAGGTGCAGTATCTGCCCGCCGAATATCTGTCGAGTTGACATCTATCGTCCATAGTGGCGCCTATCCAAGCCTCGTTCCAATCATTGGCGTCGTCCAATGCAGGGTGAAAGACATCCTCCGCGGCGGCGGTGCCGGTGACTCCATACCCGTGTCCAAAATAGATCATGGGGTAGCCATTTTCAAATACTGGTTGCGAGTACCTCGACAGCGCGTCCTCTGACGTGTCGAACTCATCAAAGTCACTCGGCTGCACGTTCACCAGACGTTTCGAGCCCCCAGACCGAAATCCACTCGGGCACGCGGCGAGACACTCGCCATTGTGAAGGAATTTCCTGTTGGTACACTCAGTACACTGACCGTTCAGACACTTGTTGCAGTTAGTTGGGCACTGCGTGCACCGTCGCGTCGTTGGAGTCGACCCACTACCGCCGTAACCCGGCGGACACGCGAGAGAACACGTGCCACCCAGATACCAAGAGCCTTCAGGGCACCAAAACTCGGGAATCGGGCACGAAGCAGCGCACCCACCGAAGACGTACGAAATGTCTTTCGCGTTGCGTTCGAGCGTCACGATTCTGTTCCAGAACGCGCCGAACTGTTGGGTATCGTGACATTTTCTTTCAAAAAGTGGAGCGCCGTTACCGCCGATTTCGTACAGCGCCTTTCCATTTTCACTCTTCACAACGAATCCAAACTCATAGTTGAGACCCCTCGTAGTGACTTCGAAGATGCCATCTGAAGTCGGGCAGACGAGTCCCAGCTTCGTAGAAACACATTTCAAGAAATTCACGGCGCCGTTGATCATCTCTTCACCTTCGTGAAGTTCAAAGAATCCGTGGTTCGGATCGTTATCGTGCATATTGTGGTGAACGACGTACGCGTGCGTCAGCGTCTCGTCGGGGCCAAAAATTTCGGGCCACTTGTTCCTGATTTTGGCGTCGATGCAGCTCGTGTGCAGCGTGAACCTCCGCTCCTCGCGTCTCTCGCGTCTGCTCGGCAATCTCGCGACCGAATAGTCCCACTTCCCGAGGCGACCGACCCCGGGCGAACGGTACGCGCTCCGATTCACTGGATTCAACGCGGCGGTTTCCTCGCTCCGCGCGACGCGGCGCGGCGCGAGACGGTACGTCCCCAGAGACGTCGGCCCCGGCTCGACGACGTTTTCTCGCCCCAACGCCGCCGAGCTCGCGGACGCCGGATCTGCTTCCAACGCATCCGGGCAGTGATGTTGTATCGCCTCCACCACGCGCGTGTCCCCCGGCCCGCACGCCGGTTCCGTGAACACGCACTGCTGTTCCTCCGTCGTCTGAATCGCCGCGCAATCCATCGGCTCCGCCTCGAGCGCGCTCACGAGCGTCGGCGTGGCGTTCCGACACGCCTCCAGGCACGCCACGGGAACGTCCGTGAACGCCCCGAGCGCGGCGCGCCCCGTCGCGCCGTCGCCGCCGACCAGCGCGAGCGCCGCGACGCCGAACGCGACGCCAACACCCATCGCGAGCCACAGCTTCGACTTCGCGCCGCCGCGCGCGCGCGCGCCGTCGCCGTCGAGCAACCGCGCGCGCTCGGCGTCGCGCATCGCGCCTCGATCCATCGCGCGCGCGCTCGAACGCGCCGCGCGCGTCGCAGTCGCGTCGCCGCGCGCGCGAAGGATGGCACGATCGATCGACGCGCGTCGACCCTCGCGCCGTCGATCGATCGACGCGCGTCGACCCTCGCGCCGTCGATCGATCGCGCGCGTCGACCCTCGCGCCGTCGATCGACCGATCGATCGATCGACCGATCGACGAAAAAGCGCGGGAAAAGGCGATTGCGAATCGACGCGACATTCGCGCGCTCCGGGACGCGGCGCGCGCGCGTCGACGACGGTGATGTCGACGATCGATCCGACGGCGCGCCTGGACGCGCGCGGGACGCACGCGAGAGCGGATGAGGTGCGAGCGCTGGCGAAGGATTTGACCGAGACGGCGACGCGGACGCGAGGGGCGAGCGCGGACGCGGACGCGGACGCGGTGAATCGCGCGGCGAGGGCGTGCGGGACGTTCGCGGCGCTGGGATTGGTGGACGCCGAGGACGTCGTGAGGGACGGGAAGAGAGGCGGGGCGGTGGACGCGGCGGCGCGCGGCGCGGGGGACGTGACGGCGATACTGGAGGAGCACGAGACGACGTTGGTGGCGGTGTTGGACGCGTTGCCCGAGTTTTTAAACGCGGCGGCGCGCGCGCTCGCGATGCGATTGCGCAGTCACGCGCCCGCGGGATCGTCGACGGTGGCGGAGGTGGAGCGTGTGTTGAAGATTCGCGAATTGCGCAGCGCGTTTGCGTTTAACAAGGTGATTGCGAAGAAGTTTCACGAGTTTATGCGCGTGCATTTCGACGCCGACTCCCCCGCGGGCGTGGCGGTGGCCAAGCTCGGGTGGGCGCTTTACGTGTGCGCCAAGTGCGAGTCTTTACCGACGTTTCCAGATTTGTACTCGTGCTACCACTTGCTCGTCGCCGTGGAGGCGTTTTTGTTAATCAACGCCCCGCGAGAGTCGTTGAGAACGTCGCTGAAGAATATGGTGAGCATGACGGCCAAGGACGAGACGACGAAGCTTCCAGATCCGCTTGCCAGTCTCAGTTTGGCGTCGAAAGCCAAGAAGGATACCGTGCGCGCGATGTCAGACGCCGTGCTCAAGGTGGTGAAAGCGTCGTTCCCGGAGGCTACGATGGATGCGTCGAAACACTTTGACGACGTCGCGCCGAGCGACATGTGCGCACAAGGCGTCTTCGACGGCGAACGGGACGTGTCTGCATCCGTCGTCGAGCGTTACTCTCGCGTCGCGTCGGAAACGTTTGGCCGTCTCGCCGTTGACGAGACGTTGTACTTGTACACGGAGATGACGAGCGCAGAGTCGCGAGGAAGGAAAATCATCGGCGATCTCGCCGATTGCAAGACGACAACGACGTACGGATCGATGGCCACGCCCGCTCGTCGCAAGCGCGTGGCGCCTTTCTCGCCAATCAGACCGAAGAAAATTCCCATACACGGCGTCCCGCCGAGTCCGATGCACTCGTTGCGCGGGATCATGGCGAGCGGCGTTGGCGGCGTCGCCGCGACGCCGATTAGTCAAGCCATGGCGAGCGCATCGTGGTTACAAGACGTCGTGTGTGGCAGCTCAGATCTCGAGACGAAAACTGCAGAGTTACAACGCTTCGTTCCGGACAATCCCGAAATCGTGCAAGCGTTGAAGAAAAAAGTCACAAACTTTGGGCAAAGAATAGGACAAGCGATCCGCGAGGACGCGCTGGTGACGACTATGCGCACGGACATCAGTCCGCACAGCACGGTGATGGATGAGTTAGTCAAACAGCGAACATCCGAGGTGTCGCACGTCTTCTTTTACTTTTTGAATCGCATTTTGAAGGACGAACTCGAGCGAATCGCCGGGGACAAGAAGGATGTCAACTTTACCACCTTGCTCGCGAGCGACCGCTTCACAAAGTCGTTGGTGACGTGCTGCATGGAAGTCGTCGTTTCCACGTACAAGACGTCCACGTTGGCGTTTCCGGCGACGACACACTTGATGGGAATTCACCCGTTCGATTTAGCGACCATCATCGAACCCTTTGTGCGCGCAGACATGAGCATGCCGCGCGAGATTCAGCGACACTTCAACTCGCTCGAGGAAAAGACGCTCGAGCGCCTGGCGTGGTGCAAGGGATCGACGTTGTTTGAGTTTTTGAAAACGTTTCACGAGAGCGCGCGTGGCAGTGGTGGAGCGTCGACGGCATTGCCGGGACGAACGGCGCCTAGGTCACCGCAAGCGCCCAAACGCGTGAGCACACCCGTCTTGAACGTGGCGTCTGTGGCGGAGGTCGCGGCGATTGGCGGCACCGAGCGCGAAGGCTCGTCGGGCGATGACGCAGACCTCGTCATGGCGCAGTGTCAATCGCCAGTGCGACGCGCACCGACGAGCGCGTTTTCAGCGTTTTCGTCTCCTTTGCGTGGTGCGACGACGCCGCGTCGGCGGGTGTCTCGAGGCGAACCGTTGCCCGTGCGTTTCGCCGCCGTTCGAAATCACACCGTCGAACAGCCGAGTGGGTGCGACGTGTGTGCGTTCAAGGCGCTCCGAATGTTCTTTGCCAAGGTTATGCATCTTGCGGCGAGACGTTTAGGGGACTTGGCGTCGAGATTAAACTTGTCAACGGACGTCACGCGCGACATTTACGCATTGATTGAACACGTCGTGTACGAACAGACTAATCTCGTGTACAACAGGCACATCGATCAAATCATCTTGGTCTCGGTCTACGGTGTGTGCAAGGCGAGCGCTGGGATTTCCTCGAACTCGCTGCAGTTCAAGGATATCATATACCAATACTCCAAGCAGCCGCAATCGAGCGAAGAGATATTCTGGGCCGTGGTGTTGGAGCAAAACGACCCCGAGCTCGAAGTCGTCAATCGGGGCGACATCATTTCCTTTTACAACAAGGTCTTCGTCGGGCGGGTTAAGGAGTTTTTGTTGACGCTCCGCGAGCGCCCTGCGCGAGATACGACCAATCTAGATACCGATGGTGGCGAGCAAGGAAATACCGTGAGCGTAGACGACGCGCTTCCGTTTGGGTTGTCGTCGCCTCGGCGGCGTTTACCCATCGACAACCAAAACATTTACGTGTCGCCAATGCGTCCCGAACGCGTTGCCAGCATGCTCCACGAAGGCGCACCGCCAACGCCACGCACGCGAAGCCTGTTTGCCACTATCGGTGAGAGCGTGTACGCATATACATCACCGTCAAGTGACTTTGAAGCAATCAATCGCAAGCTACTGATGGACAAGCCGAAACCGCCGAAGGGACGCTTCGCCCCGAACGTCCCGAAATTCGGTGAACACGATCGTTGAGGTTTTGTCTCTTGAATCGGAGTTGTTTTAGAACTGTACAATACACGTCTTCCGTAAACACAATCGCCCTCGAGTCTTCGCTCTCGAGCGCTTCGTCTCGTCCTCGTGTGACTGTTCACGTTCCTCGGGCGAGGAGAAGTGTCACTCGCCACTTCACCGCGCGCGAGCAGACGCAGAACGAACACCATGAAGCTTCAAAAAATCGCATTGACGACGTGCGCGACGCTCTTGATGGCCACGAGCGCTATCGGCGCCGAGATGCGTGGTACGACGGCTTCGAGCGCGCGGCGACTGCTGCAACAAGCAGAGACCAACGACGCCGACGCTGATTCTCAAGCGCGCATCGATCGCATCAATTGGCTCGGTCGCGCTGTGGTAGAAAATGGCGCGTTCCAGTTTTGGACCAAGAACGCCTCTGGGTACTACACCGCCGTCAACGACTACTATGTCAAATCTTTCGAGCTCGAATCCGACGCCGACGTCGTCGGCAAGACGGACGTCCAACTGATCGTGCTTGTCGCCGGCGATCGCACGATCGAGGACTTTGAAGACGCCAAACCCGATGAAACACTCGACTCCATCGCTTCTGCGTACCGCGAACACGATATGATGGTACAGGAAACCGGAAAAGCGACTCGATTCAACGAGCGCGTGATCGCGGACGACCGCGTGTACGACGTCGTCGCCATCAAAGCTCCATTCGAAGGCGGGACGGTCGGGATCGCTATCCCGCGCAACGCCGATGACGACATCAACGTCGTCGTCACGAGCGAATCCGACGACGACGAATCCGACGACGACGAATCCGACGACGACGAATCCGACGACGACGACTAGTCCAGTCGCCGACCGACGCGCCAACCGTCGCGCCGGCTCGATCGCGCAAGACTCTCGATCGCGCTCGCCGCTCGAACGAATCGAATCGAATCACGACGAAATCAATCCGCGAGATCTCCGCACCGCGCCTCGCGGCGTCTTCGCTCGTCGTCGCGTCGCCGCGCCGCACACCGCCGCTCGCGTCATGCTCGAAACCCTCGGCGTCGCGCTCGACGCCGACGCGCGCCACCCGGCGCGCGCGCTCGCCATCGTCGACCACCTGGACGCCCCCGGGACGTGGCTCTTCGCCTCGTTCGTCGCGTACGCGTGCGAACGAAGCCCGGTGGTGGTGCTCTGCGTGGAGCACCACCCGAGTGAAATCACCGCGCTGGCGCGTAAAATCGCGCGCGGCGCGCGAGATTCGGTGTCAAACGCCCTCTCGCGCGGCTCGTGCGCGTTCGTGGACGCGTTCACGACGGCGAGGACGACGACGGGGGACGGGTTGACGGGGACGCTGCGGGACGTTCGGGACGCGGCGGCGGCGACGACGCGCGCGGCGGGATCGGGACGCGTCTGCGTCTGCGTCGATGGGCTCGATGGGCTGGTTATGAGCGAATGCGCGGATGATGCGATGGAGTTGGAGCGGTTCTTGGACGCGGTCTCGCGCGAGGCGGGGGAGGAGGTTGATTTGGTGACGCTGTCGCACTGGGACGTCGGCGCGGTCGAGGCGTGGTTGGCGGAGAGCGCGGATTGTGAGATTCGCTTGGAGCCTTTGCGTACGGGGAGCGCGGAAGACGCGCAGGGAATGTGTCAGACGACGCATAGGAATAGCGCGTGGCGTGCGAAAGGGGCGGCGAGACGCTCGAGGGCGGGATTCGCGTTGACGGAGCTCGGCGCCAAGTTGGAGCGTCGGCGTTGATGTCGTCGTAGTGTTGTAAAATACAAGCTGTAGGAATTCGTTTGCTAGTGATTACGCTTCTTCTTCTGCAGCCTCGGGTTCGACGTTTTCGTCCGCAGCAGTCTTCGAGGGCGTCGCCTTGAGCACCGAGGGCGGCGCGTCGACGTCCATGGGATCGTCGTTCATCTCCAACTCTTGGAGCGGCGTCTCTTCTCGGGCATCCAACTCGACGGGTGCGGCGACGGTGGCCGGTTCTTCGACGACCTGCGACGTCGTCGTCGTGGTCGTGGTCGCTTCGGCAGCGTCGTGTACTCTAGTGAAATCCGTGTTCAATTCGACGACGTCCTCGAGCTCGCTCACGTCGAGCGGCGCCTCTTCGACGACTCGCTCTTCTTCAATGGACCTCGCACCCTCCTCTTCCGCCTCGGCGGCGGCCTCCGCCGCGAGCTCGGCCGCTAATTCACGCTCTACTTCCGCCACGGCTTCATCCGCTTCGCGCTCGGCCTGACGTTCCACTTCGTCGTCATCCAATTCTTCCGTGGCGACGACGACCTCCGCCTCGATGACATCCTTACTAGCTTGCGCCTCGTCCTCCGCGATTTCTTCTGGCGAGCGGTTGGCGGCGATGACGTTGCTCATGATATTCGCCACCGTTGACGCGACGAACGCTTCGTTCGCGGCTCGCTCTTCAGCCTCCTTGATAGCCTTTGGCTTGCGTCCGCGTTTCTTTTGCTTCTTTGCGCCGCCGCGAAGAGCGTCTTCGTCGACGTCTTCTTCGCGCATCAAAGGCACACCGCGACCAGGGGCAGGAGCAATGCTCGTCGACAGCGGATTGATGCCGTACCTCTCCGCCCACGACGCTGGTGGCGGCGGCGGCATCAAGCCGTAACGCACGCCGCGACGATCCAAAGGCGAGGGGTCGGGAAGACTGCCGCCGAGATCGCGCAGCGCCTCCGCCGGGCGAAGTCGCGACACGCGGAACGGTTGCGAAGGACCACCCGGGGTCTTACGCGGCCAAATCGGGTTTGCCGTGCGTCGTTCGATCTGCGTGACCGTGGGCAAGGAGTTGTGGACTCGTTGGTACACCTTGGTCTCTCCGCGCCAATACTCGAGTGGCTTGGATCGTTGACGCGTCGATCGTCGCACGCCACCCTCGGTTGCTTGTAAACCGGCCAAGGCGAGCGACTTGCGGCGCTCCATCTCGGCGCGAAGGCGCTTGTGCGGCACACCTGCGGTGGTGCGCTTGCGCGGCGCCGGTGGTTCGGGAAATCCGTCGTCGTCGTACGCCGCGACGTCGTCGTAGCCGAGATCCATATCCTCCTCGCCGTAAAAGTCCGCGAGCGGCGGTTCGTCGCGCTGCGAATTGGCGAAGTGTGACACGCCCTGCATCTCTTCCGGCAACCCCTCGGGGTATTCGGCGTGCATCATCATCGCCAACGCCTCGGCCGCGTTCGGCGTACCCGCGCTCGACAGCCGTCCCGCCTTTGACTTGGACCCGTTCGGCGTCGCCGCCGCGTCGTGCAAAATGTGCGTCGACGGCCTGAACATCGGTCGCGGGCCGTCCATCGAACCGGTGTTCACCGTAAACGGATTCACATTCGACCCACCGCTGCCGCTACCGCTCCCCGCGCTCGCGTGCGAATCCTCTCCAATCTCCACGATGCTCACGCCGTTCGGCGCCGAAAACGCCTCCCCGCCGCTCCCGTTCGACACGTCCATATCGCTCGAACTTTTCTGCTTCATGATCCCCGGAATGTTCACCCTGATCACGAACGGTCGCGCGCGCACCTCCCGCCCGGTTCCACGTCGCAACCGCAGCCGTTCCCGTCGACTCGCTCGCGGCGCGTACGCGCCCGCCGGCTTGCCTCCCGCCGCCGCCGCCGCCGCCGCCGCCGCGCGCGCCGCGCGCAACTGCGCCAACCGCGTCGTCGTGCCTACCGCGCCATCGCCCCGCGCGAGCGTTTTCGTCAGTCCTCGTTCCTCGCGCTCGTCCCGCCCCGTCGCGTCCGTCGCATCGTTCTCCGCACCATCCTTCGCGCGCGTCTCGCCTCGCGCCGTTTTTAAATCAACGGTCGGCGCCACCTCGCCCCGGTCATCCATCGTCTTGAACGACACCCGTCGCGGCCGCGACGCGCGTCGCGCGCGCGCGTCGTCGACGTCGGCGTCGAAACGCTTTTCGCGCGTTCCCGCGTCGTCGCCGCGGGCGTTCGCGTCGCGCGGCGCGAGCGGCGTCGACATGAAGTCGGATCGTCGACCGACAGACGGGTCGAATTCAAACGTCGCGCGACGTCGCGCGCGCGCGGTGGGAGGCGCGAGGGCGCGCGGGCGCGTCGGAGACGCGCGGCGTGGCGTCGCGGATCGATGCGCGACGCGGGACGCGCGACGCGATGGGCGTCGAGGTGTGGGGGGCGACGACGCGACGCGCGGCGCGATGGGAGGGGAACCAACGGAATCGCGGAGGACGAAGCGCTCGCGCCGAGGAGGTTGATTTGGATTAAAACTAAGGTGGCTAAGGGCGCGAAACGCGCGATGTGGGCGAGAAATAATGTATTTTATTCGCGCGCGGTCGAGGACGAAGCGCCGCCGAAGCCGAAAAATTTGCCCAGACGGGACGCCGAGGAGGCGGCTTCGGCGCGCTCGCGATCGGCTCGGCTGGGAGCGCGCGCGAACGCGCGAGGTCGGGCGACGCTTTCGTCGTCGACGACGGTCGTGGTGACCTTGCGGACTCGAGCGATGCGCTCGCGCTCGGGCTTTGGCGGCGGTGGCGAAGATGGGGTGAAAGCGCGTGGTTTGGCGATGGGCGCGTCGTCGTCGACGCGCCTCTTGGTCACCTTGCGAACGCGAGCGACGCGTTGGCGTTGCGCCTTCTCAATTTTGGGTTTGGTGAACGCCGGAGCGGACGGGTAGTCCTCATCGTCGATGTCATCGTCGAGTGCTTCGTCGGGGAAGCACTCGGCGCAGTAGACGTTGCCGTCTGGACCGGGCATGACGTCCTCCGGTTCCATCTCACGCGAGCAGTTCGGACACTCGAAGGGCGCCGGCGCCTTGGACGAAGCTTGTCTTGGCGCTTCGTCCATCTCAGGTTCTTCCTCGGGTACGCACCGCGGGCAGTAATCCTTCCCGCCTGGACCCGTGATGATATCGTTCAACGTACACGGTGCGTCGCAATTCGGACACGTGGGGATTGAGCGTTTTCGCTGTGGCGACCAACATTTCGGACAGAATTGCCCACCGTCGACCTTGATGACGTCTTCGGGCTCGCACGGCGTCTCGCAGTTCGGGCACACGAACGGCTCCGGCGCGCAACGCGGGCAGTGTTTCTTGCCGTCGACGTCGCTGATCGCGACTTCTTCGGGCTCGCACGGCGTCTCGCAGTTCGGGCACACGAACGGCTCCGGCGCGCAACGCGGGCAGTGTTTCTTGCCGTCGACGTCGCTGATCGCGACTTCTTCGGGCTCGCACGGCGTCTCGCAGTTCGGGCACACGAACGGCTCCGGCGCGCAACGCGGGCAGTGTTTCTTGCCGTCGACGTCGCTGATCGCGACTTCTTCGGGCTCGCACGGCGTCTCGCAGTTCGGGCACACGAACGGCTCCGGCGCGCAACGCGGGCAGTGTTTCTTGCCGTCGACGTCGCTGATCGCGACTTCTTCGGGCTCGCACGGCGTCTCGCAGTTCGGGCACACGAACGGCTCCGGCGCGCAACGCGGGCAGTGTTTCTTGCCGTCGACGTCGCTGATCGCGACTTCTTCGGGCTCGCACGGCGTCTCGCAGTTCGGGCACACGAACGGCTCCGGCGCGCAACGCGGGCAGTGTTTCTTGCCGTCGACGTCGCTGATCGCGACTTCTTCGGGCTCGCACGGCGTCTCGCAGTTCGGGCACACGAACGGCTCCGGCGCGCAACGCGGGCAGTGTTTCTTGCCGTCGACGTCGCTGATCGCGACTTCTTCGGGCTCGCACGGCGTCTCGCAGTTCGGGCACACGAACGGCTCGTCTTCCGGTACATCCTCCCGCAAGCACTCGTTGCAATATTCCAAATCATCCGGACCGATGACGATTTTATTCGGCGGCTCTACGGTGATTCCGCAATTTGGACAGTTGACATCCTTTTTGCGAGGACAATTTGGCGCTTCATGATCCGTCATACCGCAGATGGAGCAGCGCGAATCCGGCATGACGAGGTTCTTGCGCGCCAACTCATCGCTCGGCTCTTCGAGCACCGCATGCACACTCGGCGACTCCGCGAGCGGTTTTCTCTCTTGTGCTTGTTTGAATTGTGCTTGAAGCGCTTCCGATGGCTTTACGGTTGGATTCGCGCGGAAGCAGAAATCGCCAAACGCGAGCATAAACTTCTTCGCGTCCAGCCGGCTCCCTTGGCAGCACAAGTACCCGTCAGGTTTTTCATCGATGGCGTGCACCCAGCCATGTCGAGCGCCGTGGTACACCCAATCAGGAGTCGACGTTGAGAAATCGCTGTAGGTTCGGAAGACCAATTCACCAAACTTGTTCAATGGACTCTCGGCACCGACGGCCCACATTGTTGCAGCCTTGAACTCCATCACTCCCATGCCATCCTTGTCGGTGAAAGCCTTGTACACAGTGCTCACAGCGCGGATGTCCTCGTCAGACGATTTGCCTTGCTTCTTCATAGCCGTCGCAAATCTCGCTTGTGCTTCGTATGCTTCGACGATATGATGCGCCTTAGGGCGAAGTATGCGTTCAATCAGCCAGCGCGTTGCGCGAGCGACGCCTCTATCTGTCAATGGCACGCGATGACCGTAGATGATCCAAGCCATGAAGACGAGGGAAGTGAGGAATTCATCCAGGTGCATTCCCCAAGCGTGCTTGATACGCAGCTCCAACCTCGGACCTTCGCTCGGACATAGCGATCCTTCAACTGAGCCAGTCTCTCGATCGAGTGTGAGACACTTGGCGAGAAGCTCGGGCGCCTTGACGGTATCGAATACCGATCGAACGACGGCTGAGAGCTGATTGTACTGCGAGTTCGGTAGTTTGTCCTCAATCTTGCAACTCGAGATGAGGTACATGAACTGACGGTAAGACATGAGCAAGTGATCATCCGCACCGACGCGCGTTTCGTTGTCACTCGGACCAGACGGAATCGACGCGTATGTTTTGAACAAACCCTCCAAAAATGTCCAGTGATTGCGAATCTCGCTCCAGACGTAATAGTTGCCATCTTCGGGCTCGAAAGAAGTCAGCACATGGTTCGGTTTGCTGATACCCTTGCGAGTAAGCGGAGCGGCATCTTGGATGAGCTCCTTACCATTGTTGCGGTAACGCAGAATCGTTCGTTCAAGAGGTTTTGAATTGCTGTCCGCAAGCATTCTGCGCAAGTCGAGCACCGTCATTTCCGGATTTTCGTGAACAAGATTAGATTGGAGCACCGGTTGCGCCAACACTGGCCCTTCTTCAATATCCGGTCGAGCGTACATTCGTTCATCTTCATCGGGATCCCTTGCCTCTTCTGGGTCATCTTGAAGAATCAACCACGCTGTCGTCTTGGCCAAATTACCGCGGCGGTTCTCGAGCTGCACCTCCGCCTTCCATTGAAGATTCTCGAGCTTCACTGTGTTGTGAGTGTCGAGCAGCTTGCCTTTGTGCGAGATATCAAATTTACTTCCAGTGACAGCAGGAAGCTCGTCTTCACCTGCGAACTCGCCCCGATCGCGCATGTCTCGCAATTCTGTGGCGAGCTTGGTGTGAACGCTTGAGACTTCCTCCTTGAGACGAACGGGGACGTACACGTTCCATCCTAAATCTCTCGATCGATCCGGGTCTTCTTCCTGAATGATGATGGTTTCTCTCGTACGGAAGTGTCGTTCTCGCTCTTGTTTAATTCGCGACACCTCTTCGTCGTCTTGCTGGATGACGACGTACAAGTTGCCGTGACGAGCGCAGCGCTCTCCGGGCTCGCATTCGCAGAGGCAACAGAAATCGTCGTAGACGTCGTCGAGGTCAAGGTGCCACGGCAACACGTCACCGTCTTCATCCTGCGCCTCTGCTTTCGCTTTTGCGAGACTTTCATCGTAAGCATCCCAATCAGGGTGAATATCACCAAAGTAACCCTGGAACCGAACAAAGTGCGTGCGTCCACTGACTTCGGATGTTTGGAAAAAGAGCTCCTCTTGGTCCAAGTCTGCCGCGTCGTTCACATCCGTTTGAAAGGCTCTTCGAACGTTGTCAGCTTGTTGAAGTACCTCATACTCAGCGAGTTGCTTCTCTTCGTCCTCCTTCTCTTTCTCTTGCGTAGCGTGCGACTTCGCACGGGCGAGAGTGGAGTCTCGAAGTAAAAAGCGTTCGACCGACGGGTTGTGAGCGCCTGAGACGCCGCGTAAATCTTTTTGAGCCTGTCTGTAAAACTTGCGATAGAAGTTGTATCTCTTTTGAATCATCTTATTCTCGATGAAGAGTTGCACTTGTCGATTCATGTCCCGATTGTCCACCGCCGCGGCGCGAATCAGGCTTTGACGCACCGGGCGCGAGAGCATCTTGTAGAAAGATTTGGCTCTGTCGTCATGGGTACCCAGAATGGTCTCCACAGTCTTGTGTCGCCAGAGCGAGCGAATTCCTCGAGCGAATTCCATTCGCAGGTGCATGTCGAAATTACCACTGAAATACAATCCTTGATCACCTTCCGCGGACTCAAGCTGAAGAATCGCGCCCGCACTGGGGTTGAGCAGCGAAAGTGTCGGTTTCCATTCGACCCACTTGCGTTCGCGTAGCCACTGCGATGAGCGGTGCTCACTCACGACAATACTGATGACACGAGCGATAAAATTCTTGTAGGCCCGTCGAAGGTGCCAGTCAGCTCTCTTGAACCATTCCGCGCTGCTATAGGCTTCGTAAAAAATCCCTGCGCAGAAAACAAAGACAGCCACCGCAATGGTTTGCCACACGGCATTTCTGGCGTTGTCCTTTGTCCTTTGGTTGATGATGTACGACACCGGCGCTATTGAAATGACTGAAAGCATCAGTACGAGCACCATGGCGAGCAAATGTAAGCCAAGATACCGTTTTGCTTCGCTCGTTTTAAAAGGTCGCAAAATGACGGTCGCGAACGACACAGATATTACGAGTAGAGCGGTGAGCGCCTGCACGACACCGTTGCCATTTCTGAGCTCGTAGCCTAGAAGTTGAATCAAGCACAACGCCAATATTCGTGCCATCTCGTTCACACGATACCAAACGTAGTCATCTGTGAACTGGAACGTTGCAAATCCAATCAAATCTCGTTTCCACAGCTTTTCCCATCCTCCCATGGCGTACTTTATTACCCAATACATGATGGCAAAGAAACCGATCGGGTACAGAAGCAGGGCGATCAAGGCGAGCGGGAACAGCTGTTGCCATTTCGTGCTTCCAGTCGTCGATGAGAAATATCCGAATCGCAAGTTCGGCTGCGCACGAATGTACCCAAACTTGTCCGTCACTGAACGATGAAATATGAAAAAGTCAAATGTCGCGATGATGACGGCGACATAAGTAATTTGAATGACGTTCAAAATACTTCGAAGCATTAAAACCCATCGCCTTTGACCGTTGCGAACCACCTCGACACTCGGCTGCGTTTTGATGTAAAATTTACCCCAAATGTAGGCGTACAGCTGTGCGATGCCGTACATCAGCGCAAGTCCAATCGCCGGCATGGCCATTAATGAGTTCCAGCGTGCCACAAAATCGTATTCAGTCAAACATTCGAGGCCGATGACTTCGGGGTTGAGCTGCAGTATGTAGCATAGCTGTAGCAGCAAAGTCAAGCCGGGATAATCGTTCCAGCCAAGATTGTATCTCCCAATAATCCCAACTTCTTGCAGAAACACAACGAGCGATAATATACGACAATAGACGATGTATCGAAAGCTCTGCTCGTCGATGAGCCAGGGCATCAAAATCGCCGAAAGCATCACCAAGCCGACGCCCGCACCATACAGCGTGTGCCCCAAAGCAGATCCGCACTTCAAACACTGACCATTGAGACGGTAGTAGCCCGTAACACACGTCTCACACGCGTCGTGAACATATCCCTCTGCGCACTGCACGGCATCCGCACTCGATCCGCCCGCGGCGATGGCGTCCACTTGCGCCGAGCCAGCGATGCCTTTCACACCGGGACACGCCTTATGGGGGAAGCACTGTCGCATGGAGATGGGTTGCTTGTACGAGCGCGTTTCAGGAGACACGACGTAGAAACCAGGCTGCGGATAAGGCACCGTGAGATTCGTCTCAGCACAATACGTCCAACGTTCGGGCGCTCCGTAGGAGTCGCTGTACTCTGGGCAAGGAAAGCAATATCCCGGCACGCCGTACCAACCGATGTTGCAGAAACATTGGTCCCTTGACGTTGCGCCTTGAACAGAGGTACTCCCAGCGGGACATGAAATGCAAGTTTCAAGTCCCGGGGTGTCGGAATAATACCCATTGCTGCATCGGGTACAGAAGCCTCGTTGCACGGTTCCGCCAGCCATACCCACCGGGCAGGCACGACAGGTGTGCGAGTTGATGGCGTCGGTGACTTGACCAAGCGGACAAATCGTGCACGTGCCGTAAGTCTTTGCGTTTGACGCATCACCAACGGCGCTTGCTGACTCTGTTGTGTAACCTAGCGCACAACCAACATGAATATTCAATGTTGCCTCCGCACTCACCAGGCTGCCGTCGTCGACTACGCGAATCGCGTACTTCTCTAAAGGATTCTGCCGAACCAACGTGGTCGACGGAAAGAATCCGTAGAGTAATGGCGGCGCCAAATAATAAAGCGTGATCGATGTCCCGTTGTTCAGCAGACCAACCTGATCGAGCGTTGCTGCCGTAATTTCGTCCACCGGTCGTCCAAATCTGTCGATTGATTTGTACCATCGACCTCTCCTACGCGTCGCCCAATCGCTTTGTGTGACGATCGGTTTCCACGTCAAGAAAAGTCTAAAGTATGGACCAGCGTCGACGTCGTAAGGCGAAAACGTAATCGGGGTCAAATCTGCATCTCCTAAGTCATCCGCCGCTCGGTCTCTATTCATCACCGCGTTCACCTCCATGTTTGCCAAAAATGGGGGGTCATTCACAGGTCTGATCGTCACGTTGACTGAGGCGGACGCCGCGAGAGTCGAGTCGTAACTGGACACGATAGAGAACTCAATACTGTCGGTCCCGGTGAAATTCGCGCTCGGCGTATAGTTGAAGTACTGAAAATTGAGATTTCCGTCATCAGTGTTGACAGAACAATTCCACCAATACTGCACCTCCACGTCATTGCACAGCTTTGTCACGGTGCCATTCTGCACGCCCGCATTCGTTACGGTGTAAGTTAAAGTGCCGGCATACTCCGAAGCCATGATCGTTCGCCCGAATCGACCCGTCATTGTCGTATCTTCATCCACCCAATAGTGCGAGACTACGCCGACGGGCTTTCCGGTGGCGGATCCGACGGCTACGACGACGCTGGCCACGTCGTACAAAGTCGTATCGGGCGTGTTATCCAAACTGTCATCCACACTGTAAATGAAATAATCATACCCAGTAAAATTAATGTCTGGTATATACTCGAACGTCGACGAATAAGCGACGGGACCGGCCGGAAGCTCGAGGGTTCCGTGCGCCGGCTGTTGACGAATTGTCCACGTGAGTCTGTCGCCGTCGATATCAGTCGCCGTCATAGGGCGGCTCAACTTGCTGCCCGTCGCGGTCGCATCAACCTGCGTACGCATTGGAATAATATCAGCCGTTGACTCGTAGCTCAATATTTGCTCACCGCCCGCGGCGACTGGTGCGTCGTTGCGTTTCGCGATATCCACTCGCGCCTCCTTGATATCCGTCGTGCAGCTATTGTCGTACAACGCCAGCACGGCGGGACTACAATCGACTGTGCCATCGGTGTCGAGACCGAGCGCTTGTGCGACGGTATATTCAACCGTTCCGCGAAAGGTGAATACGTCTACGCCGTTTTCATTCGGTTTGGGTTGATACGACACGACGCCGTATCCGGCGTTCATCTCGACTTGGAAAGTAGCCTCGACTGCTTTCCGAGGATCACAGACGGTGAATATGTTCGCCACAAACGGAATACCCGAGCGACTCGTGAACAAAGGGAGCTCTCGCTGCCAGAGAGGCCCATCTTCGTACGTGTAAAAGTTGACTACGTTTCCGGACGAGTTGCTCGTCACCGCCAACTGCGTCGCGTACGTCACCGTAATCGATTCTAATGCTAGTATGTCCGTCGGTATGTGTCCTACTTGATCTGCGCCGATGAACGTGGAGTCCGTCCCGAACGTTGCATTCGTGTTCACCGTGTTTTGCGCGTTCAGTAAATCAATCCATGCCGCTGGTGGCGGTGGTGGATACGCAGGCGACGGCGGCGGGCTGGGTGGCGGTGGGAACGGTGGCGGACTAAAGGGCGTGGGTGATGGTGGCGGCGGTGGTGATGGAATCCCCGAATCATTCTTTCTATCCCACGACCAAGTCGACGCACAGAGCGATAACGAAAGTATGAAGAAGAAATACAGGCAGAAGATGATGACGTTGTCGCTGAAGATGTAACGCAAGCGCTTCAGTGCCTTCTTCTTTGACGTGTACTTGTGCGTCTCATGGTTGCCGCGAAGCTTCAGGTGCACGTGACACGTCTGTGCAACGTTGATTCCATCGCCTAAGCGCCAACCAGGATCGACGAGACATCCCAAATAGAACAAATCCACGCTGTCCGGATCCGGCTGATGTTTCAAGCGCCGACAAACCATTCGCTTCACCTTTTGGAAGTTGTCCGTCAACTTGCAAGTCAAGCTAATGGTCTGCATCTCGTTCACGTCATCGATGTTTCGCATGAAAAGTGAATCTCGCAACCGCACGATAGTGGGCAATCGGACCACCACGGTGCACGTCGGGTCTGGATGTCCTGAAATCGCCGCGATGATCGCGGCCGATAAGTACATGCCTAGGAAAAACAACAGCAACCCCAGGAACACCAAAAACCCATCGTCTCTGCTCTCTACCGGACACTTCGTCGTATCCGCTGGCGCTATCACGCATTGTCCGGCGTTCAGCGACCCCGATGGACATTCAATGTAACTATACGGGCAACAGCCCGTCTTGTTCGTGTTCAACAACGCGTCCGGATAAGGATAACTCACCAAAGATTGCGACAGGCACGAGCATGACTCTCCGGCGAACCCTAAATCGCACACACACGTGCCATCTCGCTCGGAGCAATAGCCGTTACCGTTGCAATCCACCGACGGCGAACACGAAAATTTGCACCGATTGTCCCCGACGCCCACCCATCCTCGATCGCACACGCAATCCTTCGCCGTGGCGTCCCACGTCCCGTGTCCATTACACGCGTCCCGACCGTTGTTCGTCGTGGTGTTGAACTGGCACAGACTACCCGTGAAGGCATCAGGGCAAATGCACTCCTTGCTCGTCGCCGCGCACACGCCGTTATTCTCGCACCCGCACGTTGCGCACCCATCCCCAGTCATCGCCCCCACGCACGTCGGCGTCGGCGCACTGTACGTCCAATTATACGCACACGTTCTACACGGTCCGTTATACACGCTTCCGCTCATGCACGTCGACGACGCCGCGCACCATCCGCAGCCGTCCGCTTTCGCGCAGTGCTCCGCGTTCCCAATCGCCGCGCACCTCGGATCGCACGGTATCTCAATCTCATTCGTCACCGCGTTCACCACTCGCGGCGCGTTCATCACCGGCGGCAAATGCGACACGCACAGCGCGGCGTCGAGCAAGGAGTAGCACGTCGGGTTGTGTCCGTCCACGTCGCGCGAGTCGCACCACCCGCACCCGACCTCCTGCACGCACTCCCCGAACACCGCCCGTCGCTGGCACCGCAGCGGGCTCACGATGCTCTCATCGCTCGCGTTCCACGCCGTGAGCGCGTCGTCGTGCGCCGCCTCGGTCGTTCGCACGCCGAGCGCGCGTCGCGCGTCGCGCGCGCGCGCGCCCCGAGCGCCCGCGGCTTCGCTTCCCGGCGCGCTCGCGCTCGAGCGCGGGCTCGGCGCGAGCGCGAACAGCGCGAGGGCGACGCGAACGAGCGTTCGCAATCGCGCGTCGCGCGCGCGATCGCCGACGCGCATGGCGCCGCGTTCTGCGGTCGACGCATCCGCGGTGCCGTTCAAATCGAGGGTGTTACGCCCTATAAATATACGTGATACCTTAAAAACACACACACTACTAGGGTTTAACGCAGACCAAACGTTTATTTCAAACGCGGTCGAACGCGGTCGGCCGCGCGCGCGCGCGTCGCTCGCACAACTCCGCGCGCGCATCGCCGCGCCCCGAACGCGCGAGCGTCGCGCGACGCGGCGCGATCGGCGCGCGCGCGATGTCGACGCGGCGCGTCGACGCGCGCGCGACGACGACGACGCGACGACGACGACGACGACGACGACGACGCGAGGTGTTGGACGACGCGATGGCGACGGCGACGGCGCCGACGCCGACGCGAAGCGCGCGAACGCCGAGCGCGTGGACGCGGACGGCGATGATCGCGATCGCGCTCTTCGCGGCGCTCGGCGGCGCGACGCCGGGCCGCGCGGCGTTCACGGCGGACGTGTGTTACGGCGCGTCGTGGGAGCCGACGGCGACGGCGACGAAGGCGTCCATAGGGAAAACCGTCAAACCGGTCACCGCGGTGCCGAAAGAGCACCCGCTGTTCGTGGACGCGTTCGCGAAGGCGTGCTTGGACGTGGGGAACGCGGCGGGGAACACGTCGGCGGCGACGACGGTGCGATTGCCGAAGCGGACGAACGCGGGGAACGAGACCTATTGGTCGAACGCGGCGGGGGCGTGCGCGACGTCGCCGACGGTGAGCGCGGGACAGTTGTTTTATAATCGAGCGGAGATGGGATCGACGTTGTCGTACGCGGATTCGAACACGGGACTGGAGAAGGATAAGACGGTTAGGATTGTGTTCGTGAACGACGACGGAAAGGGCGCGCACGTGGTGGTGTTGGCGGGCGCGAGGGCGGCGACGGGGTCGAGCTCTCCCGAGGTTGGGCTGATGATGGAGGGTGGTTCGTTGAAAAACTCGGCGAACGTGGTGATAGAGGAACCTCGGGGATTGACGAACGTGGTGACGAGTGGAAGCGGATGCGACCCGTCGGTTTCGTCGGCGAGCGATTGCTACGAGTTGGACACGGATTTGGGTCTTGGCAAGTTTCGCTGGGGATCGGGATCGGATCAACGCGGTATCGTCATCGGCCACGTCGCCGATGTGAACTCAGAGTTTGCGATGAAGTTCACGCTGCTCGAACGCATCGATTCGGTGGAGATTGGGTCGTTTGACGACGCGACGTTTGCGATGTCGTGGGAGACGATTCCGACGGCGAGCGCGTTGAGAGGTTTCAAGATTCGCAGCGCAACTTGCACGAATCACTGCGCTTTGCACGCAACGTGCGCGTCGTGCGCCACGGATGACGCGTGCGGGTACTGCTCGGCGACGAAGACGTGCACGAAGATTGATGGTTCGTGCTCGAGCGGCTTCGACGTCATCGGCGAGTGCCTCGATACGTGCGGCGCGGCGTTGACGTGCGGCGAGTGCGCCGATCAGAGCGGATGTGGGTGGTGCCACACCACTGGTCGGTGTACCGCGGCGCAGCTCGACGGTAGTGCTCCGCAAGATGGTAATTGCTCCGCGTTTAGCGTGGGATCGAGCGCACAGTGCGCCACGTGTCCGGGCGCCGTCACCTCAACTATGTTGCCCGCTTACGTAGATGTCGACCGCGTCAGCGCGTTTTGCAACGGCAGGGGGACGTGTGATAACATCACGCGCACGTGTACGTGCTCGAGCGGTTACGGTGGAGACGGATGCGAGAAGATGTGCCCCGGCGGCGCGAGCAATCCGTGCTCGAGAAACGGTTTATGCGACTCGGCGTCGGGAAGTTGCTTCTGTAATCCTGGCTACGTCGGCTCGCGATGTAACGCCGCCACGATAGTCGGGACGTGCGAATGTGGCTCAGCGCACACATACTTGAAGTCGGACGGCACGCAGCAGCGCGTGTGCTCTGGTCGTCTCGATTCGAGCGGCTCGTGCGTGTGCCTCGAGGGATGGTCGGGTGTAAACTGCACCGTCGCGTGCGCCGGCACCTTGACCGTCGGCACCGAGGTGTGTGGTGGACACGGTACGTGCAATGTTGGAACCGGTCAGTGCGATTGTGAGCCGTGTTATTCGCGGGACGCCACTTCAGGGCTTTGCGTGCAAGACACTTGCTCAACGTGCGACTCTAGCAATGGAGTGTGTTCGTGCGTGAGCGGAAGTATGCAATGCGCCTGTCGGGGCGCCTTCGATGGGTACGCGTGCGATCAGTGCAAGTGTGGCGACCACGGTCGTTGCAACGCACTCTCGGGCGAGTGCGAGTGCGACGCAGGATACGCTGGCGAGCTCTGTGAGCGACTCATTGAGCCGCAGCCGACGTGCGCCAACGGCGGCACCTGGAACGCGGCCCTCAAGCGATGCGAGTGCGCGGGCGGATACACGGGCACTCTTTGCGATGCAGCGTGCACGACGAACCCGTGTAATGATCTTTGCAGTGGGCATGGTACCGTGAACGTCGATGGGACCTCGTGTACGTGTTTCACTGGATTCTCGGGGAGCACTTGCAACACTTGCGCCACAGGCTACGGCCCGTATCCCAAGTGCGGCGCGACGCTTGCAAACGGAGAATGTACAGATAATATCGTAGCTTACACTGGGACCACAAACGTGACGATTTCGGGCAAACAGTGCCAGTCGTGGTCGTCCCAATCGCCGTTCGCGCACACGTACGCGTCGTCTTCGGGATCGACGAGCAATGAGTGTCGTAATCCGTCGTCTGACGCGCACCCGTGGTGCTACGTCGATCACACCGCCATCACCGGGTCGTACACCCGAGGCGAACCTCGATGGGAGTTTTGTTCAGTACCGACGTGTAAGTCGGCATACGTCAACCCACAGAAGATTTGTGGCGTTTTCGGTGGTGAAACAGTCGTGACGTTTGACAAGGACTCCACCTCGGGAGCGCTCAACGCTGTCAGCCAACAGGCGCTGACGACGACGAACGACGCAGTGGACAAGACGAACTGTGGCGCAATGAATCTGACTAATAACGATATCACCTTGCACGCGAACGCCGCGGCGCATGGAGACTTTGTCGCTCGGTTCGCCGAAGACTCCGGCACGGGTTATGCGAGACGCATCATCACGCACATCGGTCTCAAAGCATCCGTTTCGCCGGCGCACGATAGCGTCGAAGTGCACGCCGATGGCACCGTGAAAGTCAACAGTGTTACCAAAACGAATGATCTGCCATACTCCGACGGCTCCACTGGTGTTTTGTGCGTGTCTGACTGGATGCCCGTGAGCTCGGGCTTGGCGAGCACGGAGCTTTTACAAATAACGATTTCAGAGACGACGGTGGCAAACATCACCAAGTTTACCGCTTGCACGGGATGCGCGGCGCAGCTCATCGTGGTCATAAGTGTCCCAAATAGTGTTACATCGACAGGCATATGCGCCACGGCGGGCTCGGCGACCAGCGTAAACTTCGACGAGAACGCAGAAGGAAGCGCGCCGTGGGGCGTCGGCGCGGCGCTCAACGCCGCTTGCGGGACCGACACGCACGACCCTGGTAGCGTCTCAACGGTGCAAGCGAAGTGGTGCGACCAGTGCCAGTATCTGGGTGAAGTGTACGATTCGTGCGTCGCTCAGATGGCGAACGAAGGGTTCAACTTTGCCCGCGCCGCCGTAATAGAGGGCTGTCGCATGGCGTTTGTGGCAATCTACGGATACGACCGCACGATTCCCTCATATCTCACGGCGACGGCGTCGACGGGCGCCACATTAGCGGACACCGTGTACCCGTATAGAAGCTACACTCCGTCTGATGTGCAGTTTAAGTCACTCTCCGACAATCGCTTAGCTTTTGACGTGCTAGACGTCACGGAAACCTTGCCGGAATACATCGTCGGTACGACGAGAACGGATGGGTCGCGCACGCGAATGACTGGTTTGCCACGAGAGTTTACAGGCGAGACCGATACGACGCAAGTGTTCCCGTTCCCTAGAATTGAAGACTCGTGCAGAACCGCGAGTGATATAGGATCAACATCTGGGTATCGCGTGTACACTATGAATTACGCTTCGGCGACGGATGAAGCTCTGGAGATTACGATGTGCGGCTCCGCCACGGGAACCAACGTGGGCGTCTACACAAAAGACTTTGTAGACATCCCGTCGGCGGATTGGACGCACAATACTACAAGTGCGAATGGGAATATCACTTTCACATTCACCCCGTGGATCGATGGCTTGGCCACGTATGAGGCTCGTTTCGAGTACTCTTTGGCGTCCACCAAGAAAAACGTGACGTTTGACGTCACTCGCACCTCTGCAAACGTCAACATTGGCTCGTTTGAATTCTACCCGCCGACGGCGTCGGATTCGTACGGCTCTGTTGGCTTTGAGTTTAGCGTTCCCAGTGCGGAAGCCGCCGCCACGGTTTCGTTCACAATGTCACCCACTGGCACTGGTGACTCAACGGCGGCGAACTCTGCGTTTATCTCGCTTACCGCGGTTTTCATTCACGCGAAGAACTACGCGCAAGCGAGTTTGAATTACCCGCCATTCGGTGGGTTCAAGCAAGTCTCGTGCGCCAACTTCCAAGCGGCATCCTGTGGGTCGCTGAAGTTCACGGCGACGCAAAAGACATATTACATCGTCGTCTCTGGACAAAAATTCGTCTCGGGGGCGTACAGCATGCAAATAAAAAAGTTGAGCGCGGATTTGACAACCGTGTACACGGTGAGCAGCAACGCAGCGACGTCTTTGGTGAGGCCGTTGACGGGATTGGATGGCGCAGCCGATGGCACGTTGACGCCGTACAAGGTGGCAAAGTATGGCGATAATATTCGCGTCGTCGTGCGCGCGTCGCACGCAATAGATAGACCAAGAATCACGTTGGGCAATTACGCGGTTCCGAGCTCGAAGATTGTCTCTGCAGGTGCCGGCGCGGAGTATTCAGCGACGGTGACCGTCAGCGCTAGCATGGCGACTTCTGGACACATCACGGTAAAGGTTGAGCAGGCGAGTACGCTCACCTCAGCATCGTATGGGTTTAAGACGTCCACTCATCCGTTGGGTTCTGACATCGCGCTCGTCGTGTTGGACAACACCGCGCCTACTGTCAGTCACGCCTGGGTCGTCAATCCATCCTACATGCTCGCGCCGTCGTCGGCGCCATCGTCCTGTACGAATCTTACGACGTCCACGGGTAAGGATGTAAACGTTACGGCGGCAAAGTACGCAAAAGCGGGAGATTACATCGCCGTCATCTTTACGCCGTCGGAAAACGTCGCCACCATCGGCGGTACCATCGGCGGTCAAGCTGCGACGAAATGGGTGCGAGCAACCGCGCCGCGCGACGTCACGCTCGCGATCGATGCTTATAAAATCACGATGTCCGCGGCCTACGTCGATGCCGCGTACGCGCTCGTCAATGACATCACACTCAGCGATGGAGTTTTACCGTTTTCCATTACGTTTACGGACGCCGTTGGCAACGTCGGGACGACAATTAACTCGGCGATCAACTCCCTGACCGGTGTCACCGCGAGTTCACCTTTGGCCGATCGACTCAGCGCCGCTCGATTATTGTATGATAAGTCACCACCGCGACCGGACTCATGGTCACTGAGGTACGCTAGTTCTTCGGAGATGACTGGGAACCAAGGTTCCAAGCCAGTGTATTATCACGGCTTTGACAACGTGGCCTCGAGCGCCAAAGAGTATCGCATCGGTGACACGCTCGTATTAACTGGCACTTGGACCGAATATGTCTCTCGTCCGTACGGCGCGTACATGCGCTCGAGCGCTTCAAGTGGCGTGCACGTTCCGCAATCAGCCATTACGATCACGGAGCAAGGCGGAAAACTCACCGGCAAGTTGGAGTGCATGGCGAAGGAGTTCCGTCCGCGAGCGCAAGAAGCCGTGAGCACCGCGCAAGGTTTCGGTGGAACCAGTTACGTGACATCGACATATCACAAATCATGGAAAGTGGAAGCGAACACGATCGATCCATGTGATATCGTCGGTAAAGGTGCGTTGGCGTGGAGCGCTCGCGCGGATTGCCAAGCGGAGCACTACGCCGGGAACTCGTTGTGGATTCCTCTCTGGTCTGCGTGGTGTCGTCACGGTTGGGGTACCTTGGGTTACGCCGTACTCGGAGGCGTCGACCCCGCTGGTAATTCGGCGACGGCGTTGCGCCAAGTGAGCAAATCTCCGAACAACGCCGACGCTACAGTTGTGATTGCCTCGTCCGCGGTGGCGGGCGACGCGATTATTCGCACGCCGATTCCCATCGCCGGGAAGATTGTGCCAAGCTGGATGAACTCAGTCCCTAGAGGTGACTGGACCGCAGACCCGAAGGTGATTGAAGTGTACATCGAGCCGCAAAACGTGAGATGGAACGAGTATAGGCGCGTCGTCAAGGTTGGCGACATGCTGCAGATTCAATTCTACACTGACCAACCGGTGAAGGGCGTGCGCGCGCTCATCGGAGACGATAAAGCCCTTCCGCCTGCGACACATTCCGAAGTCGCGAGCGCCATGAACGTCGAGCGACCGTGCTCAAGCGATCCGGACATGCAAACTTGGCTCGGCGCGCGCGGCTTGCTCGCGCTCGCCGCCGAAGAGTACAACGACGGATCGCAGTTTTCGAACGACGACGATTGGTTCGATTGGTTGGTTCAGACGTCTTACAACTATCGCCAACCCGTGCCCAATGTGCCGAATTACCCCAACGCCGCTGTTACGTGCACTGGATTCTGGGTCCAACGCGGGTTACGACCCAACGGTAAGCGTTATTCGGTGCGCCGTTTGTGCCCGAATAGGTACTACTTGCGACGAAGCTCGTTCGCCGCTCAGGCGCCGCTTACGTGCTCGGATCCAAATGATCGAATCTACAAAGCCACAGACGCGTACAACTATTGGGTGATCAACTTTAGATACGTCACATCGCATCAAGTCGTCAATGGCGACGGAGCGCTTCAAATCAAGTGGCAGTTGACCACGATGGACGACCGCGTGTTGCCGACGGGTGGCGGTTGGCAGACCTCTGCAGCCTTCTTCACCTCTGCGGACACCTCTGCGGATGTCAATCATCTCAAACCAACGTCAACTGATGCCGTCGGCGCTGCGTTTGATCCCGCGATTAGCTGCGGGCGCAACGCGGATACCGCGTTCAATCAAGCCGGGTCGGCAGTCTGGGCCGTCCAAGATACGCTGGCGCCTTCGTGCGCGAGCTTTGTCACGGATGGTTCGTGCGCGAGCACGACTGTCGCCCGTGTCGCTAACAGTAGCGGTACGACGTTCCCCACCGTCACGAATCCGGCGACCAATGTCGCCGAGCACGTGGCCGTCGTTGGTGATTATATCACGCTCATCATCACTTTTGACGAGCATATTGCAGCTGGAGTGTACGTGACTTTGAACGACGGGGTTCTCACCGCTCGAGCGACGAAAGTTGACAAGTACTCGGCGACGTTCACCTTTGAGGTGACGCAGACGCTCGCGGCTCTGAATACGTTTTTGGAGTACAAAGTGTACAATCTGAAGGATATTCAGGAAGC